CTAGTGGTAAAATTGTTTGCGCTTCTATTGTTGTAAATATATATCATAACCACAAGGCTCTAATCTTAGGTCGGTTTGATCTTGCTGTATAGAAACGATCTACCGACATCATCTTCAGCAAGTATGTTTGCAGACAATACAATCATTTAAACAAATGGCCGGGCAAATGAGAAAATGTACATTAATGGTTACTTGAAACTACAAACTTACACAATAAACAAAGAGTACACGATTATCAGCTTAAGATTCGAGTTTCAAATTTATTATATTGAATTACGTGCATAAACCATTTAAATTTAAAAGCAACTAACTATTCTTTGCACTTACAGAATAAAAAACAATGTTCTTTTATAAGCTTCAAACGATCCAAATCCAAATAGATACTATCATAAAATTGTGTATCTTATACTTGTACAGTTGAAATGACAAGCTTCAGATATAAGTTTGCGTTATTATTCTCGATCTTATTTTTAAAATATACGATGAAATTTAGTTGGAAGATTTTTAGTAAGACTTTCGTTTTGCATTATTCTTAGCGGTGTGTATCCATTGAAAGTTTAAAAAATGTCGTGAGGTGTAATCCTTAATCGCACACTCGTTTTCCGTCCGTCAAATCAATCTTTAGTACAATATAAACGTTCTTGTAAACCGTTTTTGGATTACAACCCTTAAAAATTATGTCACATGGACAAGTACAAGCCAATATTATGAAAGAAATATTCTCTCGACATATATAAACATCGTTCTGATCTGTTCTTTACATACATGAATATGTTTGAACGTGCTTACTATACGTTATTGTAACATGACGTTTACCATCTCATCCCTGATATTTCATCAAGAATACACTCAATGATTTTTTAAAATTATCAACTCAATGTTTATTCTGTGGTAGTCGACTTCTCTCTCAGATCAGAACCATCATTACTTTTTTTAAAGCTACTATTTGGCAACGCGTGCTCGTCGTCATTTTCAGTGGGTACGTGCTTTTTTTGATGAATCAATGGCTGATAATGTGGTTCAACCACTGAAACGTAGTCCAATTTATCTGATTCACCTTCATTGTCTTCATTCTGTGACGGAAGCTTGGGAAGAGGAACGTTGTCTTTATGAATGGTTTGATAACGCCTCTGTTCACTTAAATCTGGAGTACTGTTGGGAGTGTTGCCCATTAGATAAATTGGTGCTTCGTATATGTGGTTTCCATCGTCATCTTGTACTTTATTCTTTAGCTCAACTTGCGGCAAATGATTTTCTTTCTCTAGAAAAATGATCGGATGCAATGAAGTATAAAAATATCACAATCAATAAAAGACTTTTTTCAAAACATTAAGAATTCAGTACTGAGAATTATATTCTCCTTTCCATTTAGCCAAACATACTCATTAAAAATATTCAATCATAAACCAAAATGTAGAATCAATCAATGGTAAATTTTTTAAGCTTTCCAAAATATGAATAGAAAAATAATACTGAAATTTCTGAGTTCGAATAGTTCCTCATATCCAGCAAACATAATCTCGTAAAATATAATATCTTACTTTGTTTTGATTTACGGAAGCAAACAACAACAACAACAATAATAACAAACACTACAACCACAGATACTCCAGCAATAACACCGACAATTGTTGACTCATCAGATGAAGATTTTGGTAACGGTAATGGTTCTACAAAAAATAATTATGTGTTACATTATAATGTCTTTATCATGGGTTAACCATAATTACGCATATTTATTCACCAAGAAGATTAAAAAATACAAATTTACTTCACATCGATTTGTTTAATAATTTACAACTGTTTACTACTTCACAACGCTTTAAACATAAACTTTGTTTAATTTCAAATACTAATTTGAAAACGTTAACGTACTTTTTTACAAAATGTGAGAATTAAAATAAATACTATTACTTATACACACCTGTTGGTATTTGTTGACTCCTGTACTCAAGAACAAAACCTGATTCTTTCAAATTTGAAAATTTCTCATATTGTAATAAAATATAAATATTGTTGGTCGATGACAGCATTGTAGTGTTGTTATCCATGTTTTTGCTGTGACGAAAAAATCTTCCCAGGACATGCGCACTGGAGTTCATTCCATCGTAAATAGTGAGAACGTCATTCCCAACATTTAAGGTAGTAATTTTCAAAGCAATTATATCATCTACATCAACAGTTATTAACCAAGAACAATTAGAGCGACGAGGATAACCAACAGGACTGTCAACTGGCGATTTTATGGTTCCAGAATGAACAATGACGTCATGATGGCAGTCTAGTATCAATAAATCGCAAAATTCACAGTTATTAATTCTCCTGTTATCACCATACGATTTAATGCAGTACTAAGCGAGAATAGTTCAAGCATTTTAAAGTTTTTGTTCAACAGTTCAAATAGTTTTAGTATTCATATTGTTCGTAAAATGAGTACATTAAAGTGGTCATGAGCAATGTGCAAAACCGTGGATAAAATGTAAATGACAAATATAATCAACCATAACAAAACAAACCTTCAACCAAACGTTGAGCACTGTATTGTCCACGAAAGGCAAACACACTTTTGGATGTGACCCATAGCTACCAGAATTACCCACAATTAATAAATGGTTTGATGAAGAACGTATTTCCATTCCTGCAGTTGCATTTTCTCCACAATATTTACCAAGTAAGGAGAGGTATCATTTGGGCCATTGTAAATGTAGAGGTATGTATCGTTGCACTGTGGGATATTTAATATCGAGAATTTCAATGAGATAACAAACGTTTCTGCTACAGTAATTAGCCATGAACAATATTGAGAGTGCGGATCCATGTCGTTTTGTGCGATGTTGTGGGAAGATATAGAACCATTGGAACCACTAACTGAATCACGACAATCTAAATTATGAAAAAGAATGCAAGTAGGAATATGAAACAGAAACATTGGTTTGGAATATTCAAAAAAAAAAGAAGGACAATAGTATTACTCAGGGACATACGTAATTTAAAAAAATTTAAGAAAGAGCAAGACTTAGAATGGCATGCAAAGTACTAATGCAAGAAATTGTTAAATACGTCAAAACTATAATCAAAAAATTTATTTAGTATGAAGCCTAAATGCATTTCACACATAATAATATATAAAATTTGTAAATATAGTAACTAAACGGCCTCCTGAAAAGCAGATGCCTATATGAGCCCTGAAGAGCTACCGTTTTAAATATTTTCAATAAAATCAAAAATACTTACCTACGTAGTAACAATAGTATAATTTGGTGCGACCTAAACTGTCTGATTTATCTAAGAACACACAATTTCCAGAAAAACGATCATTATTGTTACTATCTTCCGTGTTAAATAAAATATACTCCATTTGACTTGTTGCCCATTTTACCATTTGACATTTGGGAGATGACACTGAATTAGATGTCAGCAAATAAAAAGGTTTGATAACAGGCAGATTAATGGAGTTATACCAGTTTCCATTTGTTTGACAACAATAATGAATAATAGTGTCTTTATCATAGGTGCCAAAAGGTAACTGTCCTCCCAGGTCATTTCTATTGTTTCTATCTTCATCATCCAATCTTACAAATCCAGAACTAAGACCATCAGGACAAGTGTTGCTCGACTTATAGAGACAATACAAACCTTTAAAAAAATTTAAAATGTATGTGAATTGATTGATATCTGTATGACGGAATTATTATAATTAGGATAACTGTAATTTAAGATGTTATAGAATTGATGGCTATGGTGATAGGTTTGTAATTAAATATATTTTTTCTGAAGATAGCCATAATATTTAGAGAGAAAGGTAGAGCAAACCATGAACAATAAATTCTTTCTCAGTTTTTGACAAATTTTATCACAAACGATCAAATGAACGAACAATTTATTTTTGAATTATGTCATATGGGAATTTTCATGATATGAATGGTCGCCCGTTATAAACAAAATACATGTGAAGTCCAGCTTTGTCTTTTAAGAAGTATGACAATATGCTCAATATGCACTTGTTCTTGCTGTCTTCATCCCTTCATAGATCAGAGACGAAGGCAAAACTATAAAAAATGACAAAAACCTTTGGGCCTCACTAACCTTTAGGCCAAGGTCTTGTTTCTTTGTTCATTTGATTCAACATACAAAATGTTCGATTGATATCAAATCTTTCATTTCTAATTGGAAAGGTAACAGCCATGTGATTTTTAGGTGACGCGATTGAACGTACTTCCTCATCTTCCATATCTTGGAACCTCCATCCCTCACGCCATCCACTTTTTGCATCACCAGGACATCCTGTTATAGCCTTCGGTATACCAAAGTTGCCAGTTGGCCATTTATTTTCTGTGAAAGAAAACAATTAAGATGAACTACATTTTTATATCCAGTTCTTAGCTTTATTTACCGAACAATGCCAGCTAATTCAGAGTTTATATGAGAGTTTTCCTTTTCAGCCCGTTTGTAATTTTAATAACTTGCTGAAATTTCATCAATTTATTGCAAAATTTTAACTTGACTTGCTGCATATTAACGTACGTGAAAACAATATCAATATAATTTGCAGGAATTCTTTAAAATGACGCCAAGGACAAATAAAATGTCTCTTCTTGTATCATCACAGAGTAGCTTTTGGCTCTTTTTGTGTCTGAAAGAATTTTAATTGTACACTGACTGATATATGAAATGGGTCATAGACTAAATAAAACATAAACTTTCGAATGAGCAGCATGCTGGGAGCTCTCTTGGATTAATTTCCTGCTAAACCAATTGGTATAGCATATACATTGTTTTGTATAAAACAAACCTTTAAACAAATAATGAGCAAAATACTGTGCTTGAAATCTAAACACATTTCTTGAATAAGATTCATTGCTACCAGAGTTACCCACAATCAACAAATAGTTTGTTGAAGAACGTATTTCCATTCCTGCAGTTGCATTTTCTCCACAATATTTACCAAGTAAAGGAGAGGTATCATTTGGACCATTGTAAATAATGAGAAATGTATGGTTGCATTGTGGGATATTTAATATCAAAATTTCAATGAGATGACAAATGTTTTTGCTACAGTAATCAGCCATGAACAATATTGAAAGTTTAGATCAGTTTCGTTTTGGGTTGTATCGTGTGAAGATATTGAGCCACTTTGAGCAGTGTATGTGCGAGTACAGCCTAAAGTAAATAAAAAACTTTACTAGTAAAAAATATCGGAAAATCAGTAGAAGAAACGCACTACAAAAGTTAAATAACTGCATATTCAGCGATTTGTAGAGTTAAATTAAGTACGAAATAACAAAGTAATATGATTATCATCATATATATATTCTTGATTCATTTGTAATGGCCTCGCAAATATTTCACAGTCAATAAATGTTTTATAACAACAAACCTAAAAGCTGAGCTTTGTAATATGCTTGAAAGGCAAACAGCTTTTGGATGTGACCCATAGCTACCAGAGTTGCTCACGATAAACAAATGGTTTGATGAAGAACGTATTTCCATTCCTGCAGTTGCATTTTCACCACAATATTTGCCATGTAGAGGGGAGGTATCATTTGGGCCATTGTAAATATTGAGAAATGTATCGTTGCACTGTGGGATATTTAGTATTGAGAATTTCAGGGAAATGACAAATGTTTTTGCTGTAGTAATAAGCCACGAACAATATTGAGAGTGTGGATCCATATCGTTTTTTGCTGTCTGATGCGATGAAATTCGACCACTGAGACCAGTGGTAGAAACCCGACAGTCTAAAGGAAAGAAAAGTTTCGTTCTTTCCAGCATATAAAGAGGTATTCTTGTTGAAAGTTAGAAATAAAATATTCTTAGCTGTATACAACCGATATTATAGCTATTTCGTCATCTTATGATTTATCGTAAGGAATAGTTCTAAATATATAGAACTTTATATTCATGTTTTCCACATGGGATTAAAGAAAATAGCGGCCGTTACCTTTGTAGTAACAATAGTAGAACTTTTGCGACCAGAACTATCAGAAGTATCAACAAAACATGATTTCCAGAAAGATTATCCCTATTATTGTCATCCTCCGTATCAAATAAAATATACTCCATTTGACTTTTGCCCACTTTACCATTTGACATTTGGGAGATAACAATGAGTTGGATGTCAACAAGTAAAAAGGTTTCATAACTGGCAATTCAATGGAATCATACCAGTTTCCATTTGTTCGACAGCAATAATTAATAGTAGTATCTCTATCATAAGTGCCACCAGGTAACTGTCCTCCTCGATCATTAACTCTTCTTGGCCAATCATCTTCATCGTCCCATTTCACAGAACCAGAACTCATACCATTTGGACAAACATTACTTGACTTGTAAACACAATATACACCTTTCAAAATAAACGTAGATATGCAGATTTACATTACAAATTTTAGTTGTCAGGATTCAGTTTGTCGTACATGTGTGTGCAAAATGCGATGAACAAATCTATGATGAGCAGGGCCATCAGCTGTTTTCGACAATTAATGAAACCACACGATCAGACCGACTTCTCTTTGAGAAAAGATCAGTTTCTCTAATACACGTTATCTATATTTCGTTTCTAATTAAGCTATGGTTGTTTTACTTTTTGGGACTTTTTAGAGGTATTAGTTATCCAATTCAGACTACGATTATCGCTTGGTAAATCCATCATATATGTAAATAGAAAGTAGCAAAGCTCACAGCTTTATAATTGAACACATGAGAAATGTGAAATATTCTGGCGTGAAAAGATTTTGTTTAAATGTTATTTAAGGACTTCAAGAAATATGTAGAATATGAAAATTTTAATGGCATTCTAATGGATAATGTTCTAATGAATCTAACACACAAAACAATGAAATATCATAAAAGTAGTCATTTCATTACATCTATATCTCGTGAAACCAAACTATAAACGCAGTCAATATGGAAAATAAACCAATACTAGGCCTTACCCGTGGCCAAGACTTCGAATTGTTGCTTATTTGGTCCAGCATACAAAATTTTCGTTCAATATCCATTTTTGATAGTTTAAACGTAACACCAAAGTGGTTCTTCAATGATGCCTTTGAACGTAGGTTATGATTTTATCATCATTCTCCATATCCTGCAACCTCCATCCCTCACGCCAACCACTATTTAAGCCACCAGGACATCCAGAGTATGTACTTGGCAAGCCAAAACTGCTGTTAGGCCATTGATCACCTGTAAAACACAAGCTTTATGCCATAGATAATAATAATCTCGTAAAACATAATATCTTATTTTGTTTTAATTTACAGGAGCAAACAACAACAACAAGAATAATAATAATGGCAAACACAACAACCACAGATGGAAATTTTGAAATAACACCTGCAACTGTTGACTCATCAGATGGAAATTTTGGTGACGGTAATGGTTCTACAAAAATAACGAAGTGTTACATTATTATGTCTTTATCGCATGTTAACCATAATTACGCTTATTCATTCACCAAGAAGATTAAAAAATACAAATTTACTTTACACCAATTTTTTTAATACTTTACTACTGTTTACTACTTCACACTGCTTTAAGAAAAAACTTTGTTTTATTTCCAATTCTAATTGGAAAACATTAGCGTACTTTTTACAAAATGTGAGATTTAAAATAAATCCTATTACTTATACACACCTGTTGGTATTCGTTGACTCCTGTACTCCAGAACAAAACCTGATTCACTTAAATTTGAAAACTTTTCATATTGTAATAAAATATAAATATTGTTGGTCGATGACAGCATTGTAATGTTGTTATAGACGTTTTTGCTGTGACGAAAAAATCTTCCCAGGACATGCGCACTGGAGTTCATTCCATCGTAAATAGTGAGAACGTCATTCCCAATATTTAAAGTAGTAATATTCAAAGCAATTATGTCATCCACATCAACAGTTATTAACCAAGAACAATTATAGCGACGAGGATAACCAACAGGACTATCAACTGGCGATTTTATGGTTCCAGAACTGGCAATGACGTCACGATGGCAGTCTATTATCAAAAATCGCAAAATTCACAGTTGTTAATTCTGCTGTTTTCCTATTTTGTTCAACATTTGAAAGAGTTTTTCTGGTTTATATTGTTTGCAAAATACGTTTATAAAAGGATCATGAGCAATGTGTAAAACCATAAATTAAAAATACAATAAAACCATAACAAAACAAACCTTCAAACAAACGTTGAGCACTGTATTGTCCACGAAAGGCAAACACACTTTTTGGATGTGACCCATAGCTACCAGAATTACCCACAATTAATAAATGGTTTGATGAAGAACGTATTTCCATTCCTGCAGTTGCATTTTCACCACAATATTTACCAAGTAAAGGAGAGGTATCATTTGGGCCATTGTAAATGTAGAGAAATGTATCGTTGCATTGTGGCATATTTAATATCGAGAATTTCAGGAAATGACAAATGTTTCTGCTACAGTAATAAGCCATGAACAATATTGAGAGTGCGGATCCATGTCGTTTTGTGCAATGTTGTGGGAAGATATAGAACCATTGGGACCACTAACTGAATCACGACAATCTAAATTATGAAAAAGAATGCAAGTAGGAATATGAAACAGAAATATTGATTTGGACCATTCCAATAAAATAGGACAATAGTATTATTTAGGGACATACGTATTTTGAAAAATTTAAGAAAGAGTAAGACTCTGAATTGCGTGCAAAGTACTAATGCAAGAAATTGTTAAATACATCAAAACTATAACCAAAAAAACTTCTTTTAGTATGAAGCCTAAATGCATTTCACACATAATAATATTATAAAATTTGTAAATATAGTAACTAAACGGCCTCCTGAAAAACAAGTGCCTATACGAGCCCCGAAGAGCTACCATTCTTAAGTATTTTCAATAAAATCAAAAATACTTACCTACGTAGTAACAATAGTATAATTTGGTGCGACCTAAACTGTCTGATTTATCTAAGAACACACAATTTCCAGAAAAACGATCATTATTGTTACTATCTTCCGTGTTAAATAAAATATACTCCATTTGACTTGTTGCCCATTTTACCATTTGACATTTGGGAGACGACACTGAATTAGATGTCAGCAAATAAAAAGGTTTGATAACAGGCAGATTAATGGAGTTATACCAGTTTCCATTTGTTTGACAACAATAATGAATAATAGTGTCTTTATCATAGGTGCCAAAAGGTAACTGTCCTCCCAGGTCATTTCTATTGTTTCTATCTTCATCATCCAATCTTACAAATCCAGAACTAAGACCATCAGGACAAGTGTTGCTCGACTTATAGAGACAATACAAACCTTTAAAAAAATGTAAAATGTATGTGAATTGATTGATATCTGTATGACGGAATTATTATAATTAGGAAACTGTAATTTAAGATGTTATAGAATTGATGGCTATGGTGATAGGTTTGTAATTAAATATATTTTTTCTGAAGATAGCCATAATATTTAGAGAGAAAGGTAGAGCAAACCATGAACAATAAATTCTTTCTCAGTTTTTGACAAATTTTATCACAAACGATCAAATGAACGAACAATTTATTTTTGAATTATGTCATATGGGAATTTTCATGATATGAATGGTCGCCCGTTATAAACAAAATACATGTGAAGTCCAGCTTTGTCTTTTAAGAAGTATGACAATATGCTCAATATGCACTTGTTCTTGCTGTCTTCACACCTTCATAGATCAGAGACGAAGGCAAAGCTATAAAAATGACAAAAATTCACTAACCTTTAGGCCAAGGTCTTGTTTCTTTGTTCATTTGATTCAACATACAAAATGTTCGATTGATATCAAATCTTTCATTTCTAATTGGAAAGGTAACAGCCATGTGATTTTTAGGTGACGCGATTGAACGTACTTCCTCATCTTCCATATCCTGGAACCTCCATCCCTCACGCCATCCACTTTTTGCATCACCAGGACATCCTGTTATAGCCTTCGGTATACCAAAGTTGCCAGTTGGCCATTTATTTTCTGTGAAAGAAAACAATTAAGATGAACTAAAATTTTTACATCCAGTTCTTAGCTTTATTTACCGAACAATGCCAGCTAATTCAGAGTTTATATGTGAGTTTTCCCTTTTCAGCCCGATTGTTATTTTAATAACTTGCAATAAAATTTCATCAATTTATTGCAAAATCAGGCTGGTTAACAACATTGACTTGCTGCATATTAACGGCATAAGTATGTGAAAACAATATTAATATTGTTTGCAGGAATTCTTTTAAAATGACGCCAAGGACAAATAAAATGTCTCTTCTTGTATCATCGCAGAGTAGCTTTTGGCTCTTTTTTGTGTCTGGGGAGAATTGCAATTGTGCACACTGGCTGATATATGAAATGGGTCATAGACTAAATAAAACATAAACTTTCGAATGAGCAGCATGCTGGGAGCTCTCTTGGTTAAGTTTCCTGCTAAAACAATTGGTATAGCATATACATTCGTTTTGTATAAAACAAACCTTTAAACAAATAATGAGCAAAATACTGTGCTTGAAATCTAAACACATTTCTTGAATAAGATTCATTGCTACCAGAGTTACCCACAATCAACAAATAGTTTGTTGAAGAACGTATTTCCATTCCTGCAGTTGCGTTTTCTCCACAATATTTACCAAGTAAAGGAGAGGTATCATTTGGACCATTGTAAATAATGAGAAATGTATGGTCGCACTGTGGGATATTTAATATCAAGAATTTCAATGAGATGACAAATGTTTTTGCTACAGTAATCAGCCATGAACAATATTGAAAGTTTAGATCAGTTTCGTTTTGGGTTGTATCGTGTGAAGATATTGAGCCACTTTGAGCAGTGTATGTGCGAGTACAGCCTAAAGTAAATAAAAAACTTTACTAGTAAAAAATATCGGAAAATCAGTAGAAGAAACGCACTACAAAAGTTAAATAACTGCATATTCAGCGATTTGTAGAGTTAAATTAAGTACGAAATAGCAAAGTAATATGATTATCATCATATATATATTCTTGATTCATTTGTAATGGCCTCGCAAATATTTCACAGTCAATAAATGTTTTATAACAACAAACCTAAAAGCTGAGCTTTGTAATATGCTTGAAAGGCAAACACGCTTTTCGGATGTGACCCATAGCTACCAGAGTTGCTCACGATAAACAAATGGTTTGATGAAGAACGTATTTCCATTCCTGCAGTTGCATTTTCACCACAATATTTGCCATGTAGAGGGGGAGGTATCATTTGGGCCATTGTAAATATTGAGAAATGTATCGTTGCACTGTGGGATATTTAGTATTGAGAATTTCAGGGAAATGACAAATGTTTTTGCTGTAGTAATAAGCCACGAACAATATTGAGAGTGTGGATCCATATCGTTTTTTTGCTGTCTGATGCGATGAAATTCGACCACTGAGACCAGTGGTAGAAACCCGACAGTCTAAAGGAAAGAAAAGTTTCGTTCTTTCCAGCATATAAAGAGGTATTCTTGTTGAAAGTTAGAAATAAAATATTCTTAGCTGTATACAACCGATATTATAGCTATTTCGTCATCTTATGATTTATCGTAAGGAATAGTTCTAAATATATAGAACTTTATATTCATGTTTTTCCACATGGGATTAAAGAAAAATAGCGGCCGTTACCTTTGTAGTAACAATAGTAGAACTTTTTGCGACCAGAACTATCAGAAGTATCAACAAAACATGATTTCCAGAAAGATTATCCCTATTATTGTCATCCTCCGTATCAAATAAAATATACTCCATTTGACTTTTTGCCCACTTTACCATTTGACATTTGGGAGATAACAATGAGTTGGATGTCAACAAGTAAAAAGGTTTCATAACTGGCAATTCAATGGAATCATACCAGTTTCCATTTGTTCGACAGCAATAATTAATAGTAGTATCTCTATCATAAGTGCCACCAGGTAACTGTCCTCCTCGATCATTAACTCTTCTTGGCCAATCATCTTCATCGTCCCATTTCACAGAACCAGAACTCATACCATTTGGACAAACATTACTTGACTTGTAAACACAATATACACCTTTCAAAATAAACGTAGATATGCAGATTTACATTACAAATTTTTGTTGTCAGGATTCAGTTTGTCGTACATGTGTGTGCAAAATGCGATGAACAAATCTATGATGAGCAGGGCCATCAGCTGTTTTTCGACAATTAATGAAACCACACGATCAGACCGACTTCTCTTTGAGAAAAGATCAGTTTCTCTAATACACGTTATCTATATTTCGTTTCTAATTAAGCTATGGTTGTTTTACTTTTTGGGACTTTTTAGAGGTATTAGTTATCCAATTCAGACTACGATTATCGCTTGGTAAATCCATCATATATGTAAATAGAAAGTAGCAAAGCTCACAGCTTTATAATTGAACACATGAGAAATGTGAAATATTCTGGCGTGTGAAAAGATTTTGTTTAAATGTTATTTAAGGACTTCAAGAAATATGTAGAATATGAAAATTTTAATGGCATTCTAATGGATAATGTTCTAATGAATCTAACACACAAAACAATGAAATATCATAAAAGTAGTCATTTCATTACATCTATATCTCGTGAAACCAAACTATAAACGCAGTCAATATGGAAAATAAACCAATACTAGGCCTTACCCGTGGCCAAGACTTCGAATTGTTGCTTATTTGGTCCAGCATACAAAATTTTCGTTCAATATCCATTTTTGATAGTTTAAACGTAACACCAAAGTGGTTCTTCAATGATGCCTTTGAACGTAGGTTATGATTTTTATCATCATTCTCCATATCCTGCAACCTCCATCCCTCACGCCAACCACTATTTAAGCCACCAGGACATCCAGAGTATGTACTTGGCAAGCCAAAACTGCTGTTAGGCCATTGATCACCTGTAAAACACAAGCTTTATGCCATAGATAATAATAATCTCGTAAAACATAATATCTTATTTTGTTTTAATTTACAGGAGCAAACAACAACAACAAGAATAATAATAATGGCAAACACAACAACCACAGATGGAAATTTTGAAATAACACCTGCAACTGTTGACTCATCAGATGGAAATTTTGGTGACGGTAATGGTTCTACAAAAATAACGAAGTGTTACATTATTATGTCTTTATCGCATGTTAACCATAATTACGCTTATTCATTCACCAAGAAGATTAAAAAATACAAATTTACTTTACACCAATTTTTTTAATACTTTACTACTGTTTACTACTTCACACTGCTTTAAGAAAAAACTTTGTTTTATTTCCAATTCTAATTGGAAAACATTAGCGTACTTTTTACAAAATGTGAGATTTAAAATAAATCCTATTACTTATACACACCTGTTGGTATTCGTTGACTCCTGTACTCCAGAACAAAACCTGATTCACTTAAATTTGAAAACTTTTCATATTGTAATAAAATATAAATATTGTTGGTCGATGACAGCATTGTAATGTTGTTATAGACGTTTTTGCTGTGACGAAAAAATCTTCCCAGGACATGCGCACTGGAGTTCATTCCATCGTAAATAGTGAGAACGTCATTCCCAATATTTAAAGTAGTAATATTCAAAGCAATTGTGTCATCCACATCAACAGTTATTAACCAAGAACAATTATAGCGACGAGGATAACCAACAGGACTATCAACTGGCGATTTTATGGTTCCAGAACTGGCAATGACGTCACGATGGCAGTCTATTATCAAAAATCGCAAAATTCACAGTTGTTAATTCTGCTGTTTTCCTATTTTTGTTCAACATTTGAAAGAGTTTTTCTGGTTTATATTGTTTGCAAAATACGTTTATAAAAAGGATCATGAGCAATGTGTAAAAACCATAAATTAAAAATACAATAAAACCATAACAAAAACAAACCTTCAAACAAACGTTGAGCACTGTATTGTCCACGAAAGGCAAACACACTTTTTGGATGTGACCCATAGCTACCAGAATTACCCACAATTAATAAATGGTTTGATGAAGAACGTATTTCCATTCCTGCAGTTGCATTTTCACCACAATATTTACCAAGTAAAGGAGAGGTATCATTTGGGCCATTGTAAATGTAGAGAAATGTATCGTTGCATTGTGGCATATTTAATATCGAGAATTTCAGGGAAATGACAAATGTTTCTGCTACAGTAATAAGCCATGAACAATATTGAGAGTGCGGATCCATGTCGTTTTGTGCAATGTTGTGGGAAGATATAGAACCATTGGGACCACTAACTGAATCACGACAATCTAAATTATGAAAAAGAATGCAAGTAGGAATATGAAACAGAAATATTGATTTGGACCATTCCAATAAAATAGGACAATAGTATTATTTAGGGACATACGTATTTTGAAAAATTTAAGAAAGAGTAAGACTCTGAATTGCGTGCAAAGTACTAATGCAAGAAATTGTTAAATACATCAAAACTATAACCAAAAAAACTTCTTTTAGTATGAAGCCTAAATGCATTTCACACATAATAATATTATAAAATTTGTAAATATAGTAACTAAACGGCCTCCTGAAAACAGGTGCCTATACGAGCCCCGAAGAGCTACCATTCTTAAGTATTTTCAATAAAATCAAAAATACTTACCTACGTAGTAACAATAGTATAATTTGGTGCGACCTAAACTGTCTGATTTATCTAAGAACACACAATTTCCAGAAAAACGATCATTATTGTTACTATCTTCCGTGTTAAATAAAATATACTCCATTTGACTTGTTGCCCATTTTACCATTTGACATTTGGGAGACGACACTGAATTAGATGTCAGCAAATAAAAAGGTTTGATAACAGGCAGATTAATGGAGTTATACCAGTTTCCATTTGTTTGACAACAATAATGAATAATAGTGTCTTTATCATAGGTGCCAAAAGGTAACTGTCCTCCCAGGTCATTTCTATTGTTTCTATCTTCATCATCCAATCTTACAAATCCAGAACTAAGACCATCAGGACAAGTGTTGCTCGACTTATAGAGACAATACAAACCTTTAAAAATGTAAAATGTATGTGAATTGATTGATATCTGTATGACGGAATTATTATAATTAGGAAACTGTAATTTAAGATGTTATAGAATTGATGGCTATGGTGATAGGTTTGTAATTAAATATATTTTTTCTGAAGATAGCCATAATATTTAGAGAGAAAGGTAGAGCAAACCATGAACAATAAATTCTTTCTCAGTTTTTGACAAATTTTATCACAAACGATCAAATGAACGAACAATTTATTTTTGAATTATGTCATATGGGAATTTTCATGATATGAATGGTCGCCCGTTATAAACAAAATACATGTGAAGTCCAGCTTTGTCTTTTAAGAAGTATGACAATATGCTCAATATGCACTTGTTCTTGCTGTCTTCACACCTTCATAGATCAGAGACGAAGGCAAAGCTATAAAAATAACAAAAATTCACTAACCTTTAGGCCAAGGTCTTGTTTCTTTGTTCATTTGATTCAACATACAAAATGTTCGATTGATATCAAATCTTTCATTTCTAATTGGAAAGGTAACAGCCATGTGATTTTTAGGTGACGCGATTGAACGTACTTCCTCATCTTCCATATCTTGGAACCTCCATCCCTCACGCCATCCACTTTTTGCATCACCAGGACATCCTGTTATAGCCTTCGGTATACCAAAGTTGCCAGTTGGCCATTTATTTTCTGTGAAAGAAAACAATTAAGATGAACTAGAATTTTTACATCCAGTTCTTAGCTTTATTTACCGAACAATGCCAGCTAATTCAGAGTTTATATGAGAGTTTTCCCTTTTCAGCCCGATTGTTATTTTAATAACTTGCAATAAAATTTCATCAATTTATTGCAAAATCAGGCTGGTTAACAACATTGACTTGCTGCATATTAACGGCATAAGTACGTGAAAACAATATTAATATTGTTTGCAGGAATTCTTTTAAAATGACGCCAAGGACAAATAAAATGTCTCTTCTTGTATCATCGCAGAGTAGCTTTTGGCTCTTTTTTGTGTCTGGGGAGAATTGCAATTGTGCACACTGGCTGATATATGAAATGGGTCATAGACTAAATAAAACATAAACTTTCGAATGAGCAGCATGCTGGGAGCTCTCTTGGATTAAGTTTCCTGCTAAAGCAATTGGTATAGCATATACATTCGTTTTGTATAAAAACAAACCTTTAAACAAATAATGAGCAAAATACTGTGCTTGAAATCTAAACACATTTCTTGAATAAGATTCATTGCTACCAGAGTTACCCACAATCAACAAATAGTTTGTTGAAGAACGTATTTCCATTCCTGCAGTTGCGTTTTCTCCACAATATTTACCAAGTAAAGGAGAGGTATCATTTGGACCATTGTAAATAATGAGAAATGTATGGTCGCACTGTGGGATATTTAATATCAAGAATTTCAATGAGATGACAAATGTTTTTGCTACAGTAATCAGCCATGAACAATATTGAAAGTTTAGATCAGTTTCGTTTTGGGTTGTATCGTGTGAAGATATTGAGCCACTTTGAGCAGTGTATGTGCGAGTACAGCCTAAAGTAAATAAAAAACTTTACTAGTAAAAAATATCGGAAAATCAGTAGAAGAAACGCACTACAAAAGTTAAATAACTGCATATTCAGCGATTTGTAGAGTTAAATTAAGTACGAAATAGCAAAGTAATATGATTATCATCATATATATATTCTTGATTCATTTGTAATGGCCTCGCAAATATTTCACAGTCAATAAATGTTTTATAACAACAAACCTAAAAGCTGAGCTTTGTAATATGCTTGAAAGGCAAACACGCTTTTCGGATGTGACCCATAGCTACCAGAGTTGCTCACGATAAACAAATGGTTTGATGAAGAACGTATTTCCATTCCTGCAGTTGCATTTTCACCACAATATTTGCCATGTAGAGGGGGAGGTATCATTTGGGCCATTGTAAATATTGAGAAATGTATCGTTGCACTGTGGGATATTTAGTATTGAGAATTTCAGGGAAATGACAAATGTTTTTGCTGTAGTAATAAGCCACGAACAATATTGAGAGTGTGGATCCATATCGTTTTTTTGCTGTCTGATGCGATGAAATTCGACCACTGAGACCAGTGGTAGAAACCCGACAGTCTAAAGGAAAGAAAAGTTTCGTTCTTTCCAGCATATAAAGAGGTATTCTTGTTGAAAGTTAGAAATAAAATATTCTTAGCTGTATACAACCGATATTATAGCTATTTCGTCATCTTATGATTTATCGTAAGGAATAGTTCTAAATATATAGAACTTTATATTCATGTTTTTCCACATGGGATTAAAGAAAAATAGCGGCCGTTACCTTTGTAGTAACAATAGTAGAACTTTTTGCGACCAGAACTATCAGAAGTATCAACAAAACATGATTTCCAGAAAGATTATCCCTATTATTGTCATCCTCCGTATCAAATAAAATATACTCCATTTGACTTTTTGCCCACTTTACCATTTGACATTTGGGAGATAACAATGAGTTGGATGTCAACAAGTAAAAAGGTTTCATAACTGGCAATTCAATGGAATCATACCAGTTTCCATTTGTTCGACAGCAATAATTAATAGTAGTATCTCTATCATAAGTGCCACCAGGTAACTGTCCTCCTCGATCATTAACTCTTCTTGGCCAATCATCTTCATCGTCCCATTTCACAGAACCAGAACTCATACCATTTGGACAAACATTACTTGACTTGTAAACACAATATACACCTTTCAAAATAAACGTAGATATGCAGATTTACATTACAAATTTTTGTTGTCAGGATTCAGTTTGTCGTACATGTGTGTGCAAAATGCGATGAACAAATCTATGATGAGCAGGGCCATCAGCTGTTTTTCGACAATTAATGAAACCACACGATCAGACCGACTTCTCTTTGAGAAAAGATCAGTTTCTCTAATACACGTTATCTATATTTCGTTTCTAATTAAGCTATGGTTGTTTTACTTTTTGGGACTTTTTAGAGGTATTAGTTATCCAATTCAGACTACGATTATCGCTTGGTAAATCCATCATATATGTAAATAGAAAGTAGCAAAGCTCACAGCTTTATAATTGAACACATGAGAAATGTGAAATATTCTGGCGTGTGAAAAGATTTTGTTTAAATGTTATTTAAGGACTTCAAGAAATATGTAGAATATGAAAATTTTAATGGCATTCTAATGGATAATGTTCTAATGAATCTAACACACAAAACAATGAAATATCATAAAAGTAGTCATTTCATTACATCTATATCTCGTGAAACCAAACTATAAACGCAGTCAATATGGAAAATAAACCAATACTAGGCCTTACCCGTGGCCAAGACTTCGAATTGTTGCTTATTTGGTCCAGCATACAAAATTTTCGTTCAATATCCATTTTGATAGTTTAAACGTAACACCAAAGTGGTTCTTCAATGATGCCTTTGAACGTAGGTTATGATTTTATCATCATTCTCCATATCCTGCAACCTCCATCCCTCACGCCAACCACTATTTAAGCCACCAGGACATCCAGAGTATGTACTTGGCAAGCCAAAACTGCTGTTAGGCCATTGATCACCTGTAAAACACAAGCTTTATGCCATAGATAATAATAATCTCGTAAAACATAATATCTTATTTTGTTTTAATTTACAGGAGCAAACAACAACAACAAGAATAATAATAATGGCAAACACAACAACCACAGATGGAAATTTTGAAATAACACCTGCAACTGTTGACTCATCAGATGGAAATTTTGGTGACGGTAATGGTTCTACAAAAATAACGAAGTGTTACATTATTATGTCTTTATCGCATGTTAACCATAATTACGCTTATTCATTCACCAAGAAGATTAAAAAATACAAATTTACTTTACACCAATTTTTTTAATACTTTACTACTGTTTACTACTTCACACTGCTTTAAGAAAAAACTTTGTTTTATTTCCAATTCTAATTGGAAAACATTAGCGTACTTTTTACAAAATGTGAGATTTAAAATAAATCCTATTACTTATACACACCTGTTGGTATTCGTTGACTCCTGTACTCCAGAACAAAACCTGATTCACTTAAATTTGAAAACTTTTCATATTGTAATAAAATATAAATATTGTTGGTCGATGACAGCATTGTAATGTTGTTATAGACGTTTTTGCTGTGACGAAAAAATCTTCCCAGGACATGCGCACTGGAGTTCATTCCATCGTAAATAGTGAGAACGTCATTCCCAATATTTAAAGTAGTAATATTCAAAGCAATTGTGTCATCCACATCAACAGTTATTAACCAAGAACAATTATAGCGACGAGGATAACCAACAGGACTATCAACTGGCGATTTTATGGTTCCAGAACTGGCAATGACGTCACGATGGCAGTCTATTATCAAAAATCGCAAAATTCACAGTTGTTAATTCTGCTGTTTTCCTATTTTTGTTCAACATTTGAAAGAGTTTTTCTGGTTTATATTGTTTGCAAAATACGTTTATAAAAGGATCATGAGCAATGTGTAAAACCATAAATTAAAAATACAATAAAACCATAACAAAACAAACCTTCAAACAAACGTTGAGCACTGTATTGTCCACGAAAGGCAAACACACTTTTTGGATGTGACCCATAGCTACCAGAATTACCCACAATTAATAAATGGTTTGATGAAGAACGTATTTCCATTCCTGCAGTTGCATTTTCACCACAATATTTACCAAGTAAAGGAGAGGTATCATTTGGGCCATTGTAAATGTAGAGAAATGTATCGTTGCATTGTGGCATATTTAATATCGAGAATTTCAGGAAATGACAAATGTTTCTGCTACAGTAATAAGCCATGAACAATATTGAGAGTGCGGATCCATGTCGTTTTGTGCAATGTTGTGGGAAGATATAGAACCATTGGGACCACTAACTGAATCACGACAATCTAAATTATGAAAAAGAATGCAAGTAGGAATATGAAACAGAAATATTGATTTGGACCATTCCAATAAAATAGGACAATAGTATTATTTAGGGACATACGTATTTTGAAAAATTTAAGAAAGAGTAAGACTCTGAATTGCGTGCAAAGTACTAATGCAAGAAATTGTTAAATACATCAAAACTATAACCAAAAACTTCTTTTAGTATGAAGCCTAAATGCATTTCACACATAATAATATTATAAAATTTGTAAATATAGTAACTAAACGGCCTCCTGAAAACAGGTGCCTATACGAGCCCTGAAGAGCTACCATTCTTAAGTATTTTTCAATAAAATCAAAAAATACTTACCTACGTAGTAACAATAGTATAATTTGGTGCGACCTAAACTGTCTGATTTATCTAAGAACACACAATTTCCAGAAAAACGATCATTATTGTTACTATCTTCCGTGTTAAATAAAATATACTCCATTTGACTTGTTGCCCATTTTACCATTTGACATTTGGGAGACGACACTGAATTAGATGTCAGCAAATAAAAAGGTTTGATAACAGGCAGATTAATGGAGTTATACCAGTTTCCATTTGTTTGACAACAATAATGAATAATAGTGTCTTTATCATAGGTGCCAAAAGGTAACTGTCCTCCCAGGTCATTTCTATTGTTTCTATCTTCATCATCCAATCTTACAAATCCAGAACTAAGACCATCAGGACAAGTGTTGCTCGACTTATAGAGACAATACAAACCTTTAAAAAAATGTAAAATTTATGTGAATTGATTGATATCTGTATGACGGAATTATTATAATTAGGATAACTGTAATTTAAGATGTTATAGAATTGATGGCTATGGTGATAGGTTTGTAATTAAATATATTTTTTCTGAAGATAGCCATAATATTTAGAGAGAAAGGTAGAGCAAACCATGAACAATAAATTCTTTCTTAGTTTTTGACAAATTTTATCACAAACGATCAAATGAACGAACAATTTATTTTTGAATTATGTCATATGGGAATTTTCATGATATGAATGGTCGCCCGTTATAAACAAAATACATGTGAAGTCCAGCTTTGTCTTTTAAGAAGTATGACAATATGCTCAATATGCACTTGTTCTTGCTGTCTTCACACCTTCATAGATCAGAGACGAAGGCAAAGCTGTAAAAAATAACAAAAAATTCACTAACCTTTAGGCCAAGGTCTTGTTTCTTTGTTCATTTGATTCAACATACAAAATGTTCGATTGATATCAAATCTTTCATTTCTAATTGGAAAGGTAACAGCCATGTGATTTTTAGGTGACGCGATTGAACGTACTTCCTCATCTTCCATATCTTGGAACCTCCATCCCTCACGCCATCCACTTTTTTGCATCACCAGGACATCCTGTTATAGCCTTCGGTATACCAAAGTTGCCAGTTGGCCATTTATTTTCTGTGAAAGAAAACAATTAAGATGAACTAAAATTTTACATCCAGTTCTTAGCTTTATTTACCGAACAATGCCAGCTAATTCAGAGTTTATATGAGAGTTTTCCTTTTCAGCCCGATTGTTATTTTAATAACTTGCAATAAAATTTCATCAATTTATTGCAAAATCAGGCTGGTTAACAACATTGACTTGCTGCATATTAACGGCATAAGTATGTGAAAACAATATTAATATTGTTTGCAGGAATTCTTTAAAATGACGCCAAGGACAAATAAAATGTCTCTTCTTGTATCATCGCAGAGTAGCTTTTGGCTCTTTTTGTGTCTGGGAGAATTGCAATTGTGCACACTGGCTGATATATGAAATGGGTCATAGACTAAATAAAACATAAACTTTCGAATGAGCAGCATGCTGGGAGCTCTCTTGGTTAAGTTTCCTGCTAAAACAATTGGTATAGCATATACATTCGTTTTGTATAAAACAAACCTTTAAACAAATAATGAGCAAAATACTGTGCTTGAAATCTAAACACATTTCTTGAATAAGATTCATTGCTACCAGAGTTACCCACAATCAACAAATAGTTTGTTGAAGAACGTATTTCCATTCCTGCAGTTGCGTTTTCTCCACAATATTTACCAAGTAAAGGAGAGGTATCATTTGGACCATTGTAAATAATGAGAAATGTATGGTCGCACTGTGGGATATTTAATATCAAGAATTTCAATGAGATGACAAATGTTTTTGCTACAGTAATCAGCCATGAACAATATTGAAAGTTTAGATCAGTTTCGTTTTGGGTTGTATCGTGTGAAGATATTGAGCCACTTTGAGCAGTGTATGTGCGAGTACAGCCTAAAGTAAATAAAAAAACTTTGCTAGTAAAAAATATCGGAAAATCAGTAGAAGAAACGCACTACAAAAGTTAAATAACTGCATATTCAGCGATTTTTAGAGTTAAATTAAGTACGAAATAACAAAGTAATATGATTATCATCATATATATATTCTTGATTCATTTGTAATGGCCTCGCAAATATTTCACAGTCAATAAATGTTTTATAACAACAAACCTAAAAGCTGAGCTTTGTAATATGCTTGAAAGGCAAACACGCTTTTCGGATGTGACCCATAGCTACCAGAGTTGCTCACGATAAACAAATGGTTTGATGAAGAACGTATTTCCATTCCTGCAGTTGCATTTTCACCACAATATTTGCCATGTAGAGGGGAGGTATCATTTGGGCCATTGTAAATATTGAGAAATGTATCGTTGCACTGTGGGATATTTAGTATTGAGAATTTCAGGGAAATGACAAATGTTTTTGCTGTAGTAATAAGCCACGAACAATATTGAGAGTGTGGATCCATATCGTTTTTTGCTGTCTGATGCGATGAAATTCGACCACTGAGACCAGTGGTAGAAACCCGACAGTCTAAAGGAAAGAAAAGTTTCGTTCTTTCCAGCATATAAAGAGGTATTCTTGTTGAAAGTTAGAAATAAAATATTCTTAGCTGTATACAACCGATATTATAGCTATTTCGTCATCTTATGATTTATCGTAAGGAATAGTTCTAAATATATAGAACTTTATATTCATGTTTTTCCACATGGGATTAAAGAAAAATAGCGGCCGTTACCTTTGTAGTAACAATAGTAGAACTTTTTGCGACCAGAACTATCAGAAGTATCAACAAAAACATGATTTCCAGAAAGATTATCCCTATTATTGTCATCCTCCGTATCAAATAAAATATACTCCATTTGACTTTTTGCCCACTTTACCATTTGACATTTGGGAGATAACAATGAGTTGGATGTCAACAAGTAAAAAGGTTTCATAACTGGCAATTCAATGGAATCATACCAGTTTCCATTTGTTCGACAGCAATAATTAATAGTAGTATCTCTATCATAAGTGCCACCAGGTAACTGTCCTCCTCGATCATTAACTCTTCTTGGCCAATCATCTTCATCGTCCCATTTCACAGAACCAGAACTCATACCATTTGGACAAACATTACTTGACTTGTAAACACAATATACACCTTTCAAAATAAACGTAGATATGCAGATTTACATTACAAATTTTTGTTGTCAGGATTCAGTTTGTCGTACATGTGTGTGCAAAATGCGATGAACAAATCTATGATGAGCAGGGCCATCAGCTGTTTTTCGACAATTAATGAAACCACACGATCAGACCGACTTCTCTTTGAGAAAAGATCAGTTTCTCTAATACACGTTATCTATATTTCGTTTCTAATTAAGCTATGGTTGTTTTACTTTTTGGGACTTTTTAGAGGTATTAGTTATCCAATTCAGACTACGATTATCGCTTGGTAAATCCATCATATATGTAAATAGAAAGTAGCAAAGCTCACAGCTTTATAATTGAACACATGAGAAATGTGAAATATTCTGGCGTGTGAAAAGATTTTGTTTAAATGTTATTTAAGGACTTCAAGAAATATGTAGAATATGAAAATTTTAATGGCATTCTAATGGATAATGTTCTAATGAATCTAACACACAAAACAATGAAATATCATAAAAGTAGTCATTTCATTACATCTATATCTCGTGAAACCAAACTATAAACGCAGTCAATATGGAAAATAAACCAATACTAGGCCTTACCCGTGGCCAAGACTTCGAATTGTTGCTTATTTGGTCCAGCATACAAAATTTTCGTTCAATATCCATTTTGATAGTTTAAACGTAACACCAAAGTGGTTCTTCAATGATGCCTTTGAACGTAGGTTATGATTTTATCATCATTCTCCATATCCTGCAACCTCCATCCCTCACGCCAACCACTATTTAAGCCACCAGGACATCCAGAGTATGTACTTGGCAAGCCAAAACTGCTGTTAGGCCATTGATCACCTGTAAAACACAAGCTTTATGCCATAGATAATAATAATCTCGTAAAACATAATATCTTATTTTGTTTTAATTTACAGGAGCAAACAACAACAACAAGAATAATAATAATGGCAAACACAACAACCACAGATGGAAATTTTGAAATAACACCTGCAACTGTTGACTCATCAGATGGAAATTTTGGTGACGGTAATGGTTCTACAAAAAAATAACGAAGTGTTACATTATTATGTCTTTATCGCATGTTAACCATAATTACGCTTATTCATTCACCAAGAAGATTAAAAAATACAAATTTACTTTACACCAATTTTTTTAATACTTTACTACTGTTTACTACTTCACACTGCTTTAAGAAAAAACTTTGTTTTATTTCCAATTCTAATTGGAAAACATTAGCGTACTTTTTACAAAATGTGAGATTTAAAATAAATCCTATTACTTATACACACCTGTTGGTATTCGTTGACTCCTGTACTCCAGAACAAAACCTGATTCACTTAAATTTGAAAACTTTTCATATTGTAATAAAATATAAATATTGTTGGTCGATGACAGCATTGTAATGTTGTTATAGACGTTTTTGCTGTGACGAAAAAATCTTCCCAGGACATGCGCACTGGAGTTCATTCCATCGTAAATAGTGAGAACGTCATTCCCAATATTTAAAGTAGTAATATTCAAAGCAATTGTGTCATCCACATCAACAGTTATTAACCAAGAACAATTATAGCGACGAGGATAACCAACAGGACTATCAACTGGCGATTTTATGGTTCCAGAACTGGCAATGACGTCACGATGGCAGTCTATTATCAAAAATCGCAAAATTCACAGTTGTTAATTCTGCTGTTTTCCTATTTTTGTTCAACATTTGAAAGAGTTTTTCTGGTTTATATTGTTTGCAAAATACGTTTATAAAAAGGATCATGAGCAATGTGTAAAAACCATAAATTAAAAATACAATAAAACCATAACAAAACAAACCTTCAAACAAACGTTGAGCACTGTATTGTCCACGAAAGGCAAACACACTTTTTGGATGTGACCCATAGCTACCAGAATTACCCACAATTAATAAATGGTTTGATGAAGAACGTATTTCCATTCCTGCAGTTGCATTTTCACCACAATATTTACCAAGTAAAGGAGAGGTATCATTTGGGCCATTGTAAATGTAGAGAAATGTATCGTTGCATTGTGGCATATTTAATATCGAGAATTTCAGGAAATGACAAATGTTTCTGCTACAGTAATAAGCCATGAACAATATTGAGAGTGCGGATCCATGTCGTTTTGTGCAATGTTGTGGGAAGATATAGAACCATTGGGACCACTAACTGAATCACGACAATCTAAATTATGAAAAAGAATGCAAGTAGGAATATGAAACAGAAATATTGATTTGGACCATTCCAATAAAATAGGACAATAGTATTATTTAGGGACATACGTATTTTGAAAAATTTAAGAAAGAGTAAGACTCTGAATTGCGTGCCAAGTACTAATGCAAGAAATTGTTAAATACATCAAAACTATAACCAAAAAAACTTCTTTTAGTATGAAGCCTAAATGCATTTCACACATAATAATATATTAAAATTTGTAAATATAGTAACTAAACGGCCTCCTGAAAAACAGGTGCCTATACGAGCCCCGAAGAGCTACTATTCTTAAGTATTTTTCAAAAAAATCAAAAAAATACTTACCTACGTAGTAACAATAGTATAATTTGGTGCGACCTAAGCTGTCTGATTTATCTAAGAACACACAATTTCCAGAAAAACGATCATTATTGTTACTATCTTCCGTGTTAAATAAAATATACTCCATTTGACTTGTTGCCCATTTTACCATTTGACATTTGGGAGACGACACTGAATTAGATGTCAGCAAATAAAAAGGTTTGATAACAGGCAGATTAATGGAGTTATACCAGTTTCCATTTGTTTGACAACAATAATGAATAATAGTGTCTTTATCATAGGTGCCAAAAGGTAACTGTCCTCCCAGGTCATTTCTATTGTTTCTATCTTCATCATCCAATCTTACAAATCCAGAACTAAGACCATCAGGACAAGTGTTGCTCGACTTATAGAGACAATACAAACCTTTAAAAATGTAAAATGTATGTGAATTGATTGATATCTGTATGACGGAATTATTATAATTAGGATAACTGTAATTTAAGATGTTATAGAATTGATGGCTATGGTGATAGGTTTGTAATTAAATATATTTTTCTGAAGATAGCCATAATATTTAGAGAGAAAGGTAGAGCAAACCATGAACAATAAATTCTTTCTCAGTTTTTGACAAATTTTATCACAAACGATCAAATGAACGAACAATTTATTTTTGAATTATGTCATATGGGAATTTTCATGATATGAATGGTCGCCCGTTATAAACAAAATACATGTGAAGTCCAGCTTTGTCTTTTAAGAAGTATGACAATATGCTCAATATGCACTTGTTCTTGCTGTCTTCACCCCTTCATAGATCAGAGACGAAGGCAAAGCTATAAAAAAAATTACAAAAAAATCACTAACCTTTAGGCCAAGGTTTTGTTTCTTTGTTCATTTGATTCAACATACAAAATGTTCGATTGATATCAAATCTTTCATTTCTAATTGGAAAGGTAACAGCCATGTGATTTTTAGGTGACGCGATTGAACGTACTTCCTCATCTTCCATATCTTGGAACCTCCATCCCTCACGCCATCCACTTTTCGCATCACCAGGACATCCTGTTATAGCCTTCGGTATACCAAAGTTGCCAGTTGGCCATTGATTTTCTGTGAAAGAAAACAATTAAGATGAACTACATTTTTTATATCCAGTTCTTAGCTTCATTTACCGACCAACGATTAACAATAACAGCTAATTGAGAGTTTCCCCTTTTCAGCCCGTTTGTAATTTTAACAGCACAGAATATTTCATGAATTTATTGCAAGTTGAAACTGGTTAAAAACATAGACTTGCTGAATATAAATCACTTAAGCACGTAAAAATAATATCAATACAGTTTTCAGGAATTCTATTACAATGACGCCAGGGACAAATAAAATAATTCTCAGTTTTGTATCATCACAGAGTAGCTTTTGGCTCTTTTTTGTGTTTGAAAAGAATTGTACTCGTGCACTCTCACTGATATATGAAATGGGTCATAGACTAAATAAAACATAAACTTTCGAATGAGCAGCATGCTGGGAGCTCTCTTGATTAAGTTTCCTGCTAAAGCAATTGGTATAGCATATACATTCGTTTTATATAAAAACAAACCTTTAAACAAATAATGGGCAAAATACTGTGCTTGAAATCTAAACACATTTCTCGAATAAGATTCATTGCTACCAGAGTTACCCATGATCAGCAAATAGTTTGTTGAAGAATGTATTTCCATTCCTGCAGTTGCGTTTTCTCCACAATATTTACCAAGTAAAGGAGAGGTATCATTTGGACCATTGTAAATATTGAGAAATGTATCGTTGCATTGTGGGATATTTAATATGGAGAATTTCAGGAAATGACAAATGTTTTGCTACAGTAATAAGCCATGAACAATATTGAAAGTTTAGATCAGTTTCGTTTTGGGTTGTATCGTGTGAAGATATTGAGCCCCTGTGACCAGTGTATGTGCGGCTACACCCTAAAGTAAAGAATAAACCTTCCTAGGAAAAAATATCGGAAAGGAAAAAATGTTGAAATAACGCACTATAAAGGTTAAATAACTGCATATTCAGCGATCTTTGTACAGTTAAATTATGTACTAAATAACAAAGGAACAGGATTATCATCATATAAATATGCTTGCTTCATTTGTAATGGCCTCTCAAATGTTTTACAGTCAATAAATGTTTTATAACGACAAACCTAAAAGCAGAGCTTTGTAATATGCACGAAAGGCAAACAGATTTTTTGGATGTGAGCCATAGCTACCAGAGTTACCAACAATAAACAAATGGTTTGATGAAGAACGTATTTCCATTCCTGCAGTTGCATTTTCTCCACAATACTTGCCAAGTAGAGGAGAGGTATCATTTGGGCCATTGTAAATATTGAGAAATGTATCGTTGCATTGTGGGATGTCTAATATTGAGAATGTCAGTGAGACGACAAATGTTTTTGCTGTAGTAATAAGCCACGAACAAAATTGAGAGTGTGGATCCATATCATTTTTGGCTGTCTGATGCGATGAAATTCGACCACTGAGACCAGTGATAGAAACCCGACAGTCTAAAGAAAAAAGTTTCGTTCTTGCCAGTAGACAAAGAGGCATCCTTGTTGAAAGTTAGAAATAAAATATTTTTAGCTGTATACAACCGATACCATAGCTATATGGTCATTTCACGATTTATCGTGACGAATAACAAACATGATTATAGAACTTTAAATTCATGTTTTCTACATGGAATTAAAGAAAATAGAGACCGTTACCTTTGTAGTAACAATAGTAGAACTTTTTGCGACCAGAACTATCAGAAGTATCAACAAAAACATGATTTCCAGAAAGATTATCACTATTGTTGTCATCCTCCGTATCAAATAAAATATACTCCATTTGACTTGTTGCCCACTTCACCATTTGACATTTGGGAGATGACAATGAATTGGACGTCAACAAGTAAAAAGGTTTCATAACTGGCAATTCAATGGAATCATACCAGTTTCCATTTGTTCGACAGCAATAATTAATAGCAGTGTCTCTATCATAAGTGCCGTCAGGTAACTGTCCTCCTCGATCATTAACTCTTCTTGGCCAATCATCTTCATCGTCCCATTTCACAGAACCAGAACTCATACCATTTGGACAAGCATTATTTGACTTGTAAACACAATATGTACCTTTCAAAGTAAACGTAAATAGGTAAGCTTAACATTACAAATTTTAGTGGTCAGGATTCAGTTTTTCCTACATGTGTGTGCAAATTGCAATCGACAAGTCTATAATGAACTGTGGCAAAGGCCGACTTGAATGATGAATAAGATTCGTGCGATGAAATCTTTCAGCAAAATGTTATTCATTGCATTAAAAGCTTAATTCTATTTAATAAGTGTTTGCAGTAGTTTTATAATAATTAGCATAAATGAATAAAATAGGATCATGTGATAATTGAGTATATAAAACAAAGAAATTGAAAATAAAAAAAGGGAGTTGTCTAAATCAAGCGGGGTCATACTATTAATCTTCTATAGTGTTCACTTTTTTTTCAGTAAATGAGCAAAAAAGGTTTCAGAGACTGTACTAGTAATACTTTTCCAGGATAGTTACGTATAAAAAATGAATATTCATTGCGCGAAACCTTTGCAAGGAAAGCAAATTCTGTTTTGTTCAACTGTTGCAAATGCTAAAACAAATATATTTGTCGTAAATCGTTACATTTCATGTCAGCCAAATGTCGCCTTATCATTTGCTTAAATGGAACTGTTGCATGCGTGCAAAAAATCAATATTATTATTGTGCAGGTGAACACTTAAGCTTTGTACAAATAATTAAAGGGATATCCGCTCAAAATCCACTTCATCATTAAGGCATACGTGCAAAATTTTAGAATGATTCTGATTGTATGAATAATTTTCAACGCGTTTTGATTCGTTGAAACCAGTCGCATGGTCGCAGGTGAAATTGGTTTGCCTTGATATTCAACATTCCTGAACGTCTAACCATATTTCCATTTGATCAACGTGAAAAAATCAGCTGTTTTTCGACGATTAAAGATTCCATTTGATCAGACCGACGTGCGTCTCTTTGACGAAAGATCAGTTTTGCTAAAACATATTACCTATATTTCGTTTCTATATTCAGCTATGATTCTCGTTGGGCCTTTCGAGGTATTAGTTATCCATTTCAGACTACGACTATCGCTTGGTCAACCATCATATATATAAATGGAAAGTAGCAAAGCCCACAACTTTAACCTAATTGCACGCATAAAAAAATGTGAAAATATTCTGGAAATAATCATTTCATTACATCTAAAACTTGTGAAACCAAACTATAAGCGCATTTATTATGGAAAATAAACCAACACTAGGCCTTACCGCGTGGCCAAGACTTCGAATTGTTGCTTATTTGGTCCAGCATACAAAATTTTCGTTCAATATCCATTTTTGATAGTCTAAACGTAACACCAAAGTGGTTCTTCAATGATGCTTTTGAACGAAGGTCATGATTTTTATCATCATTCTCCATATCCTGCAACCTCCATCCCTCACGCCAACCACTTTTCAAGTCACCAGGACATCCAGAATATGTACTTGGCAAGCCAAAACTGCTGTTAGGCCATTGAATACCTGTAAAACGCAAGATTTATGTCATATATTATTGTTTTGCCTTACTATATTGTGCAGGGGTCATATAATAATCGAGTTTATAATTAAATTTGTAATTATTTACGACGGTGAAATGTTACGTAACGCAAAACCTTAACTCAGCTTGTTGCTTACGTCTGCTTAGCATTAGTGATGGGCGATAACGCTAGTATCGATTCGATACGATACCGATTACTTTTTCTTAAAAGTATTGAGGTATCGATTACTAAAGCGATTACTTTCTCCAATTTCGAAAATAAACGTCTGAGTCACTTGATAAAGTCACTTATATACTTAAGCTATACGACGAAATGTTTATGTTTCTTGTATTAAATTACAAACTGTCATAACGTTATTAGGAGTAACGATAAATTTTCAGAAGCTGTATAAATTCGAATTGAAAAAATTGGTTACATGTTATTATTCTGAAGGCGAGATCTCAAAGTGTATTGATTACTAAAAGTGAATAAAATATTAAAATAATAAAACAGAAAAAAAAACATGTTTGTCAAAACAATTAATGAAAAAGAAGACAGATTTACATAATAATGAAATTTTAAAAGTAATCGAAGTCCTTTTTCGATACCACGCAGTATCGACTACGTCCGAATTTGGCCCGGTATCGGTCGGTATCGATACCAAGTAATCGGTAATCGCCCATCACTACTTAGCATAACGACTGCGCAAAGAAGTACACAGCCGAAACGTATGTTTCAGCTAGGTATTTGCGTGAATCAGGTTAGAACCTATCCTGAAATGTTATGTTAAGCAAACCGAAACGTATGTTTCAGCTAGGTATTTGCTTGAATCAGGTTAGGTTCTTTATGGTGCATGACTGAGCCGTAGTCATTAATTCAAAGCGACTGAAAATATGTATACTTGTTAGTAGACCTCGTTACCAACAATTTGACGAAAATTTCATACCCATCTTTGTGTTGATTAAATTTGTGGGCATTATGTAAAAGCTCTATTTATTTGCGCAAATCTTCCCTTTGTTCCGTGCAATTATAACGCTTCCATTCAATCCGTAACTTACACTTATACTAACACGTCGAATTTATATTAACCATAGTTGACCGACACATGCGCTCGAAGTCATCTATATCTTTTTGCGTACATATAAAATGTGTTTGAAATATCGCTTTCCTATTTTGATAGCTTTCCTCTTGTCGGGTCATTTGGATGAAATAAAGTGAGTTTATGGTGTTTGAACACATTTTCAAAATATTCAAATTCTGCACTTGTTGTCTCAAGAACAATACTAACTTGACCGTTGGCCTTTTTTTGAACCAAATTTTTCCCTTTAGGATTGTGTTAAAATATTGTTGAATTGAGAGGGACTCGTAGTTTTCCTGATTGGATAATCAAACACAAAAAAAATCTTAGTTGAAATTGTCACTGCTACGAGATATCATTAGTGACTTCATGGTCGACTGGCGAAATGTTAATATGAAATTATTTTACTTTAAATATAGTCGAATTTTAATGGTGCTGGTTGTCAATAAAACACCTGTATTGTTGAATCAAAATCAGAAATTGAAACTCCGTGCATTTCAGACAATGCTCAGTAAGATGGTTATACCAAGTTGATGTCTATGTTTTGGTGTACCATTTTACAATAATTTGTATTTTGGGCATTCGATTAGAAGCCATAGAAAATATTAAACAAATGAAGGACTCACCTGTTGAAACTGTAATGCACCATCCGAGAATCAAATAGGTAACAAGTAAAATGAACGCATTTGCCATTAGGAGATATTGTTGTTCGCACTTATCATAATTTAGTTTGGTGACAATGACCTGCTTACTTTCCAATTGCCATTTTTGAATAATTAATTCAAAACTGTTGCCGAATCGAAATCCGTCTAAAAATTTTACAGCGATGCTTGTCGTACCCGATTATGCACATACATTTTTGTGACATATGAAAATCATAATCACAATGTTTACACCATTCAAAACATTGTCGTGATACAAAGACGAGCATTGGATCGGATAGACAAGGTTTTCAACTAAACAGTAATAATGCCATTCACTATTTTTTACGGCATTGTCCGACGCACATCTCTCATGACGTCAATAAAAATGCAAACAATATTAAGGGCATTGAGAGATGTTTTTATGTACTCACGTAACGGAGCAATTGCAGCTACGAGCCTACGAAACAAGCGCTGTGTTTCAGGAACATGTAAATATGATTCCAGATATCCCAAAATGTTTAGAAAAAATGTGCAAAAAAGCTACAGTCTGCTATATCATGAGTTATGCACGTGGTATAGCCCTATTGAATGTAGATTTCACAAAATAGTGACAAGGAAGTTGCCAACGACATAAACAATGAAGCAGAAATGACAAAAACCATTGCAAAATATGCGACAAAACAAGTGAACTGTAAATTTTCGACTTTATTTCAAAGTCATCCTCAGACAGAATGATTTTTAAAACCATACATACACAATGAACATTGAAAAACTCATCTTAGATTGCTGCTACAAAACTGCCTTTTCTTTTAATAACACCATTTATACCCAAAAAGATGACGTTTCTATGGGTTCCTCATAAGGACCTGTCCTTGCTAATATAATTTTAACTGAATTTGAAAAATTAATAGTTTCCGATCTCATTATTGAACCACAATAAAATTCTACAACCGTTACGTTAATGACACGCTTGTTTTGATCAAACCCTCCAATATTTCCGCTGTCTTATCGAAATTTAATAGTTTTGATGCCAATCTCACATTCACAGTTGATACATTTCACGATGGCATAATTCATTTTCTAGATATAAAAATTTCGGTTGATGGAACTGACATTTACCGAAAAGACACCCACACTGGTCAGTATTCACATTTCTCTAGATTCGAACCTTTTCATCGAAAAATTGCATGGGTAAAATCTCTTTACCACCGTGCCTTCAAAATTTGTAGCAATATAACACTTTTCAACAATCAAATTGAAATAATCAAATCTTACATGTCTTGGAACGGTTATCCTAACAGCGTTAAAAACTTTTTCTTTAAAAAACTAAAATCCAAATACAATGATTATATTCCCATTGACAACCGCTCCTCAATAGATGATAATCTACCTAAAATCTGGGTTCGGATTCCTTATCTTGGCATGCGTGGCAATTTCCTCTTAAAGTCCCGTTTTAAGAAAATACAAAGACATTTTTATGAAAGAATGTTATATGCAGAGCGGTGTTGAAATTAAATGAAAATATGATCTTCGCATTTTGCTGGACAATTTAAGCAATTGTCTCATGAACCTGAAAAATTCAGGTGTCATGAAAACCGCAGAGGTCATGGGTTCGAATCCCGTTGAGTCACCTGAATTTTTCAGGTTCATGAAACAATTTCTTAAATTGTCCAGCAAAGAGCGAAGATCATATCTTCATTTAAAGACATCTTTCTCATCCGGTGAAATTTGTTACTATTTATGACACTAAACAACTCCTATTTTGTCTCTAACAAGCACAAACTTCCTTCACTTTCTTGCAGTAATCTTGTGTACGAAGTAACTTGCCCCGGCTGTGAAAAACCTACATCGGCATGACACTAAGATGCCTGTCTGTACGGCTCAAAGAACATGCACCAGGCTCTCTTCTTGTGCAGTTGGCCAGCATTTCTCTGACTGCGAAAACGCTCAATTCCTGGCTACTCTACAAAACCAGTTCTCACAACTCAATGATCTTCCTCCACCTCCTAGAACTCCCTCTCCGATAGAAAACCATGTATTCAACAACTATAAAATACTTCACTCAATCAAATCTAACAACTACCACATTCTTGCTTTTCTTAAAGCACTTCTCATCAAACACAACAAATCTTTTCTTAACACGGGACTTAAGGCTAGCAAAGAATTACAACTCTTCTCTTAAATTACAATACACTCATTCTACCAGTCCGGTCTGTAGTTTCCATTCATCCAATTGAAATACTACACCTCTTCCAACTCTGATTTTGTAAATATCACACTGTTTAATTTCTATTGCTTACTTCCGTTTATTTAATTCATGCGTTGTAAATATATATGTGTATGTATGGTTATAAATATCATTCTGTCTGAGGATGACTTTGAAATAAAATCGAAAATTTACAGTTCACTTCTCGTCTTGTTTTGATGCATATTTGCAATTTCAAGATGTCTTGCTTTTTCAGAAATGACAAATGAGCTAAGAATTGTAATAACGAGTTTGGCGATTTTGAGGAGCGAAACATTTACTTTTGCCTCAATTATTGACGATGTAACAGTTGAACAAGAGGAAATTTTGACTTGGTAAGCTTGCTCTCGCAGTAGTTTCGTTTTAATCGACATGCCTATGGGCCTCGTTCTATTAACCGTTTTCATTTAAAAGAGTTGACAACGAATCAACTGTGGAAAAGTCAAGATGCAAACGGAACCACTTTTTATTGGCAACGAGAATAAAATATGGAAACAAGGCGTTCTTGTTTAATATTGACAAGGTGCATTTTCGTGTAAACGTCCCTAATGAGTACATTGATAAGGGATATTTTGTCTATCAAACATGTTTATTTTTTTACGTTCATTAATGTCTTTTGCAATCTTTGGTAAACATAAATATATATGTACATACACAAGGAACTATTTGTTTCATAGATTGTCAAATAAATAAAACCTTTGTCCCATGCCCAGCATGACGTAAGGTTCTGTCCTGTCCAGGCGTATCCTTAAAAAATACAACGATTTTTTCTTTCGTTTCAAAAAAATTTAGCGTCCCGGTATTTGACTCGTTTCCTCCCGTCCACAAGTAAAACTGTGTGAATATTTATTCTTGAATTGCAGAATTATCTTAACAGAATTATTTGACAATGTCGCTCAACCACAACTGCTGGTGCCCATAATAGCATTGATTAAATATTTTTTTATAATTGAACCACCAGCATGGTGGCCGTGACGTAACATACGAACCATCTATTATAATGTTCCACAGCTCAACAAAATAAAGCATGGTTAGCTTGTACGAGTGGAAATGGTTCAGTCAAACGCTATAGCAGATCAAAGGTTAAGCAAAATAATTGTAACCTCTAATTTTAAATTTAAAATACCTATTTTACAATGCCATAATTTTTTCATTGCTTGTCAAGTTCCAACAAGTAAAATTTAACCAATCATTGGGCTGTAAATTATTTTGCGTATTCTTGACTTGCAATTCAGCCATGTTGGTATAAAAGAATATTTTCTCTGTGTTATTGTTGGCACCAGCCGACGTGAGCGTGTAACATTGTTTTTTAAATATTATGTTTGTTAAATATATCATAAGAATGGGTGCAAGTCAAGAATAGCTGGATCATTGCATGCAAGGGAAAATGTAAATTTGAATTGTTTATTTGGAGTAAAATAGCCAAGCCCTTTTGATTTGCCATTCTAGAATAGTCATCATTTATTCGACCAATTCATTAAATTCAGATGAACCAGCAAACAATCTTTGCAGAATTCAAGTTCCTTTTTTATACACTTCAATGCAGGATGAAGATACAATCCTATTATACATTTTTTTATTATTTGCACACTTGCAGAACGGAGCAGCTCAATGCTGAAGCATTCTTGTAGCTGATAATCCATAACGTAATAATTACGAAACAAAAAAGTATTTGCAATTTTATTTATACAAAAAAATAAAAATTTTGCTGTTTTTACCATTTCGCTCGGGCATCTTTTGAGTTCAGTTACCCAAAAAACCCCAAAATAGATCGAAAATCAAATTTTGTTACACAGAAGAACCCGCATTTCGCCAGTCTAATGTTTATCGACCACCTGCCTTTTCCGAATTTTTTTTTTACAGGAATCACCGATAATTTTTTGAAGCCAAATTTCCCACCCACCCACGCGAGATTACACCCAGGCACGCGTGTGTAGTTCAATCAATTTACAATCAGCGAGAGAATCTCGAAACACTAAACACGCGTGTCTGGGTGTAAGACTTGGCTTCAATTATTTGTTTTAGATAGCGTTCTATGTATTTTAGTTCATAGGTGGAAATACAAGTAAGTAAATTATCTCAAGGGATCTGCAAGGGAAAAAAGACCGTTAAACTGTTGTGTTTTTAGTTTTTACTTCAAGAAGCACAGACAGATGTTCTCGTAAAATAGATTATAGCTCTTCAATTTTAAGTTCAAAGTACTTCCAGAAAAACACAATTGGTTTTAAATTTCAAAAGATTGATTTTACCAATGGATTTGCCTTCAAGGTGCTTAGAAATGTAAATATATGCAAAATTTTCTGCAGTAATTTATTTTGAGGTACCCTAGATTCGTCACCGAGTTCCTTCAATTTCAAAAATTCAAGCTCTGAGCAATATACTCTCATATTTTCAGCACAGAAATTCTCTTAAATTCTATTGATAATCAAACGTTGACATGTCTTCTAATTTTTGTGCATCCAGGCAAATGTTACTTTGCTGTTAAAACACTTTCCGTGTTGTTTTACAATTATAATTAGACAAGCAACTTTTCTCTGACTGGGAGCTTTATAAGTCACAATTTGAGACCTGGGATAAATGCGAAATGTTGGATACAAAACATAGTCACAGAATATATGACTGAGTTACGTCTTTTAAAAAATAGGTACGAGTGCGTACAAGTGGGTATTTTAGATTAAAACTATACTAAAAAAAATACAAACTTTATTGGTGATGCTTCTTGACTAACAGTACATCGAGTGAAAACAATTCTATAGTATATCGAACAAAAAACGATACTTTATCACGCAACGTTTAATAAAATTTAATACACTTCACAACAACCCAACCTCCAAGAATGAACCAATAGTAATCAAAATTATATCAATTTGAAATACTTAATAAATGTTTCGAATACTTTGTTCTCATTTCGATGCAGTCCTAATTCAACTCAATCACACTTTATATACAAAATATGGAGGATCTTATTTTAATGATAAAAAAATTCGCTAAGATTATAAAGCGTACGCTACTGCGTGTAATTTTGTGCAAAAGTATTCCAAAATAGGTGGCAGAAGTCTATTTTGGAATACATCGACTTTTTGTAGAACTTCTTTGCTAAATAAGAGAGCGAGGGAACTCTCTAATTTAGTTAGAATATTCCAAATACTCATTGATGTGCACATTTTTGTGTTAGTGTGTTTAGATGTGATTTTGCTACAGATGTTTAAGCTTTTGGTTTAGTCAAATCTTCAATTGATCATCTGCAAACACCGATCAAAGAATTAAAGTCTACGTACGTTTCTATGATAGCATAATGTCTAAAAACGAGTAAAAATATTTGGCTACACTTACCGTAAGAAACGTTGATTGACCATGATGGGCTTCTTCGTTCTAAAAGAGACACAAGCAACAAGATCGTTAGATATGATGAATGATAGAAACACTTACAGCCCTGACTTCCACTTCTTAGATCTTCTTGTCCTCTGCATCTGAAAAATACTAAACGGGGAGTAGCGGTATGTCAATACAAACAAACAGACAAACAAACTAACAAACAAAAAAACAAGCGCATACCACAGTTTTAATCCGCAACTGTTGCCATGTAAGAATAACTGAAAGATTAATAGAAAAACATAATCATGACAAACTGTCAAAGACTAGGTATTTTTTACAACCAGTGCTTGCAGAAGATCTGTTAAAATTTTGGTTGAAACTCGTACTTTAGGATGATTAGCTGAAGACAGCTGTAAACTGCAAACATTTGCAGGAAAGACTTACTTCGATGTCAAAGAAAATATTTGCGTTCACAATGTTTCAATTGCTATTTTGACACTGTTATAACATCCCTCAATGTTATAGCAATGCCAAATATAGGTACAATAAATTCCCTGAATATTTAACCTCGACAGCTTGTTTGTTTAACAGTAATCAATTCAAATTCAAATAGATCAAACAAAGTTTGCAATACTCTGCCAGCGTAATGCAATTTCTTTTTTTAACTTTTTAGATCAATTTTATATCAAATCCTATTTTAATGTGACATGCATGCAAGATCCGAACATTTCAACATTCCCAAGAAACTTCTCCATATACAAATAGACACTGAAGTATGAAATGAGAGCATTATTTCATAGAGATATGGAAGAGATTATCTTCTGGACACTCGGGAAATATTGATATCGATGGAGAGGAAGGATGTTTTGTATCGCATGATAATCTATTTCGTCCATTTGCAACACCTTGACGAAGACTTTACAATCTAGAAAAATATAATAAATAAATCATGGGAATATCATCGTGTTAATAACTAAATATGTCCGTTATGTAAGCATCAACTGTCTATATTTTCCACAGATATTCTTGGTACTGTAATATGGCATTTTATCAAATATTTTAGCATGTATGTTCAACATCATAGTTTTTGTTTCTTTCAAATGATATTTTAAGAGTTGTTATGACATCACTCATTTTGCTGTTATCTTTCCTCTTTATCTTCTGTGATTCTCAACCGTTCATATTGTGATATTCACGTTCTAAATTATTTAGTTTAAAACTGAATTTCTGAGCTGATGGTTGTGTTTGAAAGCATGGCACCAAGAGTATAATTTTGATGTCTGTAGTGCATTTTTTGTGCACTGCCAAAGTTACACAAGAAAGTGATGCCTTCATTTGACCCGTCTTACAAGCACTCACAGTAATACTAAAGTAAAATATTTAAGTTCACAAAATGGAATAAGCACCAGCAAAGTGACGATGATTGAAGGATTAGCTTTGACATACTCATGATTAAAGCAAGACTAACTATTGATGAACAAAAGAAAATTCCGGGTTTTTTGTAAAAAAATTAAGGTTTTCACTCATGCTTGATGACCCCCTCAAACCAGACGAGGAATTGATGACTCCAGTTAATAACTATCGACTATTAGACATTAATTGCTTTACAAATACCTACTTTCACTAAAATGATTTAAATTTTCCCATTCGACTGCAACGTAAACCTTACCACGACATCTTCAGAGTCGTAATTTAGATATTACCACCAAGTACTCATGCTTTAACAATAAGATCTTGCAAACGATCCATCAAGTGTCACTATCCACGTTCCTTTGGGATTGACAAATGACTTCTCTTCTCCTCAGCCAAATTAAAACCATGGAATTAGTCTAGATAGACTGTACCATTTTTCCTATTTTCACTACCAATAACTTTCCCAAGCCTTTCGTCAACACAGCAAAAATCTTGACTTCTACAGCTAGACATCCTCACCAGACAACTATCAATCAGAAAACTGCATGCAGGCAAGTTGTTCAAAAATATTTATCTCCATCCACCTACAACATCCGAATATATGACTGGTTTGAAAAGCAATGAAAAACAATACACTACAATACTAATAAATCTAAAGAGCGAGAGGTATTGTTTTATAAACCTAATGTGAAAACACATTCATTAGTTGGTTTGGAACCATTCCCCTGAGAGTGAGAGAACAATTGAATGCTCGCCATGTTGGATTACATTTACATTTAGGTTAACTGAAGGGCGCAGGCCACCATCAAAGAATATATTGTATGGTTTTAATATAATGGCTAGCATGCACAGCAGCTACCAATCAAAATCATTTGTTATCCCGGGATGTGATGATTTGAATGGCATCCCTCATAAGCACCTTGCAGACGAACAAATTTTCTATGAAAAATACGCGCCAGCCCGTGTGTACAGGCAACAAACTTTTTACGATAAATTTTTAAGTAGCGAATTTTCTTTGGCCATCTGGACGTATCAACATATCACATTTGGTTAATTTGTCATATTATCTTTGTAGACCCTACAAACAAACAAAATCAGTCATGTGGCAAATTTTGTATGACATGCTAGATTTTGAATGGTGAATTTGTCAAAGAAAACTTGGCTAAAAGTCTCAGACGGTCAAATGACATTTGCCACATAAAAATTTGTCCAAAAATTTGGTCGTCTGTAAGCGGCTATATTGTTGTCTGTGAACAAGAAGCAGAGTTACCGTGCCCTTCCCCATTTAGACCCCTTGCTATGTTTGCGTTTAGCTGGCAGGCAGATCAATCCTAAGCAGATGCGTAACTAGAACGTTGATTGTGTGAACGTTCGAAAGTAATCAATATGGCACAGCGAAATATATGAATATGCACCCCACCCCCAACTAACATTCTAGTTACGCCTCTGATCCTAAGAGAGGTTGCCGGTTTTTGCCAGTGTTGTCTAAGAGCACTCAAAAAAAATCTGCCTGCCAGCAAAACTTAAACAAAGCAAGGGATCCATTTGTGTTGTTTTCTACAATGATGAGGTACTTTGTATATATGGCGACCGAACCTATCCTTTGGCTTTAGGTCTTCACAATTAAACCCTTTACTTCCCAAGTTTTTTGTCCCTTTGAGTTTTGGATGGTTTCCTTGATGTTGTCATACGGCAACGCTGGGAGACAAAGAGTTAAAAGGCCAATTAAAACCCACATCATATCACATGTAACACACGTGACAAAGTGCTGTCGTGCTTGCTTTCCTTTAATGCTAAAATGATAAATAAGCAATCGCAAACGTCGTAAGAAAAAAGAGATATATACGTACAATGACATTTCAGCTATAGAAGTATATTATTTATGCAATGATTTATAAATAATGTTAGTAAGTTTTGAATTATTCATCGTCAATTATTGTACAATTAAAAAAGTTGAACTAGTAATTTATTGCACGACAAAAATCCAATTCAAGACGTTTAGTTGTTTAAAACCAAAAAATCGTCAAGCGTCAGTTAAAAAGGCCTGACCATATCATGTAAACCTATGTACGAAAGTATCCAAACATACGCCTGTATTCTAAAAGCTTACTCACACTCACAGTCATTGAGTGGGGCTTTAAAATCGCCTCATAACTTACTCCACAAATTACTTTTCCATAAATCTTGCCATCGATGGAGAAATAAGTTTGCGATTGATTTGTGAAAGAAAGATCTCTATATGTCGCACTCAGTGAGTGTGAGTGAGCAAAAACGAGCACGCTATTTTACGTAGAATGTTTTTCTATAAGTGACGTTCATTAAATGATACGATTATACAAGATTTCGATTAAGACCTCTGAACAACCTGTGCTCTACGTCAAATTTCATCTGTTTGATAGAATTTCTCTATTGGACATTCATACATCGGGCTCAGTGTAAACAACCTCTTGATTCTGAGATGTATCGGGTTCGGCATACTCGTTAGAGCCCCCGGGGGAAACTCCTGCAGCATACAGCGGATTTTTACTATCTGCAGCTCTGTATTCATTTACGTATATAGAATGATCATCTGTGGAGGAATACAAAGCTGTCGACTCCCCATCATCAGCAGGATGATAGATAGGATTTCTCCCTTCCTTACATATTTTTGAACCGGAATTCCATATTTTCTCTTGAGGGGATGATGGAACAGCGTATCTACAATAAAAATATGTAAAATACTATTTTTTGGTTAAAAGTTGTGGAAGAAAGTTACTTTGATATTTTGAAGTGTGGAGTGAAGTTGCTCATCTGACAAAGGCTTTATGACTTAAAGGAGATATTCCAAAGTTAAAATTCTTGAGATGCAAGTCTCACTTAATCCTTTCATACAATATACTTCTCTGTTTAAATGAAAATATTTTCTTACTCGGTGGATTCGTCATTTTTGCTCTTTGTTCTGGTTTCCTTCCTAAAAAATTTTAAAAAACTGGATTTGAAAATCGCATTGCCATTTTCATGGCAGCTAAATATCTTTGATGAAATTTTGATGAAAAGTATATGCACTAGTTTTCTTACCTAAAACTATAGGATAGATTCGTGGCAAAGAACGTCTTGTTTGTTCCGATCCTTTTCTTTCTATAATCAAGAAGACCATATTATATATTATAGAAATAAAAAAGTTTTATATGTAAATACAAATATGACTGTCGATAAAAGTAAGACATAAGAAATAACACAGCTAAAAGTACATATACTCTCATATAAACACTTAAAGGCGTTTAATGAGAATAAATTCACCAACCTTATTAAGAAGATGATTACAATAACAACAATCACCAACACAAGCCCTGCAATAACAACAGCAACAATTATGTACGTTGTTCGTTGATTCTCTCTACTTTTTGCCCTTTTTTCATGGTCTTGTGTAGTAGAAGCAAAGGTGAAACTGCTGGGTAACGTTGTCGTCTTTCCTTCTTCTACAATAATATGGATAAAAGTGAGTAAAAATGAACAACTATTTTCCATTGCTACAGAGCAGTACATATTCAAACCAGGTGTACTATTACATAAGCACTACAATATCTTTAATTGTAAAACATGATTTTTCTAAGTTCCACGTTTATCCAATTGTGGAAATATGTCTTACAAAATAAATCAATATTTAACTTTTGTTTTTAGCTGATGTTGTAGCTAAGCTAACTTTATTTTTAGCCGTTTTACCATGAAACTACATGTTTATTTATCAGTCCGCCAATTTTACGTTTATAAAAAGTTGGGAAGAGTTTAGCACTACTACCACACGGTTCCGTCGCCCTATGAAATAAGCGATTGAGAAATTGGATTTGAATGAATGAGAAAAAAAATTAGCACTTCTAGTTTGCAATAACTCTGGATTACGCATAGCCAAATCCATTTTTTTCTGTTACTCGCAAAAAACTCAAATATACAAGCATGTTCATAATTTATCCCTTTTTGTCTAATGATTGGCGTAGCCAGCCTCAAAACTTGGAGGGTGGGCATCATTCATATATTGGTATCTGTAATAACCATTGATTTCGAAAGAAAATATTAAAGCAGAACATTCGTATGTAAACACGATTGAATGTAAAAAAATGGAGTTTAACTATCGGCGATCAATATTGCTATATTGTCATAGAAAATTCTGTTGCACTAGGTATCAACCATGCATACTTAAAATATACATATATGGTCTATCACGTTTTCATCGTTTTGAACAAGTTTTTGATTAACCTGTTGGTCTTGGTTGATTGTTGTACTCCAAAACAAAATCCGTTCTTTTATAATTAACAAACTTCAGTAAAATGTAGATACTGTTGGTTGATGACACCAGCGATGTGTTGTACTTGGAGTTTTCAAAATATCTTCTCAGGAGAGGTGCACTGGAATTTATTCCATCGTAAATTGTGAGGTCGTCATCACCGACATTTAACATTGAAAAATTCAACATAATTATGTTATCCACATCAACAGTTATCAACCACGAACAATTTGAGCGACGAGGATAACCAACAGGCGTGTCAATTATTGGTGATTTTAAGGTGCCAGAATTTTCAATGACGTCGCGATGACAGACTAACGTTAACAAAAATTTGAATTTTAAGATAATTTTATCTAATCATCCTGTTGTTGATAATATAAAACTAAACAGGTCCTAAAATTGAGGACCTTTGCAGTATAAAGAACAATGAACAAATCCCAAATCATTCGCCTTTAAAATCATAAATAAAATTGTACGATAATAGTTTTTGGAACTCTACTGAAAGTTTTTTATTACACCAGTAGGAATCTCTTTTTCTTTTAGTTGATAAAAATAATTGTGTGCACGGATACTTTGAGTAAACACAATGCTTCCTATGTTTAATAAAAAGTTTGAGAAAACATAATAGGTAGGAGATCAGTGCACCCTTAAATCATTCCCATCTTAGCATAAGTACATCCATATATGATGAAATATTTTTTACTTTAAGACTCTGTAAAATCTATTCATCTCTAAGACAAAAAGTGGAAACTTGACAAAGTAGCCTTAAGAAAATGATTGATCTGTAAACTCTCCTAACGTAAAACTCTACCATGTACTCTACCATGTACTCTACCATGTACTCTATCATGTATTCTACCATGTATTGTACCATGTACACTACCATGTATTCTACCATGTACTCTAGCATGTACTTTACCATGTACTCTACCATGTACTCTACATTGTACTCTACCATGTACTTTACCAAGTATTCTACCATGTAATCTACCATGTACTCTACCATTTACTCTACCATGTACTCTACCATGTTTTCTACCATGTACTCTACCATGTTTTCTACCATGTACTGTACAATGTAGCTAGCTTACCATTTACTCTACCATGTACTCTACTATGCACTCAACCATGTACTGTACAATGTAGCTACCTTACCATTTACTCTACCATGTACTTTATTATGCCTTCTACCATGTACTCTACCATATACAGATGTACTCTACCACAATTACAAACACAACTTGTACTTTTTGATCAAGCAAAGCATTAAATATATATTATTTTTCAAATACACAACGACAGTAGCGGATCTAGGGGTAGTCACAGCGAGCAGAAACGAGCAAAATAAATTAAAGCTGCTTAATTTTAAATTCAAAGTACTTTCAGAAAAACACTATTGGTTTTGAATTTCTAAAGAATATAATTTCACCAATTATATAAGAATATAATACCATCCTTGTCTCTGAGAGGCTTAGAAATGTAAATATATTCCAAAATGTGCAGCAGTAATTTATTTTGACTAACCCTAGATCCACCACTGCACACCGCACATTATTGTTTGACAATGTATACCTCCGAGCAATTCTAATAAATTTTTAATTAGCGCAATTAACGGGCGTTTCCCTAGATATTTCTTTCCCTTTTCCTGCGCACCCTATACTTAGACAACGCATATCGGTATAGTTTCCTTTAAATATTTATGTGTGATGTTTAGCAGTCAACTCATATTTAACTCGTTTGACTTTTTGTGGAAACAAGCATACATCATACGCACGTAGAGCATTTACAAAATTGAAAAAGAAACTTAAGACAAAAAATGCGCGCATATGTAGCTATCAGCACACGAGAGGTCATGTTTTGATATATTATAACATAACAAAACAAATAAGAACAAACCTTCTGCATGCTCGGAATTATAATCAGCATGAAAGTCAAACACACTTTTCAGACGTGAGCCATAGCTACCAGAGTTACCCACGATAAACAAATAGTTTGTTGAAGAACGTATTTCCATTCCTGCAGTTGCATTTTGTCCACAATATTTACCAAGTAGAGGCGAGGTATTATTAGGACCATTGTATATAAAAAGAAATGCATCGTTGCATTGTGGGATATTTAATATCGAGAATTTCAGGGAGATGACAAATGTTTCTGCTACAGTAATTAGCCATGAACAATATTGAGAATGTGGATCCATTTCGTTTTGTGCAATGTTGTATGAAGATATTGAACCACTGGGCCCAATCAATGAATCACGGCAGTCTAAAGTAAAGAAACAATTTCCAATTGGATGAATCTACGTAACAGAGTTTCACTCAGTGATTGAATCATTTCTCTTTATAATTCTAACATTTAAAATTTTCATAATTACTTCAGAAAATACTGTTACCTTTGTAATAACAATAATACAGCTTTGTACGGCTGTTATATGTAGCAGAAGTGTCCTCGAACACGTGATTTCCAGAAAAATAGTCTCTATTGTTATTATGCTCCGTATTAAATAAAATATACTCCATCTGACTTGTTGCCCACATTACCATTTGACATTTGGGAGATAACAATGAACTGGATGTCAACAAATAAAAAGGTTTGATAACTGGCAATTCAATGGAATCATACCAGTTACCATTTGTTTGACAGCAGTAATAAATTCTAGTGTCTCTATTATAGATGCCGTCAGGTAAGTATCCTCCTTTTTTATTTATATTGTACTTGTTTTCATCGTCCCACTTCACAAAGCCATGACTCATACCATTAGGACAGATTGTATTTCGTGACTTGTAAATACAATACGTACCTTTTATAAAATAACACAAAAAGTATCAAAATATCAGACATTTATTCCAAAAGATTGCTAGAGTTAAGGTGAGTTAGGATTGTCACAAACAATAATGTATGTTGTTACAAGTATTGAAACCATGGTGTGACGCAAAACGCGTCAGAAATTGTCACATGTTCAGAAGATGGCAACAACAGCGCAAACTATCCCGTAATTCCAAAACTTTGGCAAGTTCCAGAACAAAAATGAGTTTTATAATTATATATTGTATTATGTTCTCCCTTTTCCCGACCGTTTAAAACAGTTTCAAAACCGAGGAAAATTGAGTTTGGGAACTTGGAAAAGTTGACCATGTTCGCTTATTAGATGTGACCGTGTCTCGAGTCCTTTTAAAAGCTTGTTTTGACTGCTGTTCTTCTGCTTTAAAATGGACTTTAAAAGCTGAGAAGCTGATATCCTGCAGCTGCATTAATGAAACGTTGAATATAAAATATAAATTAATTGCTAATTTTATATTTAATCATTTAAAACAAAAGAATGCGTTAAAATACAATTGTTTAAAATCATCTGACAGAAAACCAATTAATTTGTTTTAATAAAAAGTCCACGAAATAAAAAATTAATCATCAAATTGATTAAATTATTTGTTTGAATCGACCATATATATTATGGTTGTTTGACAAAAAAAATAACCAATAAAATTTGCTCATTACGATCAATTAAAGTTTTGGTCAAAACGACCATATTAAACGGGTTCTCTCAGATACATAGAAACAACCAATTTTTTTCGTCATTTTGACCATTTTTTTAACCAATAAAAATTGGTCGTTTCAACCAATTCCATTTCTTTGGTCAAAACGATCATTTCAAACTGGTTCTCTAAGATGCATCCAAACGACATATTTTATGATGGTCATTTTGACCAATCTGTTTTACAGTATATGTGGCACCTTTTGATGTTCCCTCAAACAAAACCTTTCTCGGAGCGAATTACAAAAATCTATAGCTTGAAAAACAGGTACAAATCTCCCTTAATTCTCCCTTTGGTCCGCTTCTTGCTTCCTAGACTTCATTATAGTTGATTAGTTCTCAAGGCATGAGCAAAAAAGATAGATAGTTGGGGGGGAAGAGCTCATGTTCATATATCCATGTTATGGTTACTCTGTAAAAGACATTGGATTTCAAAAGATATTTAATACGGAAGATCACTCTATATGAATATTGGCCAATCGATAGCTCAAAATATACTTACTACAACAATAGCAAAAAAGTAAAACAGACACTAACCCTTGGGCCAAGATCTTGTTTTCTTATTGATTTGGTTCAACATACAAAATGTTCGATTGATATTTATTCCTGAACGTCTGAATGGAAAGGTAACAGCCATATGATTTTCAACTGACGCTACTGAACTTGGATATCCATCCTCCATATCTTGGAACCTCCATCCCTCACGCCATCCACTTTTCCAATCACCAGGACATCCAGTTTTAGCTTTAGGTAAACCAAAGTTACCACTAGGCCATTGATTGTCTGAAAAACAAAAACTGCTCAAGGGACTTCTAATTTCTTTAAACTAAGGCACAAACGTAAGCACATCTGCTTTTTTACATAGATCTTTTAACAATTATCTCAGGATACAAAAATGTTTTTTGCTAATGGGGTCTGACTTTCCTAAAGAGATCCCTATGAATTAACGCATTTTTAAGTTGTATGTGGTTTTGCATCACTTCGTTTTCACACGCTACTGTAGCTACTTCGGAAGAGAGGATGTGGTCCTTTGCGTGCAAGCATGCATTTATATTAACAAAATTGTGCATCGTCCAAATTCCAACACCGTAGGAGAATGCGCGTGCACGAATGTTTTTTAGTGTATTGACGTTTTTTTAGTAGATTTTACTCCTGAATCTCAACTTTAATGCAACAAGAAAAACTGATGAACGAACTTCGCTTAGACACCATCAAATACCGTCACAGCCCCTACAAATACAAACTACCAATTCTCTCAAAAGCGCGAGTTTACAAACGAAATTAGCGCAAACCACTGATATGTATGCGCAAACACACACAAACACCAAATTTCGGGGATGAAATTTGAAAGCTAATTGCCGCTTACTTTAGCAATGCGGCACAATAATCAAGTATGGCAATATAAATAACATTACAATATAGCCTATTATGCAAGTTGCTCTGTTCGTCATTCATGTTGGCAGACAAAGTGTCCGTCCGGATAAACCTAAAACTTAGCTAGTTTAATTTTAATTTTTATCAGAGCTAATAGCCTAATAGTTTGTCCTAATTTGTCTTTTATAGCCCGATTAACGAACAAAATAACAAAATTTCTCCCAGTCAGTCCAGACGATGTATCGGTGTAGTTAGTACATAAACAGTAAACACAGCCAAAGACTTGCCATACGCGCACGTTCAATTAAATTTATGAAGACCATGAGAGTTGTATTTTTTATAAAACTAAGCAAGAAGTTGAACAGCTTCAGTTTAGAATAAAAAGGAAAGAAACATCGTGATGGGAGACGCTACTACCACCATCCGCTGTAGTTATTGAGAACAATACATATATGCAATGCATATCTACAATATATTTTTACACATTCAGTGTTTAATTTGATGTTTTTAATGAAATGAAAGATATAACAGACGACCATCTTGCATCGCATCAAAAATGTTAAGCAACAACCCAGCACAATCGTTAGTAATAAGTATGTTTCATATTGAAACACTTCTCGGTTAACATGATGCCAGTGAAAGGTTGACAGCACACAGTAGAAATGTAAAATGATACGTTACCATCGTTAGCAAAATTTCCAGAGTCACACCATGATGTTATAAGCACCAGGATAAAATATCGACGATAAAACATCACAAATCGTCCTCCAACAATTAAATTATTTCGGCTGCAAGAGACACATTACGCTTTGTCTTTGTTTACGACGTATGGTAATTCAATCACAATTCACAAATCACAAATGACAACAGGTCAATATAACAAGTGGTAGCCTGCTGCGTCAGTATCAACGGTTGAAGGATAGAAAATTAAGGAGAGTGAGGGATAATAGATAAAGAATAATCGACTGCAAAAAAGTGTATTTGTTTAGGGAAGAAAAATATCACGATATTAGAGGTGAAATTGAATTCGAAGTGCGCGTCGTATTTCATTTTTATTTAATCAATTAATATCCATACTCAATTTTCATATCAAATGGGAGGTGGGAGCAATACAATGGTGATTGTAGGGAGTATTCTGTGACCATGACTTTTTCATAAGTTTTAGTACATAGAGTTGCAAATTGAAATCAGTTGCAATACAGAATTGCTCATTTTGGAGATGAGGGAGAAATCTGACAAAAGTATGTGTAGAAAAATGCTATTTGTTGCACAATACTATTTTTTGTAATATAAAAGCTCAGTGATACTGGCTAATTTTGCCGCCTATCCTTGTTCCTGTCGGAACTACGTCACTGGCTTTGGTTAACTGCGGAACTAATAGTTACAAAAGGCTTTTATCTTGGATTTACAAACAGAACTTTTGATAGATGGAAATTAAGCCTATGAGAGTAACTATGACGCAATTTCCTCAGTTATCTTCATTAAAACTTGGCTCCAAAACTCGGCAACACCCGAAATTTTAGCACACAGTTACATTAGATTGACTGGTCAGTGTAAGCTTTAGGCGACAGATAACAGATCTAGCCAAACTAAGCAAACGCAAATGCAAACTCAATAGCTCTAGACCTTTTATTCATTTCCTTTCAAAGTTTTTATGCTTTCAAAACACGGAATCGTGGTTTGCTAACTTCAGCACCGTCACACTCGTGAATAATGATTCTTACAGTGAATGAATGTACAATTGACGAGTGCCAATAATAAGCAAATTTAATGTCTCTCATCTCACTACGTTGCTCATTGGCGTCAATCCTGTCTTAATTGAGGGGGGGGGGACCATATTCATATATTCTGCTATGCCTGGCTAATTTCTTTTCAAAACAATTTCATTTTCAAAAGAAATCAGCCTGGCATAACAGAATATGTGAATATGGTCCCCCCCCCAATTATCGCAGGATTGACCCCCTCAACAACTGAGTTGTTTCGACATCGATCATGGGAGAAAATGTTTTCAATTGAATCAACGAATACCCTTGAACTCTAGATTGTTTTGAGAAACCTTAAAGAAGATCGAACCCTAGATTGCTGCAACTGGACTCCAACATTTTCAATATCCCGTTGAGTTAATTGAAATTGGTTTGAACTTCGACGAAATATAGCCAGTTTTATCACACTCAGCCTTCTTCTAAAAGCTCGCTCGCACTCACACTCGCACTAACCGAGTCGGCCTCCAAATAAACTTACAGCTATTCAAAGACTATATTGTTACGATGTTATCCAACTTATTGTTTAATACAGGCCGTAAGGAATGAGGAAATAAGGAATCGCCCAATACAATATTGCCTCGCCTATTGTTTAGTCTCAGACCGCTAACATAAAAACAAGAAATGCAGGCGCGTACGATAAAAAGGATCGCTGATGAGAGCAATCTAGTTAATGTCGTCATTGTCATGTTACCTCGATCTATTACATTTCCTATACTTAATTCATCAGTTTGTGGTGTCGTTCAAACTTCAATGAGGTAATCGTCAGTGCCTCGCAGTCTAAAAAAAAATTTCGAACTATAGTTACTGTAATCTAAGTTCTCTCGACAAATAACAATTTCAACACATTTAGCTTATATTTAATTTAAGAGAGTGACGACAGTGCAACTGATGAATTCGTGTTACTGATTGATTGATGTATGAACTTTATATAACCTCGGAAACTCAGACCTCTTTTATTTAACCCCTGCCACGAAGCCGACGTCCAGTGTATCGCGTGAACCCTAAACGGGATGCTGGAAAAAAACAATGAGAAATAAACGCACCACATTACAAATTGCACATGGTATGAGCATGAGCCCTAATGTCAATGTATTTGTGATATGAAAAGTTCGATGTTTGAAATGAACCTAATTTAAGTGGCGACTCGTGTAGATATATATAACCTCAATGCGTATATAGCTCATGCACTTTCATAATCGGTTGGGTTTGTCAATTATCATTACGTAAGTAACTAAGCTGTGATGCACAAATCAAAGCCTTATGGCAGTTTTTGATGAATTTCAAATTTCTCTTTTGCCTTATCTTATCATTACCATGTTAATCACTTTCAACCATTGTCTAAATATATAGGTGTAAATCATGCTGTTGATTAATGCTGATTGACCTTTAACTGGATTGAAATTGAGCATGATATGACTGTTTCCAGCACGTGTTGGAAAAATTTCTAAAAACAAGTAATCTACATTATCAAGCAGTTTACGTCTATAACACGAAACATAAAAAATCTCAACTAGTTTCTTTAAGTTCACTTGTTCTTGTTACAGTATAGGAATAAAATAATTATCAAATTACTTGTGTACACGTGAAACTAAATGAGAAATCGGGCGTGATAGTCAGTAAAATTTATGTTTACATTAGAGGTCACATGACCAGCTGGTTTATTATCATTTGTGACTATTAATGACATATCGCATTTTTCGTGGCTTCAATTGACCACAGTCAGTCGATGCCAGTCATTGCTATCGACCGAAACGTAAGAAAAGTGTGAAGACATTGGAAAAAGGAATTTGTGCTCTTTTTTAAAGGTAAAGTATAATACCGTGGCTGTGAAGGTTTTAAGTAATGAAAGCTTAATTCTTAAGTGCTTGTTCACCAATAGATGAACACTTGTTGATCAAGACAAATTCTGATGTTTAGTTTTTTCATGATTGTGCTGTTGTACGTAGTTCTTAAGTATTTTTACGAAGTTACATAAACAATCATATTCACAGACAGACGGTATAGTCCATTGTCCGTAATACATATTAGAAGCGTTTAATTTAATAAAGTAATTCTGATCTTGGTTGGACGTAATACAATGAGACAAACACTGGTATGAAGCGATTTCCACACTGTGACACCCTGTTAAACAATGCACTATGACATCTCCCTTGCTGACGTTGCATATCAAAAAAATTGATTTTTTTCTTCGAATTGCCATTCAGGTCATACATTCTCACTTATATCATTGCTCAGGCAAATTTCATGTCAAGACAAGTATTTCATTTCCGCACGCGTCGTTTGTCATTTAGTGACTTGTGATAATAAGCGAAGATATTTTGCACAATTGTCCCATCTATGTTCATTCCCAATTGTCCCATGTTCATCGCATGATTGGTTTTACTGCTCATGTTTGCTGTTAGCGGTGTGCTTGTAGCTATTGTGGAACCATGTAAAGGCAGAAATGTGCTGAAAAAACAAAATAAATATTCGGTCGTTAAAAACCATTTACATTTCCGTAAATCTTACTTTAATATTATCAAATTACTTGTATCTATTCCCTTCATTAATAGAAACTATATATTTTTAATTAATCGATCATATATAATTTTTACGGAAAACCAGTCATTTTTCCAAGGCTATGTGACAGCAGATGGCGAAATAAAATATATCGATCCCTGTATAGTTGTGCAGTTGGTAACCATAGATTATTTATGGTGCTCAAGTTTCAGAGCCCATCGATAAAATCTTCAGTGTGTTAGCTACGCGATATATAAATAAAATAAATCACAAAACGTTTCTCAGTGGAATGTATTCCGCACCTAGACAGTACTGTATTTCTAAACTATTCTCACGGGATAGCATAATTGGCTTGAAAAAACACTCAACACAGGAAAAGAATGTGTTGTGCAGATATGCCATGTTGACCCCTGGGTAATACATATTGATCATGTGTAGACCGGTTCTTGTTCATGCTGTGTTAGATAACCTCTCCTGAGGAGTTAATTCTTGCCCTCGGAGAGCATTAATGGAAGGAAATGTTTATTTCGTAGATTGTACTTCTTTCATAATAGAAATGCTGACTAGCATGCAGTGTATCGTACTGCGTGCATGAGCTAATTGGGCAATAATATGTATATGGTATTCATAAATCATCCACCTATTACATTCTTAACTCGCGTGATACGTTGCCACGATTGAGTAAAATCAGAGTATGTGCAATGATTAAACTTGCGATCGGAATAAGCCCACCAAACGTCTATTAAGCAGAAAAAGACACTTTGAATAAAATAACCGGTTGTTGATAATTTACTTAACATAGCAATACAGAAATCGAGTTAAGAAAATTTCTTTACAACCAAGCATGAAATGGTCAGTGACTCACTGGACCATTTCTGTATCTTTGCAACTTCCTAAATTCAGAACTTTCGACTTTAACTTTAATAAACTAAAATACAGCAAGCCAAAGTAAACCAACAGCCTCATTGTTTTGATAAGAAGGTTTTGATGTAGTTTTGCAACTAATTCTGAAATTTCAGAAACCCTCGCTGATTCAAAATGGCAGACTCGCAGAAGTTGGAGAAGTACCTTGAATTAGATCAAGGAGGGAATGTTCAGGTTATGTACGTATGGATTGATGGGACTGGTGAAAACCTTCGTTGCAAAACGAAAACAATGAATTTTGAGCCTAAGAGACCAGAAGATTGCCCGATATGGAACTTTGATGGATCAAGGTAAATATAGCAGTACGTCACTAAGTACAATGAAAAGAAACGTTGGCAGTCCTCGTTCCTCTACCTTCGCACTCGACTGCACGCACTTCAATTTGTTAACAATCTTTCTTACTTCAATTTTGTAATGTAGCACTGGCCAGGCAAGTGGAAAAAATAGCGACGTCTATCTACACCCTGTTGCATTGTTTGCAGACCCTTTCCGACGCGGTCCTAACAAACTGTTGTTGTGTGAGACGTATGATTTTGATAAGAAACCGACAGAAAGTAACTGCAGAAAAAGTTGTAAAGAAGTAATGGAAAAAGTTAAGGTAATCAAATAAATCACAAAACATCACGTTGCGTATGTATACGTATAGCGAGAAACGTTTCTTGGAGAGGATTAGGAAATGAATTATTGGATTAGAATTATTGTTTTCTGGACTATATTTTTCTTAAATTTCAGTGTTTTGCTTTTGATAAAGACATCATGTAAATAATCTACACGTTTATAACGATTTCTTGCATCTTACGTTGATGGTCACGCAACAGTAATCATTTAGTATTGAAATGTGATGTAATCGAGAAGGGTGTAGTGATGACGGAAACAGTAACTGCTGTGAATGTTCGAAGTCTCATTTATCGTGAACATAATCCTCTTGATTTTTGTGTTGCGTTTAGAAATACGAATTCATATGGCCATGTATAACCGCTAAAAAACATAATTCCTCACATAACACATAATTTGACAATTCATTGCAAAATATTATGCGATTAAAACACTTCAACACTATAGACATATTCGGGTCATTATTTACAGGACGCTCATCCGTGGTTCGGCATTGAGCAAGAATATACGTTACTTGACACAAGCAATCACCCGTACGGCTGGCCCGAGAGTGGCTATCCTGCTCCACAAGGTCCTTATTATTGTGGGGTTGGTGCTGGTAAAGTGATGGGAAGAAATATTGTCGAAGCTCATTACAGAGCTTGCATGTATGCTGGAATAAAAATCGCTGGCTCAAATGCTGAAGTCATGCCCTCTCAGGTTCTTTAATTCAAACAAGTCCTAATACACATATCATAAAACACTGATTTTACGTATTTCCACAAGCTATGCAAAATATAGCATTGCTATACGTCATTTAGCCAGCTTGCAGTTCCAGACTCGCTAAGTCGGGAAAATTTGAACTGTTCAAAGGCTATACTTAATCAGATATTCCCACTCGTGTCTTGAATGAAATCTCACAGTGTGCATTTAACTGTTTACAGTGGGAGTATCAAGTTGGTCCGTGTGAAGGGATAGAAATGGGGGATCATTTATGGATGTCAAGGTACATTCTGCTTCGCGTAGCTGAAGAATTTGGTATTTGCGTCACCTTCGACCCGAAACCGATACCTGGTGACTGGAATGGTGCAGGAGCACATACTAATTTCAGGTAAACTATTTCAAGATTAATCAATTGTATTAATGATTACGGCGTGGAAGTAAACTCCCTTCATAAACCTGCATAAACCAATCTTACCATATATTTAGTACCATTTCCATGAGAGAGAAAGGTGGTCTGACGCACATTTACAAAGCGATTGAAAAGCTGTCCAAAATGCACGACCTCCATATAAAGTCATACGATCCCAAAGACGGATTGGACAACAAGCGACGACTGACAGGTCGTCACGAGACTGCGGATATTAATACCTTCTCCAGTGGAGTTGCAAATCGCGGAGCTAGCGTACGCATACCTAGGCAGTGCGCTGAGGATGGTCATGGTTATCTAGAAGACCGTAGACCGGCTGCAAATGCTGACCCGTACAAAGTGACAGAGAGAGTTGCTAGAACCGTTTGCGATGTTTCTAATTAAAACTGAATGAAATTTATAAACTTTTTACGGCAGGTTGAATTAGGATAGATAAGGTTTGATTTTACTTAGATATATTTCTTAGATATATATGCGGATTTTCCTTTATTATGTTTTATAGAAACTAACTATGGTAATGCTGGAATTCAATTAACACTACAATCCATATAGCAAAATTTACGTTCGGCGCTCATATACTAGGTTAACAACTCCATGTCTTTAATTGGTGTGATTAGAATTCTCATTGATACTAAATCTGGTATAATTAGCAAGCAGAATCAATAAAAATCTGGTTGACTTAAATGCATGTCATTAAAGGGTGTTTCCATTTTATTACGGGACAGGTCATAAAAAAATTTCAACCATATGTTCATTAAGAACATCTGGGCTATAGCTATCGGCGAGTGTATAAACTGTCTTATTAATCTGATAACTGAAATGCATGCCACCTTTCTTCGTGTACGTTCAATAAAAACATCTGGAATTTATTTACCGATGTTTTTTCCACAAATTACTAAGTCAATCATTGCAAAATTATACGAATTGCTTTATTTAATGAGAATTTTACGAATATTATCTGTCAACATCAACACCTTGTCCCCACTCTAGCTGGCATATTGCATGTTTAGAAGGGCGAGGAGAAATTTCAAAAATAGGTACAATGTGCGTACATGTGATGTTGGTAAACTCTACAAAGTAAAACTTACCATGAAATATTCAAAATCGTAATTTAAGTATTTTGCCCAAGTATCCATGCTCCGACACCATGGTCTTTCGAGACTATCCATCAAATATCTTTGTCCACCATCTTTAGGGATTGACACATAACTCCTCTAAATGTTAAAACCATAGAATAGTCTATAGCTGATCTTTTCAACGTCACTACAAAGAACTTTTCATCATGACATCAACACGGGGAAAATCTTAACTTCCACAACTAGACATCCCTCACTAGACAATTATCAATCAGAAAACAGCATGCAGGCAAGCTGTTCAAAAATATTTGATCTCTATCTACCTGCATGATCAGAGAATATGATTAGTTTGAAGAGAGATATTGGTTCATTAACCCAATTTTAAAAGACATTCATATAGGTGGTGTGCAACCCTTTCCCTGGAAGTGAGAGAACAATGGAATTTTTGCCATGTTGGTTGACATTTGCATCGTAAATAAGGAAAATGCTTTGTTAAAATAATCCAACATGGCGGCCATGACGTAACTTTCATACCAAAAGCGGTAAATCTAGAGCTATTTACTGAGAAATGATCATGAGAACTATAAGTGCAAATGAAATATCTTCGATTATTTCGAAAATTACAGTACATTGTTTATGCTACATCCAATCCAGAAAGATCAATCGATCACATCACATCTGCCATAAACTTGGCGTCAATCGAACGTTAATTGAAACTTGAAGGTGGCAGGGGAACCATATAACTACATTCTTGTATGGCAGGCTGAATACTTTTGAAAGTGACATTATAAAGAAATTGTATTGTAGCAAATTTTTGCCATTTTAATTTTTTGACATTTTTAAGTGTTAATTACAGTTTTCTAATATTGACTACTTTAAAAAAACAGTTGTAAACCGTATTTTCGTGGTCGAAACAATACTTCACCTCAAATTTTGTAGCAACATTAGGCCTTGGACGCCTAATCTTAGTTAAATTATCTCTAATGTGTGAGTACAAAAGAAAGAAGAAAGTTATAGGACACATACCTGCATAAGCTTTTTAATGGAAGACGCTGAATTTTAACCCAATAAATTTCTTGTTATTGGAAAAAGTGGGGACATGCCAGCCCTTCCCCTGCCATAATGCTGTCCATGCACTTGCATTTGTATTTCATTCCCACAGCTGCACAGCAGCTACGTTTATTTAAATTCGTCTGCCAACTCACCTGAAATGATCGTGATGAAGTCTGAAGTCTGAAACAGATCCTGTGACGATAAACTAAATGCGCATGCGTCACAGCACCAACTGGTCAAGTCGACAAAATATGTCCTCCGAGTTCCGACTTCTTGAGATGTCTGATGATATTATAATAGTCCTTCTCTTGTAATTACGTGTTTGTCGGTGAATCAGCCATGGTTTATTTTGAGGATAATTTTTGGGTATGTGATAAAATAGCTCTATTTTCTTTCTTCATAAAAGTTTTGAAAGTTGATTGGATTGTTTCGTTGTCAGTGTGTCACCACCGAAATAAAGACGATCGGTATCGATATACTCTAGGGAGTCATACTTGAAGTAGTCTATAACATAGTTTGTATACATTTTTAGGGCGAGAAAAACAATGGCTATGATGTTCTGTATCATGCAATGAAACATAGCATCCATGCCAGTCGAGAATTGGCAGACTTCGTTCGTGAGCGGTGAGGCAAACAGTTCAGCATATTTTCTCGTTATGTTATTATGATCAGGTTTATCATGATTACAGGCTATAGAAAATGTTTGTTTACTTTCTCATCTCGGTATCCGAAATGTTTCATATAAACAGACATGAAATATTCAGCATCTCCTCGACTTACGCTGACATAATTTTTGATTTTATTACAATTTTTCGTTGATTTTACGTACAATGCTTCTTTAGGGCCACGGTCGAAGAAAACTATGCAAAATCCTTAAATAAAATGATCAAACCAAACCATAACGGAATGTCGCTGGGGTGAGAATCGGAATTACTGATTTTTTTGTGTTTCAGAAAAATTGTGTGTTTACATTTTCATATAATTGAGCGTTATTAAATACAAATATTGCCGTTGATTGCTTTGTATTATCGTTATATTGATTACAAAACAATTTACTCTAAACGGCTGCAAGCATAGTTTCGGATTTTGAAACTGCTCAAATTTTTAATTGACTTTATGTTTTATGTATAAATGTACTTTTGTCCTCATTTTACAATGCAAATACGTGAATTCCAAATTCCGGTGATGTTTATTATTGTGCAATAGGTGTTTGGAGAAATTGCTGTTGCTATGGTCACACTCCTAGGTTTCTATTAGTTCTTACTTAGATTACGCAGCTTTTTGTTATCACTTTGAATTCCCCGATTCCTGTCAATAGTCATTTCAGCACATTTGTGTCATAATTTACCATGTATATAGTAACAGCCAACTGAAGGATTGAAAATGAGTGGCTCTGCCAACATTGCAAGATCACATTGTGATTTGTACAACTAAAAACAACATTTACTTTTCTTTTTGGCCACTTTATTATGTGAGAGATGGGAATGTTTTGTGAATATACTGTCACCTGAAAGCTTCCTTTATGCAAATAAAAAAAAATTAAAATTGCTTTTATTGTGATATTCTGTTGTCAATATTTATTTTTAGCACATTTGAACCCTGCTGGAAAACCATCAAAACTTCCAATGAAATGTTTGCCAATTCATTTTCTCATGCTGTTCAAGAGCTTCATGATCTTGTTAAAAAGATCAGGGAATATGGAGAGCAACAGAAGGAAACTCAGAAAGCGGTAAGTTTATGATGATGAACATTATTAAGTAGAAAGTTGATTATGCATCTCATAAAATTAATGGTACATTGCTACTCATTTTTAAGTGTTTTTACAATTTGCAAAGTAGTTTATCAAAGTTTTTAAAAAGTTTCAATAATTGACTCATTCAGTTCTTTTTCAGTGTTTGTTTGAAATTGGTGCACAAAATTATTATTAAATTATCAAATATGATCAATATCAATTCATTAGCGTTGTCAACATGATTAAGTTAACTAGTTAAAAAGGTTTGGTTTTTTTCAGTTAAATTATAGACTGAAACCAAATTTTATTCACTGGTATTCAAAAAACAGTTACCAACTAAATGATTATGTTACTTTCTGCTTGCTTTCATCATAAGAACCAGGGCTTACCCTATAGCAGTTTGGGCAGCGAAGAATTTTTTGAACTTCGAGATATGTCCTGCAATTGTTGTAGAGATTGTCTTGTTTAATACTATGCACAGGACATAGTATGTAAACTGAAGTTCATCAACAAAGTCACTGCTCTAATTATATAAGTTGAAGATAGGAATTGATGGATTCAAAGCTAACAATCAGTTTGGAATATTGTGGAATAGTGTTGGGATTATGTGAGCTGCAGCTAAAGCCGCTTGGTAAAGCTAACCAACAAATAATCAGAATAATTCAATAAACAGCATGTGCGATAGGTCTAATGCTATGATAAAATGTAGAGAGGACCAACTAATTACGTATTTTTTGCTGCTTGTTTTTTGGTCATGTAGCAACAGATAGTTCATTTCACTCAAATTTCCTGATTGATGATAAAATAGCCAAGAGGATTGATTATTTTTAATGTGTTTCATTAGTTAAAGGATGAATTAGCTGCAACAGCTGATGTTGTTGCTGCCATTCGAACAAAAACTGATGCTGTCATGAAGGTATGTTCTTGACACTTTTTGCTTTGTTCACCCGAAAATTGAAATCAGAGTTAAGCAAAACAAATAATAGTTTCTAATGTCTGAATACTTTTATAACATTACAATTGATTGTGAATTTACAAAGAAAAAAATTCAACCATTTAATAGGCTGTTGAAATTTAACCTATAGCTGGATCTGCCCAGCTATTGTACATAATTGAATTTTTGTACAACTTTGTAGGCAAAAGATTCTTACTATGCAAAGTGTAATGAATTTGAAAGAGTGAAGAAAGAGACAACTAATGCGAAAGACATTGAAAAAGTAAATGACATTTGATTATTGAGTTGTAAAATTTATAGCAAGATGTTTAGTTACACACTACAACATACAAATTATGTTTGTTGTTTTCAATGTAATTTCCATGTGTATACATACTCTTTGATTCATTGCATCTGGCGTCAGTGGTGAAATCAACAGAGACATTAAATTTGCCAGGCTTTTTTTCTAAATCTCAGTTGCTTTGGTTTTCTCCAATAGGGCATGTTAACAGTTAGTGTAAGTGTTTTGGTGTCATATCCATTAAGATATGGGGATGTTTATTTCATAACAAGATCAGATCTTACATAACTGCTTTTGGGTGACAATTTAATTTGTTTTTTTAGGCTGAACAGAAGAAATTCAGAGCAGGTACTCGATTTGTAAAATACGTAAACATTTGCCTTTGCACTTTAGGTAAATGTAAAATTCTTGTGATGTGATATGATTTAAAGAATGAAATACAGTAGGTTTACCTGAATGCTTTCGTATAATTTTATCATTGCGTGATTTCAGTTTGGGTTACTAAAACTGTGCCAAACTGCAAATTTGTGTTTTTACTTCGTCGTTTTACCTCGGTGGAAGAATGTTGTATGAATGTTGTGTTGTTATTTAAGGAGAAGAGTATAAATCTTTGATTGATAAACGTGAAGAAGCGAGGAAATCATTTCATGCAAGAATGATTGAAACAGCTAAGGTTTGACACATCGATGCACTTCATTATGCACAAATGTTTGACACTTAAAATGTGTATCTACGTATATGTCATAGATGCCATGCTAAATATCATGTTTTAGCACTGCATTCTTTTCAGTCAAGTTTTATTAGCTAATTGTCTATACAAAATTGTTTTATGCATCGCTGTCTGCATGAAGTATCTTATGTGAGATCTTTCGTTTTACCTTGAAATGTCACTTGTAGACTGTTGCAGGTGAAACTATTTTATGTTTAGAAATTTGAAGAACTTGAAAGTAATCATTTGAAGATCATGTCTGAACATTTACTGTCTTTTATTGGAACTCTTGAAAGTGGCCAAGAAGCTGTGCAAAAGGTTTGTGAAGAAGCAGCTGTAACAGTTGGCTATAGCACACAAACCTCTTATTGACATTTTTATGACATTTGTACCAGGTGATTACCCATTTCAGAACACAGGTGAAAGAATTAACAACAAACAAGTTATTGGAACAATTTGTGAAAGAAAAAACAACTGGGAGAAATGTTCCAAGTTAGTACTTCAACCTCAATCAACTGAAATTACTACAAAAAAGACATCACTATAATTTGATAATTGAGCCATTTTCAACGCTATGATTTTTCCTACCGATGTTGTGAACGTGATGATTTTACGTTGTACTGATGACACTAGGGCATACTACTAATTTTCTTTCTTATATGCTTATTCCATTTGCCGAAGAGCGTCACTATTCTGGCGATTGCTGCTATGCTTGTAATTTATAGTTGAATTAAGTGAACTTCCATACAAGTTAAAACAAAATAAATAAGCATGTTAAATTAGCTTATGTACGTATTGTGGTGGCAATTTTTAGACGTATCGAAAAATTGTTATGGTCGGATTACCAGCTTTACGGATAAATGTAGTAAATGATGTTTGGAAGTTTTGCTAAATTAGACGCATGGCGAGTTGTGTATAACAAAATCCATAGTGTTTATTGTATGTACGTGTATACGTAGATGTTACGTAGATATATATGTACGCTTTCATGGATAACTTTAGTAAGGTGGCCGTAACGGAGGGTGAAAGCTTTTTTATTAAAGCAGAATTTTTTGTACTTTGCATTCTCATTTTACGTACATTTTTATGTGCAATTGGTTGTTTTGTGATTGTCATGCTGTTATCTGTATATATAGGATACAAAAATCAGTATAATACGTAATTATAATAATTGTGATCGTTTTTTTAGTTGAAATATTCTTTGAGGAGTATGCAGCGACTGGATCACTTGTTGACGTTGCTGTAGAAGAGTCGCCAAACATTAAAATTCGTAAGAAGAAGAAAGAAAAAGATAAAGATAAAGAAAAGGATAAAGAAAAGGAATCTAAAGATAAGAGGGAACGAAAGACGAAAAAGAAGAAGGAAAAGGAGAAAACACAAGTTCCGAACGGTGCCATGTAAGGCAAAATCAAATTTTGAAATCTATATATCTTGTGTCTCTGTACGCTTTGAATGAACGATTCAAAAAACTTAATTCATTTTCTGAGATTTAATTTGAGCCCGTGTGTTTTTGTTTTTTTTTTTGTAGTGAAACGAGTCCTGATGCTAACAAAGTTTCATCTCTACCTGGGGTATGCTCATTTTATGATAAAAAGTTTTGCAATATGAAAGTTTTGATTGGATGTCTTAGAAAAGGACTTGTTTTTGTCACCGCTAATGTTGTTCACGAACGAGTGATAAAACTCAATTGAACCTTTTAAAAGGAGTAGTATAAATATTACCGAAACTGTTGAATTATTTCCTTCAGAACTGGTTTATCTCTGTTATTTTTTTTCTAATTGTTTCTTTGCTCAATTTTAGAATCAAGATGGCGTTGAAGTAGACGAAGAAGGATACAGTATTATTCCAAAAGATACTGAAAATATCCTTTTAAGTCTTTTGACATTAATGTCCTTGAAGTACCTCGTTTTTTTTCCTCTCTATTGCTAAATTATATTTATTTAGAACAAGCTTAATATAACCAAAACCAAATACCAACGATAAACGAGAATACATAATATCGTGATTTCTGCAAAACACGGCATTAACACTGACACATTAGTTTGCTTTACACTGACACATTAGTTTGTTTAACACTCACACATTAGTTTGCTTTACACTGACACATTAGTTTGTTTAACACTCACACATTAGTTTGTTTAACACTCACACATTAGTTTGTTTAACACTCACACATTAGTTTGTTTAACACTCACACATTAGTTTGTTTAACACTCACACATTAGTTTGGACATTACTGAATCATTTATTGTAAAACTCTATTCGACCACTTTGATTTGTCACTTTCTCTCCTTATGACACAGTTATAATCCTTAACGTATATACGTCATAAATCGGCGGAGAGTACGGACTCGGACTCAGATGATGGTAAGAACTTTTCCTTGTTACGTACATCTTTCATTACAGTACAGAATGCCACATGATGTCTTTTGATGATTCACGACAATCAACAAATCAATATACGGACAATGCATATTTTTTTAAAAACATTTGTGTTATTGCAACACGTTATTTATCATTGTTTACCTACAGACGACCAAACCAAGAAAATCAAGATCACAATCAAGCCTGCGACTGAGATAACCACTGCTAGCCTTGATGAGTTTCGATCCATTCAGCTTTCTCTACCTGTTCCTCCGGTATTGATAACATCATACTTGTTGTATATTTGTTAGAGCTTTTAAGTTTAAAGCTCACACATAAGTTTTTCAAGTCGCCAAATTTTTCCGCCTTTTTTACTTTATTGGCAGCCTATAACACACTTGCACAGAACAAATCATTTGCTAGAATACCTCACACATACAACATATCACTGTGTGATGCATACTACTCCTCAGGTGGAGAATATCCGATATCTATAATGGCGTTTGGATATAATGTATATTTCTAGCTTTGTACATCATTTTTTCGTTTCATTTAGCACAAGAAAAACGAGTCTACGTCTTCTGGTAAGTGCGAGTTTTTAAATATTTCATTTTTGATAGTAGAAACCGAAGGACGAATGGTTGCGTTATGTGCTTCTTACAATTTCGTTAATTTTAAATGATGACAAATTCTCTGTGTAGAAAATGAAGCTTCAAAAACGACATTAAATGGTTCTGGTGGCCAGTCATCTGTCAAATTGTAAGTTCAATAGCTGTGATAGTGTTTCTAATATTTGTAAGTTCAATAGCTGTGATAGTGTTTCTAATATTTGTAAGTTCAATAATTGTGATAGTGTTTCTAATATTTGTAAGTTCAATAGCTGTGATAGTGTTTCTAATATTTGTAAGTTCAATAGCTGTGATAGTGTTTCTAATATTTGTAAGTTCAATAGCTGTGATAGTGTTTCTAATATTTGTAAGTTCAATAGCTGTGATAGTGTTTCTAATATTTCTAAGTTCTATAATTGTGATAGTGTTTCTAATATTTGTAAGTTCTATAATTGTGATAGTGTTTCTAATATTTGTAAGTTCTATAATTGTGATAGTGTTTCTTATATTTGTAAGTTCAATAGCTGTGATAGTGTTTCTAATATTTGTAAGTTCAATAGCTGTGATAGTGTTTCTAATATTTGTAAGTTCTATAATTGTGATAGTGTTTCTAATATTTGTAAGTTCAATAGCTGTGATAGTGTTTCTAATATTTGTAAGTTCAATAGCTGTGATAGTGTTTCTTATATTTGTAAGTTCTATAATTGTGATAGTGTTTCTAATATTTGTAAGTTCAATAGTTGTGATAGTGTTTCTAATATTTGTAAGTTCAATAGTTGTGATAGTGTTTCTAATATTACTTGTGTTAAAACAGTCATTTTACTTCTTTTATAGATCAAAATCTCAAGAAGATCTTCTTTCCATCGACTTCAGTCAGGCATCAGTCTTCAACACAAATAAGGAGACGCTATTAAGTCCCGTGGCTTCAAACTTCGGACTTGGTAAGTATTCAGTACTTGTATTGAAGATTATATGGATGCTCACAAACGGCTACAATTTCTCGTGGTGTTGTGGTGGATACCTCCACCTTCTTCAAGCAATTTTGGTTTTTTCCTTACCATCTGCTTAGCTGCCACATACATTTCTCGTGATGTTGTGGTGGATACCTCCACCTTCTTTAAACAATTTTGGTTTTTTCCTTACCATCTGCTTAGCTGCCACATACATTTCTCGTGGTGTTGTGGTGGATACCTCCACCTTCTTTAAGCAATTTTGGTTTTTTCCTTACCATCTGCTTAGCTGCCACATGCATTTTGTTGCTTAAAGTCGCAAGCATCGCTATCTTGGAATTTAATGTTCATATTTGATGTTTTATATGTGTTTGGGAAATGTTTAGGATTTGACACTGAGAAGGAAAATAACGAAGACCAACCACCAGACCTTGCTCCGAAGAAAAAATTGACGATGAATGATCGCAGTTATTCTCATGAGTTATCATCTTCTCTGCCTCCTAAGAAATCATCTTCAACAGTGTTTGGTAGTGTGGGATCTTTGACTGAATTATCCCCTTCCGGAAAAGGTTCATTGATCATGTCAATATTTTACTTATAACTTAATTGGATGATCTTGCGTTTATATATATATATATATCAATGCAAACTTCTAAGAAGTAGTTTTCTTTGTCTACCATAGTTGTGGACTTACTTTCTTATTTTTTTCAGATAAAGAAGTGGAATCCAAGCTGTCTCCACCCGAATCAATCACATTTCTTGCCCCACCTTCTGAAATTCCAAGATCAACATCAGCCAATAATATGGGTCGTACTGGTTCACGGCCAAGACCCAAGGTATTTATGCCCTATACGTATTTAATGTTGCATCTTTTGTTGTATGATCAATTAAACATGTATCCTTGTTGTTATTAGCCTCGTCTCAGTGCTACCTCTGCAGATATATCTTCAGCTTCTCTCTCACTGAAGACAAGTACAGACCCAATTCGTACCCATGCTTCTCCGACACCAACTGTCACGACAACCGAGACTACTACATCATCAAATTTGTCAGTTGATCCCAATAAACGCATCAAGAGTACTGGTTCAGATGATGGTGTTGGATCATCAAAGACAATATGGGATAGAATTAATAGTCCTAGTAGTCAGCGTGCTGCTCGTGGAAGTGGATCTCCTCATCTCGACACGTAACACTGGTATTCTTCAGCCCACTGTGGTAAGAGAGTGTGTATGCATGGTACATGATTTCACAATATCGGAATTTTGTAAAACAAAGCTACTCGTGCTACTGACTTTTTGTACGGCAATTGACTTTTTGCTAGATGAGTACGGTTGCTGGTCAAGCTATGAAGAAGAGTGAGGAGATAATACCAGTTGCTGTTGCCCTGGTTGAAACAGTGAATGCACAGTTCAAAGGAAACGATATGTTTAGGTGAGTTAGTTTTGTCAATCCTCGTACAGGAATTTGACTTACGTTATTATCTATTGATAAATGGCCTAAATGTACGGAACTTCGTAATCAATTTTCGAGGCCGTGAAAGTGAAATGCCAAACTATTTATTATCGTCACATTCTCAACCAAACTTTTACAAACAATAAGTTACAAATGCTCCATCAAACTCATGCAACCCATTGCAAAAATAATGTAAAAGAAAGCAGAGTGACATCTTATCATTCTTTTTCGTCGATACTCTCGTCGTAATTCAATAAAATCTTGTCTTAATTTAACACGTGTATCGTATTAACTCATAGTAGGTGTAATTACGTATTTCTGCGCTTGCGCATCTCAATTTTTTGTCACTTTATCATTTTAGGCACAATATAACTGGTGATGTGACAGTATCTTTTCCTGCCAGTGCTGTTCATTATCTTTCGTCAAGTGAAGATCCACCGATGCTCACATTTGCTCTTACATGCTCTAATTTGTTAGGCAACATCTTTCCGAATAAAGGACTTATAGAGAGGTTTGTTGTTAGTGCGTTCTGTTTCTCTGTCTTGCAATCTAGTGCTGGTTGTTGATGCAAAGCTGCGTGACAACTTTGCAGTATTGTTGTGTGAAGAGCAATTATTATGAGAACTATACATGTATATATATATGTACATTGACGTTTTCAGGATCGGGTGTCAGACACTTTCGTATATCTGTGAAATTGTGTTTTTCATGCTTGCGTGATTCCATCTGCCTGTATGTCTGTTTTTACAGTGATGAACCACCAGCAGACAGAAATGCAAAATATTTCAAGTTTAAAATGGAAGCTTTGATCGCACATTTGAAGAAACAATCTGAACAAGGATCAGCTCCCTACTATAACATTGACATCCTTAAATATCAAGTATGTGCTGTTTGGTTCTGTTAAAAATCTATGTGAAGGGCTTCAGTAGGTTTCGATCAATGAAAGTTTGTTATATATTGCATGATATAACAGTCTACATCGGGTCCGTTTGATATTTGTATTTGATAGTTTATTAAAGTTGTCGGTATTTGGGAGGTTCAATGAAGTCAAGTTAATTTTCAAGTAATTGAAATTATTCTGTTCTGTCATACCCTCAACATATAATTACAATACATAGCTATATATATTGAATGACCTAGCATTTTTTGTCTAGTTTCTATTCTTTCTAATTAGGTCCAACAAGATAACGCTTTAACCCCTTTGGCATTAAGTTGTTTTTGGAAATGCGAAGAAAGGACGACTGATATTAAAATTGATTACCAATACTCGCCATCATGTTTGTCTGTGGCCTCGCCTCTGAATAATGTTTCATTCATCGTACCTGTGAATGGTGGGGTAGAAATTATGCAGTCAAAACCTGTAGCGAAATGGTAAATTTCCTATGACGTTTCGTATCTAACCAGTAGCGGATCAATGCAGGCTTAGGAAATATAAATTTGAGTCGCTAATTTTAAATTTGAAATATATAGAACAATGCAAGCTATTGGTTATGAATTTCCGAAAAGAATAAAATTCAACCAATCTATGATAATTTATTTTGGCTATAGCTGGACCCCCCTGCCTGCCAAACACAAAATATACATAATAATAAAATCACACTTATGATTTTTTTGAGTGCTGATTGAACAAAGCAAGTTATTCTTGCACTATCTTGAATATCGTGAAAGGAGAAAAAGTTGAATTTTTTTTTATCTCGCATGCTTTGAATTTGCTTTTAAGTAATCAACCCTTGACCCATTTACCTGATCCTGCGCCTATGTTTGTGCTGTCATCTCATGGCTTTTTGCCCTCACTCACTATCGTTATCGTTTTGAGTCAGTGGATCTTTCATTGTGTAGTCTGTTTTCATTTGTCTTTCATACTCCTGTCTTTGCACAATCTTTGCATTGCTTGAAGATGAAAGACTTTTTTTGTTTAGGTCTAAAGACCACAATAAAGCTCTTTGGCAAATACAGGAGTTGTCAAACAGTTCTGATGGCAATGGTAAGCGATCATTTTATTCATCAGTCATTTTTCAGATGTCATTTCAGATTCAGTGAATCGTGATAATACCCCCAATAAATTCTACTCGTTTTTTTGAAGGTTCGGGTTCTCTGAGAGCTCGTTTCGATCTTTTGGAAGGACCGAGTGTACCACAAACTATTGCCGTACAGTTTCACTGTAATGGATCAACACTGTCTAAATTAGATTTTCAATTGAGTAGTGATATGTATAAATTGTCTTTGGTGAAGAGGAAAATTGTTACAGGTTGGTAAACATTGTTCATCTCTCATCATTATTTGAGGTTATTACGTAGTAATTTGGAGCTGGCAATACTTATTGAAGCAGTCTATTCATGTTATTACTAGTATATGCAGGCATCCCCCTACTAACTTTATCGTGCAATGTATACGGTAATACATCATATTACTAATTTTTCATTATTTATTTTAGGAAAATATACAGCAGATCCAAGGTAGTGTATAATTTTATAATTTAGTTGATAGTATAATAGCAGATATATTGTAAGATTGACTTATGCAGCTGTCGTTATGGCAAAGGCATTGGACAAAGCTGTCACTTCTGTTCCTAACGTCTTTGTTGATGTTTGCTTCCATATTCATGTCTTGAACACGTGACTTGTTTGACGCCAATGCCTGTTAACTTTAAAGTTGCAGTCTTCAATAGAGTGCATTGTCTATCGCAAATTTATTACATAGAGTTTCGTGCCACCAGCTGGTAACCTATCAAACACCGCATATACGAGAGATTTAGTTATGTATGGTTTCCACTTGAACCATAATTTAACAGTTTGTATTTTCTCTCACAAGTTGATTCTAAAGTATATGCAAAAAATAAGGAAAATTTCACTTTACTGTTAAAGGTATGATTTTGAATTGCAACTCTAATGGCTCCCGGTTATGAGAAAAAATGTTAAAATCAAACCATTGGATTACGAACAATGAGCAAATTCACCTGTATTTACATTCACAAGAATTCAAATGTTGAAGAAGCAATGATTTACCATTATATGGAAACTCTGGAACATGGAAGGAGAGATGCAAACTGACGCAAAAGAAAGATATCTAAATTGCTGCATGTGTATGGGTTGTTAATATTGTTTCAATTCACCGTTATATAAAAGGCGTCTTGTGTTGCATTATGGTAGAAAAAATTATATGTAAATTCAACTTGTCATTTCCACCACAATGCAACGCAAGCGCAATCATTTTTATGACAGTAAAACATCGCATCACAAAGTGAGTCACACGTTTCGTGAAGTGCTCTAAGTTTTTAACTCGCGAAACGTTTGCCCTGTTTCTGATGTTTACCAACGCAGGTAAACATGGACAGTATGGGAAACCTGTTCTAGGTTTTCGTACAGTCATAAGGAAACCAGTTTCACAGTGCATGCTGGCTTTAACATCCGATCTTGTCTATCAATCTACACTGAATACTTTAATGCCCTGATAATTCTGTAAACTTAAATTAAGCAACTTGCAGTTTTCATTTGCGTCCACTATTATACTCATTTGAAGAATTCACAAGTCTTTTCTACGTAAAATCTTTGAGCAATATTATCACCTTTATGTGTATTTGAAAATTTAAAATTGAAAAACGAAATCCTATGCTTTAAATACCCCAGGCATGTCGGTATTAAAAATTCTTACCACGAGGCAACTGATCAGAAGTCATTGTACTAGCTATAGGTATTCAAAAGTCTCCAGTGAATTTTTCACCCTTTATGATGTTTATATCCAATCGAAAAATAGATTTTCTTGAAAGACTAAGAGTAAAAATGACGAATTGCTACAACATTTTGCAACAAGTGTGTATTTTGAACCTTGCTTTATCTCATGATGTATTTGTAGAACTGTTTTAAATATGAAAGTGAAAACGGAATTAATGATTTTATCATTACATCTTTTAGTTCACTCGTTTCCTTTGTGAAACCAAAATGATTTCTTTAAACAAAGGCGTAAAACTCCTTTCCAATCCAAAAACTAAGAGTGAAGATAACTCATCGGAAGACCATAGAAGGACATCGGTCTTTAAACGTCACATTACCTCATCTTTTATAAATAAACACAGACTCGTGTGGTTTTTGGCAACACTCAGCAGAACTCTGTAAAATGAATTTTAAAAAATTTGGTTGAGTAGCGATTGGTGAGCAAAATCTCCTCTCGACGTCCTGGTAACCCACAAATCTCGATACTTTACAGACCTACTTTATCGTGACTATCAACTACTCAGTTGGCCAAACGTTTTCACAACTTAATTTTTCAGGAAAAGGTACCTTGCACTCTACAATCTAAGGCTCCTTAACTTGCAGATTAAATACTCATCATAACGATATTGCAGTTATGCGCAAGCACTTGTTACAACATTGTGTCATTACTTGTCACCGTATTAATGAACAAAATTAATAAAACTGTCAATAGATCACATTTTCCTAAGTTTTAATGTTCTGCTGTAAGTGTAAAGATATAGAAATTGGACAATGTAAAACAATTACACTGGCAGAAGTGAGTAGTTTTTAGGGGAACTTTGTGACAAATTTCAAGTCACACCCCTCCTACAGCACTACTAACCCAGGTGAGATCATCATGCACAGTGCAGAAATACTATTGACAATACAAACACCAAAACTGTTAACTGCAAACATGTTTTATTTGTCTGTATTTACATCTAAATCTAACTGAGTTGAGAGTTAACTTTGAAACAAAAGCAAGTAACAATTGTATAAATTTCAGGGAATTAATTTTTCTAACATTCAATGATCATAAGCTGCTGCATTATTGATTTCTTTACATAAATCAGTATAGGTACGTAGTAAAAGCAACATTGCAGACATGCAATTCAAGATATTATGTGATAACAGTAAGTGACCAGGCCATTAGGCATTTAATCCAAAGCATTTTTATGTACAAGGCATTCTGTTGTATCAGTCATCTATTAATGTCATTTTCTATGCCAATGTTGATAAAAAGTAAAAAAATTGAATAGAAATATCTAAAAATCATCTAAACGTTTCTGTTACTATGTTAATGGATAAAAAAATGTTATTATGTACGTACTACTTGTGATTAAGAAACAGGTGCATCTCATATATATTCCACGTGCTCATGTGGGAAAAGATTTAGTGATGTATGTATGTTTGGCATTGTATTAGCAGCGAGTTCAGCTAATTCAACAAGTGCCAAAGCTCCAATCCATCGTTCTTTTTGCTCGACCATTCTCTTTCTTGCTTCCTTCCTTGCCATACGTTTTTCTGAAATACTTAGCTGATTTCTCTCGTGAACGCGCTCCATTTCACGCTTCGACTCCTTCCTGCTCAGTTTAGAGGAGCCAGGACTTTTGTTTTGCCGTTCGCGTTCGTACTTGTTTAGCCATAAGAGCACATCCTTTGTGTGCTCGTTCGGTTCTTTATTTTGAATTTCGCTCAATAAGGTCTTCTTTAAAGGAATATCATCAGAATCCTGCGGACCAAACCGGCTTTTGGATGTATTGGACAATGACGATTGGCGTGCGTAAATCGTGACTGGCAGCCTTCAATAGTGCAGACGAAGGGCTTTTCTCCCGTATGTAATCTTTGATGTGTCTTCAATTGGCCACTTTGAACAAAAGCTTTCTTGCAGTTAGGGAAATCGCACATGTATGGTCGATCGCCACTGTGCGTTCGCTTGTGAGCTTGCAGCGACTTCTCGCGCGGGAAAACACGACTACAAATATCACATCGTATAGGAGAGCAAGATTGCGTTCCTTCCTCGATTAAATGGTTGATCATCTCTGCTTTTGGTCGACCTCTTGGTGGTGTAATCTTTGAATCTTTTAAGTCAGCATCGGAAGCACAACTCGGGCTGAACGATGGTAAACGTGGGAGAGGACATTTATTCGGCGGGGTATTTGGTGGAGACCAAACACTCACTGTATCGACGAAGTTATAACTGTAAATATCCATTGTATATTCCTCCTTGTTTCGGTTTGTTTTCAGATGAACTTCTTTGGATTTCAAAGGTAAACTGTGCAGGTTTACGAGCTGATTTAGTGTATTTGTACCGCTTTCAATGTTGAGAGCATCCGCCATTTTTAAAGCCACATGCCAAGGGATTTAACCTTTTAACCAACTTTGGCGCCTAAACATCTCATTGGCTAATCATTACTGTCGTCTGAAACCGGAAATATAGATTAGTGAAACATCACGTTGAGAGAGCTTCGAAACTTTGTTTTAATGTCTAAAAGTCCCCGCATTAAAAATAAGCTATTTTTGAATGATATCAGATTGTGAATGTATTGTTGACTGACAATACGGTATAAAAATAGATTTACCATAAAGGAAATAGTCGTAATAAGGGATTTTTTTGGTACGTCCATTGGCAATTGATCCAACCTGCAACGTCTTCAGAAGAGTGTCAAGTATCAATTACGAATAAAATAAACATAGTTATTGGTCATTACTTCGCAAGTCATCTGATATCAGTGGAACCGAAGGCAGCCAAAATTTTAAGTTTTTCTTCATTTATAAGTCTTACAATGGCGAAGGAAAGAGTTTTTGTTGCTGGTGTAGGAATGACGAAGGTACCAACTTGATGCAGTAGTTCATTCCATAATTTTAGCTTTGCAAATTAGCTATTAGGTTTATTCATTTTAAGCTCCGGCATACTTTAATAATTTATGGTGTGCCGTCGTTCATCAAAAGAAGTTCTTTGCACTTTTCATGCAATTTCACATAAGTGTCAGGGATACAACAAATTTGGGAAAACGAAATTTAGATCATGTCAATTTTAAAAACCTTGCCATTTATGGGGACGAATAAATCCTTTATTGTTAGTTGAGTATTGAATAATTAATAAAAATTATATTTTGCCAGTTTGAAAAACCTGGTTCTAGTGGCAAAGATTATCCAGATTTTGCCAAAGAAGCAGGTATCTCATTTTCAGTTACATTTTACATATTCACAAATCACAATATTCACAATGTAGTACAAATACAATGATCTTTTTCTGTACTGGAAGAAGAAATTACTGGCTCACTCAACAAGTATCATAAAACAATTCTGTCTAGATTATTACCACATTTTAAACTTGCAGATTTGAAATTTTTGCAAAATTACATGCTTTTACTTATAAGTAACATACAGTCATCTTTTTAAAGCTCTCATTGCCTTAAAAGATGCGTCAATATCTTACAATGAAGTTGAACAAGTTGTATGTGGATATGTTTATGGTATGAATGGTATTGCAATTTCATATATTTTCTTATATATCAGTTTGTGGGAGTTCTTATGGTATTGTCTGCCTATCAACTCCTAAATATCAACACTCACCCTTGCTATTGGTCAAAGAATTCACGAAGTCTGATTTCATTAACTGATATGAGGCTACAGTCTTTCCAAAAAATGTTTTCTTGTAAAATGAAAAGCTTCAAGTATTGATCATTCAATATAATAGTTCTTTTCTCTGTGTCTTCTCCCAAACTTCATCATGGTTTGCTTGCATGGAAAATATCTCGCATTTTTTGATTAAGTATATATAAGAACATACCAAAATGTTTCTTTTATTGTTTTCATAATTTTATGATTTCCTATTCTAATCATTTGTATGTTAGGTGACTCGACATGTGGCCAAAGAGCAGTTTATGAAGTAGGACTAACTGGAGTACCCATTTATAATGTAAGCACATTAATTTGTGTTCATGATAAAGGAAGACAAGTTTGTACTAATATATTTGTTTTTAAAGTAAATGGTTTGAAACCGGGAGTATCATCTGTTTGTAAATGTTGATCGTCCAGGTTGGTATAGTCCTGAGAAGGACTGTTTTTGTTGTTGTTGACTGATGTATCGACAACCTTAGCGGTGGTCATCTTCAGAGTCAAAAATGACTCTGAAAATGACTCTGAAGATGACTTCAGAGTCAAAAATGACATGACTACCAGTAAGATGACTACCGCTAAGGTTGTCAAAACGTCAGTCAACAACAACAAAAACAGTCCTTCTCAGGACTATACCAACCTGGACGATCAACATTTACAAACATATTTGTTTTTGCTATAATGTCCTTTGATTACGAATATTGATCAAAGAAAAAGTCTGATCCAAAGAATTGTGCTGTTTTCATAAATTTTTATATGAATTTTTTAATTTCAATAAAGGTAAACAATGCCTGTGCAACTGGATCTTCAGCTCTATTTCTTGCCAAGCAACTTGTAGAAGGAGGTAAATAAATAAATATCAAACAATTACCAATGGCAAAGACCCTCAGGAGAAACACTACTGAGAAAGGACCTCCAAGAAAAACCCCCAGCAAAAAGACCCTTTAAAAAGACCATCAATATTGTATTAGATATAGAATGCATGCATGCTCCAATGTATTTTTAACTTATCATAATATAAGCACTTCATCATCATATTCAAACCCTGATCTTGACATTCAAGTTCTTTGATCTAACCATATTTTCAATTAGTAACCTTTCCCATTATCCATGTAACTTAGAGTAAATTACGATTGCATTGCATATGAATTTTTTTAGGAGTTGCTCAATGTGTATTAGCTCTTGGTTTTGAAAAAATGGAGATAGGATCTCTTCAAGGCAAGGTATAAAATTTTAGGCCATTCTTCGTGTCTCTACCAATGCTCCAACCTTTAACTTAAATGCAATGTTTATATATGCAATAATTATCAATAATATAATGTTTGCCAGTATGCTGATCGGGCACTTCCTGTTGAAAAACATTTGGCTGTGATGGTAGAGTCACATGGCATTGCACCAGCACCAGTTACACCGCAAATGTTTGGAAATGCCGGTAGAGAGCACATGGCTAAATATGGTGAGTGTTTTTATATTTGAGCCTCTCATGTATCATACATAGCAATCTACATACAAAATATTGCTCTTGGAATCTTCATTTTCCCTTACGATTAACGTTAGCTATGATATTCTTCGATTAACATTTACTAAGTTTATATACTGTTATCAATATATTGGTGATATGTTGGTCTTATAAAAAACAGAGAAAATTTTCACACTTGACGAGTATTTCATCACAATGTTATGTTTTACTTTACCATGTTAATACATTAGGTATGCATATGTCTCAATTTCAGATAAAAACCTGGTTTTCCGGATTTTTCAGTTTTTTCAAAGAACTGCTCCAGCAAAGAGTGTCGTTTTTTTGATCTTCAAAAACTACTTGTTTGTCTTGACTTCACATTTGCACATTTTTATAATGGCTATCAAATCCCTATTTTTTATAGGAACGACGTCTGACCATTTTGCTAAAATTGCATACAAGAATCACAAACATTCCGTAAATAATCCGTAAGTGTTATCGTATTCCATGATGAACTTCATACGATATTTAGGGGAGGCATCCTGATTGTTTGTTTTAATTTTTTAAGCCTATCGCAATTTCAAAAAGAATACTCCATGGAGGAAATCAAGCAGTCCCGTATGGTGTACGAACCACTAACCAAGCTTCAATGTTGGTATGTTTTCAATGTGACGCTTTTCCTTTGAAATCTAATTCACTGAATATATTGGGAAATTTCTATTGAGGTGTTTTGTTCAAACCTTTTCGACTATTCATTAACGTAGTATGAGCTCAGACATTGTGCACAATTCTTAAAAGAGAAATATTTCTCAAAGTCATAAAAACCCATCAATCTTCTGTCTCTGAGAACCTCTTTAATATTTCTCCATATTGTACTTCAAGCTCAAGCCAGGATCTATAGCATCTGCTGATACGTATACTGTCCAAAAAACTAGCATGAAATTCCAAATCGTTTACCTTCATATAAGTGTGACTTTTGATTGATCTGGCGATGTATTTACGTATGTCGCAGAGCTGATTAACCAATGACTTTTTACTTGGGCATTCTTTAATTAGAAAATTGTCCATCTGAGTAAATGTTGATTCGTTTAAACATTAAACTGTAAATGGATGTAAAAATAGATCACTTGACTTCATAAGCTCATCTTGACATGTTTTAACTTAAAGTCCAACAAGTGATGGTGCTGCGGCTGCGATCCTTTGCAGTAAAGAGTTTATTGCACGTCATCCATCTTTACGCTCACGATGTGTGGAAATACTCGGAATGGAAATGGCGACAGATTTCTCCAGCACATTTGAGGAAAAAAGTTGCATTAAAATGGTATGCTTACGCTTTGGAAATGTTGAAAATGGCGTTGATCAAAGTTCATACGTGTAACAAAAATTTTTTAGGTCGGGTATGATATGACTAAGACAGCTGCAAAAAAATTGTATGAAAAAACGGGTAAAGACTATTTCCGACGTCTTCAATTGATTTTCGTTTGATTTTTTGTTTTTATTCTATGCTTATGCATGTGTTCTGTGTTTATATGTTTCTCAAAATAAGAAATTTCGCCGTCATCTATTCAAGTTGTTGAACTTCATGATTGTTTTTCTACGAATGAGTTGATATCATACGAGGCGTTAGGACTTTGCCCTGAAGGTACTATTTTCCTCCATCGTAATGAAGTTATGTGAAACATTCATTTCTGATGCAATATAAACACTGCGTTTTATTTAATTCTCTACTGGTTTTAATGTGTAGTTACCATCAATATAACACTCAATACAGTGTAGAGTCATTTTTTATTGTTGCTACCAATCCGTGTTTTGCTCGACCAGGTCACAATTATGCAGAAAGGTCACTCAGGTTCGCAACGCGGCCTCACGTTGGTCATATTTCCAGCCATTTGATTGGATTTGTCACTTGTTTTCAAGGGCGATACTAGAATGCTAATTGAGGGGGGGGTGTAAATATTCATATATTCAGCTCTGCCCTGCTAACTTCTTTGGAAATTAACATCGCAAACAAAAGAAATCAGCAGGGCAGAGCTGAATATATGGATATATACCCCCCAATTAACGTTCTAGTTTCGCCCAACCTTGTTTTCAACCATTAAAGTTACGTGACGTCATTTCTAAATAATGAATTCGAGAATATGTCGATTTAAGAAATACAAGTAAAAAATCCTTATCAAACGACTGAAATAATGGAGACCGATTTGCGCAGCACAACATGCCCTAGGACACAAGCATCAAAGGCTCCGACACGAGTCACCTTTCTGTATAATCATTATTTTGTGACCATGTTCTTCGTCATACTGTATTAGATCCTCACTGTTAATTTTCTTTTCTTATTTATTTGACATTAAATGTGCTTGTAAAATTGTATTTCAGGTAAAGGTGGAGAACTTGTTGACAGTGGCAATAATACATATGGAGGAAAATATGTTATTAACCCAAGCGGTGGTTTGATATCTAAGGGCCATCCCTTGGGCGCCACAGGTAAATTATAATGACTCCAAACTTTTGAGTTAGTCGAATATTGTTGTATTTGTTACTAATATTCGTGTGCGACAGAGGTAGCAATCTTCTCTTGCTTTCAGTCACCTCTGTTGTATGAGTGATTATATTTACGTAACAAGTTGTATTTTTGTTTATTCGTTCTAAGGTCTGGCACAGTGTGCTGAATTATGTGCTCAACTGCGAGGTGAATGTGGTAAACGCCAAGTACCAGGTGCTATTGTTGCTCTACAGCATAACTTGGGAATTGGTGGAGCAGTGGTTGTCGCTTTATATAAAATGGCCTTTTCGAAGTATGTACGCTGTTTTTAAGAAAATGTTCTTCTTTTTTGTTTACCAGTCATGCCTAGCTAACATTTTTCAAGTTGAAGCATGTCTACATCTTTGGCAGTATCGTTTACGAACTGTTGACGATCGCACATTTTTCGGATAGCGTGACCAGATTTGGTAAACGTTTTACTTTTGAAAATTTTGGCAGAGTTTTGGTAATTAAAAATTTTGATGAAATATTTGGGAAAACCGGAGTAAGGTCTTTCTTGTTAAATGGCTATTGCTTGAAGAATACAGCAACAGCCTCAGATTCTAGGCAACCAAATCTTATCTGAAATAATTACGATTCGAATTTAAATTACGAATTTGAATATTAATAATTATTTGACTGTATCGTTATTCTTTGCTATGAAATATGCCATGAAGTGTGTGTCATGCGTGTTTGAATTAATTCTGTTACAATTGTTAATTTATTTGGTAATACTTACTGGCGCAACTGACTGTTGACTATTTTGCATTGAAGAGCTATATTCTTGGATTTAATTCAAATGGGTATCACATTTTTGATTTTTTAATTCGTATATATGTAGAAATGGTACGGTCATCAAATCAAGTGCTGGAGTCAGCACTTTCAAGTCATTGCCTGTTTTTAAATATATGGAAGAAGTACTAGAAAAGGTATAATACAGTAGCAAATAATGTAAAGATGGAGCAGTTAGCTTTCCACGTTCCAATGTTCATGTTGATTCGTTGTCTAAGATGAAGATAAATTTCTCTTAAGTTTTTGCAGATCGAAAATGTCAATTATGTCATGGTGAAAGAAATGAAATGGTTGTCTTAAAACATTAACTGTGAAATAATTTTTTCTTAGGAAGGAGCAAAATTTGTAAAGCAAGTGAAAGCGCTTTTCTTATTTGAACTGACGAACGGTCCCAACGGAGAGACCAAAAAATGGACTATTGATCTTAAAAACGGAAATGGCTCAATTCATCTCGGGGGCAATAAGTCAGGTGAGAGAATCTCAACCAAAATCGTTTGCTTGCGAGAGCGCATTTAGCTACTTATTTACCATAATTTTTCATAAATTTGCTGTACACACTATATTTACTTTGAATTTATGTTCTAGATGGCTTTGGAATGTAGAATAAAAAATGAAATTTATGAACAACTTACTGATCATAGTTATTGTCTTTTGTACGTAACTTCAATGTATAGATGTTGACTGCACTGTAACAATAAAGGATGAAGACTTCTATAAAATGGCGAGTGGCTCATTGAATCCACAAACAGTGAGTAACAGTTTTTGTCAGCTGCATGATCGGGTCAATAAAAAACGATTCGAATCTTGAAATCATTGCTTGCATGAGTTCACAGTGCAGGTGAGATACTGATTGTACAAATTGTGTCCTTAAAAAGCTCGCGTTCTTGCTTAATTGCCATATGTTTATATCTGCCTATTCAATTAAGTGCTCCTAAGCAATAATGTGTGCTACTTTTTATGTTCTCGAAGGTGGTTTATTTGTTTTAGTGTGCGAATTTGTCATTTCTTGGCATTTACAAACACTTGACAAGCTACTTTTTGGTAAAAACATTGATACAGTAGATAATTTAACTACTTCGTTGACATTTGAAATTGATCCTTAATGCTATTCTGTATATGAACGTTATTACATTTGTAAGATGAAGTCCAAGTGCGACAAAAGTATAGTTCAGTATAACCTTTAATTTTTTACATTTGCAGGCATATTTTCAAGGCAAACTAAAGGCGTCTGGAAATATTGTGTTAATTGCAAAACTTGGAAAACTTTTGCCTCGTGGAACTTTATCTAAACTTTAATTTATTAGGCCAAGTTCGTAAGGTCAGACATAATATAAATTCTTTATTTACTTATCAGTTACAACCTTCTTTTAAAGTGTACGTGTAGCCCCTATACTGCTATATTACGTATATTCGCAAGTCCAGATACCGGTAGAAAAGGCAATGCCAAGTTTTCCTTTAACAAAATTTTTGGTAAACATACTTTTGACGTCATTTATATCACATATGTGAGGTATTATTGGATAGTAACCTCAGTCCAATGCCTCTGTCTTTGATATATTTTTAAGTAATTTTGTCTTTTTTAACATTATCGACCGTATTCTAAAAGCTCATTCACACTTACACTCTGATTGAGGCTTTAAAATCACCTCATAACTATTCGAGGATGGTGTTTTCGCTCCACTGATTGCTTGATTTGAAATATATTAGCAAATATCTAGCCATCGCTGAAAAATGACTTTGCCATTGAGTAGAAAGAGCATGCATGATTTTTATGTGCACTCAGAGGCATGAGTGCTCCTTATAAGACGTCACGATTTCTATTAGTTATTTTTAATATCAGAGCACATCACGAATAGTTACAAATTAAATGAAACGAAACAACATTTTATTTCTAATACAGGTGTACATTAAATATATCGAATTGTTGCACGTATACTTTAAATTGAAGGAAGCAGTATGTTAATGTTTAGATCAAATTGTTATACTTACGCAGACATTTATATTATCATATCGACAAAGTTGAATGAAGAGAAGGGAACTTAATAAAACTTACTTACGGGTATAATCGATTCTTTAAATCATTTCCATTATTTAATCTATAAAATCAGTGCTGCGCTCAGAGAAGATTCTGTACTAAAGATTCATGTCAGAGTCTCAAGCAAAAGCACTAAAGCGAATTTTATTGTAGTTTTACTGCAATACTGAGAATGCCAAATTGCTTTCTAGTAGAAGGAAAGTCATGACCGAGATCTCAGACATATACATACAGTAGATACCCTCAAATAACTCCAAAATCTTAAGGGAGACACGCAAAAATATGTTTGAGAATGGAGAGGTTAGAGTTAGCGAAAGTGTTGTTCAATTTTGTATGGTGAATACGAAGCTAGCAGTTTTACTATTTATTTACAATTCTGAGCTACAAAATAGCAACCTAAAGACAGTTCAAGTGTGATCAAATACTTTCAAAGATCAGCAGTGGCGTAGCTAGCAGAAAACATTTGGTCGGGCTCACGAGGCGCCACCATGGTTGGCGCCGAGCGATAACCGAGCGAGTCGGAAACGGCTATCTTAGAAAGAAAATGCGTGATATTCATGCAGGAAATAGAACCATTTTGGTTAATTTAAATTGCCGAAGGATCTTATAGTAAAGCAGAGAAACAATTCAAAAATAGTTGCAGATATGAGATTTATTTTCTCAACACTACATACATAAATAGATACCTATGTACATCTTGTAAAGAAACTTTGACAAAAGAACCGAAAAAGGCTCAGATTTGTCATCAACAACTATCAAAAGATGTGATGAAATTGTCGTGCTGAAATGACAATCATCATTGACTGCATTAAAAAGTTCCCGGAAAAATTCTCACATGCCATGGACGTAAGACATCATCAGCTTGCTATCAGCCATATATGTATACCTATTTGTATAAGAAAGCAAGTCTTCGTGGTTTTCAATGAACTTCTTTACAACCTCATGATGCAATGTGTTGGCGTCTTCTTTCTCTGACAGTATGTCTTTGTGAATGGAAATCCTGCAAAGAGAACTAAAACGTCCTTGGCTCATAGTATTTCTAAGATAATTTTTTACCCTCTTCAAACAATAAAATGACCTCTCAACTGAAGCACTTGTAATTGACAAAACCCCATTTATCTTTAACAGTTTTACAATTTCTGGAATACTACATTGATAATGGAACTGAAAGATATATTTCAATAATTCATCGCATGAATCACAGTGAAAGTCTTTATCTCTGTAAATAAAACAAAGTTGGCTAACTAGCATTGGTATGTCAAACATATCACCATAAACCTCCTTTAGAAGATTAATCTTTTCTGAGGGCACTTCACCTTTCCAATCTTAAACACCCTAGGGTAAACAAGGTCAAAATCTAAAACGCTCCATATCCTGAAATCGCTCAGTAAGCATAGTCACAATTGTGTCAAGAATTAAAAAATACATTTGTTTGTAATTATGCCGTTGGTCATACCTGGTTACTGGTGGTCCCATTTATTCAACAGTGTCCTTGTCTTGCAAGATAGAATAAAGTATGGATGACTGCTCAAGAATTCTCTGGAAAACATGTACCAAGAAACAAAACAAGAAGCCATTAAGGTAGCCAAGTAAACCAGTAACCTTACTTAACGTTTCATCATCCCAACCTATTGGATTATCAGTAAGATTTTCAAATATGTCTATCAGTTTCTCATAGTTAGAATGCAAGACATTGATGACATGAGCCCTATAATACCATCTTGTGTCACCAGGACTAGGAAACTCAAGCCTATGGGATGATAGTAAAGCTTTTCTTTTGGGAATTGCTAGTAAAGGTGCAGAAAGCACTAATATTAACAAAGAAAATCTTAACAGGTGAGATGGAGGATGCAGCTTGACATAATACTAGATTTAGTCTATGGGCAGCACAGTGAACAAATTGAGCATAAGGATAATCCTGCTGAACTTGAGCTTGAACACTATTGAGATGACCAGACATAACAGATGCACCATCATAAGTCTGTCCAATAAATTTCTCTTTCACATTATTGTATTGACTTAACTTACCTTAACTACTGATGATATAGCAGTTGCAGTCCTATCACAACTAACATCAACAAACCCAAGCTGTCTTTCAATGACACTTTCCCCTTTGTCCATTCGAACAATTACACTGAATAGTTCTTTGGTAGAAACATCAGTTGCCTCATCAACCTGTAGAGTTATGAAAGTGCAGCAATATATTTCCTTTAAAATCTCATCCTTTATTATCTTATCAAGACAATCAATCAAATCATTCTGAATATCAGGAGAGACTCCAGTAAACCGCCCTTCCCCAGCAAGGTGGGTTTCAGCAAGCCTTCCATGTAATCGCCTTTCAAAAACAGAATCCATCTTGGCAAAACTTTCAAGGCGCCCATGTGCGATTTTGCCTTCTCATGCTTCTTACAATCGGATAGGAAATTCTTCATGTTTTTGAATCCCGTCTAAGTCCATGAAGATGACGATCCAGGGCAAAATAAAAGACAAGGCCAACAGAACAATGCATTCTTTTCTGAGCTACCACAAAACCAATCTTTCTTCGAGTACCAACTTTCCTGAAAGCTTCAAATGCCTGCAGTCGCTTGTAAATTTGGAATTGGCCGCTGCTTTACGAGTATATTTTGCTCGCCTGATTGTCGAACAGAAAAGGGTTTCTTTTGTAGTTCACTTGTTATATCGATTTCATTAGCCGAAGCCATTGTAATGTAAGTTATCACGATTTCCGAACGTATATTTCGAAAGATCAAAATTCAAGTCACGCTTTTGAAAATGAGATGTTGTTAAACGTTTGAGTGTGTTCACAGCTACTCTCAACCAATCAGATTACAGATATTCCCACTATAGATTTTACTATTTGGTCGGGCTGAATTTTCAGAGCCCGACTAGATGTTGCGAAACAGCGGCATTTGAGTTTGCTCCGTTGCTGTCAACCAATCAGATTGCAGATAATCCCACTATAGATTTTACTGTTTGGTCGGGCTGAATTTTCAGAGCCCGACTAAACTGCGTAATGCCTGGCACTAGAAATGCACTAGTCATTGTTGCTAAGTAACGTTTAAAAATATGATAATTTTGCTAATAACGACGCAATTTGACAAATATTACACTAATAGACTGTGGATTATTCTAAAAAGAGTCGCAGAATTTAAAATTTTCGCAAATCCAATTTTAAAGAAAACAAATTTTTCATTTTTGGGAAAATATTTGGTCGGGCTGGGCCCGACCAGCCAGACCGCTAGCTACGCCACTGAAGATCAGTAGTTTTATATAATTCATAATCTAGGTCATTACTATCAAATTTAATAGGCAGTTAAGGCAAATTGTTCACTATGAACTTTTGAAACTATATTGCATGTATAATTTAATAATTTAATGTAGTTTAAATAAATTTACACTTTTGACTTTCAAATTTTAACCCTTAAAAGTTTACACTTTGGCGTTTCCAGATCGTGAAATGGACTAAATGTGCCATCAAAGACACGAGATTTTCAATTTAATTCGAGTGAGCGGTGACTTCAATTTGATGAAGTTCGAGTTATTGGAGTTCTACTGTATTAATTCGTGATTTTTAAAATCACAGTGACTCTACATGTGTACATGCACAAACACACAAGTAAAATTGAATTAAAGAAATGTCACAAAGCCACTAGGCACAAAACAAAACTAATTACTGAAATAGCTAAACATAATTCATGCGAGTTAATGGAAGCTAAATTTTCTGGACCCAGATCAACGATGGTACAATTTCCAGAACCACTACATTCTTGAGTGCAGTTTTTAGTTTGACCCAGATTAACGATGGTACAATTTCCAGAACCACTACATTCTTGAGTGCAATTTTTAGTTTGACCCCGATTAACGATGGTACAATTTCCAGAACCACTACATTCTTGAGTGCAGTTTTTAGTTTGACCTGGATTAACGATGGTGCGATTTCCAGAACCACTAGGTTCTTCACTGCAGTTTTTAGTCTTATTACGATTGACGAAGATACAATTTCCAGAACCACTACATTCTTGAATGCAGTTTTTAGCTTGACAGTCTAGAACACAGCGCGTTTTAGTTGTACACTTTTGAGAACAGAAACTGACCGAGTCAGTGCAGTTCATAGTACAACTACCACTGTCACAATTCTGGTCACATTTATCTGCTTCACATAGCATTTTCTTAGAGTCTCCTTCACTATATTGTTTGCATAATCGTGTCGCGGAAGAACACTTCATTTCTTTTGCACCATTCTCGATTGCGTTTTGTTCACAATACTTGTTAGCATGACAGGTCATGAAGCATAGTCCCGTTTCACAGTTTTGTGTGCAATTTTCTTTCGCCACACAGGTCATGTTAACATTTTCAAAACAATTTACTGGCTCACACAACTGCGAGCATGACTGATACGGTGCTGTTGCATTACATACGCAATCAAAATCAATATCGCATTCTTTATGAAGCTGTATTTTTCCAATGTTTCCTGCATAACACATGACAATTATGCTCAAAATCAAGAAAACTTGGTTAATCTTCATTTCTAAAATGGAGAAAACGCTGTCAAATTATTTTGCTTGCCCTTGTTCTACAATGGCGTAGCCAGCACATAGTTTTAATCCCGCTAAGTAAATGTCAGGACATTACCGTTCTTTTCTTAGAAGATCAATTGATTTTGCAGTGAATGAACTGAAATAAATTCGCATGCGCTAGTCACTCTTCTTGGAACACATTCCCAATTTATAGGAAGAATTTTGCGTTAGCCTAAGCAAACGGAAATGTGTCACAAAGGGGGTGTCCCTATAAAATGTTCGACTTTGCAAGTGTCGCGAAATAAAGTCAAAATTTATAGTGACCACTTATGTTTTGTTTTCACGCGATGTAAGTCAATGTTTATTTGAATGAACTAAATGTCTCTGGAAAGTGAAATCATTTACTTTGACATCGCTTCCCCTTCGTGTCAATATTATAGAGAAAATGCTGTTTTCTATAATGCATACACAAAGCGTGTGACTATAGAAAGTACAGTAAGAAAAATCCCTAAGAGAGTTGGGTATTTATTCATGTGATGTTTGCCAAATTTTTTGTTTACGCAGCTGAATTTGACTCATTACCTTTTACATTACCGGTACAACCGGTTCTGTTTTCAGGTCGCTGCATTTCAAAATACTTAACATATTGCTTCAAACATTTTTATTAAGCTCTCATTTTCAGCCCTAAGGTTAAGTTTCATTTATGAATTAGCTGAATAATGGTGATGAGTGTAGCACATCCTAGGTTGCCACACCAATCAGACCAACAGAATAATTCGCTGAAGAACCTTTATGTTACGTTACTAATTAATATCTTATATTTTAGAACACAGTTCTCCTGCATCATGGAGCATTTCATCCTTAACATTTGTTTGTAAAAGTTCCTCTTCCCCAACGATAGTCCATATCACAAAATCTTCAACTTAAATTATACAGTTTGTTTCCGTATAAAAGAAAACAGTTTATGAGTATATTACATATAAATATAAGAAAAGAATCAGCAAGAAAAATACTTTTGTAAAACTAACGTATAAGTGGACTCGTCGTTACCACAAGCTTTGATATTATGCCGCTCTACAAGCGAGGCATTGCCCACTAAACATTAACTGCGATGATATGGTGATTGCGCGCTACTCATGCAATGCGCCTTGACTCTACTCTGGTGTTCATTTCAACTGGCTTACCTAAAATTTCTTGATGACCATCTTTGGATAGTTTCTTCTCGACAACTTTTCGTTATTTGAGGGCTTTCAGCAATGAGCACGCTTTGAATTCGTCTGCAACGGAAAGAGTTTGATTGGCTGTTTAGTTTTCGCAGAGCTTAATGAAATACAATATGACCGTCTCGTGATCTAAATACAAATACGCCTAGTTCCTTACATCATGATTTGAATTCGTAGCATTCCAGTTCAAACGGGGACTACCCTGTGTGTATGTGTTTTTTTTCCATTTATAATTATGGCTAAATTCTTCTAAATGAAAAATGTTCCCTTTTCTAAATCCTTAGCTGAAAATGAAGTGACTAAACATAAAACAAACGTGGTAGAGTACAGATAAATACATCCGATTCTTTCAATTTCCGTGCAGGATATAGTATACACATTATCGGAAACATGCAAATATATATTCCAAGAAAACATCAAAAAGGGAACTATCAAGTTGTGAGAATTTATATGAAGTAGACAATTCAGTGCCATACTTAAACATGGCAGTTTATATTAAATGTATTGGCAATAGTGCTTTTACGAAATTATAGAATTTGATTAGCTCGTCAACTTGTGAGTATAATAAATTTGAAAATTTACATATTTACGCATTTCAAAATAATTCACATATTGCCTTAAATAAGTCTATCTTATAAAAAACTGCAAAATTATTAACAGCACTAAAATATAAAACTTGCGGTTATGTGTATGTCTTTCATTCAAATGACAAAAATTGATTTATAGTATGACGCATTGGTCAATATTGGGGAATTCCCTGAACTGGATAATGATGTGTTTTGCCATACAGATAAATCTCAAATGTTTTCATTAAGCTCTCATTTTCAGCCCTAAGGATAAGTTTCATTCATGAATTAGCTGAATAATGGTGATGAGTATAGCACATCCTAGGTTGCCACATCAATCAGACCAACAGAAAAATTCGCTGAAGAGCCTTTATGTTACGTTACTAATTAATATCTTATATTTTAGAACACAGTTCTCCTGCATCATGGAGTATTTCATCCTTAACATTTGTTTGTAAAATTTCCTCTTCCCCAACGATAGCCCATATCACAAAATCTTCTACTTAAACTTATACAGTCTGTTCGTATAAAATAAAATAGTTTATTGATAAATTACAAACAAATATATATTAAAAAAATCAGCAAGAAAAATACTTTTCCAAAGCTGACCTATAAGGACACATCTTCACTACAAATGTACTTTAAAAATAATATTATGCTACTCTACAAGCGACCGTTGCCCATAAAACAATTGTGTGCTATTACTCGTTTTGCCTTGACTCTGATCTAGTGTAAAATATACAAATGGTATACCTAAAATTCCTTAATGACCATCTTTGGATGGTTTTTCCCCTAATAATGTTTCGTCAGTTTCGTTATTGACAGTTTGAACGGCTTGACAGTCCTTGAGAAATGAACACGCTTTTAATTTGACTACAATTGAGAAAAATTTGGCCTGTCTTGCTTTTGTAGAGATTAAATGTAATTCTATATGTGACTTTCGGATAGAAATTTGATTGGCTCTCTTCCTTTCGTTGAGATTAATGAAATACTGTGTGACCGTCTCGTGATCTATGTACAAACATACTATCCTTACATCATGATGTAATTTGGTAATTTCCCAGTTCCTACGGGGACTATACCACAGTTTAGGGAATATAAAGTAGAACCACTTTCTATGTAACTTGCTTGTGTATATTTAATTAGACTACTGGCTACTGTTAGCCATTTCATCATTCCTATTCGCCAGAAAATGAAATTGACTGACTGGAACTATGATAATCACATGCGCAATGAGATGTATGAGTGGCACAAAAGAATTCAATGGAGTGACCCTACTTTATGTCTCCTATGCTCTGACTATACTGACTATACTCAGTGTCCCTTCCTTACTTTTTCATACATGATTATGGCGTGATTCTTCTATGTTAAAAATCTTTCTTTTTCTAAATTTCTTTGCTGAAAATGAAGTGACCATTTCTAACAGACAAATACATCCGTACAATAAACAAAACCAACGCGTATGACAGTCAAAACAGTTTGCAAGATTTTACTTGACAACATAGCAAAAACTATGAAAGACAGCAAGCAGGAGTAAAAGATTGTGATAATTACCACCTAAAGGCAAAGTACGTACCCTTTAGGAGCTCATATCGTTGAAGTACGCAACATTCATATAAGGGGGTCAAACTTATGGAGAGACCAAATACTTTTAACAGCCTGGCGCGTCATTGATGTTACCAGTAACTTGTTAACGAAATTGAAATCAATCATCTTTATAGATCAAGTTGGTATATTTATGCAGACATTTAAATATGTTATCATATCTACAAAGTTAAATGAAGAGAAATAAACTAAACATAACTTACTAACGGTTATCATCGATTCTAAAAAAATACTGTCCATTATTTAATCTGTGAGATCAGTGCTATGCTCAGACGATTCTGTGCTAAAGATTCATGTCAGAGTCTCGAGCAAAAGCACCAAAGCAAATTTTATTGTAGTTTTACTTCAATACTGAGAATGCCAAATTGCTTTCTAGTAGAAGGAAAGTCATGACCGAGATCTCATACATATACATACAGTAGATACCCTCAAATAACTCCAAACTCTTAAGGAGACACGCAAAATATGTTTGAGAATGGAGAGGTTAAATTAGTGAAAGTGCTGTTCAATTTTGTATAGTGAATACAAAGTTAGCAGTTTTACTATTTATTTACAATTCTGAGCTACAAAATAGCAACCTAAAGACAGTTCAAGTGTGATAAAATACTTTCAAAGATCAGTAATTTTATATAACTCATAATCTAGGTCATTAAAGAGGTCTCTTAATCTAGGTCTCTTATAATCTAGGTCTCATAATCTAGGTCTCTTATGTGCCATCAAAGACACGAGATTTTCAATTCAATTCAAGTGAGCGGTGACTTCAATTTGAGGAAGTTCGAGTTATTGGAGTTCTACTGTATTAATTCATGATTTTTCAAAATCACAGTGACTCGACATGTGTACATTCACAAACACACAAGTAAAATTGAATTAAAGAAATGTCAGAAAGCCACTAGGCACAAAACAAAACTAATTACTGAAATAGCTAAACATAATTCATATGAGTTAATGGAAGCTAAATTTTCTGGACACAGATCAACGATGGTGCAATTTCCAGAACCACTACATTCTTGAGTGCAGTTTTTAGCTTGACCCCGATTAACGATGGTACAATTTCCAGAACCACTACATCCTTGAGTGCAGTTGTTAGTTTGACCTGGATTAACGATGGTGCGATTTCCAGAACCACTAGACTCTTCACTGAAGTTTTTAGTCTTATTACGATTGACGATGATACAATTTCCAGAACCACTACATTCTTGAATGCAGTTTTAGCTTGACAGTCTAGAACACAACGCGTCTTAGTTGTACACTTTTGAGAACAGAAACTGACCGAGTCAGTGCAGTTCATAGTACAACTACCACTGTCACAATTCTGGTCACATTTATCTGCTTCACATAGCATTTTCTTAGAGTCTCCTTCACTATATTGTTTGCATAATCGTGTCGCGGAAGAACACTTCATTTCTTTTGCACCATTCTCGATTGCGTTTTGTTCACAATACCTGTTAGCATGACAGGTCATGAAGCATAGTCCTGTTTCACAGTTTTGTGTGCAATTTTCTTTCGCCACACAGGTCATGTTAACATTTTCAAAACAATATACTGGATCACACAACTGCGAGCATGACTGATACGGTGCTGTTGCATTACATACGCAATCAAAATCAATATCGCATTCTTTATGCAGCTGTATTTTTCCAATGTTTCTTGCATAACATATGACAATTATGCTCAAAATCAAGCAAACTTGGTTAATCTTCATTTCTAAAATGGAGAAAACGCTGTCAAATTATTTTGCTTGCCCTTGTTCTACAATGGCGTAGCCAGCACATAGTTTTAATCCCGCTAAGTAAATGTCAGGACATTACCGTTCTTTTCTTAGAAGATCAATTGATTTTGCAGTGAATGAACTGAAATAAATTCGCATGCGCAAGTCACTCTTCTTGGAACACATTCCCAATTTATAGGAAGAATTTTGCGTAAGCATAAGCAATAGTTATACCATACGGAAATGTGTCACAAAGGGGATGTCCCTAAAAATTCCGACTTTGCAAGTGTCGCGAAATAAAGTCAAAATTTATAGTGACCACTTATGTTTTGTTTTAACGCAATGTAAGTCAATGTTTATTTGAATGAACGAAATGTCTCTGGAAAGTGAAATCATTTACTTTGACATCGCTTCCCCTTCGGCATGTCAATATTATAGAGAAAAATGCTGTTTTCTATAATGCATACACAAAGCGTGTGACTATAGAAAGTACAGTAAGAAAAATCCCTAAGATAGTTGGGTATTTATTCATGTGATGTTTGCCAAATTTTTTGTTTACGCAGCTGAATTTGACTCATTACTCGTTACATTACCGGTACAACCGGTTCTGTTTTCAGGTCACTGCATTTCAAAATACTTAACATATTGCTTCAAATATTTTATTAAACTCTCATTTTCAGCCCTAAGGCTAAGTTTCATTTATGAATTAGCTGAATAATGGTGATGAGTGTAGCACATCCTAGGTTGCCACACCCATCAGACCAACAGAATAATTCGCTGAAGAACCTTTATGTTACGTTACTAATTAATATCTTATATTTTAGAACACAGTTCTCCTGCATCATGGAGCATTTCATCCTTAACATTTGTTTGTTGTAGTTCCTCTTCCCCAACGATAGTCCATATCACAAAATCTTCAACTTAAATTATACAGTTTGTTTCCGTATAAAAGAAAACAGTTTATGAGTATATTACATATAAATATAAGAAAAGAATCAGCAAGAAAAATACCTTTGCAAAACTAACGTATACGTGGACTCGTCGTTACCACAAGCTTTGATATTATGCCGCTCTACAAGCGAGGCACTGCCCACAAAACATTAACTGCGATGATATGGTAACTGCGCGCTACTCATGCAATGCGCCTTGACTCTACTCTGGTATTCATTTCAACTGGCTTACCTAAAATTTCTTGATGACCGCCTTTGGATAATTTCTTCTCGACAATTTTTCGTTATTTGAGGGCTTTCAGCAATGAGCACGCTTTGAATTCGTCTGCAACGGAAAGAATTTGATTGGCCGTTTAGTTTTCGCAGAGCTTAATGAAATACTATATGACCGTCTCGTGATCTAAATACAAATACGCCTAGTTCCTTACATCATGATTTGAATTTGTAGCATTCCAGTTCAAACGGGGAGTACCCAGTGTGTGTGTGTTTTTTTTCCATTTATAATTATGGCTAAATTCTTCTAAATGAAAATGTTCCTTTTCTAAATCCTTAGCTGAAAATGAAGTGACTAAACATAAAACGAACGTGGTAGAGTACAAACAAATACATCCGATTCTTTCAATTTCCGTGCAGGATATAGTATACACATTATCGGAAACATGCAAATATATATTCCAAGAAAACATCAAAAGGAACTATCAAGTTGTGAGAATTTATATGAAGTAGACAATTCAGTGCCATACTTAACATCATGAGTTGCATGAGAATTTGATTAGCTCGTCAACTCGTAAGTATAATAAATTTGAAAATTTACATATTTCGCATTTCAAAATAATTCACATATTGCCTTAAGTAAGTCTATCTCATGAAAAACTGCAAAATTATTAACAGCATCAAAATATGAAACTTGTGGTTATGTGTATGTCTTTCATTCAAATGACAAAAATTGATTTATAGTATGACGCATTGGTCAATATTGGAGAATTCCCTGAACCGGATAATGATGTGTTTTGCCATACAGATAAATGTCAAATATTTTCATTAAGCTCTCATTTTGAGCCCTAAGAATAAGTTTCATTTATGAATTAGCTGAATAATGGTGATGAGTGTAGCACATCCTAGTTTGCCATACCCATCAGACCAACAGAAAAATTCGCTGAAGAACCTTTATATTACGTTACAAATTAATATCTTATATTTTAGAACACAGTTCTCCTGCATCATGGAGTATTTCATCCTTAACATTTGTAAAAGTTCCTCTTCCCTAACGATAGCTCATATCACAAAATCTTCAACTTGAATTTATACAGTTTGTTTCCGAATAAAAGAAAACAGTTTATGAGTGTATTACATATAAATATAAGAAAAGAATCAGCAAGAAAAATACCTCTACAAAACTAACGTATAAGTGGACTCGTCCTTACTACAAGCTTTGATATTATGCCGCTCTAGTAGCGAGGCATTGCCCACAAAACATTAACTGCGATGATATGGTAACTGCGCGCTACTCATGCAATGCGCCTTGACTCTACTCTGATGTTCATTTCAAATGGCTTACCTAAAATTTCTTGATGACCGTCTTTGGATAGTTTCTTCTCGACAACTTTTCGTTATTTGAAGGCTTTCAGCAATGAGCACGCTTTGAATTCGTCTGCAACGGAAAGAATTTGATTGGCCGATTAGTTTTCGCAGGGCTCAATGAAATACCATATGACCATCTCGTGATTTAAATTTGTAACATTCCAGTTCCAACGGGAAATACCCTGTGTCTTAGTGTTTTTTCCATTCATAACTATGGCGAAATTCTTTTAAATTAAAAATGTATCCTTTTCTAAATCCTTAGCTGAAATTGAAGTGACTAAACATAAAACGAACGTGGTAGAGTACAGACAAATACATCCGATTCTTTCAATTTCCGTACAGGATATAGTATACACATTATCGGAAACATGCAAATATATATTCCAAGAAAACATCAAAAAGGAACTATCAAGTTCTGAGAATTTATATGAAAAAGACAATTCAGTGCCATACTTAACATCATGAGTTGCATGAGAATTTGATTAGCTCGTCAACTCGTAAGTATATAATAAATTTGAAAATTTACATATTTACGCATTTCAAAATAATTCACATATTGCCTTAAGTAAGTCTATCTCATGAAAAACTGCAAAATTATTAACAGCATCAAAATATAAAACTTGCGGTTATGTGTATGTCTTTCATTCAAATGACAAAAATTGATTTATAGTATGACGCATTGGTCAATATTGGAGAATTCCCTGAACCGGATAATGATGTGTTTTGCCATACAGATAAATGTCAAATATTTTCATTAAGCTCTCATTTTGAGCCCTAAGAATAAGTTTCATTCATGAATTAGCTGAATAATGGTGATGAGTATAGCACATCCTAGTTTGCCACATCAATCAGACCAACAGAAAAATTCGCTGAAGAACCTTTATATTACGTTACAAATTAATATCTTATATTTTAGAACACAGTAGTTCTCCTGCATCATGGAGCATTTCATCCTTAACATTTGTTTGTAAAAGTTCCTCTTCCCCAACGATAGCTCATATCACAAAATCTTCAACTTAAGTTTATACAGTTTGTTTCCGTATAAAAGAAAACAGTTTATGAGTGCATTACATATAAATATAAGAAAAGAATCAGCAAGAAAAATACCTTTACAAAACTAACGTATAAGTGGCTCGTCGTTACTACAAGCTTTGATATTTTGCCGCTCTAGTAGCGAGGCATTGCCCACTAAACATTAACTTCGATGATATGGTGATTGCGCGCTACTCATGCAATGCGCCTTGACTCTACTCTGATGTTCATTTCAAATGGCTTACCTAAAATTTCTTGATGACCGTCTTTGGATAGTTTCTTCTCGACAACCTTTCGTTATTTGAAGGCTTTCAGCAATGAGCACGCTTTGAATTCGTCTGCAACGGAAAGAATTTGATTGGCCGTTTAGTTTTCGCAGAGCTTAATGAAATACTATATGGCCGTCTCGTGATCTAAATACAAATACGCCTAGTTCCTTACATCATGATTTAAATTTGTAACATTTCAGTTCCAACGACGACTATCCTGTGTGTCAGTGTTTTTTCCATTCATATTTATGGCTAAATTCTTTTAAATTAAAATGTTTCATTTTCTAAATCCTTAGTTAAAATAAAATGACTAAACAAAGGTGGTAGAGTACAGACAAATACATCCGATTCTTTCAATTTCCGTGCAGGATATAGTATACACATTATCGTAAACATGCAAGTATATATTCCAAGAAAACATCAAAAGGGAACTATCAAGTTGTGAGAATTTATATGAAGTAGACAATTCAGTGCCATACTTAACATCATGAATTGCATGAAAATTTGATTAGTTCGTCAACTCGTGAGTCGTGAGTACGTCATAAATTTGCTTTAGAGAATCTTCCGTACATTTGCTAAGAACATGGCAGTATCAATAAACAAAAATGTACAACGCGCATAGCAGTCAAAAAAGCTTTGCAAGATTGTACTTGACAGCAAAGCAGAAACTGTAAAAGATTGTAATAATTACCGCCAAAAGGCAAAAGTACGCTCTAGGTAAATTCATGTTCCTGACTTTAGCTTAAACAATTCAGCCATTGTTAAGGACAGCTAGTCGTAACTATATTCCAGAAGCCCCACCTCTGTTTTGTGGGCCATAGCACATTTCCAAGCATACCCCCCCTTTGCGAATTTGCCTAATTTGAAAAGTTTTTGTGTGGTCAACTCCTTTAGGCAATTACGTCACCAGCAAGTGAGACATTATTCATATATTCATGTTTTGATCCCTGAGAAACAATTGATTTTGAAGGAACTTAAAAAACATGCATATATGAATAAAATCCTCCTTATTTATCGTGCTGGCGAAGCCACTGCTTTCAGGTTGTTTCTTCAAAGTTTGTACCACTTAGGAGCTCATATATCTTTGAAGTACCCAACATGTATATAAGGGGGCCAAACTTATGAAGAAGCGGTTAGGAGCCAAATATCTTAAGAGCCTGGCGCGTCATTGACCTTACATGTAACGAACGAAATTGAAATCACGTGTACTGAGTGTTTTACTCAAAGCAACAACAAATATCTAAAAAAATGAATAATTTATTTTTCTTAATTTTACATAGCAGGGCTAAAGCTTGCGGGCCAACTGCTGTACGGCATGTGATATTATTGAAATCAGCGAAATCAGTAAATATGAAAGTAGAATTTAAAAAAGCCACATTTATTTGACAGTATCTTATTCATATACAACAATAGTTTATTGAAGAGTGGATAATCTTTAGCTAACCATGACAACAATATTGGATTATTGTAATTGAGCATTTGATTGATGAATTCGTTTGTTTTCAAATATATGTTGTTTAGCAGACGGACGGAGTCCATCATTCGTCATCTGTGGTGACGCAGCGGGCAAAGGTTCAATGTTTTCCTAACATTTTGCTTTTATTTTGTGGTCATCTTATTTCCTTATCGCATTTAGCAAGCTGAAGGAAATGGCGTCGTTCGTAAAATATCTTCGCGCTGTTGGATCGTGCGTGAAAAAAGATTTGTTGTTATTCTTTATTGTCCTTGGAGTTCTATTGGGGTTCTTGATCGGTGCTTTGGTAAACGATCCCGTGCAGAAGAGCTCCAATTCCAAAGAGATCATCATGTATATTTCATTTCCTGGGGAAATTCTCATGCGCATGTTGAAAATGATTATTCTTCCGTTAATCGTTTCGAGTTTGATCGTCGCCCTCGCCGTTCTCGAAGCGAAGGCTGCGGGAAAGCTTGGACGACGAGCTCTGCTTTATTATCTTACGACAACGATACTTGCAGTCATTTTGGGTATTATTTTAGTCGTCAGCATTAAACCAGGGGAAGGTAAAGGCGAGAAAAAAGGAACAGAGTCGAAACACGTACAACCGGTCGATTCGTTGCTTGACCTCATAAGGTAAGCTCGTACGCGTCAGCCTTATATCTCTTGTTGATATTTGTTTACGCCAGCCGTAAATTGATAACCTTAAACTTTGTCGTTCGTTTTCAGGATCAAATTGTTTGTCAGGCACAACTACTTTTTCATGCAACTGCGCAAATCTATGGCATTGTATGTACGTGGCTTAAAGACGTTCTTAAAAGTAGTTATTAGATACTGGGTTGTTGTAACATTGTTTATTGTTTAACGGCAATCCAACTGGAAATATTAACGGAACCTCGGATAACACGGCATTCACGTTTGTCATTTTTACTTATGCGCAATTCACTTGTTTATATTCTTATTTACTTTACGTGCAACACAAATTTAAAAAAATGGTTTTTATTTGCAATGCGCAAGTTTAATATAACGCAGGTTTTTTATATTTTTACACTTATAAGAGTTCATTCGATGGAAAACAACAAATAAAATAAGAGAAATGATAATTTTGTCGAAATATTTGCATAGCAGAAGACAAATAAAGCCCGCTTATTTCAAATTAAAATACGTTCATAACAATGCCATTGGTTAGGAATTTTCAAAGGAATAATTAAACTCTTTTCATCGATGGTCGTAGTAAAGCAGAAAGCTGCACGAATACAGCTTACGTTGAAAGCAAAACCAGCAGTCCTTTTCAAATAAATGCTCTAATTCTATGGCAGTTGTAATTTATATGCTAAATATGTAAATTTTATCTAATACAAAGCACAAATTGATTCTCTTAGGTGGAAAGCCAAAAGGAATTGTTTATGCACAAGGAATTATGCGCAGACAAAACAAAATCATGTGCAGCATGGATACCAAAAATCACTTTTATTTTTTCCTTTAAAACATCGTTATGTAAATGGTGTCACAGAAAACCTAATGGATGATCTCTTAATTACATAATTCGTATTACATTTGCACAGAGTCAATTTAGAGTAATTTGATCGTCTCGGTTAGCAACTAAAATTTTACTACTAAAACACTGTAAATTGCAAAGCTTATCTTTAGCAATTTGATTTTAATTCAACGTGATCTTTCATTCTTTCATACTTCTTTTATTTAACACGATGAATATTGATGTGTGTAATCTTCAGCTACATTTACAGTGTCAAAACTACACGCTTGAATGCGTTTCCTGAGTAATCTTGTTAATTTACACACAAGAAATAAAATGAAAATAACCCAGGAAACCAAACATGTGTTTCTACTCCATCAGCAATTTTCACTTTTAAAACGCAATAAAATCAACTAAATTATTGATGATGTGCTATTTTTGGTCAATGATATTTTTGCGGGTGGTCTTCCAGCTTTAGGTCACTGTGGCCTTACCAACATGTTCAACTATTCTAGGAACGGCGAGGCAGGGGGGTTATTGCTGCTATAAGCCTATAAGGCTATAACCTCCCTAATAATTTTGCATCCATTTGAGTTTTCCAACAAGCCACTCAATTGCACTCAAACCCTTTATTTGCATGGTTGGTAATACCTCCCGGAATGCAAAAATGCTCTGCTATCCATGTTGCTTCACTTACTAAACCCATCAATCAAGGATATAGCTGTAAATATGCGTTCACAATAGCCATGCATATCCTAAAACTATCCAAGTGTTCGTATGTTTCCCTCTTGCCCATATTCTTCATTCAAATATACATCACAGTACAAACAGAACTATGTTAATATTTCAGAAACTGCTTTCCCGACAACCTGGTTGCAGCAGCATCAGTCTCTGTAAGTGAATAATATTAAAATAGTAAATTGTCGTAGCAGATGAAGAGTCTATCTTCTCCGTATTGTGAAACATTTACTGGTGCTGATGGAGAAAATGAACTTGATTCATTTATCAGCAGCCTGACACACTCATTTGTTATGAAAAGTAATATAACCATGTTTATATATAGCAATTGCTGCTCTTGTGATTTACGTATTATGGTTGCCTAATAGGTACTGAGAATGAGTTTTCTACTTCGAGATGCACTTGAGCTAAACATGTTGTTACACTCACTGTGCACTATGTCAAACGTTCTTAGCCATTTTAAATCTCTTGGTTGTAAAGATAATCTTTGCCATTTCAATTCTCTGCGGTTTTAAAGATAAACTTTGCTGTCTCATAGGTTGAAACAAAATACAAAGAAGTTGACGAAAGAATTTATTTTGTAAACCAGTCAGTAAAGGACATCATGATGGATCCAAAAAACATGTCTGTTTTTCTTTCCAAAAACACAATAAACCCTTGGAGTGTGCATACGATGGAGAAATTCAAGGAAGTAAAGATCATCAAGAAAAAGACGAAGTTTGTTTACGATGGCCAACGATTGTCTTCAAAAATGAACATTCTTGGTATAGTTTGCTTTTCCGTGGCATTTGGCGCCGTACTTAGCCACATGGGTGAATCAGGAAGACCAATGACGGTTTTTTTCACCATTCTACTTGAAATTGTCATGAAACTGGTGACGTTGATTATTTGGTGCGGGAAAGTGGATTGCTTTGAGCATCATTGGATCTGTCATATTTCCCTATACCTATATTTACAGTAAGTCCACTTTTTCTTAGGTATTCTCCTATCGGGATTTGCAGTTTGATTGCTGGAAAGGTAGCCTCAATGGAAAGCATCGGCGACATTCTTGCAAAGCTTGGTCTTTACATGGCAACAGTTATATCAGGTCTATTGATACATGCTCTTATTGTGTTGCCGTTGGGATATTTCATCTTCACGCGTAAAAATCCTTTCAAGTTCATTTATGGACTCCGAGCTGCTCTTTTGACTGCCTTTGGAACAAGTTCGAGGTATGAAAAGTTGCGAACAAAAATTCAATATGTTTTATGTCAAAAAGATTGTGGAAGATTTGGCTAAAGATGTTCACTAGTTGCTGACTTTTCATCAATTATGTCAGGCACATACACAAATATAATAACCGTCGTTCGTGTATGTTTATGTCGATACTTAACTGCACTCATATATGAATGTATATTAAGAATTAATGTGCATATTTCCATCAACATATGAAATAGTAAAATTATCTCGGTTAAGGTTTTTTTGGAATGTATGAATTTATTTTTGTCTATTAGCTCGGCGACATTGCCAGTAACGATCAAATGTCTTGAAGAAAACAACCATATCGACCAACGTGTTTCGAGATTCGTTCTTCCTATTGGTGCAACAGTCAATATGGATGGAACTGCATTATACGAAGCCGTGGCTGCTATATTCATTGCACAGTTAAATGATATTGATCTATCATTTGGAGAGATAATTATTACATGGTAAGCTTTGAGGTCAATTTGTCACTCAAATGATATGCATGCATACATCGCCAAACGATGGTATATACATTTACCATGCTACCTACAAACATATCATCTCCTTACTATGATACATGCATACGCACCATCCCTTACGATGGCCAAGTCCATTAAAGCCAACCAAATACAACATTCAAAGAAGCTGTATTTATAGCTTATGTTTTATTATCGACTTTTCTAGCATTACAGCCACAGCAGCATCCGTTGGTGCAGCGGGAGTGCCTCAAGCAGGCCTTGTTACTATGCTTATTGTCCTTCAAGCTGTTGGTTTACCTGTAAGGGATGTCAGTCTCATCGTTGCAGTTGATTGGTTCCTGTAAGTTAGCATCCAATGTAACTTTATCATATTTTACCTTAATAAATTTGTCTTCCAATGACATCAAAGCTTGCACTGACCATTTTTTACATGGCAAGAGTCAATGCTTCATTGAAAAACACATTGATCAAGTAGTACCTTGAATGTAATAATTTCATCCTGTTCAGTTACATCCTGCACCCTTTGAGCAGTGAGCAGCTTGAGTGCAGTACTTTTATCCTGTTCAAATATTACGTGTATGTATAATAAGTAATGGTCATACTTCCGAGTTTTTCATCTTTTTTGAACCTTATCTGTAGTGATCGAATTCGAACGACTGTCAATGTGCTTGGAGACTCATTTGGCGCAGGAATTGTCGAGCATCTTTCCCGGCACGAAATGAAATCAGTTCCTTACAATCCAGAAGATAACTTATCTGCTGGCTATGTTGCTAACGTGAATGGTGTTACCCCCCTTGATTCAGAAGCGTTTGGTATCACTTCGATCGGAAAAATTGATCCAAAAACTGATACACAATTTTAATACATATCTTGTAATACGTAAGTTATACGATAGTAAATCCTACACAAATACTGTTATGATTGATCATGTTTTTATTTGTTCTGTGTTTTAAGTAATATAGTTTTTAATTCACTTGTATTTAGAGATGTAGTCGATGGTATCATTAAGTCCATTTCTTGATATTGATATGACCATGATCTTGATATTACCAAACAATGATGCACGCCCACGTCGGTTGATGCTCACCATAATACTGATAAAATGTTCTTTTGTATCAGATACCAACATAGCTAAATTGCAAGCCAAGAACAGTGCTGTGTACAGTTGAACGAAAGTCAATTTTACTACTTTCAATTTGCTCGATAGCGACTCCGTAATTTAGATCTTCTTTGTAGAAATGCAACATTTATGTCATAAATAGTACTAAGTTTTCTGTTCACCTCTATTTACCATTTTGAATTTTCACCGCACTGTAAAATTTATGTCCTTTAAATAGGGTTGCTTTAGTTGTAATTAAAGTTTAATTACAACTAAAGCAACCTATTAAAGGCATAAATAATAATAATAATAATAATAATAATAATAATAATAATAATAATAATAATAATAATAATAATAATAATAATAATAATAATAATAATAATAATAATAATAATAATAATAATAATGAAAACAATAGATGTTTTTAATTCAATGAATTTTCATTGACAACGTGCAATCTGGAGAGTGCTGCTTATATTTTGCTCATCATTATTAGCTATTTCTCGTTATAATTATTATATCATTAGTTTAATTAGTTTAATAATTATAGCGAGAAATAGCTAATAATGATGAGCAAAATATAAGCAACCTCTCGAGATTGCACGTGTCAATGAAAATTCATTGATTAAAACATCTATTGTTTTCTATTATTATATTGGCTATGCATGGCTAGGTTCTCAACGAGGCAGCCACAAAACAACTCTCGATCCGTAAGCGTTTCTCTATCAAGAAAATATGGCGCTAAAGTTGCTTGCTCATGGTTTCGTCAAAATTTACTACTTTTTATCGTTATCGGTGTAGCAGCTGGCTTTATCATAGGCTTAACCGTGAACGACGCCGTGCAACACTCAAAAGACCCTTCACCAAAGGAATTAACAATGTACATAGCGTTTGCTGGTGAAATATTTCTTCGAATGTTGATGATGATAATTTTACCACTGATAACGTCCAGTATAATAGTCGCAGTTGCCGTCTTAGACAGCAAGTCAACTGGAAAACTGGGAAAGCGTGCTCTTATTTATTACTTGTCCACGACACTGCTCGCTGTTGTCGTTGGTATTATTTTGGTTTCATCCATCAAACCTGGCGAAAAGGCATCTACTAGGAAACCTAAAGAACAAGCGCACGCTGAAGCTGTTCATTCCATCCTTGATTTAGTAAGGTATAACATGAAAATTCTTCCAAAGTCTTTCTATTAAGTCTCTTGTTCAGATTGTTGTGTATTAGCTAATGATTGTGCGCGTATTGTTTAAGTTTACAAATTATTATTTAAGTGCGAAAATTTGTTGTATGCAGCTTTTATGATCAAACCAAATATGATCAAACTAAATGAAAATGTGCCTAAGGAATAATTTTTCAAGGTTATGGGTTTATATGGGCCATATGGCGGTATTTATCAAAAAACGTTTCAGTACAAACTGTTACTGATTCCCACTATTAATTATATATGCATGCAGTCACACATAATGTTCGTTGAAACTCATCTTACTTTTACATCTTCATCACAATAATATGCAGCATATTAATACGAATGAAAAATTGTAATGCTTTCTTTATATTATATGTGCTCACTGTCAGCTATAAAACTATATATACATAGTTTGTCTAGTGATAAATACACGAATGAATAACCAATAACCCAACTTTCTCTCAATGGGTTGTGGCTGCGGTTTTGCACTTGACTGCTATACTTATTGGAGCTTATAGTAAGTCGACACTTCGTCATCAAAATGGCACAAGATAGCTTATACTGTGATTTTGGGCTGTATATTAAGCTTTCTTTACGCATGTCAGTCTATCAACTATTTTTGGGATATGGTAATTTTTTTCAAATTGTAATTATGTCCATGACGCAGGCGCCACAAGCGCTCAACACAAGCACAAAAAGATCTGCTGCCATATGGGTAGTCAGAGTCACTGTAAAGAAAGCTTGTAATGGTCTATGTTGATAACACAAAAACCAATAATTATCATGCATAAATAGCTAGCATGGTCTTTACCAGGTTGACTCTTGCTCAAAAACATTGATATACATGCACACCTCAAAAAGTGAAACAATACCTGTTTTCAATTTATAATTTTATCGCTTAACGCATTAATAAAGTAAATTGTTTTAACCCAAGAATAAAAATACATGTTTGTAAGTGAAGATTGTCCTGTTTGTAGAGACTGTTGGTTTCTGAGAAGAAATGTTCGTAATGGTAATGACTGATGTTGCAACAACTTTAGAGGTAGTCATCTTTGACTTTGAAAATGACTGCTCCTATAAGACTGTTGAAAAATGAAACGTCAGACAACACCAACACGAACATTCCTTCTCAAACTCTAATACCCTGAGTGGGCGATCTATATCTACAAACATATCGCATTAAACTGTAAAATTACAGTGTTGACAATTTTCTGTTACTCTACATAGAAACTGCTTTCCGGACAATATTGTTGGTGCTGCATTTCAATCTGTGAGTACACCAATAAACCTATATAAATAATTGAAATATACCTATAGTTATGCTTTATAAATAAAATATATCATGATTGTATATGGATTTATGCAATTATTTCTTTACCAGACATCTACAAAATTTATAAAGAAACATAAAGGATTTGAATTTGTGAATAAAACATCAGACAACTATAAAAACTCGTTGAAAAATCTTACTGAACTGTTGAAAGATGAATTTGTAAACCCATGGAGTGTTTCAAACGAAAAAAGCGAATTTCAAGTCATTAAAAAATCAGGTTCATATTACGAATATGATGGTCTCGAAAAGAAAGATCGATTGAATATACTTGGAGTTTTAGTATTTTCTATTATGTTCGGTGTCGTCCTTAGTAAGATGGGCGAGCAAGGGAAACTGATGACCGAATGGTTCACTGTTTTGCTAGAAGTGACAATGAAGTTAGTGGAGATCATTATGTGGTATGACATCGTCGTATAATTATAGCCTGATCACTTTTATTCATAGATGGAACAACATATACTCTTTTATTGAGTGTTACATGTTTAGGAAAGTATTCCTTCATTATGATTTCAGGTTTTCTCCAATTGGTATCTGCAGTCTCATAGCAGGAAAACTGGCAGGAATGGAGAACATAAAAGATAATCTTGAAGGTCTTGGAATGTACATGATGACGGTTATCGTTGGACTTTTCATACATGCTTTTATCACATTACCCATAATATACATCGTTGTTGTGAGAAAAAATCCAATTCCTGTATTTTTCGGAATGTCAAATGCCTTCCTTACAGCGTTTGGAACATCTTCAAGGTTAGTAACTTTCTCTATATGTAACACTAATGGATGACATCATCTGATAAAGTAAATTTTTTGCTTCCGGTGTTTAAACGCTGATAAGTTTTCATAGCAACATTTTAATTTTGTAAAAAAAATTTAAACGTAAAAAATGAAATGCTCATTTTTAGGAAAATATATCGTCTTTACCCAATTATAACTATAGCTACTTATTCTTTTTTATTTTAAATGCCCATTTTAAGTGCAATAATCATCTTTCCCTTAACTGTACATACTGTTGTGTTTATATCAACTGCTCATTTTAAAAGCTTGAAATAATCGCTTCTCCCTATGCTATTTATACTTATTGTGATGTTTGTGTATGTCAACTACTTATTTTGAGAGAAATTACTGTCTTTATCCTCTAATTATACTATTTCTTATCATTTTAAAATAGATAATTTTCTTTCCCCTAACCATATTTTTTCTTATGTTTATGTCAACTACTTGTTTTAAGAGAAAGATTAATGTCTTCCTCATTGCCAACTATATATATACTTATTATTGCTAGCGCTGCAACAATGCCTGTGACAATTAAATGTCTCGAAAAAAACAACAACGTTGACCCTCGGATTGTACGATTTGTTATTCCTATCGGAACGACTGTTAACATGGATGGAACCGCCTTGTACGAGGCTGTTGCTCCGATTTTTCTTGCTCAACGCTATTATGGTGGATCTGTTGACTTGGGAAAAACATTTCTTGTGTGGTAATTTTACACAAATTATTGCTTTGAAGCTTTGCTGTGCTTTCATGTATATTCTGTCTTTAGTATAACTGCAACAGCTGCATCAATAGGCGCGGCTGCCATACCATCTGCAGGTCTGGTCACAATGATATTTGTATTGCAAGCGATTGGTCTTCCACCCGATGAGATTGCTTTGATCGTGGCAGTTGATTGGTTCCTGTATGTTTTAAAAATAATATTTTATACTGGGAAATTTACTTCAGTTTTTAAATTTGGGTGTGCAAAAATAAAAGGAGGAATACTGGTTGATTTTATTTCTTAATTGGTCTTTTTAAACATATCAAATTTACAAATCCTCTCGTTTCTAACTTTTTGCGCAGTCATATTTTTTCAATTTCTTGAATTATTGCCTAATACTGCTATTTTGCCCACTGCTGTGTTTTGTATAGTGTTGCTGAAGACAATCGACCAATCAAATCGACTCAATAAATGCTTAATATGGCTAACATGATGTTAACAATATGATGTTTGACAAATTTCAGAATTATATCAGTTCTATTCTCGATTCTAAAAAATAACTTGGGCATAATAGTTAGCAACGTAACAAAATATATATCAACAACATTGAATGTATAATCATGCTTTTTCACGATTTGTATTATTTAGTCTTATTTAGCTATATAAACTCCTAATATGGGTTGAAACAATTTCAATTCATTTTGACATACGAAAGCTTATTTTTTATTGAATAAAAAGTGAGAAACTTTGAAAGCTAGGCTATTACTCTCCACTACTTACTCAAACTGAAGGGATGCATGTTTCAATACTCAACTTTTCGATCCATGCCCAGTATAAATTTTCATCATCATTTTTTTAAGGAAGCATATTTCCTAATTTCTCTTTACAATTGTGATTAACAGAGATCGTGTTCGTACGACAGTGAATGTTTGGGGCGATTCCTTGGGAGCTGCAATAATTGAGCATATTTCAAAGAAAGATCTACTTGCTGCGGATTACAATAAAGAGCTTTCTAATCGTCAAACTCGTGCGAAGGATGAATTAACACTCCTCGATAATACAACGGATGAAATTACATACATGTGACAGTTATTTGAGTTATAATTAAGATGATGGCCCTGAGGCTTTGAATGTGTTTCTTGAATCGTGTTTGTCTTGTGTTGCAAGTTGTGGTTTGTCGAGAGAGCTTCGTTATGAAACGGAGTGAAAGCTTTCTTTTTGTTTTTCAATTAAAGAAAAGCTGTTGAACGGATACTCAAAGTCATAATACTTTTTTTGATGCAGTTTTATATTTCCTTATTTCGAAAGAAATTCGTTTGTGTCTTATGATTTGTCATTGGTAAGTCTTTTGATTTGACATTTCTGCATGCATGTTGCGGACGTGTGCAACCTCAGAATGATTTGATTCACTCTTAGTAGCTGAAGGTGATCATTTTTACGTTGAAACAAACATTGAAAATCATCCAATCATTTCTGCATTCCAGTCACTGATTCCAATACGAGAATTTTTTCTTAGCTTGGAAATGGCGTAGTATGGCCGAGCTCGTTAATCCGGAAATGATGTCAAAGTGCTCTTTTTCGCCATATATGAGAGTATGACTCAGTAGACGTCTTTGGTTGCGCAGTATGTTTTATCTATTGTGAAATCAACACCTTGCTCAGACAACAATTTTCCCGGTCAAAACATTAGCTCGTTAATTGCAGCAAACAAGTATTTTGATATATTCATGCTACATTCTTTACACAATTTATCATTTTCCACTATCTTTGAAGAAAATGTCTCTGAAAACCATTATGGAACGCCTTATGGCAAATTTACGCCTGTTGATGATTCTTGTTGGTGTAGCGGTTGGTTTTCTTGTGGGAATATTGGTAAACGACGCCGTGCAGCACTCGGACGATCCTACACCGAAGGAATTAACAATGTATATATCGTTTCCCGGCGAAATATTTCTTCGCATGTTATCGATGATAATTTTACCTCTGATAACGTCCAGTGTCATAGTCGCTGTGGCCGTCTTAGACAGCAAGTTAATCGGAAAATTAGGAATACGGGCTTTTATTTACTACATTTCTACAACACTCCTCGCTGTGATCGTAGGTATCATTTTGGTTTCATCCATCAAACCTGGCGTATCAGATTTTGACGGAAAATCTAAAGAGCAAGTGCATGCTGAAGCTGTTCATTCTATGCTTGATTTAATAAGGTATAAGAAAAAATTCCTTCCTGTTTTACTTAGAGCCCGTCGTTTTTGTATCGTAAAAGTTTTAGCAACAGCTCTGCAATAGGCTAGCGCCTGTGCTACTGGATGGCCATAGTACAATATAAACTTTTTTTATGGTGACCGACGAAACACTCGGTTTGATGCAAATATTATGACACGTCAAAGATCAAAGGTGGAAAACATTTCATTAATGCAAGGCCTTGACTATCATTCATCCATCATGCGCTCAACTTGTTTTACAATTTCACCTATTGACGTAATATTGCAACTGTTGAAGTAATTGAACTATTTCAGGTAAAAGCTATAAGCGCAAAATCTTGTTGCATTCATTGCATTTTGAAGTCAGTAATAACATGTTTCAGCTGGAAAAATTGAACAAACTGCCTACGAGTTAGTTAGGTAGACATGCCTAAATTATATAAAAACGAACTAACTCCGCTGTATTGCTTTGAATAGAAACGGTTTTCCGGATAATATTGTTGCTGCAACATTTCAATCAGTAAGTACTGCTGACCCTAATTTTGAAATATGTTCTGTGTTGATGAATATTTGCTTCACTATTTGCATTCCTATGCATAATGATCTTGAGCTTATATGTCTCTTAAAATTAACCAGACATCCACAAAGTTCAAACAGAAATCTCGAGGGTTCAAATTCACGAATATATCATCAAATGATTTCAAAAACTCTGCAAGAAATCTAAGCAAATTATTAAAAGATCGATTCATCAACCCGTGGAGCGTCTTGGACAAGCAAAATGTTTTTCAAGTCATCGAAGAGTCGGGTTCATATTACGAATATGATGGTCTTAAAAAGAACAGTCGATTTAATTTAATTGGAATTTTGGTATTTTCTGTGGCATTTGGCGTCGTCCTTAGTAAGATGGGCGAGCAAGGAAGACTAATGACGCAATGGTTCACTATTTTGCTAGAAGTGACAATGAAAATGGTGAACATTGTTATATGGTAAGAAAAATAGTATCCTAGTGTATTGTGTTGATCTGTCTTCTAAACTTCGTGTGAAAATAAACTTAAGTTGCTTTAAGGTTTTCTCCTATTGGAGTTTGCAGTCTCATAGCAGGAAAACTGGCAGGAATGGAGAACATAAAAGATAATCTTGAAGGTCTTGGAATGTACATATTGACTGTTATGGTTGGACTATTCATTCATGCTTTTATTACATTACCCATAATATACATTGTCATTTTAAGAAAAAATCCAATTCCTATGTTTTTTGGAATGTCAAGTGCCTTGCTTACGGCGTTTGGAACATCTTCAAGGTGAGTATTTCTATAACTGCATGAAAGCAGATACATAGGGTGAACAAAAAGGTGTCACCAAGAATTATACACGGTTACCTAAAGACATCAACAAATCACTTGATGGTGAAGAAACTATATTTTAGGTTAATTTACGCATTTTGGAAATGAAAGCTTATGAAATGTATTTGACTGTTTGTGCGTACTCCAACATGAAAATGACCCCAAACATAATGCTTGAATCTGTTTAAAATATCTTGAAAATGAAAAGGTTTGTGTGATGCAGTGACCAATCCTAGTTTACCGATTTAAACTTAATCGAAAACTTGTAGGTAGACCGAAATCATTTGACAAGAAACTGAAAACCAATAAGTGACGATGAGCTATTTTAAATGCTGAAAAATTTATAGAATGAATAACCAAAGAAGTTTGCTAAGCCATAATGCGTTGCTGTATTCCTTGCAGATTCATGACTGCATCATTATATTCCTGCTGTTTCTTAACACTTGTTTTTCTTAATTACTTAAGATCAGTGAAGATTTTTTACCTCATTTCTGCATATTTTCTAAATTCGACAAGTAGCAACCCTTAATGTTAATTTCCATTGCGGTTAATATTTTTCCACCTCGTGCATGTAAGTTGTTGTCTTGCAGAGATACTGTAAGTTAAAAATTATTCTTGTTGGTATAAAATTGCACTTGTTTATAGATATTTCATATGATTTTTACATTAACATGATTTACTGAATAAAAGTATGGCTGGTTATATAGTACAACAAAAATTAAAGTTTTGTTAAATTATGTTGATGTCAATGTCACCGTTTAACTATGAATTTCAAGGTTCTCTTTTAAATTAAAGCGCTGCAACAATGCCAGTCACGATAAAATACCTCGAAGAAAACATTAAAATTGATTCGCGGATTGTACGATTTGTTATCCCAGTTGGGACAACTGTCAACATGGATGGATGCGCTCTGTATGACGCTGTTACGCCTATATTTCTTGCTCAACGCCATTTTGGTCGTTCTGTTGACTTGGGAAGACCTTTCTTGTGTGGTATTTGTGCAATATTTGACAATTTTACTTTGAGCTATAAAGATTGCAGAAACGAGGCCCCCTTTCAGTTTCTCAATGGCTTTTTGTATTCAATTTCAGTATAACTGCAACACTTGGATCGCTTGGCACAGCTGGAATACCATATGCACGTTTGGTTACAATGATCGTCATACTGCAAACTTTTGGTCTCCCTAGTGATGATATTGCTTTGATCGTGGCCATTGATTGGTTTCTGTATGTTGTGCAACTATTCATGTCATTTTTCCACTTTTCATAATACTTGTCGCATATATATATATATGTAGTGATGTTGAAAAAAAGCACGAAAACTACAGATTCATCCCGACAAGCCTGTTTCGTGATTGCTCACTCTTTAGGGACTAACATATATAACCAATAATCCACCCGCTAATCCAATTAGACGCTCTAAGCGTTTACAAGCTAAAAGCAACTGTAAATAGATAAGTTCCTCATTCTGGTGAAGGCTCGAAGCACCGAGTTGAAAGCTTAACAGAATCATTTTATACAATCCGGAGAAACTTTTATTTTCATACACACACACACATATATATATATAACACTGTAAAACTGATTGGTTAAAATAACCATATGATTGGTTAAAGCAACCATAAAATTGGTTAAAGTGGTTAAATGCATCGGAGGTAACCAATTTTTATGGTTATTTTAACCAATCAGTTTTTACAGTGAACTGACAATTTTAATAATTAAATGCTACCACGCATGTTCCATTTACTACTGCAGGCCAGTTATGTTATTATTAACATATCTAACATCGCAAAGTAAAACAGTCCACAACAGAATTTCAAAGTATCATTTGATCATTTGACGTCAATTTATATAGAGACCGTTTTCGTACTGCAGTGAATGTTTTGAGTGATTGCGTGGGAACGTCTGTTGTAGAATATTTATCAAGTGAAGATCTCAAAGCTATGGATCGCGGTGAAATTGATCCTCCTTGCATTGATGAAACAAACCGGGTGTCACCACAAGATGATGCTAAAGATGCACATTCATGCATGTACTGACCGTATATCACGGGTTTGAAACTTTTTTGTAAATGCAACATTGTCATGCAGGTTATGAAATATATATCCTCGTTATGTATACCATAATTTTTTCGATAAAATTTAGCATGTTTTTTATGGTATGCAAATTATTAAAGGAAATATTGTGTTTATGTGAGTGTCTTTAGAGCTATACTTATCCGCAACAACCTTGCCGTCTGACTGAAGGTAACGGCATATACCACTGGGCTCACATCTAGTGAAGTGCAGTGTTTAAGAATGCGAGTTGACAAAAAATCGTAGCAAAATATCTTTCAATTAATTCCAGTAGGCAATTTTCTCGATCACAACCTTTTGTTATTGTCTACTTCATTTTGCTGCATTTTCATTTATACTGTCATTATGCATGTATTAAATTTCTTGTCAGTATGAGTTGTCGAAAAGAATGCGTGATTTAACCAGAAATCTTCTTTTCTTTTGAACAATATTAACTTGGGCTCTCTATATTATTGTTCTCTAATGAACATGACTTGTTCAAAACAGTTTACACATGAATTTAGCAATACCATTAATTACCAAATTTTGTATTCGAAAACAAATGCTTACATTATGCATCTGTAACGTCAGCTGTATAACCTTTCTCTTTATGCATATACGAGCAGATGAATAATTGGAGTCGGTGCTGGCATGTAAATTTTTTTGTGACTGGTAAAATGCCTCACGTAAAGCTTAGAAAAAACCCACAGCCTGATTAGTTTGTTTTAAAACAGGGGTTTGAAAGTTTAACATCTCGACAAACACCGATGGTGGTATATTGTTCCTTTATTTGGATATAATTTCTGTGTTTGTAGTGCAGCAAGCTCAGTTGCAGATTTGGGGTAAGCGAATGTAAATTACAAAAGCTCAGTTTTAAATATTTTTAGTTTTGAAAGTACTTAAAAAAAACATTTCTATTTGCCCTAAACGAACCTCTGCCGCTTGGTAGAACATCGAAGATTCCCAGAGAAAGTATTGATCACTTTCTATAATGCAATTCATGCAATATTAAAATACTAATGATCTACAATGTATAATAATGGGGACATATAATATCAAATAATTTCTGATACACCGAAACATAATATTAAAAGCATCAAATGTTCAAGTGCGTGTATTAGGAAACTATATGCATACGTGGAAATGGACTGTTAGGTTAAACATTTCCTTAAGTTAACTTCTTTATAGACACGTGAACATTTTATGGAACTTTTACTGCATGCTATTATATGTCAGTCAGTCGAGTCAGTCAGTCGAGTCGAGCACATGTAACGCTATGGTGAACTTATAATAAAATTGAACTGTATTAGCTTAATAGTGTGATTTATTCGTTACCACCATCATGACCTCAACATGGACCATCAGATATCTAACTGTTGTTGATATATATAAGAATATAACACATACCACTCTGCAAGATGCAATAATACTAAATTGTATTATATGAATTTCATAATTAGCTATCATGGTAGCTAAGTTAGTGATGTAAATGCTTTGTGGGGGAATAACAGCAAAGTAAATTAAGCAGAGGGAGCAATAAAAATTGAAAATTCCAATACGAGCTTGTTTTTTTAACACGAAACACAAATTTTAGCGGCTTTTGATGACGGCTTTGCATAAACTGGTTCAATTAGAAATCATTTGATGGACATGTGAAAGGCGTACGTGCATGCATACTAAAGATAAACAAATCACATTCAATGCATGCCTTTGATTGTGGAATTTCAATATTTTTGAAAACGTTATAACATCCTATCATCACTATCTTCATTTTCATAAAATGAAACTATGGTTCTGTTTTCAGGTTATCAAATATGTTACTTCCAAATACAATTTCCGTTTTTATTCATCCTATTATGTGTTAATAAATGCATTGATTTTGATTAAAAAAAGTTGTCAAATTGTTCTTGAATTTGTAGAACGGTTGAAAGAACAGGAATAAAAAACGAAAACTTATTAAAATGCGGGTTTTATCTTATTACTGATTTCGATGCAAGAATGCAGGACAAAACACTCGGCGAATTATGTAAAATCGATTGCGTAATTTTGACAACTCTTATCTTTAACACACTTTGATATAACCGGCTTATTGACAAAATGGAAATCACTTGATGGATTGATAAAAATCATTAGATACAAAGAGATAAGACCAATAATGTTCTTTATCTTTTTTATTGTTACATTGGACAATAATTATTGATCAACACTATCTTCATTCCTAAACTATGAAATTAATGAAACTATACAGCGATTGCCTTCGTTTGTAAATCTTAACACATTTTTACATGCAAGATACGGGACTCGCTGTCGAAAGATATTTCATTATCGAGATTAATAACGTTTTGTAGGAAAAGTTTTAATCAGGAGCGTAGGCAGGATTTAAAATAAACGGGGAGGAGTCACTTAAAACGTGCTGTAAAAAGTAAACCATATGGCTATCAATATAAAATGTCACAAAAAAATACTGGGGAAATTGTTCTCGATGCCCACCCCTGACTACGCCACTGCTAATATATATAATGCATGATTAATCTGCTTGATATCAAAGGGAACATTGCCGTATCGAAGCTTGAAATGAGCAATTCCTTCAACACATCTTTTTGCTTTGAAAACATATAGTTAAAATTACACTATATATGGAAATCGGTTAAATTATTCAATCTGTTATTGAAGCACATAATCTTTCTTGGCATATCGTCGTTCACTTTTTCTCATTTAGCTGGCAAAGTTTGCGATTAATGCTTCACTCAGGTTTCTCAGTTTCAACTTCACAGTTTCCTGCCATATCATCACCTGATGTGACTGTATTTACGCATGCGCTGTCTCCTTCATCTTCAATGGTGATTGCAACAGAATTTTCATAATCCTCGGTAACGGTTTTGTTTGTTGAATTTTTACTGCAGAGTTCACCTTCCTCGGTTATATTAACAACTGCTGTGCCGTGTTTTTCCTCGTTCTCCGAGACCTCCTCCACTGGCTCTAAGTTGAACTTGACACTTCCTTGCGATGTCTTTCTTCTTCTTTTAAACGAGGAACTTTCTTGTTTGTTTACAAATTGTTCCAAATGGTTAGCAAGCTCGACTTGTGAAAAACCCGCACAGACTTCATTAACACTACTTGCGCTAACTCTACCACTGACGATATTTCTGCTACAAACGCTATTTCTGCTACAAGCACTAATTCTACTGTTCTTTCTTGACGTCTTATTGAAAGCGATTATTTGAAGTTCGTCTTTTGAGAAATTTTCGATAACGATGCAACCAATGACATTCAACCAAATATTTATCGGGGTCGCAATGCGATCTCTGTAATTAATACAAACATTAAAAAATGCATCACACATCACTTTTTGTACAAATTGTGCCATATACATATAGGAAATGAAAAAACAATTGACAATGCATTTCTGTTAAATGAAGTAGTTAGAGGATAGCACTTCTGTAAGATAGATCATATTTTTACAGCCTAATTAAATACACGGATAAAAATTCGTAAATTGCACTTACATCAACCAGTCTGTTGCCACAATAATTCCAATATCAGCTGAAGGAATTCCGATGATCGTTAAGACTACACTTTGAACTGCAATAGGTGTCGAAGCAGGTATAGGCGGAGCAGCTAGGGTTGCAATCGTCGAAGATAAACTGTCAATAAAAATATACAAGCGTTTAAAAAGTTATGTATACACACAGCACATATAATTGTTGTATATTTACAGTGATTTATGAAATGTTTATAAAAGACACAAGTTGTTTACTTACCATATGAGGATACAAGATGTAATTGTCATAAGGTTGCTATGAGTAGTCTGGATGATGAAAATAGCTGCTAAAGCGATATAGATTGCAGTGGTTGGCACGTAAGTTATTGTACCAACGGGAAGTAGAAACCGTGCGAAATTTTTCTCTACCAAATTGTTTTTCTGAAAGCTGTCCAAAGTGACTGGAATTGTTACTGAGCTATACATACATAAAGAACAAAAATAAGTTAATTGCTTGATTAAGAATAGATCGATCGATGCACTTATACTTTTTAACATGATTATATGCACTTTATTCGCTGAATTGTTTGAGTTTACATTTATATGATTTAAGTGGTAAATGGTAAGTGGTAAATTATAATGATCCTGTCTTCTAACAACACTTGTTAAGAAAGTTGAAATCGCTTTTCCCCACAAAAATCTTTCGTTCATTTAAAGAGTCTTTACTGACCTTGAAGCCGTTCCTAAACCCATAAGTAATGCTTGGGATATTACACGAAAAAGTTGGAAAGGATTTTTTCTTTTTATGATTGCATAAATAATCGGAAGGACAACAAATCCATGAAGCACAAAAGTGATAAGCAAAGCACCCAGGTACATTCCAAGCCTCTCTGTCGTTCCTGTTATATCTTCCATTCCAGCCAAATTGCTTGCGATAATGCTTCCAACGCCAATAGGTGACAACCTTAAAGTGTTTTGAAATCAATTATGAAATATGCCTTTCTATTGAGCACATTATAGTCAGGGCAAAAGATATGTCTTTCAGAATCTTTATTTTGAATGCAGACGGTTTACCGTACTTAATTCATGCATGTATCCAATGTCCATTATTGGCCTCTCTATCACTTACCATACAAGAACATCAACCAGTCTCGTAGTTACTTTAAGTAAACATTGAAAGAAATCTGCTATAGGATTTCCTTTCATTTGAAGACCACTGAGAGCTATGCCGAACGCAATGGAAAGAAACACGATGCCCATTAGATTAGGAGAAGGATATTTCACTTGGCCGGCATATTCTGTCATGACATTTCCATCTTTGATAATCACGATAGACTCTGGCGATACACTCAATGGATTTATCGTTTCAGCATTGAGAAAATTTGACATATTTTCAGGTGATTTCCTGATCCAGTTTGTGGAGACATTTAAGAACTTGTGGCTCGTGACTTTTGTAGCGAATTTTGTTCCAGTCTATAAGTGCATAATTTACACGCATTAATTGTTTAATTTTATAATGAGTCGAAGGTCAATATCAATGAATGATATGATATATGCTGGTGGCTCGTGCTGGTTAATGTTCATTATACATAGAGTACTTACGGATGCAAAACTTGCTTGTAAAATGTTGTCCGGGACCATATTTCTAAAATGAACATTACACTTACTTTAAAGATTATAACGTGATAACTTTTTGAGCTGTATAATTGAAACATAAACAATTGAAACATGTCCAACATCCTAATATAAAAGTTTACTGGTTATGAGAATATGCAAACAAGTACAAAAATTAGTGAGTTTCTTTTCTAACCTTAGCATGTCTAGAATAGCGTAAACGGGACTTGAACCAGCTGTCGATGAGGAAATATCTTCATCTATTTCTTCTGATTCACCAGCCTTAGATTTGATCATGATTCTTCCAATAGTAACCGCCATACCTGTACCAATGGCTGTGGTTAGCCAGAAGTACATTGCTGCTCGTTTTCCAATAGATGCTGCAGCCCGTTTATCAATTGTGGTCACAGACGTAATGACACTGGATGCTATGAATGGTACTACAACCAGCATCAACATTCGAAGAAATATTTCCCCAGGAAAACCGATAAACATCGCACAGTCTTTTGGAGTGAATTTCGTTGATTGCTTTACTACGGGGTTGAGAGATATTCCAATTATGATTCCTAATATAACTCCAAGTAGCAGTAAGAGAAAGAGAATGTTTTTAAGAACAAATTTTGAAAAAGACCTGATCATCTTAAAGGCTTGCTTCATTTTGTAAAAATTTTCTTCGTAATAATGCTTTTTGATTTTTGAACTATACGTGCGTTCCACGACGAGTTTTGAACACTCCTAATATATGGCGTGCCGCTCTTCCTTTTATTGCATGATCTTCCAATCAATTAAAAATCAAGCTGAGCAAAAGAACAATGCGGTTTATCTAATTGACATAAATAATTGTAGTAAATTACCAATTCTAAACATAAAGATACAACAAAATGAGTAAATATGAGTAAATATTTTTAAAATCTATTCTATCTAAAATTTGAAGATGCTTTGCCGTTTTTCATCTAGCGCAGCAGAATAGAATGCAGTATATTTCTAATTTCTTCATACGTTTATCAAACGGTTATCCTTCTATAGTCTTTTGTGGATACATACTGTGTTTAACATAAACACAGTTGCTTTGAAGCTTGAAATGAAATAATTAGAGACTAACTTTGCACATACAGGAACTTCAAGACATTCTATATGTACAGCTATACTTGTATTTATTACCTCTAATATACAACAATATACACTAACTATATGTTTTCTATATATATATTATTTATTTAAAGAATTAGCACGTAATTCATTGTCACGTCTTCATGACAATGATACTAAATTCTCCAAACAATGCAATTCCCGGTATTAGAGAAAGAAGGTTGTATTAAACAATAATATATTTTATGCCTATAACTTAAGTAACAGAAATCCGGGCGTGCATTAGAATACCTGTGGATAGGAATACGATGTGATCACATATTGTGTGGACGAAGATGTTTTCAATGAAAGTTGCAGACTCAAAAGTATCCGGATACGCAAAGGACGAGACGAATTCAAAAAAAAACCTTCGGTAATTCGGTTATCAGAAATTTGCAATGTTTATTTGTTATGACATCACGGAACGGTCAGAACCCGCTGTCGATGCATGAGGATATAGAAGTCAATTGCAAGGTTCTCGCATTGAAAGACAACTGCCACTCACAATTTAATGCAATGATTATGGCATGATTTTTAATTGAAACATTGAAACTATCATATTTATTAACACCCAGCTCAAGGTACATTAATAAAATAGATATTTGCAACTTGGAAGACGTGATTCCTCGAGCTTAGATCGCAAAGGTAAATTGCAATTAAAATTTAAATCATGGTTACCATAGTGATGGCTTAAGTAATCCTTTTTTTAATTTATCCATAATACGTGCAGATAAAAAATTTTGGTCTGTGCTCACACGTACAGTTTTCTAGACGTCACAGTCTCATTTGTTTTTGTCCTGCGCAGAGCCATGACAGGCTTGTAAGCCTCTCTATAGTTAGATATCATATTCTCTAAGATGGCATTACTATAGCCGCTGAACACGTCTTATGTAAAAAATGTTTAAAATACTATCTAAAATTGCAAAATTCTTTGTCGCTTTTTCTTCTAATGTAGTACAATAGCAATATTTATCTATAGCTACATCTCAATTGTGTACAACTATCCTAGTGTTTTCCATCGACACCTACAGTGTTTGTTGTTTAGCTCTACAGAGTTAATCGTTGCAAAATTATCTTTTAACTTTTTAATGAGATAAACATTTCCTCTTTAGCTGTGACATGCCAGTACGTCGTTGAATGTTGTCCATCTGATTTTCAGAGCATTATCATTATTCATTTCTTTAAAAAATTTTAGTTTTCCCAGTGGGTGCGCTGCACATAGCAAAATGTGCACAGCAGGACTACATAAGCCGACTGTCTATGTTAATGTAGAATACTTTCTATAGCTACATTAAGAGCTGAAATACCGCATATAAACTCCAGACAATAAAGGATTTTTTGTTTTTTCGAGACGTGACCACTGGACGTGACTAGGAAAATGGCTTTGCGAATGTTGGGTGACAACCATCATGAGGTCGCTTGCATTTTGGAATATCAAATTTGTGTTTCCAAATTTTTGCATTTATCTTTAAGTGGAGATTTTTAAATAGCCAATTTATATTTCTGTTTGTTAATATATTAAATTTGTGTTTAGTGTTTTTGTCAAGCGTGACGAGATGATTTAACTGTTTTACCATAACAGCAATAAAGTAAATGGTTTGAACCCGGGAGTATCGTTACATGTAAGTAAATGTAGATCGTCCAGGTTGGTATAGTCCTGAAAAGGACTGTTTTTGTTGTTGTTGACTTAGTCAGGACGATACCAACCTGGACGATCTACATTTACAAACACATAACAGCAATTATATCATCTTCGCCGCGGTCTCCTCCACAATCATGGCTTTAGTATATTACTTTTCTTTTTATGCGTGCAAAATGAGCAATTTGGATCTGTGTTTGCATGTAAATTTTTTGGTGACTTTTGAAAGGCCTCGACGTATAGCTAACTAAAAACAAACCCTAAAACCACCGATGATGACATATTACTCCTTTATTTCGACATCTTTCTTCTGCTTATTTAGGGCAAGCCAATGTAAATGACAATACCTCAATTTTAAATATATTTACTTTTGAAAATACTTTAAAAAGCATTTACATTAGCCCTTAACCAACTTCTGCCGCTAGTTAGAGTATTGAGGATTCCCGAAGAAAGCGTAGATCGATTTTGGTTATACTGTTTGATATCAAAATACTATCGATCTAAAATTTATGATAATAGTGATATAACATAGAATCATTTCTAATGCACTAAAACATTACAATAAAAACATCAAGTGTTTAAAGTGCATGTGTTAGGCAACTGTATATGTGGAAATATACCATCTGATGTCAAACTGTCGTCGATATAAATGTAAATTGTATAATACATACCTCACAGCATGGTGCAATAACATCATACATAATTAAACTACATCATGATGAAGGGAAAATAGCCCTGACGAAGCTTTAAAGCTTTTCATATGAAAGCAATTCTTTTAATACATACTGATTCTTTCAAAACATATTAATTTTAAAGTAAATTATAATCTGTCATTGAAACACATCAAGGCACATTGTCGTTCATTTTTTCTCATTTAGCTGGCAAAGTTTGCGATTAATGCTTCACTCAGGTTTCTCAGTTTCAACTTCACAGTTTCCTGCCTCATCATCATTAGATGTGACTGTACTGACGCATGCGCTGTCTCCTTCATCTTCAATGGTGATTGCAACAGAATTTTCATAATCTTCGGTAGCGGTTTTGTTTGTTGAATTTTCACTGCAGAGTTCACCTTCCTCGGTTATATTAACAACTGCTGTGCCCGTGTTTTTTTCCTCGTTCTCCGAGACTTCCTCCACTGCCTCTAAGTTGAACTTGACACTTCCTTGCGATGTCTTTCTTCTTCTTTTAAACGAGGAACTTTCTTGTTTGTTTACAAATTGTTCCAAATGGTTAGCAAGCTCGACTTGTGAAAAACCCGCACAGACTTCATTAACACTACTTGTGCTAACTCTACCACTGACGATATTTCTGCTACAAACGCTATTTCTGCTACAAGCACTAATTCTACTGTTCTTTCTTGACGTACTATTAAAAGCGATTATTTGAAGTTCGTCTTTTGAGAAATTTTCAATAACGATGCAAGCAATGACATTCGACCAAATATTCATTGGAGTCGCAATGCGATCTCTGTAATAGAAATATTGAAAAATGCATCACACATCAATTTTTGTGCACATTGAAAGAACAATGAAATGTCCATGTATAAATATATATATATATATACAAAGTGTATAACAATGTGCCCTCCAAGCTATCACCATAGTAAAATGGTGACTCCTGCACTTGGGACACAGCACGTACGGGTTACACATTGTATGGAATGTATTGTGGATTCACCACAGCGCTCAAAACTATATAGGTGAGCATTGCATAAAGCGAATGCGGTGAACGTCTCTTTGTGAGACTCTCTACGCAATCCGAGAGCGCTCAAACTGCGCAAGCGAGCGTAATATATATATATATATATATGAAGTTTATATTTGATGATTCTCCGTATAAAACAGTGCTTGATGCCCGAGAGCAGAGCGTAAATGCTATATATATATAAATGACAAAACAATTGACCAATTGACCATGCATTTTCGATAAATGAAGTACAGAAAGCGCTTCTATAAGATAAATCTTCTATAAGATAAATTTTTTACTGCATAATGGAACGAAAATTTTGGATAAATTGCACTTACATCAACCAGTCTGTTGCCACTATAATTCCAATATCAGCTGAAGGAATTCCGATGATCGTTAAGACTACACTTTGAACTGCAATCGGCGTCGCAGCAGGAATAGGCGGAGCAGCTAAGGTTGCAATCGTCGAAGATAAACTGTTAATAAAAATATACAAGCGTTTAAAAAGTTATGCATACACACAGCACATATAATTGTTGTATAACTACAGTCATATATGAAATGTTTATAAAAGATACAAGTTGTTTACTTACCATATGAGGATAGATGATGTAATTGTCATGAGGTTGTTATGACTAGTCTGGACGAAAAAAACAGCTGCTAAAGCAATATAGATTGCAGTGGCTGGCACGTAAGTGATTGTACCAACGGGAAGAAGAAACCGTGCAAAATTTTTCTCTACCAAATTGTTTTTCTGAAAGCTGTCCAAAGTGACTGGAATTGTTACTGAGCTATATTCACGAAGAAACAAAACCAATTAGTGCTTTACACAATACATCAATCGATCGATGCTCTTTTAATTATTAACATGATTATATGTATTTTATTCAGTGAGTTGTTTAGGTATACATTTATTATTCAAACACAAAACCCAGGGCGGATCTAGGATTTTTCAAACATCAGTCGCTCGACGGATTTGACATACTCTAGATCCGCCCCTGCAAAAACCTATGCTGTTTTGAAATAACGTGATCCCGCCTTACAGTTTGACAGCACTTTTCAAGAAAGTTGAAATCACTATTTGCTCCAAACATCTTTCGTTCGTTTAGAGAATCTATACTGACCTTGAAGCCGTCCCTAAGCCCATTAGTAATGCATGGGATACAGCACGAAAAAGTTGGAAGGGATTTTTTCTTTTTACGATGGCATAAATAATTGGAAGGACAACAAATCCATGGAGCAAAAAGGTAACAAACGAAGCTGCCAGGTACATTCCAAGCCTCTCTGTCGTTCCTATTATATCTTCCATTCCAGCCAAATTGCCTGCGATAATGCTTCCAATGCCAATAGGTGACAACCTTAAGGTGTGTTGAAATCAATTATGAAATATGCCTTTCTATAACATAAATTGAGCACATTATAGTCAGGGTAAAATATATCGCTTTCAGAATCTTTATTTTGCATGCAGATGGTTTATAGCAATTTTATTATTCATGCATGTATCCAATGCCCATTATTGGCCTCTCTATCACTTACCATACAAGAACATCAACCAGTCTCGTAGTTACTTTAAGTAAACATTGAAAGAAATCTGCTATAGGATTTCCTTTCATTTGAAGACCACTGAGAACTATGCCGAACGCAATGGAAAAAAACACGATGCCCATTAGATTAGGAGAAGGATATTTCACTTGGCCGGCATATTCAGTCATTACAATTCCATCTTTGATAATCACGATAGACTCTGGCGATACACTCAATGGATTTATCGTTTCAGCATTGAGAAAATTTGACATATTTTCAGGTGATTTCCTGATCCAGTTTGTGGAGACATTTAAGAACTTGTGGCTCGTGACTTTTGTAGCGAATTTTGTTCCAGTCTATAAGTGCATAATTTACACGCATTAATTGTTTAATTTTATAATGAGTCAAAGGTCAATATCAATGAATGATATGATATATGCTGGTGGCTGGTGCTGGTTAATGTTCATTAGACACGGAGTACTTACGGATGCAAAACTTGCTTGTAAAATGTTGTCCGGGACCATATTTCTGAAATGAACATTACACTTACTTTAGAGATTATAACGTGATAACTTTTTGAGCTGTATAATTGAAACATAAACAATTGAAACATGTCCAACATCCTAATATAAAAGTTTACTGGTTATGAGAATATGCAAACAAGTACAAAAATTAGTGAGTTTCTTTTCTAACCTTAGCATGTCTAGAATAGCGTAAACGGGACTTGAACCAGCTGTCGATGAGGAAATATCTTCATCTATTTCTTCTGATTCACCAGCCTTAGATTTGATCATGATTCTTCCAATAGTAACCGCCATACCTGTACCAATGGCTGTGGTTAGCCAGAAGTATATTGCTGCTCGCTTTCCAATTGATGCTGCAGCCCGTTTATCAATTGTGGTCACAGACGTAATGACACTGGATGCTATGAATGGTACTACAACCAGCATCAACATTCGAAGAAATATTTCCCCAGGAAAACCGATAAACATCGCCCAGTCTTTTGGAGTGAATTTCGTTGATTGCTTTACTACGGGGTTGAGAGATATTCCAATTATGATTCCCGATATAACTCCAAGTAGCAGTAAGAGAAAGAGAATGTTTTTAAGAACAAATTTTGAAAATAATCTGATCATTTTAAAGGCTTGCTTCATTTTGTAGAAATTTTCTTCGTAATAATGCTTTTTTGATTTTTGAACTATACGTGTGTTCTACGACGAGGTTTGAGCACTCCTAATATATGGCGCGCGGCTCTTCCTTTTATTGCTTTGTCTAATTGGCATAAATATTTATATCTTAGCAAAAGAACAATGCGGTTTGTCTAATTGGCATAAATATTTGTAGGAAATTACCAGAAGCAGGATTCTGGATTTTTAATACTTCAATACGTTTTATGTAAAAATATTTTAAAATACAATTTAAGATCTGAAATGCTTTGTTGCTTTTTCATATAGTGCAGCCCGATAGGATGCAGTATATTTCATCAGTCATTTATCACACAGTTATCTTTCTATAGTTCACTGTTGATACCTACTGTGTTTAACACAAACACAGAAACTTGAAATGAAAGAATTAGAAACTAATTTTGCACTGATACAATAACTTCAAGACATTGTAAATGTATATCTATATTTGTATTTACTACTTCCAATATATAACAATGTACATAGTTTATACTTTTAATATGTTTTATAATTCATTTAAAGAAACATGTACGTGATTGATTGACGTCACATCTTCATGGAAATAATTCTCCAAACGACGCAATTCCTGTTAGTGGAGAGAAAACGTCATAGTTAACAATCATTTTTTATGGTGTTGAAATAGTAGCGGGAATCCGGAGTGTGTTCGTATACGTGTGTATAGGAAGGCGTGTGTATAGGAAGGCGTGTGTATAGGAAGGCGTGTGTATATGCCAACTGCTGAATATATCCGGTTACGTGAGGACAGGTTAATCCTCAGTTATTAGAAATTTTGTAATGTTTATAATAATTCTTTAACACTTTATTATTTCAAATTGTGAAGCATTTATTTAAATGATTCACGTCCAATAAGGTTCTGATTTTGTGATTTTATACGCTTTGATCATTCCTGTAAGTAACAGTAAACGCAAGCTATTAGATTTTTATAACATAAATTTGTTCACGATAGTTTATTTTGAATGTCTATACAGATCAGTGGCGTGCGGTCATGCAAGCGTAGGCAAGCGCCGCTTGCCTAAGCATTTTACCGAACAAAAATTTTTTGGATCAATCTCTGAGCAAAATCAGTTTAAATTTTTCTGTTCTAAACAATGTCAATGTAATCTTTTGTCTAAATTGTCTTTACAGTTGAAATGCTATTTATACGCGATTTACTGTCGTGGTTTCGGGTTTCACTTTGCTACACTTGTAAGATGAGTCAAGTGTATTAATTATGGGATTAAATTAATTATTAATAAATAATTAATTTAATCCACCAAGATTAAACCAAGATTAATCCACCAAGGAATCCACCAAGATTAATTAACAGGAATCCACCAAGATTAATTTATTCAACCAAGGCAAGCGCGCTTTGCCTTCGAGCTCAATTTGAACATTTGCGCATGCGTTAATCTAGATTTGGAGGCTTCTTATTCGAGGAATATCGAGAAAAGGCAAGCGGCCCTTCTAGGGCGCCGCTTGATAGCAATTGGTCAACAGTCTTGTACGCTCGCAATTTTAAAAACATAACAGCGCACGAATAATATTCGTATATTCAACACATTGGACATCCGAATTATTCACGCCGTTAATGTTATCGTTTATTAAAAGATGACTGAGAGCGAAAGGTAATGTTCTGATTTCTAATTCAAAGTAGTAGTAGATTTCTAATTTATGTATGTAGAAGATATTATCTGTAGCATGTTATACTTTAGCGTTATATAAGTCTTGCGTATGAGCTCTGAACGTGATTTCAATGTACTAGAACGCTATTAAATTTTGTGATTATTTTATTCACTAGCAAAGAAGTTATTTACAACAGTCGTGAGTATTCTATATGTTAGAATTTATTTACAGGCTTTTTATATATTTTGATAAACAAGGTGCAGTTATTACACAGCGGATAATGTACTTGAAATTTGAGTAGTTTTACGTAAGTATAAAGTTAAGTGCGTAAAGGCCCATCTCCACTAGACGATTTTTGTGACGATCGTCTTAAATTTTCGCGACGACACATGCGCAGAGGCAAAAAGCTTTTCGTTCGGACGAAATTTTTGACGATTTTGATTCTGACGAAAAGTTTAAACTGTTTTAACTTTTCGTCAAGCGCTTTACGATCGTCAAAATTTTAGCCAATCAAATATCAGAGATGAGCAAACACTGCACATGGCCAACCTAGCAGTTCATATGTTTGTAAATGAAAGACCTATTGATGAAAATACTTCAAAAAAGCGTAAAAGACCTTCATCTGAAAAAAGTGCTTATGACCCATTTTTGCAACAAATCAAGCAAATGGATGATCAACTAATCAAAATTGTTAACAAAGAGTCTGCGGATGATGAGGCTACAGCATTTTGCATGGGTCTTGTACCTGTGCTGAAAGACTTTGATAAAAAAAAGCTAAGATTAGCAAAAATTAAAATTCAACAACTTTTATTTGACATAGAATTTGATCAATGAGATAAAATATGCATTCAGTTTTTAACAATACAACAATTTTGGTATTTACATATTCTTAAGATTTTTCCTTTTTTAAACATGAATTTTATTTCTCTGTTGGTGACCTCAAAACAAGCATCATAGGTCTGACAAATTTGTTTGAAAATAATATTTCACATGTGGTGGGAATCATGAGAATTCATTACATAATAAAAGTGATTAAACATTGCTTTGAATTGATTACAATTTACCTTGAACTTTTTCTTGGGTTTGAAAAACTCAATTTACTAAACTCATTTTAACATTTTGATGAATTCTCTTTTCTCATCATATATAAAAAACCTGTATGCTTACATAAATAGACTACATAGAATATTGTTAATTAATGAATAACATTGTATATGTGATAATTGATATTCTGTTGCTTAGCCAAATAATGACATTCCTGTAAAGCTTAACAATTATCTACATTTTATGTTATTCATTAGTTGTTTCCAAGTCCTATTAAAAAACGAGAATCAATTTATTTTGCTTTTCCTATTTTGTCCCATTGCCAGTCAACAGCACCCTCATTGTTGAAATAATCTTCAAACTGTTCTCTAACCCATTTAGCTTCCCCACCATAATTTCTTGAAGCCCCAACATTTTGAATAGAAGCTATACCATTCATAATATTTGCATCTTGTCTCCATTCACCAAGGTGCAGTCCATTTGGCCCATCCTGGTCAACAAATGTACTTGGGCAATAGTGACTTTCTCTGTCAGTTTCATTTATAGTCATCAGGAAGTTGTGCAGTGCAACCACTGCTTTTGTTATTGCAATAACCTTGGGTACTTTTGCAATGATTGGCCTGTGTTTTCAATTACCCTCCTTGCACGACTGAGCCTATAATTGAAAACTAGCTTACTTTCTGAAAGATTGGAGAATGGATATGGCTTCATCATATGTCTTTTTAGACCAAAAGCATCATCTCCAACAAAAACATACGGTAAAACCTTATTAGAATTGGAAATTTGACAATCAGGTGGAGTGTTCAGGAGTTCATTTTCTATAGCATAACCTAAATTGCTGTTAGCATAAACACTTCCATCACTTTGCCGTCCACTATCACCTATATCAACCATAGTAAACTTGTACCGAGCATCACATACTGCCATGAGCACAATACTGTGAGTCTTTTTATAATTAAAGAAAGCGGATGACTGATTATCAGGAGCAAACATCAACACATGTTTGCCATCAATTGCGCCAAGTGCATTCGGAAAATTCCATCGAGCTTCGAATTCATTGGCAATTTTTCTCCATGCTTCAACTCCAGAAGGTGTGTCAATATATCCTGCTTCCTTCAGTCTATTCCAAATTGAATTGCACGTTTCATCGATTATTCTGCCAACAGTTGTGGCACTCGTTCTATAATTAGCGCCAATAGTTGAATTGGCATCACCGGTGGTTAAATATCGTAGTGTCACTGCAAGTCTTTGGTCAGGTCCAATAGGTTCTCTCATTTTCGTTGAAACTTTCTTTATGTCGGGTCCTATCAACTTTAGCAAACTTTCATGTTTTTGGAAACATACGAAAGTATCTAAAGAACATTTCATGGTCGTGGAGTCGCATATCATTTATCAATAGCTTATATTCTCCTTTCACATTTCTTTCTTCGTACAGCTTTCTTATCCAAAATCGACGTTTCCTTTTTCTTGTTTTGGTGTTCTCCCTGAGCATTTTTTGGTGAAGATTGTAAAGAAATAAATATCTTCTACGAAGCAGCAAATATAGAATATATCTTTTATTTATAGACGCCATTTTGTTTATTGGAAAACACCGCGAAATAATCGTCTAGTGGAGATGACTAACAAAATCGTCCTATAATTCGTGTTCGAAATATTGTCGCGAAAATTTAAGACGATCGTCACAAAAATCGTCTAGTGGAGATGCGCCTTAAGTTTAAGTAGCGCGTTTGAGTAAGTGTAGGATTGGCTATTTCCTCTATTGCTAATACATGAATCTAGATGAGTAATGTACGCACGTTATGTACGTCACTACAAGATATCATGTAACTGATGTAAGGTATAAATAAGATTGATGTTCCTATAAAATATATAGCATAGGAATTTTCATCCTTTTATGTTCTACTTCTACAATTCGGTATTTTCACGACACCTGTACAACATGACTGAATGCATTGTGGAATCACTGTTATCCCGCTCATTTGGATTGAGACCTTTTCCGAGAAACGAGAGATCGTCGAAGGTGGCCGTCCCACTCCTGAGTTGACTACATACAACATCCAAGCGAAGTGGTAAAGTCTTTATTCGAAGTTTTCAGACGTCAAATTACGACAAGTACAAATGGCTGGCTGGCTCCTCAAAATTGAATAAGTTATTTTGCTGGCCGTGTCTTTTGTTCAACTCAACAGACAAGACAGTCTGGTGCAAGAAGGGATACGATGATTTGGCCAACCTGTGTAATGCCGTCAACAGACACGAGAAAACGAAGACACACTTGTCCAGTTGCCTAATGAATGCCAGTTTTGGGCGTACACGCATCGACATGCAGCTAGACGAACAGGCCCGTCAACACATCTCAGCTCACAACTTGATGGTGCACAAGAATAGAGAAGTACTTCGCCGTTTCATTGATGTTGTTTGCTTTCTTGGCAAACAGGAACTTTCTTTCAGAGGTCGGGTGGAGCTGGAGGAGTCTGCCAACAGGGGCAATTACGTCGAATTGATAAAACTGCTAAGTGCATATGACCCCACGCTTGAACAGCATCTTCATACAGCAACCGTGTTTTCTGGACTTTCTAATCGTATCCAGAACGATTTGATTGTTGCTGTCAAGGACGTTATGTTGAAAGCAATAAAAGATGAAGTGATGAGGAGCCCATTTGTCGCTATTTCCCTGGATGAAACCTCCGACGTTAAGACCTTATCGCAGCTAACAACTATAGTTCGCTATGTCAACCCTGATGGTAAAGCTGTGGAGCGCTTTCTTGGATTTACCGATGTAAGTGAGGATAGAACTGCGGCTAGACTGAAACAAGAAGTCGGTAAAACCCTGAACGAGTACGGATGCGGCGAAAAACTGATTGCCCAAACGTATGACGGTGCGAGTGTGATGTCAGGAGAACTGTCCGGTTTGCAAACACGAGTAAGAGAAGACTATCCACATGCTCTTTTTATCCACTGTTGCGGACACGCATTAAATTTGGTCCTTGTTCAAGCTGTCTCGTCAACTAAAGAGTGTCGTATATTTTTTAAAACCGTCACTGGTCTTTCATCCTTTTTCATGCCTCGTCCAAGAGAACATACCTGTTGGACACAGTTGTCGGCAGACGCATTCCCACTGGAACAGCTGTTCGATGGCACTATCAGAGCAGGTTAATCCATGCTGTACTGGAGACAAGAGCAAAGCTGCTCGAAGTTTTCGAATACATCATCGAAAATGATGACGAGTTTGACGGTGCGACGTTAAACGAAGCGAGGGGCTACCGACAAGTTCTTGCAGATTTCCAGTTTGTGTTCTGCCTTAAAATATTTTCAGAAATATTTGGTCTTACGGATGTTTTGTATAATATCATTCAGAGTAAGCAGTTCGATATTGTCTTCTGTGTCACGAAAGTTCGCGAGACGAAAGATAAGATTCAAGAACAACGAACAAAATTCGTAGATTATTGGAATTTTACGTCAAGTATCGTCAAAGTAGCACTGAAACGCGGGCAAAGTGAAGACGATGTAAAGGCGTCCTTCCGTCAAATGCTCATTCTTACTATGCCAAGTACGTCCTCCTCTGCAGAAAGATCATTTTCGGCTCTCAAGCGTATCAAAACGTATCTTCGCAGTACACAAGGGCAAGAGCGACTTTCTGCATTGGCTACAATTTCAATCGAGAAGGAGATGTTGGTAAGTTTGCAGGGGAAGCCACGATTCTATGAGGACGTTATAAAGGAGTTTTGCGCAAAGGAAAGACGGATGGAATTTACATTTAAGTAAATCTGTTGTAGGATTTTGACTATTTCGTTCTGTTACTTCTTCACTACAATAGAAATGCACGCGTAGCCATTTACTTAAAACGACTTTATATCACAATACCACATGTAATACTTTTAAACCGTAATTGTGATATATACTCTATAAAAAGTTTTTGAATTTTTTAGATTTTTTCAATACTGTTTCAGTCATGACAGATACATTTTTTCGACAAAGTACTCCCAGAAATCGCGGGAAATGCGCTCCAGTAGCCTTCAAAATCCAAAAATTTTCTGGGGGAGCATGCCCCCAGAACCCCTAGATAGCTTCGCGGCATGCCGCGAACCTCACCCCCAGCGCTTGCCTATTAAATTCGGTCACCGCACGCCACTGATACAGATAGGATCAAACAGTACGTTTTCTATTCGTCCTGCTAGTTTATAAAAGAACGCCCCCTATGTAAAAATTTTGGCAACACACCCCTGATTTGCAACGTTCGAGAATTAATGCAGCTCTGTAAAATGGCTGGTTGCACCCTACAAATTTCAGCCATGTTTGTAAAACAATGAAATTTAACAAATAAAGCGCTCGCTGCGCAGACGAGCAGCCTATTACAGTCACGTCAATTCATCAATTCATATTTAAAAGTGTCCAAAGTTGCCACATAATATTGCTTGATGATAAAGAAGTGTATTGTCTTCTTTGGTTTCACCATCATCTCAGTCAACGAGTGGAATATAGCATGATTGACAGACTGGCAACCTTGTGTAACTCCGGTAATTGAGACAAAACTGTTTTACTTAATTAGCATAAATCAAAGATGGCCGCCAAAGAAGGAAATCAGGCAATGCTTGATCAGAGAAACCGATATTCAGAAAAAATTGGTAAATAAGGCCTTTGTGTAAGATCAAACTTCATGTTTGAGGATTTTTTCTTTGCGCATCGAAATATTTCACTTCCAACCTTCAATTAGGTATGGTTATCTGGGTTGTTGATCAGGAATGTACACCGTGCATCCTTCCTGATCAACAACCCTGCTGCCCCCTGCACCCCGTCCCGTACGCCGATGATGGTGTACATCCTTCAATGGCATCGGAGATAAACATTAATTACTCAGTATTCATTGGAAACATAATGCTTCTGTGCATCAGTTTCTTCCTGATTCGTAAAGAACATAGAGCACATGAATAAAGGGGTGAATGTTGGTGAGAAATGATCTTTCATTTTGAAACAATTTTCCTTTGAACTCCCACCAAAATACAAAAAAGACTGATAAACATGGCCTGCATCTTCATGTCCAAATTGTGCTAAGTACAACATCACTACTTGAAAATTTTGATTTTTGAAGTAAAGATAACAAAGTCTCTTGCTGTGTATCACGACATCTCATAGCCATTAAAAGCCCCCATCATGGATTGGATCCAACCACTATGTCACTATCATGGATGTGAGCCAACCGCTTTATTAAATCACTCGGCCATACAAGGGAGATGTTTCTAAAACGTCAATTCATTCAATACGTGGTTGTCATCTATCCTTCACCATGTGTTGGTGCTTGAAAAATACCATATGTCTCGGAAAAGAGTACAAGCAGCATGAAGCAATGACGTTGGAGGTTGGCGCCATTTTCTGTAAACTCACTGTCAACATGCCGCTGCCCAACGAGTGGCCATTATGAGAAACAAAAACAACAAGTGCCAACTGGATGAATGGCTTAACATGTTGAACTCTGGAAAAGATGTCACCATTGAGAGTCACTGCAATTGTGTTATTGGTCACGATGAAGCAGAAATAATAATGGTTTCATTCTTACTCAAGCCAAATTAGTCTGGGGTGCAAATTATCCAGATTCTCAGAGATTCAGATGTCTTTGTGTTACAAGCCAAAGTGCGGATTGAATGGTGGGATGAAAGTGTTTGGACTTTTGAACATTAACATTAAATGCGCACTCTTAGCACTAAATACCAGAAGTCCTTGGTATATGTTAACTCACTGGCTAAGACGCGGCGTTGTAACTGCACAGTAAAGGAAATGTTTCAGTTTTGAAAATGCTGCAAGCCGGAGACTTTCCCGAGTTGAATTCAATGTTAGGCTAGATTTGTATTAAGATCGAGCAATTAGTCGTAACTGAGCAGACAATTGTCCTGCGCAATATGGCACATCTATGAGTGAGGTATGGATAACGCATTCACCAGAAAGCTGGGAAAGTTTCCTAACATGTTACGACCACGAACAGAGAAGAATCTCATCATCATATCATGAGGACCCATTTAAAGGTAACACATGTAAATACCTCTAAGCAGCAAACTCCATCTGAGCTTGAAATCACCGAGTATGGTTAGAAAATTGATGATGACTTACCAGTCCAAAAAATCGCTGATCAACTGACAACCAAACAAACCTCATGTTTCAGGATATTTTCCTTTACATTGAAAAACATCCCTTCCAACCATCCATTAGGTATGACCATACACGAAGGTCCAGTTTTAGAACTTAGGTTCTCTGAATAAAAGTAAATGAGAAAGTTCAACAATATTAATTTACACGAACTGGTTAACTTGATCTGGCAACCAAGCTATATTCCATAAGTTGATCCAGGTGATGATTAAACCACAGAAAAACAATACACTTCTCATGTCAATAAGGTGGCAACTGGACTATTATATGAGCAATTTGCAGCGAAGAATGTTAATTCATATGTGAGAGTGTGAGTGAGATTTTAGAATACGAAGGTTGGGGGCATTTATTGGATAATTTACGGGGTTTGGCCATTGAGTTCTATAATAACTGGAGGGGAAACGTCAACAAAATTTGTATAAATTATTAGCGCGCGGCCGCGTGGTCAAAAACATGGCGGATTTTGGTGGTCAAAGTCAGCGGAGAGACGCGGGCTCATGAAATAAAATTTTTGGCGCCCACCCTGATTTGACCACCACAATTGCGAGTATAGAAAATATCAAAACTTTTTATTTTCCTAACATAAACACTTTTTTAAAATTTATTTATTAAATTGCCAACTTCTGTGGTTTGCGGATGCTGAAATAGCGACAGAAAAGGAAACATTTCATGACTCCGGTAAGTAGCACAGTATTAGTTTTACTATTTTGTTTTTAACACGATACTTGAAGAGTGTTTCTACTACTAAGTTTTAATTTAAAGTTATTTTGGTCCAGTCTTGTTTGTTCTTCACTTAATCGCTCGCCAGACGTGTCGAAGCTGTCAATTTTTATCGAGTTTTGCATCCATCTTCTATCATGATCAAGGCATCAAGCTAAACTCTCCTGATTTGAATTGAGTTTACCTCCCAAAAATGGGGCATAATTTGTTCATGTTTTTTGTTGAAAAGATGAAGGGAAAATTTACAACAGAGTTGTGTTGAAATTGAATGCAGTGCCATGCAAAATTAATGAGAACTATGGTATATGTTGTATAATAAAAATAACTATTAAACTGTTTGCCTGCTCAATTTGACTGACTGTATAGTGTAGACAATTATAATGGGATTGGAAAGTTGGATTTATGCAAACAATTTTAAAGTACTACTTAGCGTTTCTGTAAATGAAATATTTATTGTTATAGTAAACAGGTTACTACTTCAAAACTAAGATAAAAGTAGTGTGTTGAACAATGTGCTAAGATTTTGTTTCTACCTTGAAATTTTTGTTCAACAGTAGCTTATGATTATATCATTAATATGCATGAAAAAATTAAACATATTATTGTCTCATCTCATCAAATCCATACTTGGTATGATTCCAGATGATCCACAAATTCACATCGGATGCATTGGTTACAATGAAGTTGAATGTAGAAGAAGCAAAAATAGATGGCAAAGAAATGCTTTGTGTCTTATGAAGAATTAGTAGAAATCAATAAAAAAGGATTCTTTAAACAAATTGTAAACAAATTTAAATTTGCTCATGGTCAAGCAACCTAGTCAAAGAAGCAAAGTCTGTCTTCAACATGTGACCTTTCCAATTATTTAGTTTCTTTGTACAAAATACTATTTTCGAGAAACTTGATTTGTAAGTCTTTCATTAATATTTTTTTACCAAGAGATAAAAGGAACTAATTCAAAGGCTTGATGTAAAATACAAAGATTTAACAAGTTGTTTATCATTTAATTCCCAAATGTTAGTTTGTACATATAAATAATTAGTATTGGTAGCTGTAAGTTGTTTAAGCAAAACAGAAGAGTAGTAGTGCTCGAAGGGGTTAGCATTTTGAAAATTATACCTTGTTCATGACATATATTACACAATTCCAAAAAACTGTAAGTGATGCACAATAATATCTATAGAACTTGATAAATTTCTTCACCTACACTGTCAAATAACTATTTTGCCTTCATGCAGCAATAGACAGTGTTTTTGTCAGAGAAACCAATGCACTTTAGTTTCCAAGTTTGTAATTTCAATGGCAAATTAATGTAGTTCTGTTCAGTAATAGATCCAAGATTCTGCCAAGCTGTTTACAAAATACAAATTACCAAGCAACAGTGTCATGGTGTTTTGAATTTTTTTCTTTTTTGTAGCTCTTCTAGTTCAACATACTTTCTTTATGAGTTTTCAGTAGATTTATCAGGTAATGACAATACACTTACGATACTTATCCATGGTAAATTTTTAGTTGACTTATGTCGTAGGACTGAAGCAAACATTTTCTCGCTTCCTTAGGAGCATTTTTACACAAATTTATCCATTTGAAGCAAGAAAAATAGGTGCACCAAACTGTTGACAAACAGTCAAACACACAAAAGCATGAAATAATGTATAAGTTTGACGAGATTGACAGGTCTAGTAAAGAATGCCGTTTGATTTTCACTTTTAAAAGGTTAAAATGTCATAAAATAACTTAAATGTTACATCCAAAATATGCGTTTCTCTACCGTCGATTTTCTTTACTTTGATGTGTGTGTGTACTGTGTTTTTCACGCCATGATGAAGCATTATTTTCACATGATATGCTGTCGGTATCGTAATTGTTTTTTTTTCTCACTTGTTTTCGTTCATACAAACAGTATTAGAAATCAGGAGGGAGTGAATATTGAAAAAAACTTTTAAAGTGGAAGTTTTGACCACCAAAATCCGCCATTACCGCCATGTTTTTGACCACGAGGCCCAGGCCCCTTTGCCCCTCCAGGTCTTATAGAGCTCAATGGGTTTGGCACTTTATTGCCGAAATGCATTATGGGAAAGAGCAACGTAATCCATGCGGTCGCTTGGATTTGGAAATTGGAATGTCGAATTTGTGTTTCTAAATTTTTGCACTCTTCTTCAAGTGGGGAGATATTAAAATAGCCAATCGATATTTCTGTTTGTTAACATAGTAAATTTGAAAGAAAGGTCGAAACAAATTTTGTTTAGCATCTTGAATTAAAGAAAATGACCGAGGAAGGAGAAATATCGTCGCCCGATGTTGATGAAAACGAGATCAGTATGTTTTTATTATTTTTTAACTTTTATACTAATTGACTTTTCTCGTTTGAATACTTGTTTTCCAAGTAAGTTTGTGGTCGACGTTTTAACATAAATGTAGAAATGATCGAAGCATCAAGTTCAAAGCTCAGCATGTAGTTTGTAGTGTTGTCATTTAAACAAGATTCGAGTATTTATTGAAGAGAGAATGTGGAAGTTCATCTTTATTTTAAGGCCATAATTGCAGAAGTCCTTTCATTAGTCGTGTAACATGTAGCTAGATGCGTGCATTTCTTAACTTATAGGTTTAGGGCTAGAGTGTTAGTGTTGGTGTTAAAGTTATGTTGGATTTAGATCGTTACATATCAATGACTTGGCAAAGAACACGGTATACATGTTATTTGCCGGCCATGAGGTTCAGATAGCAAAATATTTTCTCCCTGGAGGTCACAAATAGAGCTTGAGGTTTCAAACAGAACCAGAGGTCACAGGCCTGGGGCATTTTGAGACCGAGGGAGAATATTTTTTCTATCCTCATCTTCATGACAGATTGATGCCTTAAACATTTGTTTTTTTGCTAAAGGATGCAGACTTATTAGATTGTGCATTCATATTCATCAACAGCAACCAAGAATGCAATTCATTTTACGTTGGAAAAGTAAAATTCACCCAAACTGAGATTAATGCAGTCAAAAGTTTGCTAATAATTTCATTCCTAAAGCAAAACAAAATGAAACAACCCTTTGCTCAATTATTTAGCAATTAAAGCCTTAAAAGCAGTCAAATATTATAAAATTCTACTCACTGCTACAGGATTCTGGACAGCAGTCATAGATAGTAAAATTGTGTCTGCCGATACAGGCAAATTGATTGCAGGAAGGCTAGGAATAAGACTGTTGCTGTTTCGGAAATTTGTATCTTAAAATCATCATGACAAATCATATTACAGTTTACTTGTATTTTAACTAATGTGAGAAGAAAGAATCAGTTTTTCTGATTAATGGTGATAGTGGGTAAATATTGGCTCTGAACAGTCCATATCAGCTAACGGCTTTTCTTACATATCGGTTCACCACTGATTGTAACTAGGCTTTCTTGTTTTGGTGGGTACCTATGTAACCCAAGTGCCAAAAGACTTGTATGAGTTGTCACATGATGTGTTTTACGTGAAAAACCAAGTATTAATGACATTTTTCACTCTTGTCATTTTTTTATCTAAGTACGTATGTAGTTAAGGTAAGACGTTATCACTGCTCTGAAGATATTCTCAGATAAAGTGAAGACTTTTTACTTTATCAACAAGTAAATTATTCATAAAACTTATTTTAGGTGGTGAACCTGTCCTTGATGACATACTTGGTGAAACGGGAAATGACGAGTTTGTCCTTGATGACATACTTTGTGAAACGGGAACTGATGAGTTTGCTGCAGAGTTAGATAAAGCAACAAAACCTACAAGTACGTATATACAAATTACCCATTGAAGAGATGTTGTGAAAAATGGAATTGTTGAGAATTTTTGATATTTTATGATCTTTGAATATTATGTACAATGAACACTTCCTGATAAGATTTACTTGATGTGTATTTCTTTTTGAATTTATTTGGATTTAACCATGTATAGTGCATAGAATTTTGAACTTGTGTTATCAGCTACCTAGAAAAGCCTCTGGATGTGTGTTTGTTTCTTATTTTTAGCTCCTACCACACCTGATATACCTGCTAATCTTACAGCTAAGGTAGTTAATAAAGAGGAAGAAAGTAATGAGAGGCATGCCGTAGAAGATGCCAATGAGCAAAAATCAAAAACTCCTAAGGTAATTAAGGCAAAGCCTAAAACACCAGTGTCAAAAAAATTGAAACACCCTGCAAGCAAAACTAAAGTAAAAGCCAAAGCACTTCCTGGTTCAAACAAACCAACTTTAGAAAAATCTAAGAAACCAGCCAAGATCAGTGTGACAAAAGATGATGAAAAAAATAATTCATGTCCTTCCAAACTCAAATTTGAGCAGACGAAGGCCGGCAAAGTAGTCCCAAAGGCAAAGAGTGGTGTAAAAGCAAAAGTTGGCACTTCAGTCAAAACAGCAACTAAAGTTAAATCTGCAAGTTTGGTTGATGAAAATAAGAAAAGTGAAATTGGAAAGGATAACCCCGAGTCACAGAGAAGTCCAAAGGTTAGTGCTAAACCAGTGGAGAAGAAGAAAGTCGCCAAGAACGTTGTGAAGAAAGCTACTTTGAAAACAGCAAAGACCACAATTAAGGCTGTCAAAAGTAGCAATGCAACTGCAAGCAAAGATGAAAAACAGGATTCTGGAATACAAAAGAAATCAACAGACACAACGGTATTGAAGATCGAAGTCAAAAAGGAAATAATGAATCCAGATGAGACTAACAAACCCAAGAATGACCAAACTAAATCGGTGAAACAAATGACAACAGGAAAGAAAAGACCTGCATCTTCTAAGCCAGCTGTTAGTGATGCAAAAAAAGCTAAACCTAATGAAAAAAAGCCTGTTCGGAAGGCCAAAACTTCTCTTCAAAAGAAATCATCTGTAAAACCAAAGAATGCTGAAATCAAACCCAAGGTGAGATTTCATTTTAAAATGTTTTTGTTATGCAGAATAGTTTATAAGAATATGCAGTTGAAATAGCACACAACAACAGACTTTAATTATTTAAAGTTCTTTGAGTAGTTGATACCAGTGTGCAAATTAGTTGAGAAAAAACGATGTGCAATTTTTTTGACAAAATTGTTTCTTTAGAGGCATAATCAAATCGATATTACGTTAATTATTACATAAACGCTAATTGCTAAATTCATATGATTTACAACAGTGTTTTTCGTTACAATCGCTGATCCAGTTACAAATGTATGAGAGAAATTTATTGCGCATGTTTTTCTCTCCTCTTTTTTGTGCAAAAGTGAAAAGAGAATAACCAGATATACTTTTGCTTTCTGATTATTAACAGTAACATCCTTGATGTTTGCTTACGATAAAAAACATCATATTTATGTCATATTACAAGCAATATGTAAAAGCAAAATGTATGGCTGATCAAGGTTGCCAGTTAGGCTTAATATTTTGAACCAAATTTGGCTTCTTTTTCTCACGTTAGGCTTATTTAAAATCAAAATTCCCTTTGGTTTATTTTTCAAAATTGGCTTAATTAAGTTTTTTTTTGTCTTTTAAGAATCAAAATCAAAACGTTTCCAGATTTTACTGAAAATACTCAAAATAGCTATGATGCCAAAAACAGTACGTAACGGTTTACAAAACAACGCAAATGCAAAAATTGACATTAATAATGTATTAAACTTGTATTGTCATAAGCATATAAGCACCATGTATGTGGACTCTTGACAGGTTTCCCAGTCTCAAAAAGACAACGTGTTTGAATTTGATGACATAGTTTCAACATGGATTTTAATACCGTGCAGCGCACTTGTTTATAAAGTAAAGATCAGTAAGGATTAAGCTTGAAAACTTTTTTCAATATATGTGGTGGTAATCAATAAAGAAGTTTTTTGCATATCGTTTGAAAGAGTGATGTGCAGTTGTGTTCATTTTAGCTAAAATGATGTGCAAATTGCATATTGCACATCGTTAATTCACACTGGTTGATACTGTAGCCAATCAAGTATACTGTTATGCAGGGAAAAGTTAATTGATTATTTACATCATTTGTGAAAAGTAAATATATTTCAGATGTATCTTACAATGTACTGGTTTAGTACCCATAGAGAAGGTCTTTATTTGTTTGTTTATATCTAAAAGCTTCACATGAAAGCAAAAATATCTGAACTATTCAAGTTTTGTGTCTATTTAAGGTTGAAATGAAAGTTGAAGATGTTGTTGATGTAACAGAAAAGACTGATGAGACAATTGTGGCTGAATCGAACTCAGATGTTAAAATGGAAGGTGATTGTATACACTAATGCCTGTATTGTAAAAGCTAAGTTGCACTCACTGTCAGCGACATACATCCTAATCAATTGCAAATCCATGTCTTCACTGATTTCAAGAATTTAGTTAAAATATGTAGCCCAAATATACCATTGAGCCATTTGATGAGTGTGAGTGAGCTTTTAGAATATGAAGGTGAAATCAGTTTGTGTGTCAATGCCAATGCATGAAATTTCTTGATGTTTTGATATAGAAAATACAATGGAGGTTGCAAAAGAAATTAAAGAAGAAGAGACTGATACAAAAATGGAAGAACTTGACCAGCAAATGACTGTAGTAGATGATGTTGGTGTTAGCAGTTCAGCTGCAACTTCTGAGAATCAAAAATCCATTTCCAGATCTCCATCTCGTTCAAAGTCACCATACTACTCCGATCAATCAGGTATCATGGCTATGTTGTTGTACGTATTTAAATTGTTGAGTCGCATCATCTTGTCATTAATGTTATTTGAATGTAGTTTTGACAACTTTTGCTGCTTGCATTATCTAAAATACTCATTTGACTTTAGTTTGTTAACATTTGAAGATAATCAGGACTGTGTTTGATCAACATTGTTCATTATTTACTAGGCATGTCGCGTTTGCAATTTTCATTTTTGTGTAGAAACTTTTTAAACCCATTTTTTCATAAAATGTGTCTTTCCACATCCGTAATTTGATAAAAGGTCTTTGATCCGGTCTGTATTTTAAGGGGCAGAAGACGAATCACAGAACTTTGAAAATTCATCCAAACACAGTCGGGAGAAATCTATATCGCCCATAGTTTATGACAGACAATCATCTGCGTCTGAAAGTGATTCTTCGCGGTCTGAAGGTAAATACCGCTTGTTCTTGTAACATTTTAAAGACTGTATCGTCACTTAACTAATTTTTTTGCCAACTGGTGTGTTCTGTATTTGTTGCTGACGTCGATCAAAACACGACTCAATAAACGTTCAATATGTGATGTTCAATAAAAGCTTGAATGTTTTAAAAATTATATTGATTATTTTCTCGTTCTCTCAAAACTCACAAAAATGAGTTAGGCATAAAAGTTAGTAACGTGACCATGTACATATGTATTCGCAAGTATAATATAAAAAAATTTAACCTTAGCATTTTTAGTGTTGTACGTATATTATTTTATGAAAAAAGATCCATTCTTTCTCTCTGTAGCAGATAGCGACCCTGTGAAAAGTAAAGTAGATAAAATACCAAAAGAAAAGCCTAACATTGACGAATACCTCATAAACGCTCGATTCTTTATAATGAAAAGCAGTAACTGTGAAAATGTGTCTTTATCAAAGGCTAAGGTAAGAATACGTTGTGCTTTACGGCAGGTTTTCTGAACATTCGACATCAACTTGTAGGTTTTATAAGAAAACTTACGGTTAAACAAGTTTTATGACGTATGTGTTGAATTTTTGGTTGAATTTATCTTGTTTTAGGGAGTGGTCGACGCCATATGCAAATGAAAAACGAATCAACTTTTCCCTCAAGGTAACGTTAATATCCTACGTAGAATGTTCACGCACGTTTGTTGACTTTTTTTACGATTCTCCTTCAATTTTTGTTGTGTATCTTTGTTGCTCATGGTTAGATCGTTTTAAGTAGATCATAGAACATCTATGAATTTTCGAATTTTTTACCGCTTGTGCCTGGTATATGTGATGTTATTCTTTCATTTATGTGATGTTATTCTTCAATCTTTTTCAGAAATACAAGAATGTGATCTTGATTTTCTCCATCAAAGAAAGTGGCAAATTTCAAGGTTTTGCTCGTGTTGTAAACGAGGCCGAATATGGCGGTAAACCTGTACCATGGGTATTACCTCCTGGGTTGAGCGCTAAAGCATTGGGTGGAGTATTTAAGTTGGAATGGCTTAACAGGTTAGATCAACAATTTTTCACAGCTTCTTACATCCGTAAGTATTCTAAAGCTTACTCACTGAGTTGGGCATCAAAATCACCTCATAATTACGTATTCGAAGATGGCACTTTCACTTCACTTATTGCTTGATTTGAAATATTTTATCAAAAATCTTCCCATTAATGAAAAAAAACGACTTTTTCATTGACTACTAGTAAGGTCTCGATTTTTATGTCGCACACAGTGAATGCGAGTGTGAATGAGCTTTTAGAATACAGGCTGTACACCTGGGCCCGAGTTTTCTTAAAACTGAAATTTGTTTTAGGTTTACATGGAGCCAGTGTTGAACTTCTTTGAGTTTTCATTGTTCTACAATTGCTGTTATCGTGTTTTTTAAGTTGTTGGGGCTTGTCCAAGAATGTTATTGAAATGTTTGTCTCAAAAACCTCAGAAAGAGAAAGTTTGGTCTCGTCAATGTAAAATATAAAATACAGCTATTTCTTTATGTTAACTTTCAACTGTTATTTTGTCCAGGAAGGAGTTACCCTTCTCGAGATGTGCTCATCTGCGAAATCCCTACAATGAGAACAAAGATGTGAAAATATGTCGTGATGGCCAGGTAACGTTTTCCGAAATAATTATGTTGTCAACACTACACTTCGTCACGACCGAATTGGATGATTTTTTGCAAAGTGTACTCCTTTAATCACATATGAATTAAAATTAAATGGGAGTTAATGCAAAATGAAATAAATGCATGAAACATTTTATCGTCGACTCAAATTGCGACTCAAAACGCAAACTTTTTTTTGAAACTTTGCACAATCCTGGGGTCCATTATTTTGAAGTTCTATAAATGTCTACTTGAGCACATTTTTCATTCATGTTTTTACTTACCTCTGAAATTTTAGAAATGCGTCTGTTAGTAAGGTGTCTATTTTTTTAATTGTTATTGCATTGTGTATTACAGGAGGTTGAACCAAATATTGGAAGAATGCTGTGTAAGCTGTTTCCCGATGACGACACTGTGATACTGAGCAGTAGCAATAAACATCGAGCGAATAACGAGAGAGAGCACAAGAGAGCGGATCCCGGGTCGCCTAGGTTAGCTATGATTCTGGGCCGTATCAAGATGTTTTATTTGTTCTGTTGGGTAAACAAAAAGCTCACGTTCTTTAGGTTTACGAAATCACTTATGTTGAGCTCTTTCTTCCAACTGAAGTACTTTTATACGTTTGGTTCATCTTTTGTTTTGATTGTTCCCGATTTAGGCTGCTAAATTTTCACGGCATGAAATCATTTCAACGAATGAACTAAGAACTATTTATATCATTCCGTCTATGAAAATGCTATCTCGTATACGAAGTGGACAATACACCACAAGCAGTAATGCGCTATAGGTGCTCTGTGCACCAAAAGGGTTATTGAGCCAATTGAAAGAACTATTATACCACAGGGCTTTTTTAAAGATGTAAGGCTGAATTATTACGGGCTGTACACCCAAGTAGGTCATCAGCCAGTTTTCAGGTAATATGGAGTTGTTGGCATAAGGAATATGAGAGAAGTTGTGATTGCATCGTATGTTAAAGCTGCGGATTAACACCGATGACGCTCATTCATGGCTCTTACCTGTTCAAACTTCAAGCTTTATAATGGTGTGATTTTTTCAAAGCTACTGCGTATTTGTGAAAGTACGATGTGTAGCAGAATCACAACCTGGAGGCTTGTCGAAGAATTGTTGTTTTTGTTTATCCAAATTGGTCTTTATTTTGAAGTCCACGATGTTGTGTTATCACTTCTCAAGCTGTATTCTCGATCGGGAAAATTTGTCGTTGGTGTCAGTGTTGAACTTTGCAAAATGATGTTTCTAACATCATCCTTATGCTGATGTTTTACTAGCTCAATGCAGCGGCGTACATCGTTTGCCCTTATTCTATACCCATAAACTTTATGTCAATGTTTAATTATGCGAACTTGTTAGCATCAACCAGTTTGATGTGTGCAATTTGAAAACATTTTCCGATCTCTAATACCTGCAAGAAATTTTACAAAAGTAGAAAGGGACATCAATGAACATTGTAGTATTTCATTCCGTGCAATCTCCCTGGTGACGATCCTTCATAGCTCAATACCCAAACGAATCTTACCACTTGTACCTGGTGAAGGTATCAATCAAGCCGGCTAAAAATGAACGTATGTTAACCGCGTAGTGCCTGAAATATTGTGTTTGATGAGGTGCGCGTGGCGTCAAAAAATGGTCAGAGAGGTATCCAAATCAAATGGGCGAAAATATTTGTTTGTGAAATTATTAATTATGTAAATATTACCGTCAGATATATTGACAGTTGTTAGCCATGACCATAAAATTGCATTCGTTTGATTTGGATACCTGAAGGTCTTAGAAATGTTTAGAAAGCGCTGTACGATATATTCGTCGCTTTAGCATAGCCAAAAACATTTTCATTTTACTTGTCATATTAGTATTTCATTTCGAAGTTGCTTTTAAAAGACTATTGCAAGTGAATGAAATGTTTTCGTGTTGGCCACTCTAAAGCATTTGTACACGCGCGTTTGTTTTTATTTGCTCACTTGTTTACTTGTTATTCTAGTAGGCGGCGATCTTCTCGTAGGCACATATCCCCTTCCTCTCACCGTCGCAAGCGTAGACACCGTGAAAGAGGTAGGATCTCATTGTTTTTTTATTGGTGAATCTTCAAGATCATCTATGTTCACAGTGAAGGTTTGCGTTACGTACTTGTGTTGGTTTATATCACGTGATAGGGTGACTTAATGTTTTGGAAAGAGTTTCATTATAGACTAACTTGCTTTTTCTTTTTCAAAGACTCATTTTAACGTTATTGTGTATTGTGTTGTGATAGAAGGACGCCATCGTTCAAGAGAACGCTTTGATAGTTTAAGTATCATGGATTCTAGGTATGTGGGACTTTTTCATATTGCATGGTGTTGTTGAAGGAGGGAGGGGGGGTGTTAACGTTGGCCTGCAAAGAAATCTATTACTGAGTGAGAATTTATGTTTTCATTTGGAAGGAAATCGAAATGTGTGTATATTTTGTATTGTTGATTGTGTATCGTTTGTGCATCTCGATATGATTTGAAATTTTATCTTGTGAATTTCGATCGTTAATACTTCATTTCGTCATAAAATTTCTTGTCGATAACTTCAGACGAAAGATAATTTGTAAAAACAGTGAAAAATTGCTTTAATGTTTAACATGTGTTATTTTTAACTTTCCAGAAGTCGCTACGGAGTTCGAAAGGAAACGTTAATGCATGGGGTACGTATGTTATTAAAGCTCTCGCTGTACTGAAAAACATAAAATGCAGATCCAAGTTCTTTTTTGAACGTTGCAGCATGACCGTTTGCCGGACGTCATGGCCGTTTCAGGATTTAATCACGTCTAGATAAATAATGATACTTCCCATAACGTTTTACCAGTTGCATTTCGTCGTTTTCGTTTATTTCAAAAATGTTTCATTTGAGGTGATTACACTTAGTTCTGTCTACTTTCATCTTTCGCGCAAAGCGTTGGGTTTTTTTTGCTTATTCCATAGTGAAGAAATGTTGATAAACAATTTCTGTAAGGTTCTAAAATTAAAAAGTTTAGCAAAACTAATGCTGTCGATTAAACGCTTTTTGAGGTGCGAAATGTAAGGGTTCTCTGTAAAAGTGTGAATTAATTTTTATCATTTCATTATTTGGCACATTTAGAGTTACTCGGATTATGTACGAGAATTTCGTTCAAGGCAACCACCATCCGCTTATCCATCGTATGGTCGTGTAAGTATTTTACTGTATGTTTTGCAGCCATTGTGACGAAATGACTGTGTATTTTAGCGTTTAGAATTTGTTGTCTTGCATAGCGTTCATCGTAAAAATGCATGTTTTTGTTCTTTTGAATCGCATTTTCACGAGATTATTGATCTCTCTACGGAAACACAAAATTTGTCAACGAATTCTCTAGATACAAAATAAAGTTTGAATGTATGTATTTTTAGATCGATACTTATCCAGTGATGTACCCACATGACTTTATGAGACATGACAGACAAGCTAGTTACAACAGAAGAAGAAGATGAACTTTTCTCTTGTCTTGCTGGATTGAATATCTTAACTGCTGTATATATGTTCAATTTTTTTAAAAAATGAATCTCTTTAATACGTACGTATTCATGTTTAAAGTTTTGTGTAATTAATATTGGTCTCATTTGTGAACTTAAAATTCACTTTCCAAACTCGTTCAGCACAAAATTTTGGAAACAATCTATTCACAATTCACAAGTACATTCCAAAAACAAAAAATTCAATTGTTTTATTCAATTGTCACAGTTATGCTTAGGTGGCTTCCGTTTCAATAAATAGTTAATTGTTTAACATTGTATAATTTCCTGATATCCGAATTTAAACATGCCTAATTGTCATCATAAATGCCATGTCAATTGTCAAAGTTCTTTTCGATACTCAGTTGACATATTTTGTGTGAACATGCATTTCAGAGCTTCATCTTTGATGACAGAAAATGATAAAGTCAATTTAAGTTTTTGTTTGACTGTTCATGTATTTCATGTGATGTTTCGCATGGAACAAGTTTCATCATCCAAAAGTTCACATCTGACTCAACCTCCTGTTCGTTTGTCGGCATCGGTTTTCGCGATCGAAACCTCGTGAAACAGGTATCAGGAAAAAAAGGTGCAAATTCGGAAAGGTTTTGCCGAATTAAATCCGACTATTTCCCACATTCCTTACATTCGCATACTTTGTAGCATTCTTATCATCCGTCGCATAACTTCCTGTCTCTGCCCACAAATACTGCAATACGTTTTTGCAAGCACTAAAAAAATACCATTACCACAAAAGAAACGCCGTAAAATATGCAGTGATTTCTCTCTGATCGCACACCGAGATAAGAAACGACAGATCAAGAGTTACTTGAATTATATGGTTTCTGCGATACATACAGACGTCTACTGTGACGTAAAATGGCGTTGAAATATATAAGGCGTTGACATTGTAAAAGTGTGTATTTGTCAATATAGTGTTTCTATTTCATAATAACAATATTTGACAGTTGTAATGCTGCTTGTAACTTCCGATTGTCGCACTAATGAGCACTAACTGAAAATGGAGCGAATTCTGAGATAAAAAATATTCTTAATTTGATTGATTTCAAGAAATTCTTGAAAGCAGAAAATCAGGAAGAATGACTGCGAATGAGCGGCAAGTTAGTGGTGTGACACTGGTGTGAGAAATCGAGAATGATTGGAAAACTATGTGTTCCTGTAAAATATTCTATTTTAATGCTTGGGGTGTGTCTTTACTAATTACAGCGAATCTTCAAGAGTGAAAGTTTCTCAGTATATTTTTTTAGTATTTGGGAATAGAAAACTCTTAGCAGAAATATCTTATGTTGGGGCCGCTTCAATGTTAAGTGTTTTGTATGCCTATTTTAATGATACATTCGTGAAATTTTGCTCGTCATTTTTTCAACAAAATAATACTGCAATAAAAGACAAAGCTAAGCCCTGATCATCTTTGCTCTTCAAAGAATCACTAGCAATTCGTAGAAAAAAACCCTAAAAATTATAGAGATGTAAACATTTCGTTAGCACATACTTACGTCCCTGTAAATATTTATAAATATCTAGCTGCTATCATGTATATGTTATTTTAATCACTCACACTGTAAAAGTTTTGAATGGTGAATAAATTGTCAATATTTTATAAGGAAAACACTTCATTCCAGTTCTACGGATGCTATTCTGATTAAGCTCTGGGTGTGTTTACGACTTACGAGTGATTCTTCAAAAGAGTGAAAATGAACAGTATTTATCTTTGGCCAGTGTTGCACTATTTATTCGTAGAAAAGTATTTTGAATGAATATTTTATGGCCGTTTGTGTCTCTTTAATTTTAAGTGTTATGTGGAAACACTCATCTAAATGATTTAATACTCTCTTACTTATCTACTCAACAAATTTTACTAAATATCACTTGAATAGCAGATAAAAGTAAACACTAGCTGAATATTTTATTATTTCAAGAATCACTAAAAGATGTAAAGTTCAATTATGGCACAAACGCATTTTGCAGAAGTCTCAATATTTTATGAACACATATTACGTCGCTGTAAATATGTTTATAAAATAAAAACATAAAATAAAACATATGCGATGGCGGATTGGTCTGTAGCTAAATTTGAATTAGCCTGTACAAACCAGGGTAAACCGATCTGAGCTAGATCAATCAAATCAATCAAATAGAATTTGCAAATCAATCATAAGTACACATTAGAGGAAAAATTTAAAACTTTGCTAGTTCGAAATCTCCCAAAGATCTCCGCAGTTTTCACAATCCTTCTGCAAACACAATAAACATCTCTTATTGTATTCAAAGCTACTATGTGTACACTATCTCTTCACAATATCAGAGGTTGCAAATTGTTTTACATTAAATCAAAGTAGTCAGTGTCTCTGGCAATTTTTCAAGGGCAGGTGGAAATCTTGTTGTGTGGTTATTGAATAGCCTCGTTTAGTTCCGTGCACAACAGAATTTTCTCGGAATCGTTTCCGGTGAGCAAGCGAAAACCGTCAAAATTCAAAAATGATGACGTTAACGATGAACCATGCAGTCTATCATTTACCGCTTGCAAACGGTGTTCCAGAAAAAAATGGTCCAAACACTTGGGTTATTGGAACATTAATTGTCTTCGTTTTAAGCATTTTTTCATGCGTCCAGTCAAATTTATCGATGTTGAATTTTCACGTATATCTTAAAAATCGAAGTAATAAATTTTCGTCTTAATCTTCTTACATGTGGAAAGCCTTAGCTACTTGTGGGTTCGATTTCGTCATATTTGAAATAATTTTATTCATAGAAACATGAAAGCTTTCCCAATACTGACACTAGGCAACAACTCTTAATACCTTAATTAAGGCCTTCCGGTTTGTTCAAGTTTGCCTTGTCAGTTTAATGTTATCAGCGTTTTCTATATTAGTCCGGAGGATAAGCTCCGAAAATTGGTCAGATTGTTCAAACATGTGAAGAAAGCATGAAACTTACCACAAATTGCTAATTTGATTTATAGATCAAAATAAAAGTGAGACCCCAGCAGGATCAGCTTGTTTAGGGTACTTTTGAGCCGATTAAAAGTTTGGTCAGCGGCTTAAATCGCGGGCTTAATGAGGCTTTTATAAAACCGTTTTAAATATAAAAATGTTAAATAAAAATGTTGTATTTTATATAAAAACAACAAAACACCATGAAAATTCCGGTAAAAATTAATTAATTGTCGAAAGTTACCCTTTTTAAAGGTTATTTCGAAAACTGCATAAATTTTGGGCTCCCTGTGGCAAAAGCCTGGTCGCCTAGTTAATTTGGCATTTCCAGACGATATAGTGCTATTTCTCGATAATTTTTTTTGATTATTTTTCGCTTTTAAAATGTCTTTAAACTGGAACCTTTGTGCCTTATGTCAAAAGACACAAAAGAAAAGATTTTATGTCCGGAAAAAGCTTCAAATACTTTACTTGCTGGCTCAAGTTACAAGACAATTGCAGAAAACTTGAAAGAATTCGAGAAACTTGATTCGCTACCTATTAACATTCCACTTTCTTCTCTTGATGATGGCAGAGGTAAGGAATTCCTAATCAATTAAAAGTGAAATAAACTCACAGATCAACTATGAGCCATAAATTGTACTTATTTAGCCTTATAATAATACTTTAACAGGCATTGAAAATACTTTAAGAAATCACTGAGCATCATGGCACAAATCGTGCTATAATAAATGCAATACGCTAAAGCTTCAGCGGGCACAAAAGCGCAAAAGTGAAGAGGAATTTTCAACTGAGGATCCAGCAATATTAGGAGCTACTAGTCCAGCTAAAACAAGAAGAAAGACATTTGAATTGTCAAGTAAGAGTAGCAATGCTTTATCATGTTTTTCTGTGATTGCACAGAGGGTGATTTGCATAAAGCAGAAACCATGTCAATTACCAATAATGTTCAATCAGCGGCTGAGACGCTTCAAGATTACAAACTGTTAGCAAAATTAGCACAAGGTGATATGCATGCAAGAGATGCATATTACCATAAATCATGCTTGACATCTCTCTATAACCGCCAGAGAAGCAAATTAAACCAACCACAAGATAGTGCTGTTGATGATAAAATGAAATAACACCTGAGGCAATAGCCCTTGCAGAATTAAGCCTATATATTAGTGAAAGCCTGGCAGCTGGTGAAGCAGTTTTCAAGATGTCTCAATTGTCAGAGCTCTATTGTTCAAGACTTGAACAATTAGGAGTAGAAGTGAAAGGACGTATCAACTCCACAAGACTGAAAGAACGACTTCTCACTCAAATACCAGAGCTGCATGCATTTAAAGATGGTAAAGATGTGAAGCTATTGTAAACATGCTTAGCCCAGGGAAGTGTAAGACCTTTCAAGAATACTCCAAATCAGTGTTTGTTCCTTATATTGTTCAACAAGCAAATGGTATTAGAAGAATAGATCTTGTTTGGGACCGTTATATACCCGACAGCCTTAAGCCGGTACTCGCTCATCGCGAGGCTGTAGGGGCAAGAAGAAGAGTATGTGACATGGCTGTGATCCCTGCAAACTGGAAATCATTTTAAGATCAGATGACAACAAACAAGAACTTTTCAAGTACCTCAGTCAGGCAGCAACATCGATTCAACTGCCAAATGTTACAATTGTAAGCACTTTTGAGGAAGACATAATAAGTTCAAGCCAATCGAAAAGATGAGTTAGCTCCCTGCAATCACGAGGAGGCCAATACGCGCATTTTCATTCATGCAAACCATGCAGCGAAAGGTGGAATGAGGAAAATTGTCATAAGAACTGTAGACACAGATGTTGTTGTGTTAGCAATAGCAAACGTGCAAAGTTAGATGTAGATGAACTTTGATTGCTTTTGGTGTTGGTAAACACATGAGGTACTTACCAATTCATAACATTACACAAAGCTCGTTGAGTAGGGAGCAATGTGAAGCCCTACCCTTCTTTCATGCTGTCACTGGTTGTGATACTGTGTCGTTCTTTGCTGGAAAAGGTAAAAAGACTGCATTTCAAGCCTGGAAGTCTTTTCCTGATGTTACCAGTGTGTTTCAGCTTCTTTCATCTCCAAAAGAATCCATCTCAGAAGAAGAAATGGAAAAATTGAAAGATTTATCATTATTATGTATTCCCGCACATGCCCGCTCTCCAACATCAATGATGCTAGACAAGCTATATTTGCACAAGGTACTAAGACAATCGACCACATTCCACCAACCCAAGCCTCCTTGGTACAGCACATTCGAGGGCAACATATCAGGCTGGTCATGTTTGGGGTCAGTCGTTAGTTTCAGTTCAACAGTTACCGCTTCCTTCGCAGTGGGGATGGCAAAATAATGGCAGATGGATTCCTACATGGAGCACTCTTCCAGAGGCTTCCAAAGCGTGCAACGAACTGGTGCACTGTGGTTGCAAGAAAGCATGTAGGGGCTTGTGCAAATGTACCAAGTCCAATCTTCCATGCACAGCATTGTGCAAATGTGGTGGTAGCTGTTACCAAGATTAATAAGTAAGTAATATTCCCTAAATAATCCCGAAAATGAATCAAAAGAATACACTGCAGTGAAGACGACAGGTGATACAATATCATTATTAAACATTTTCATGCTCTTGTAAAATTTAATAACACCAATAAATCAAGAAATCCCAAATATTCTTCTCATTTTTTTATTGAAAGTATGTGAAATTTACTGGTATAAATGACAATTTATACGAATTATATATCGCTTAATAATACTTACTTCCAAGAGGATATAAATGCGATGAGAACTAAATTGTTTTGTCGATTTTCTTTTTATTTGAAATGGGATCCCTGTGCCTTTACTATTAAAATATATGGCAAAATTTATTGATAATTTTCTCGGAAACAAAAAGGTATTTTGCTGGGGTCTCACCTCTATTTTAATTTCATTGATAAACCAATGCAAAATAGTGAATTTGAGACTTTCTTCATGAATTTGAACAATGCTAGGTCTTATACTCCGGACTATATCATCTGAATACGTGACATGAATATACTGAACAACGTTGTCGGTCAAAAAACTTCTATCACTTTTATTTTATTGTACGTGATTAGGTGAGGCATTTGTTTGTCTCGATGGCCTGCAAGCCTTGGCAGGATGTTCAAGCGGCCTCTGAAAATTTTAACAGGAATTAAAAATCGAAACAATGGAAAGGATGTTCAATTTTTAAGGGAGGAACGATACAGCTGTAAAAAAGATATTGAAATTTGATTTAATATTTGAAACTGAAGTCCTACTTTCACTGAAATTTTGTAAGAATGTATTGACCATGTTTATACATATGAGCATGACGATTTCTGATTTCTAACGTTGAATCAAACAAACTGCTCACTTGAAAAGCCGAGTTTTCGAATTTATTGACAAATTGTAAAATGAAAAATAAAAGTTCAAAAGATTACTTGACGTGGAAGTCTGTAACATGGGGTGTGATTACTTGCACCAATGAATATTCTCGATTTTAAATGGCACACTTATGAGTGGACACGCGAGACTTTGTTTCGAACTGGTCAAAGGATGACAAAGAAAGAACCATGTGAAAGAAGGGATATTTCTAAAAAAAATGCTTAGTTTGCTTTTATTCAACATTTTTTAAATCACAACGTAATTATATTATGTCACGCAGATTTTTTGTGTGTGTTTTTTTATGCGGACTGTAAACAAAAGACAAAGTGATACGAAATAGGTCGATACTTGTCGAGGATATGATTTTACACAAACAAAATTTGTCAATTAGTTGCTAGTCAAAACACTCAACCCTCACTTTGCTTCGTGATAAAGTTTCCAAAAATACTATAGGAGGATCAAATATTATGATAAGCGAGTAATTTCAAATACTCATGGCATCGCGACACCACTTCAACTTATAATACAAAATAAATGCTCGTTTTGAAACATTTGTTTTCTTCGAAGTACGTATAAAATGGTATTGTTTGGAAATAAATAATATTACATTATTTCTAATGCATATATTTTACAGGGTATGCATACGTTTGACTTATAAAATAGTTATGCATCTTCAGTTCTTACGCTAGACTGGACAAAATAAATATCTTTTTTCATTGTCACAACGGAGAGATTTTAGTGAGCCTTATACTTGGCACATGTCATGAGGGTAGAGCGTGCTTGTCAGTGTACAGCTACAAATGAGGTTCCATCGGTTGAATCGTTCTCGAAGGTGTCACCTAAATAATTTCGCAACAAAGAGAACAACAGATCGTTCGCCGTCCAATCACTCATTCGTATCAGTTTTTTTATCAAGCAGACTTGATGATTTAAATCTTTCGTCCACCCTAAGTGACCGTCGCTCAACCATTAGCAAGGCAAGTTCACGAAATACTTTATCTATATTTATTCCCATCAATGCAGAGGTGACCGTAAAATAGCATTTTTTTTCGCGACTCACTGCAATCGATTCATCAGTGGCGACAACGTGGTCTGTTGAGGGTTTGTCGCATTTGTTTCCGACTAAATAAATTGGCACTCCTTCTCCTTTCGCTTGTAAAACCTCGTCAACAGTTTCCTTTGCTATCCTAAACGATTCTTTACTGTTCAACTTGTACATGATTATAAATGCTTGTCCTTCGCTGATTGCCAAATTTCTCATGGCTGGAAACCGATCTGAACCATCAGTATCATAAATGCGTAAAAGAACTGTAGTGTGAAACGACTTTAATGTGTAATGTCCGTCATAAACATCCTCTAACGTTGGTATATGTGTTTTAGGTAATGGCTTGCCCAAAAACCGTTTAATGACCGCTGTTTTTCCACATCCACTTGAGCCAAGGACGACGACGTTGACACGAAAACTTTGCTGTATTTGCCTACTGCTTGGTTTTATTGGCTCACTCTTGCATTGAACAAAACGAGCCAGATTTTTAAAGTTGATCTTCTGCGTTTCCATTACTTCTGTAAGATAATTGTGCATATTCAAAGTCAAAAGTATCGAAAGAAAATTGTCCACGACGAAATTGACGCTTTCAGCTTTCGCTGTTTGTTTTAAATGACTGTTGTGATGTGATGGTAATAGTTCACTGTATTTATTATTATCTATAAATGCTACAGGAAATTGCTAAGATTCCATCAAATTACTACGTCATATCGTGAAGATATCGTGCATATAATTAAGTTGAACCTCATAATTGGGTCAAACCGATTTGTACAAACGATTATTGTACTCAACACTATGCGTGGCATAAACATTGCATTGATCGCGTGCAAGATAACAACACGAGCCCAATATTAGAATAACCTGCCCTGCAGTCAAGCAACTACGATTCAATATCGAGAAAAATCGACATGTTTATCTAATCAATTTGAATTATATCTTAAAATTTTTGGTATGTATTAGATTAATGATTCTCGAAGAAAGTTTCTAAGCCCTTACATTGTTATTGGCATGGAGATAGCAAATATTTTCGCCTACGCTTCTCAAAAAGCAGTTTCTCTTCAACTCTTTTGGTCTTTAAAAAATTACTGATAGCTTCATGAAAAGTTTCTAACAAGAAATCTTTTCCAGTAATTTATTTTACTGTTGCAAAGTGAGTTTAAGGAACTTTTACATCGAAATGTTTAAACCATAATTTTGTTTTATGATTTACTTTTATGCTCATTTCTTATCTATATAGATTTCACCGATGCAACTCAGTTGTTGCAACAAGTTAAAAGTCCAACACAAACTCTAGCTGACGTTCAAGAGTATTTGAATTTCGTGTGCTGGTAATTGTTGCCATTGTTGAAGAAGTTAAACCAGATTCAACGAGATAGTACAATTACAGCTATTCCAACTATATATGAACTATGTTTTACTCATTTACGTCACAAACATAGAATGCTCAGGAATAAAATAGTAAAGTCGTTTCATAGAGTTAGAATACCCTTCTTTATTTCCTGATATACTGTGGAAAATTACACACCCACATGAAGTATAATTTGCGCAAAATTTTCTCAAAACTAGACAAGCACAACAGCTGAGTTAGATTTTTATTGATTTATGATCTTAAAATGCAGGTTCTATTTATTTTTGATCAGTATATGACTTTAACGGGATGAAATATTGAAGTAAAATTTTGACTAATTTTATCATTAAGTAAAGGGTGTTTTTAACTCGGTAATATAAACTCTTTAGTAAAAATGCAAACAGCATTTACAGATCATGTAAATGTATCTATATTTCTACTATATCAACTATCATCTGTACTTTGCAAATAACTCAAGTACTAATTTAACTTGGCATACGGAAAAGTACAGTTGATGAAATAATTTTTTGCGTATTGGGAATGACAATGTAATTTTTTGTTAACGTAATGAAGAGGAGTCGGAAGCGGGGGCAAAAGGACTGGCTCCCTCAATTTTTTAAAAATACAGCAATATTAAACATATTGATACACATTTTCATCAAACACAATGTTTCATTACTCTTTACACACAATTGTACGATGCGCCCTCGCGTTTGTCGTCGTTCTAATACCCCATAGCTATTGTAATCTTAGTGCATTTTGGATGTTTGATTTTTATGAACTTCAAGTACTTTTAGGTCAACTATTTATCAAAAAAAGAAAGTTTGCTTCTGATTTTTCAATCGTAATACACTTCCTAAGATTTGTAATTCAAAATAAGTTTCGTATACGTACTATACCACGAACGGTTGCTTCGTTTTTAAATGTTTTCTGAGGGAGATTCAATCGCTTAATTTGGAGAATGACACAATTATTTTTTCACGCAGAAAACGCTCCCTGGAATACTTCGCATTTTTAGAATCTCTCTATGAAATTGAAATTAGAGCTGTTGTTAGCCCTGCCTTCTCTCCCTTAGAGATGTAAATAAATTGAAAACAGACACATTAGGACGTCTGTAGATATAATTCCTTTGTAAATATTTTACATTTCGGGAAGAATTTGGTATATTTTTCATGAGGACTTTGGCAAACGCAAAATGCTCTATGATGGCAACAAAGTCAACCACATATTTTTGATATAAAGAAGCAAGATTTCAATCAAGATGGGTGAAAAATTTTCCTAATTAAAATAACAAAATGGAATAATTTTCCCAATGAGGTTGTTGATTCACTTTATAAATTTATATTGAACATAAAATTGGCTTTTAATATTCGAACTTTTAAAGTACGTTTTTAGATACTTAAAGATCGAATACTAGGATTAATATTATGTATATTCTCTGAGGATAAATAATAACAGATACAGTTAAAAATTTTACTAAAACAAATTACAACGTACGTGCAGTAGAATTTTCTAGTTTGCTTACATCTCAAAACAGGAAAGGTGAACTTCAACAAGCTAAAATATGTTATAGCTATAATCACAATGTTTACAACATAAATCACACAAATGCTTAGATTTCCGGTGTATATCTATAAACCCGAACCTGCCTGAACGTGGCTGAACCTGCCTGAACATGGTCTGAACCTGGCTGTTACCTTTGTTGACTTTGCTAATTGTTTAGAACTTAGTGAAAGGTGATGGATCGCTTTTTCACTCTTTTTAGATTCCTTTTAAGGCAAACAGGGTAGAGGAAATAATAGCGGAACTTGTCTTTACGTCAATTCAAGCAACGGAAGTTTTCAATTCATTTATGGTAAAAAGTATACAACAATTATGTAAATTGTTTGTGCTTGTCACTTTCTATATATAGATTCCTACCTTGCTTACCTTTCACAAAGAAACGAATATTTATTCAACGAATGTCAGTCAAACATCCAACGTTTTTTTTGCGGCATCAAAAAAGAATGAAAATAGGCAAGTTACTCTTTGAGCCTTGAGGTTTTAATCACTTCAAAAATTTGAATCAAAACACTCAATTTTTTTCAATAGTCCAAAGGGCAAAGGTGCACATAATTTCCTTGGATATGACTTGGAAAGGCGGCACTTCGTTGATAAACGGAAGACGAATTAAAATATCACACGCCAGATGATCCAGGGATAAATGTATATTGAGAGAAATACTCCGTGTTATGTTTTAAATCGACGTAGCAGAAATGTTTTGCCAATCTGCCTTGTTATATTCATTCTTTCTCCAAGTGTTTGTATGTACATATTGCATGCATAGTTAGTTAACCATGTCAGAAGATCAGACCTGACTGTACTTTGGAACCAAATAATCAGAAACTATGTAGATTAATAAATACGTTTGATTTATACTCACTTGTACTACGTTTAAGCAACGTACAATAACATTCTGTGGGAGGGCTTGTAGATTTGTGTGCTATTTAATTTTTGAGTATAAATAGCCCATCTTGCCCCTTTTCACATCCGCTACTGGTCTAGTTGCAAATCATTAGCTACAGACTAGTGGAGTGTACAAATACTTATGGATAAAATCATACACTTGCTATATTTGTTATTGAAGAGCTATACAGCAGTTTTCGTATTGAGCGGATTGTCATGATCGTGCTAGGATCAAGGCTGCTTTATTACCAGTTACAAGTAAATTTAATTTAACATTTCAAAAAGGCGGAGACGAACGCAGTTTGGCAGCATCCACACTTTGGTAAAATTGCGCTAATTTTAAAAGCCATGTTTTGAATTCTCTAAATTGCAAAAAAAATCATTTTTTTACCTTTTTTTCTCGAGATTTGCCTCCATTGCCAACATCTCAAATGCTCTGAAAATGCAGGTTTACTCCATAAGTTTAGAAAACAACACATAATCCACTTTGTGACTTTAGTCTTTTACTTAATAATTTTGTCCAGCGGTAAAAACAGGGACCGAAAAACATTCTCATTTTTTATGTGGGATGAAATGGTGCCGCTTTTTTGTCCCCTTAAGACACATTGCCCACAGAGTTATTCAGATTTCTTTTTCTTAACACTCAAATGTATGAAATTTGGGAAAAAGTGAATGACTGAATCATGGAAAAAGAATTCTGTTTACAAAATTAATTGGTATGGGAATGATCGCTTCAAACTCTGATGAATGTCCTGAAATTAACAAACTTTAAGAAACATGCTAAGTAAATATGTTAAATCACATGTAGACTACATATCTTTACCAGACTTTGATACTTTATCATAACTTCACGTAAACAAATGTCTTTTTTCTGGGTAAGATAAACATTAAATAAAAAACTATCAAGTGAATAAAAAATTACCGAGTAAGTCATCAATTCTTTGTGACACGCCAACACCAGTCAATGGACTTCGATCAACAGGTGAACTTTCTTTGAGTCGAGAAAGTACTTTAAATGCAATACGATATTAGTTCCTTGGTTCCATAAATTAGAATATCATTACCATGATCATTACCGTCCAAAGATCATATCAGTTTATGGTTCAAAATACTTCATATAACTATTAAGTTTGACATTTACTAGCAATGTTTTATCCCTATAAATTGCATACTGTGCTTGAACATTATCTGGGTGCGCAATATATATTTATGATGTTTTCATCATCACTCGTGGGATGGGGACGCAGCCCACGCCTTTCATATTGATGGAAAACAGTGAAAACACGTCAATTTCTAGAGCATGTCAAACCACTATGTAAAGCACTATGATACCTTCAGTCAATCAATCAATCAACCAATTTTTCGATCATTTATTTTCACACATTAATGCCTATAGGAATACAAAGACTCGTAAAAACGAATACGTGTAGTTATTAAATATCTATTATAAGAATGCAATTATATATAATAAGGAACCATATAAAATTAAGGCAAAGGGCAGAATATACTGAAAAGATAAGAAAGCAGCAAATTAGATCAAGCGTTGACGTTAATTGTTTCACAGGAGAGCAAATCTCATTTTTCCACCTTATAAGGGCGTCTCTGCCCTTCGCTTTGTACCAACTCTATATAACGATTGCCACGCCACTGTATGTAGCTAATAAGATAGGTTTCAATTTGTAGCATTTTGAAGAATTTGCTTTACAATTAATAATTGCTTTTTTTTGTATTGTTCATTTTACTTCTTGGCAAAAACCAGTTTATTTTGTTGCAACAGAGCATAGGAAAGAAGAAAACTGGAATGGTGTTCGCGATAGCATTACCTCCAAACTATTCAAAAGTTATATGGAATGGCAGGCAGTGGGATAGCTCGCCCAGACAACCTGAGTCGTATAACTATGAATCTCCAATGGAAAAGTTAGTTGTAGTTAAGATGTTGTTGCGTTTTGCACTGCAAAATATCATTCATGTTGATCAAAGTCTAAACGACAAGCTAGACTGAATCGTGACATCCAATTTAACAGACATTTGCAACAAGATAAATGATATTAATAATAAAATAATGCAACTTAATCTAACTGGTGATAAAAGAGGTAGTGACGGAAAGCACCTAAGAGCATCATCAGTTTGTCAAACTCTAGTTACTATAACATTCCTAACAGCCCTTTTTTATTTTTGACCTAATGTGATCTTCGTCTAACTTTATATCTAAATATCCAAGAATTATAAAAGTGGAATATAGGAAATCTAGTTTTCAATCACCATCAATCACGACTCATAGGTGCTCAAAGACATCTTCTAACCGACAGTTTAATGAAATATAACAGAAAACATACTCCAAATACGATCATCTTGCAGACTCATGATTCAAGTTATTTTGACAAGAGTCAAAGTTTTCTAAGGCTTTTGGAGTATGTTTTTTTCCTCATATTAATATCTACTCAACATACATAACATTTTTATCGTTCAGTTGACTATGTATGAAAACTGTAAATCAATGTTAGTAAAGCTGGTTTTAAATGGTTTTTACTAAGCTGCCTGCACTGCATCGAAGTTTGGAAATGTGTACGTGTCTCATATTTCATATTTGACATTCAATTATCTGAACGCGTCTGTCAAAAAACTTGAAGAAAGCCCTAAAAACGTTAATAAAAACTCTAAATAGCCGTTTGTGATTTGAATACAATCAATGTATCCATACGTTCGTGTTTTAAACAAGCAGCAGTATTTTTTAGCTTTATCTATAAGCTGCATGGAAGTTTCCAGATTCAATTTATTGTCAGTCATCAATGAATGACTTAATGCAAAGCATTTAGAAACTTCTCGTAAATAAAATATTTTTGTTTGTTTGGCATACAATGTCTTTTATATTGTAGATTTATTCACACAACACAATAAAACCAATGATATGAGAAACAAGATAGGATAACGAAAATTGCAGCTTCTCGTGCCCATCTATTCTCAAGATAACTATATGTATTTTTAACCCTGCATTGACAAATTTGAGATCAGTCAGATTATTATATGAACAAATATGATAGCAATACGATGCAACGTGTAACATTACAACCCTCTGCATTGCCTGGATACAACCACAGGCACTACCATGGCTACAACTACAGATACTGCCATTGTTGCAACCGCGTTCTGGGTCCATAGATAAGTAAAAACTCCTGTTCTTCAAATACCCATAATTTATACCCAATCTCAACCCTTACCTAAACCTATTCTTAGAGTATAACGATTGGCCAGAGCTGAGATAATGGTCATGATTTGAAGTATGAAGCAATATTACACTAAGTTTTTCGATTCGGAAATCCACGAGAATTTCCGGCATATTACGAAACGTTAGTTACATTCATATCATATTATTTTGTCATTTTCCGTCAAATTCTCTCATATTTGTTGTCAGATGTGGGTCCGTGTACGTTCACTTTGGCCATGTTCTTTTTATTTAGGTGAAAGTTTTCATTTCTTGTAACGTAATGTTTCCATCTGGAGGCTATTTTCGTAGCGCCAATTGCCCTTTCTATCAACATGGCCTTTGCCACAGACCATATTGTCATTTTCGTCACACTGTACCAGGTAATATACTTGTGACATAAGACTCAAAGTCGTTTAGATATCAACCCTGTCTTTAATCATAATTTCCAAAGTTTTATGGTAAACTCTATATATACCATTGAAGAATACTGTCTTCATTTCAAGAATACTCTCCTGTCTCCCGTGAACTGAAAAAATACTTAAGAATAGTTGGTCCAGGATTATAGTTATGTAATGTCTGTCCAACTTTGATGTATATTTAAATATACTTACTCTAACTCAGTCAGTTAAGCAAGGAATCAATGGTACTTTGGTGGTAAATGTACATATTTTTCCTTGCTATAATTAATCCTTGCTCAATAACAATCTCATTGGTTACATTTTGATCTGAAGATATTTCTCACAAATTCATTACCACTTCTACTTGTGAACCACCCCAAATTTTCCATTTCACAGGTCGGACAAAAGATTGATAACTGGAGAGGGGGCTCATATTCATATGCAGTAATTTGCAATCATAACAAAAAAGGAAACTAATAAGTAGAACATGTTTGCATGTATGAACATGGGTCCCCTAAATTATGAATCTTCCAACACCTGTGTTGGGTCAGTAAAGTATTCAGAAATTTTAGTATTTTAATAGTTCTTGCAACCTTGATATCGTGTGTGCTCTTCAAACAAAATGTCAAAAAAACATCTTAGAAAACTGACAACACTGTGACCCAAATAGCAGCTTAATTGTTTTTTGCTCTAAACATTTGGCGTCAGTCTATTCTTGCATTCAACGCATGTATTTTGCTACAGATTACAAGCCAACTGTTGCTCTCAATTCAAAGAAAAGCGAGGGTAAGTTTCTTTCTAGGTATTTATGAAATGAGCTTGCATCCTTGGAAAATGCGTGAAAATTATGTTGAGTTGTGCAATGTTTGTCTCTACTTGTGCATGATTGAAATATTGATCATTATTTTACAAAAAAAACTTTGTGTCGGTTTTCAAATCCCAAATCCCCTACTATGTGTGACTTTAACTGTTTCTATTTTCTACTCTTCAGTGTTTTTACAATACATTTGAGCTTTTACTTTTCTTGATGATAAAAATCAAGATTTTATCTTATGAAATGCCCTTCTTGTAAGCAGTTATATTATTATAATATATGGCCTTTTCTTGAATGTCAATTGGGGGAGGGAGGGGGGAGCGTTTAATACTCATATATTCAGTTATGTCTCACTGTCTCTCCCCTCCCTCCCTCAAATTAACGTTTCATCAACAGCTCTGAGTTAATAGGTTTTCTTATTATCTTAAACATAAAAAGAGCAAAAGAAAGATCCGGTGGTGAAGCACACACACAACCATGGTGAAGATGTTAAACAACAGAAGAAAGACTTAGTGCAGAAGGGCGTACAGGAGAAAACAAAGACCACAAAAAACAAGCATAATGTGGAAGTTAAAACCTCAAATCAACCAATTTTCAAAAGAACCGCTCTGGAAGAAAAACTGATTGCATTCTCAGCAAATGCAGATATGATATTGACAGACTCCGACAGTGATGCTGATACTCCATCAAAACAAAATGATGACAATCAATCAACTGTTTCCAAACCTCAACTTCTACCATGTGAAGAGAAAGGAAAATCATTTCAAAATAACTCTGTTAAAGGAAGTAGTTGTACAATTGATATGACAACAAGTAGTGTTTCCACGTATAAGTCTACTGAAGTGATTTCAGACGATAAAATGCTTGCGATATGTGAAAAATTGGAAGAGAAAGACAAGCCAAAGGCGATAGTTATTTCCGATTCCGAAGATGAACTATTGCAAGAAATCAAAGATGAAAATAACGACCGTTTGAGCAATGCTTGTAAGGAATCTCGCACGAAAGAAATATTGGAATTACCTCCAAAATCAAGTGTTGGCATGACCATGAATGACAGCGAAACGTGCGATGAAATATTCGTCGATACAGAGGAACTGCACGAAAATAAAACGGGAAAGCCAAATGAGAAGATCGAAGAGCAAGTGAAAAGTTTGCAAGGAAAGAAGTTGATTGTCATGATTGAAGATCTTCAAAACTGTGGAGCCGGCAGCCATTTTATATTGAAAAGTACGAAAGAAGACGCAAAGATTAAGAAAAGTAAGAAAAAGGAGAAAAACAAACCAGATTCTTCTAAACTGGCCGATGTTGATTTCTTTGCTGCCGATGTTTCGAAATTAAAGAAAAAAATGACTGCCAAAGAGGGAAAACACGTAGAGAAATCAAAGCACAAGATAATAAGTGAGAGCGATAAGAAAAAGATGAAAAAAAAGCTTGGCGAAAGTAATTTAGCTCCTGTTAAAGAGAAGAGTAAAATTCAACGCTATAAAGAGCTGAAGAGACTTTTCAAAGACTCCGAAAACACTCTTGATAAACTTGAAGATCAACAAAAGAAATCTTTGTTGGTAGACAACAAGTTTGTTGCGACCTTAGAGAAAGAAAAGGAAACGATTAGACCATCGGATTTTCTTTTAAAGAAGCCCAAACATTCTTGGAAAAACGAGTCTAAAGGATTTAAAAAGGATAAGGACGATTCTAAATCAAACGTTCATAACAATGCTGATGAAACAACCGAGGAAAAACAAAGTTCGAAGAATCCATTTGTTTTGGTTGCTCCCGATAAGAAAGTAATACTTATACCAGATAATGACACTGTTTGTGAAAATTCTCAAAATGCGGACGCTCTGGGTACTAGTGATACCAATAGACATTCTGACTATTCGGGTCTCGATGAGGATAGCGAGGAAAATGAATTATTGAGAATATTTAATGATTATAATCCCGACAATGATGAACCTGAAATGAACGATTGTGTTGATGATCTTTTAATGAATATTGATGTCGTTAATGTTCGTGACAGTGACGATAAAAAAGAGAAAAAACTTGCACAGTCATCAAAATCGATTAGTGGATTGAAAAGACAGTCAAGCGAAGGAACGTCCGCAGCATTTAAGAAACAGCGCGTTGCTCATCAACCTAATCTGGCAAGTTATTGTATATACATATTTTTATTATGCATGGTAATTAACGTTTAGGTATGGCAAGCTCTGCAATATGCCTGCCTGCCTGGTAATCACGCAAGATTTTTCCCCGTGGATAAATCCATAGCTGTGTGGGAAAAAATAATATGGTGACTTTAACCCTGAAATGCGGCATTCCCTTGAAACAAAAAATATTAAACGCTTATTTTAAATAACATTCAGGTGGTCAGGACTCAGAACGTTTTATCGTCCAAATGTTTTTCGTTGTTTTATCCTACATCAAAACGGTTTTATGGACATTTCGAACCGCATAAAAAGAACTACCTTGAGGCTTTTGTTAAAAATATTTCGCAAAAACGTTGACAGACGTTGATAAAATTATGGAATAGCCTCTCGTTCTAAATTTTTGTTAGAAAACACAAGATTGTCTAGAAATTAACTTCACAAAAAAGCTTAACGTCGTTTTGATCAAGGATGGATTTAGGGCGGGCGTGTGTGTGTGTGCATAGTGAAAAGGTGACAGAATTTAACAAAAAAAGTCTACTGCAAACAGGATGCCCTTGAAATCCAACCCACTGATTTTTATCATGTCGGTTAACTGGTGACAGCGACGTCATCGTGAAATTGTTTTTAGTATCAGTATCAACAATTCAAGCTTTAGTTTATACACAACTGTGAAAAAAAGATACAGGATTAAATCTAATTTGGAATGCCTGACCTTTTCAAACTGTATGCTACTTTTTATACAGTTAATTGGTGATATTTTTACACAGTTATTGGGTGATATTTTCACACTGTTAATGGGTGATATTTTTACACTGTTATTGGCTGGTATTTTTACACTGTTAATGGGTGATATTTTTACACAGTTAATGGTTGATATTTTTACACTGTTAATGGGTGATAATTTTACACTGTTAATGGATGATAATTTTACACTGTTAATAGGTGATATTTTTACACTGTTAATGGGTGATATTTTTTCACTGTTAATGGGTGATAACTTTACACTGTTAATGGGTGATATTTTTACACTGTTAATGGGTGATATTTTTACACTGTTAATGTTAATGGGTGATATTTTTCACTGTTAATGGGTGATAATTTTACACTGTTACACTGTTAATGGGTGATATTTTTACACTGTTAATGGGTGATATTTTTCACTGTTAATGGGTGATATTTTTACACTGTTAATGGGTGATATTTTTACACTGTTAATGGGTGATAATTTTACACAGTTAATGGGTGATATTTTTACACTGTTAATGGGTGATAATTTTACACAGTTAATGGGTGATATTTTTACACAGTTAATGGGTGATATTTTTCTCGTCAAAATGTTTTATCTCTTTTCATGCACATTCACAGGTCATTACGCGGACTCCTCAATTCAGAAACAACACATCTACATTTTACCGACATTTACCTCGTCCTCTTCAAGGCACGTTAGCTCCTCCGCCTCGTCCCAAAATTCAAGCAACATCTCAAGTAAGGAAGCGTATTTTGATATTTTCATTTTTTACGCCTGTTCTCTGAAAGCTCACTCACACTCACGCTTGTTTAGAGGGATTCAAAAATCACACGCCCACTAATGAACGGCATGATTTTTGCTAAAATATTTCAAATCAAGCAGCCAGATGATTAAAAATACTGTCTTCGAAAGCGTAGTTATGATGTGATTTTGAAGCACCACTCAGTGAGTGTGAAACGTACGTTTGAGGTTTTGTTTTAAAACGCTATTTACTATAAAATTACCCCGATTTACATTATGTATTTAATAATTTATAATTCAAGCGAAGTTAAAATACAAATAGATTGTTATTCTCTATATAAATTTAGTGAGTGAGCTTTTTGAATACCTCAATTTCGAAATTTCATGCAGGTCTTAAAATGCACTTTGAAAACAACTGTATCACGGTATTCGTTGACTATCTTTTTGAAATGACTTTTAGTTGGCTCGAAAAATACCAAAATGAATTTCGATGTGGCTTAGCCAGCTATTCAATTTGGTTCTGCTGAAGAAATTTTTCTGTTTTCACTCGCTTTGAAAACATTAAATTTATAAAGAAATGAATAAGGATGCTATTCTTAAAATTTACATCCCAGCACTAAAACTGGTTTTGTCTAGTTATTACTCACCCGATCAGAGGCGTAACTGGAACGTTAATTTAAGGGGGGCTGTTCAGTTGTGTCCTACTTAGTTCTTTTGGAAGCCGATTATCAGTGGATGAAGTTATTTAGGTTAGGTCACTGAATTTGGCTGTATAAGCACAACTCCACTGGATTTTTACGCATGTGATTACCATAATGGCAGCCAATCAATTGCATTTTTGGAGAAATAGAAATGATGAAATGTTTAACCACCCCATTAATTATATATTCAGCGATTTGCTATTCACAATTGCTTTCATAAGTTGTGGCAGACATTGATAACACCACAAAGATCGTTTGCATGCATGTCACGTTTGCATGTTAATTTCAACCAACATAGCGAATATCTCATTGTCCTTTGGCTCCTTGGGGAATGGTTGCAATCCAACTTTATATACAATAACTTTATTGAAGATTGATCGTTTTGATCGTCAGGATTACTTCTGTATATCTTTTGTAATGTCGTGAATTATTGATTATCGATAGCTGGCTGAGAATGAGCATTTCGAACATAAATGCTCAGTGACATCAATACATAAATAAATGTGTAGGGTGAAAAAGATCTCGTTACGTCGACGCATGTCAAACAAAGGGTGACTCACTTTACCAAGGGGAGCGGAATTTTGACGCAGAGACCGAGGATAAGACTGGAATACGGAGCAAAAGTACCTCAAAGTGTGAGGCAAAAATATTTGGATAAAATCGTCGATGAATATTTATGCTTTTATAAAGACCAACAGGAAGCGTTTGATAAGGTATTGTTTTTAATTTATTACAAATGGCATAATTTCGTTGTAAGTAATATATGAATGTGTTTTCCGATTGGGTTAAAATAAGCGATAGAAATAAAGACAAACTATTCGCTCTTAAGATTATTTATCGCGCCTATAGCGTAATGTACTTCATTCTATTTTCAACAAATCAAAAATCCTGGCCATATGAGTAAATAACGACCCTATTTTTGTTATTGATTATAAAGCATCAATACTTTGTCCAATCAAAATGGCTTGAATATACATGCACCATTTGAGTTAACAAGTTTAGCATTTGGGCGTTGAAAGCGACATAAAAGAAAAGTGTTTACACTTGTTGACAAAGTTTTTCGAAGGACTTCATGCCCATTTTCTCGTGGTTTTATTTTTTTATTTAACGTTTCATTTGGATTGACAATTCGGTGTATTTACCATACGATGGAAATGATCGTTTGTCATACTTTGAGGAAGGTTTGGATATGAGTTATTGTTTCTTCTGCGCAATGTGATGTTCAAGATATGCACCTTTCGCCATCAGTATTTATTTCCAATAAATGGACGATATAAAGTGCTAGAAGTGTCTTCTCTTTTCCACATTATTGGACTTGTTTCCATCTTATGCGCAAATTGTTTCGAGGTAGAAGACTTTGCTAAGCGTTTGGTAATAATTAGACCGCAAGGTCTAGGCTCTTCAGTTTTTATCGCAGTGCCAACACATTAGACTAAGATGATGAATTATGAGTAGCATCTACTATTCGTCATCTATTTATGCTGTTCATTTTTTTCAGGCCGAGAAGGAGGAAAAACAAGTTTACCTAAAAAGCCCTAGGCGTCAGGTTTATATTAACCTGTGCGTTAATCTTATCAAAAAACTTAGAGATAGTTTAGAAAAACTGAACGAAGACATCCGCCATCGCAATCCTTTAGCAAGCAAATCCACGTTACCACCTAGCCCGTCAAAACGTGCGAAAGTTGACTCGTTGACTACGGCGAGGATCGCTCGACAAGATTTCGAAGAACAAAATGATAGTTCTGAGAAAGCGGTGAAAAACAATGGAGGCATGACAGGTATATGTATCTTCGTTTTGGTATATGTTTGAAGCATGTGAAGCAGTTGATCATACAGTTCAAGCCTTGTCACAGTATAAGGAATATGCAGTAGGGTCACTTCGCTGTGCAACTGACTGCTGTATATTAAATAAGATTACTGGCTGCCACTATGGTAATCACATGCGCAATGTGATATGCGTGGCACAAAAAAGTCAATTGAGTGGCTCTACTGTATGTTCTCTATACTGTGGCCTTAATATGATACACCTGTTTATTAGTGCAACTTGAGAAATAACGAACCATGGGTCGTAATTTTATGAATGTAAACTCTGTGTATTGAATAATTGCATCAAGGCAACTTGTAGCCCTATATATACCTAGACCATATTAACATAACTCCCTTCTTAGTGATAGAATTTGTCCATTAACTGAAGTAAAGTATTAAAGATTTGTCACATGACTTCATAGAGGAGGAATTTTACACAAGGATGCATAAGTATGTGCTGTCGAAAGAAGAATTAGAAGGAAATGCCTTTCCTCGTCCTTCGAGTGTCCCAGGTCGGGCGGAGGTCACCGACTGTTATTCAAAAATTAAAAGAAATCCCAACGATTGTAAGTAGCGAGAACTTGCAATTATATTGACATCCATACGGCTTTTTGAATTGGAAATTTGTCTTTAGCATGAATTGAATTACAGCTATAGATGAAACGTTCTTATTGCGTGTATATTTATATACATAAAGTGCTCAATATCAGTTTAGATAGAGCATTAAAAGTATTAAATTCTATTTAAAAGACGGCGATCTTCATTCGCCATATGTGTATATATACGTTCACTTTTTCTAGAACACTTAGATGGCCATGACAATACACATATAATAGACTGTTTATCATGTATTAAGATACAACCCATTGACCCCTCCCTCCCCTTCCTACTAGACGGTGCTACAAGCTCTGAGGCTGCTGTCCTTAATACGACTGTGACGTTGTCTTATAGTTTGATGTCATTAGTTCGACTTGCTTAATTTCAGCCACACGTCACATCTGCTGTCGATGCGGCAAGGCTTTTGTCATTTTGGAATCTGGAGAATATCCCCACAAAGAAGAGTGTGTCTATCATCATGGTCGATTGATTCGTAGCAGAAGTTAGTTAACTCAAGTTACCATTTGCTGTTATACCTGTTATACGTTTTCTTTCAACCGTAACTTTTAATAAACAAGATTTTTATGCTTAAATTCACTAATATGATGTGAACCTGGAGGAATTTTGCTTTTTGTGAATTCTGTTTTGTGTTGTATGTGATCTTGATGAAAAAGTATTTTCAAGAATATCTGTCACATGTATTATTATGCAGTAATTGAAAGTATACATGACATGAAAACTGGAGCACCTTTCTTTTATCCTTAGAACCTGTAATTTATATTCACCTGTCTATTTTTTGCTTGTTTCAATGATAGAAGTCTTTTTCTGACGATTTGCAGCTGCCGGAGAAATAGTGACGTCATACACATGTTGCCAAGGTGAATCTGGTTGTATTGGCTGTTGCGTTGCTAAGGTAAATTCCATCTTTTCTATTATCTCATATGTGATAAAACAACTTTTTTATATAAATTCTATTTATAATAATTTTGCCATTCCAGTGTTTCACATCAATATATTTGTAGCTTAAAATATTTGTTATGTGGTCGATAGTTAATGCAGTATATCTTTCACTCAGGCTCATGTTCGCGCAACCTATTGGTCGGAAGAAACTGGTTTTGTTGTCACACGGAAAAATCCTAATTCGTATAGAAAGAAAATTTACGCCTTGGATTGTGAAATGGTATGTTATATTTGTTTTCAGTGTACAACCAAGCCATACCTCAAAGTTACAAAGATTATTCCCTCCTATGCGTTTGATTCAACCACCATGTTTTTACAAGTTCCCTAAAACGATAAACATTACATCAGGGGGGCTGTTAAAAGGGAGGGGAAGCCATGACTGTCGTTTAAACTTTGTAATGTAACTAAAACATGATATTTTAGTGGGGCCAAGAATTTCGCCCAGGGAAGCTGGCTCTCTGCTCCCCCTCTAGCTACATCAATGTGATTGATACAAATGATTTCATTTGTATTGGATAAGCGAACATTCTCTTTAGGCGGGAAATATTTTTATTGGCTTGGTGGTCTCAGGAAATGGAATATTTCATATAGCCCCGAGTATTATAGGAACTTATAATTTTGTAGCTCCGTTCATTTCATTGGCTACTTTTCTATTATTGTACATTCTATTTGTGGATACGATTGGTTTGTTTTCTTTGTTTCAGTGCTACACAACTAAAGGTTTGGAACTCACTCGGGTTACCGTGGTAGATTACAACGGTCAACAAGTTTACGATACTCTTGTTAAACCTAAAAACGATATCATTGATTATAATACAAGGTATGATGCTTATTATTTGTACTTCGGCACTGATCATCGTCGACATACACAGGATCACTTGTTGAATCATCGTTTTGATAATCTCGCTGGAAACAAACTTCCTTTTTTTTCGGCAGTCATTGCAAGAATTTTCATTTTAATGCTCTGTATATAAACATGCGTTTCACCAAAATCGTAGGAATACGTAGATTAAATTAGAAGCGTCATGTTATTTTAAAGATTCAGCGGAATAACTGAAGAAAGTATGATTGGAGTTGCCATGACATTACGTGACGTACAAAGTGTTCTACTCAACTTGTTTTACGAAGATACTATTTTGATTGGTCATAGCCTGGAAAGTGATTTAAGATCACTGAAAGTGAGTTTGTTTAATGCTTTGATCATTTATGTAATAGAACGTGTAACGGGATCATCACCACAGTATAGAGAATATACAGTAGGTTCACTTCTCTGTGCATGCTGGTGCTGTATATTTAATTAGATAAATGGCTACTGTTGCCATTTAATCCTCCCTGTTGATTGCCATTATGGTAATCACATGCGTAATAAGATATGCATGATACTAAAAAATTCAATGGAGTGGCTCCACTGTATATTCACTATACTGTGTCATTACCTTGAATAGACTACAAACGTGGTGAGGAGAGGGTGCATATTTTATTATTTGATTGGTTGAGTAATATCACGTGTAACTGGTCATTATCTTGTATAGAGCACGAGTGTGGGATGGAGGGTTGCATATTCATGTATTTACCTTTGCCTGACCTGTTTTATAGTTCAACCGTACTCAAAAGAAATCACTGAGGAAGAACTGAATATATGAATATTTACTCTCCCCCCCCTTTCCAACTTGCTCTCTAGTTTTGCGCCTGTTCCGACCTGCCTTGGCCTCGCCATGCGTTAAACCAAAATAGCCAATACACAACCATAGACCCATCAATAAGTGCTAATTTAGGTTATAGCTTGTGATAGGTTTTATTAAAAATGTTTTTATTTGCTATAAAGACAATGGATGTTCGCCTCATGATACACGAATCAAACTAAAATGGGAGTCGATGCGGAAATGAAAAAAATGTATGAAAAATTTTATGCGTGATTCAAATTGCGAGTCAATATGCAGTGTTTTTTTTTACAAACCTTGCACTATCCTTGGCTCCCTTACAAAAACTGTGTAACAAATGATTCATATTGTAGAAATTCGTATACATAAAAATTAATGTTAATGACAAAAAAATGGCTTGCGAGAATAGTGGAATTGTGTACGAAATTACTACGTCATGGTTGTTCATTTGCTGATTGTTGTCTGTAGATCATTCACAGTACAGTTGTAGATACATCGATCGTGTTTCCTCATCGTTTGGGCTTGCCCTATAAACGAGCGTTGAAAACATTGATGGCTGAATATGTTAGAAAAATTATCCAAGACAGCGGTCAGTAATGCATTGGTTTTTGATCTTATTTGATAATTGGACATTTTAATATAATTTTAGATGTGATGTTGCCATTGGTTTTTGTAAATTTTGATGGTCTTTTCTTTATTTCACAGAGGAGGGACACGACAGTTTAGAAGACGCTGTTTCTTGCATCGAGTTGATGTTGTGGAGAGTGAAAGAAGATATGAAATACAAACAGTCAAAGAAATGAAACTACCCCCAAATAATACATGACGCACGCGCAGTCTCGTGTACGGTAAATAAAGATGTAAAACCCTAAAACAAAATCGTTGAAATAGCAAATCTATATCTTATATGAGAAATATTTATTGGAAAATCATTATGTTTCTGGAAAGAATACGAACAAAAATAAAACAAAATCAGAAACAATTCTCGAAAAATTGGTTTGTTGATTTACTTTTAATGCCGGTGTTCCAGGAAATTCCCCCTCTCCCTGAACCACAATTTCTTGAAAAATTCCCCCTTCCTACAAGGGCCATGCTTTCAAGGAAAATTCCCTTCCTCCTACCAACTTTTACATTAATCTCAAAAATGGTAAAAGTTTTTCCAAACCAAGATTCGAGATCCATAAATTTAGTCAAATATAATCAACAGTCCGAATAACTATGCACTTAAAATGGAAATGAAAGCTTCAAAAAGCGGTGTTAGGCGATAATGTACGAGGACTCTGTCTGAAAAACTATACGTTTCTATTATGGAGAATCAACGGCTCAATTATATGATCGTTACGTCAGCGATGTAATCTGCATTTTAGTGCATAAGTTAGTAGTTTTAGTAAATTTTAAAGCATCATTCATTTCTTTGCTAAACACTTGTTTTCATTGTGAAAAAAATGGCAATGGCATAGCGCGACAAAATAAATGGGTGGGCTTACGTCAGCGGCAGTAATTACAGTTATTATTGCCAGTACAGTTTGTGAAAAATTGTAAGTCACGCTGCCTGCTTTGGAAAGAGGAAACAGTTATGAGACATGGGTGGATACTGGATTTCATTCAGGGAAGGGTAAGTCTTCTCAATTATAGGAATGTCGTAATACAACTACCTTTTTTGTCACCGAGCTCATAAATTATCCGACCTCTGGAGGTGCGCACACCCCCCCATCTACACCTCCACAGGATCTGCCAGTGGCGTCAATCGAACGTTAATGGGGGAGGGGGGGATATTCATATATTCAGCAATGCCTGGCTTATTTCTTTTAAAAATTATTTCATTTCAAAAGAAATCAGGGTGGCATAGAAGAATATATGAACATGGTCCCTTCAATTATCGTTAGATTGACCCTAGTGGGATCAGCCACTGCACAAGTACTTTAGGCAATTAATTTCAAGGAAGATCAATCCAACTCTTTGCATCTCTTTGATATCTACTTTATTCCGTTTCATTAGAACGTTTGTTATTTATCATTTTTCCAGTAAAAAGTATTTCAACTATTCCCTGACCAAATATGTCTCTGTATCCAAATTGCCAAACTGACTGCCAGCAGTTCTTTGTTATTTTGGAAAGTGGCAAACACTTGTGTTGAAATAATAAGTACAAACAAGAGTCTGGAAGTTTGAGTTGAGGGTTGGCAACAGCAAACTGATTGACAAAATTGCAATCAGTGTTTAAGATCTTGGTCTTCACAACAACTTGACCTGTTGCAAAACAAATGTTGTTGATGAATACGTTTCAGAATGTGAAAGAAACTCGACTAAGTTGATCCAAATAATTTTATACCTGTTAGTTTTTCTGAGTTAACTGCCTTTAAAATTATCGCACAATAGGGAAATGTGTGCAATATAGAAACAATGCAACATAAAATTGACTGAGCAAGAAGAACCAAAAGCTGCAAGGCAGTGAACACAGTGTAATAAAGGCATACTGTAGGAAAGAGGAATAAAGATATCGTGAACAATAGGGTTCCAATAAACAGCCTGTCAACATCATATTCAATAGAATCTACACGATTGCGGAGAGTGTTCCATTTCTTTCCTGAAAGTTAAATTATATATTGTTCAAATTAAATATACAATAATTACATTCACTTTAGTACATGGAGCATTGCAGAAACATATCCCAAACATATACAGTTTCATTTCACCTTTGTTCAATAGACTTAAATATACAAGTGGGCATTAAAATGCATCAATCAGCAATTCAGATGCAACCAATTATTGCATTGTAAATCAAAGAAAAACTGAGAAAAAGAATTGAATACTTTTTGCAATTACTCCTCAGTCCTTTGCATGACCTAATTAATACATACCTGTAAAAAGTCTTAGTAATGATAACAGAACATTAATTTCCAACTGGTATAGTCGTGAAGCATAAATATAAAAACAATATATATGTGCGGTCAAAAGAGACAAAACGTCACACAACAGAGCAATCAGGAATGTGACACCAAGGCATCCAGCAAATGTACAATAAAGAATGATTGTAGGCAAGTAAATCTCAATGAAATAGAGATAGTCCGTCCATAAATGTACATGATAAATATAGAAATTGCCAAGAAAACGATTTAGGGGAATATTAAGCTTGAGACCAGCTGGTGCACCCATGAGCCATCGGAGAAGATCTGACAATTGTTCTGCAATGTAATACTTCTGACCAATAAGCCATGATGATATGGACGTATAGTTTTGATCATAATAGACAAAGTATATAACTAGAAATCCTAATAAGACATCTAGAGCCAAAGATATATACAAGTCACCATTTGAAATGGATGTTGAATAGACATCTTCGCTATTTTCAGTTTCTTTGAAAACAATTCAGAAATCTGATCCACTCTCTTGGACAAAAGCCTTGCAACATACAGATGTCTTGACAAAAACTTTAAAATTTTGTTGCAGTGATTTATCCAAATGGGATTCAACTGGATCAAGTGAAACAACCATAAAATGGAATAAAAAAACAGTTTGTATGCGGAACTGACGCTGCTCATTCCCAAACTCTTGGGTCTCCTTGCCTTCCTTGAATGTTTGTTTCCATTGGTTGAAAAATTTGACAGATCTGATGATAAACAACCATTCAAGTTACCATGTGAAGAATCTTGTTTTGATACTTCTCGGTGAAGATAGTAACAAGATTTTGGTATTGGATATCCTCGTGGCCAACTAACGATTTGCAATTCGATGTTGGAAATACCAATATTGTAACTATTGTTGCATGAAAATTTATGTAGAACCAAAAGCATTTTCCCGCTATATATTTCATTTATTGACACTGCGATTCCAAAGAATCGACTTGAGATCAATCCAAATTTGTACAACAGTGCTTTATAATTCATGCCACCGCATAAAATGAAACCAATGATAGAATTTGTTGATGTTCCTACTGTGAAAGTAGAGGTGTCTCCAGATTTAATATTAGAAATAAGTTCTAAATTCTTCTCCAATTGAACTATGTGATTCACACAGAAAACTATTTGGCCATTTTCTTCAGCATCCTCTGCCCCATAAAGAACGTAACAGCGATTAGAAAGTTGAAACGTGACATCATTTCTCATGACTACAGACACTCTGGTGGATGATTTGCTCTCCATGCTTATAGTAAAAGCAATCATCGTGTTACATGAGTAGTTAAAATCTCTTAGTGCGCATGCGCTAGCGGCGTCCTAATACTCCTTATTTTAAAACTATTTCTATTGATTTTATTAAGAATTCGATTCGGATTGAACTTGTTTAACTTGCATAACCGTTTTATCTAGAAAAGCAAGGTCGTTTTCAATATTCGGGGGCCAAAGTCATGAGAAAAGCTTTGAGAATTATTCTGAGGAACGAGAACTCGTTGTGTGCCCCTGGCATTATAGGCCACTCCCCTTTACATAACAAATAAGAATTTTGAAAGTTCAAAATTTATTAAATACACAAAATTATATCCAAGAAACTTTTTAAAAACAGTTTTACACTACTTAAAGTGAATTTTGTTGGTTTTAATCCTGCAATCAGGCCCCTAAAATGCTCATTTCAATCATTTGTTGTTGTTTTTGAACTTCCAGCTTCTAGGACGCCCTTGGAATTATTCAGATCCTTACTAGACAGCTAGAAACAGCTATCTTATAGTTAATTATTCTTTCCTTTTTAGAATCGTTTTTTTATACGGGAAAAAATTTTGTCTGAAAACTAAAAAACAGCATTCTTAAAACGGGAACAATTAAAGTTTTTAATTGTGTGGGGAGTTGTGGGGGCGTAGCCGGGGTCGGATTAACCTGTAGGCTGAGTAGGCTCAAGTCTACAGGCCCGGACTTGCGAAAAGCCCGTTGTATCTAGACATGATTACGCCACATTCTCTGTTGATCCTTATACTATCCCTCGTCAATAACATTCCTTAGAGCACTCTTCTCACAATACTCCATCTGTATATACCAAGGGTTTGCAGAATGCACTTTGAATCTTCTTGCAAATCTCTTGTGGTGATTGCTTCCTCTTCACTTTCGAAATCAGATGCCTCGTCATAAAAGAAAGACGCTGGTAGTTATTTTTAAGTATCTTCAGCAACATCATGCACAGTTCCCACTACTATATACCACGTGAGGGTCGTGAGCCAACGAGCTTCCAAACTGTGTATGTGATTCATTGATATTCCTTTTGAACATATCTTCAGAAGACTCCGTATTATTAATGGCTTGTTTTTGTATTGGAACCTCGTTCTCGCTAGAGCTTTTATCATCGTCAACATGCTTGGATTCATTCGTGTTTTCATTGGTCCACGAGTCCTCATCCAAAACTCTAGAGCAGGGGTCTCCAAACTACGGCCCGCGGGCCAGATGCGGCCCGTTAGGCCTCTCAATCCGGCCCGCAGTGGCACTTAAGAAAAAAATAATAATATTAAACAAAATAAACTTTGTGCAGAAAGTTCACGTTATGACTCAAGCCAACTAACAAGAGTGGCTTACATCAATTTTTGTCCCAACTTCCTACTTCCGTTTCAAGCGCATTGCAAAATTTAAAAAGCTGAGGGATAACGTGGAAATTTTTTATATTTCAATGCTTCATAATGGCCGATAAAAGAAAAAAAAAGTAGATGATGAATGTCGGCGATTTCAAGAAGAGTGAAGTGTAAAATACTTCTTCATCGCTCTTTGACCAGCGGTATACGGTTCGTCGGCCCTCAACATGCTGGATGAAAGTTCATGTGGCCCTCTGGCTGTAAAGTTTGGAGACCACTGCTCTAGAGCGTAATCTAGGTGCTTCAACTACGTTCAATTTCATCAAGCTATCTTCAACCTGGCGTCTTTGTTTCTCCTCTTTCATCATTGATTTTGTTTCACTATGGGAAGTTTCATTTTGAAGTGTTTCTTCTAACTCAATCCCCGAATTATAATATCTGTCATAAATCAGAGCATTGTTTATGCACAAAATAAGCAGACAAAAAGTTATAGAGAAAATAAACAAATATCTAACGTTGTCACAAATACTACGAGTGGCGTACGTAACAAAGTGTTGATGAATTTGATATGCATTTGTCAAAACAAGTTTAAAAAGACAAAGAGCATGCCAAAAATACATTATTGAAAATTTGCTAAGAGCATATACAAGGACTAATTCCAGAGCTCGCTCGGTCCCAAATTAAATTAGAACGACCAACTGTATGTACTAGTATCAAAAAAATATTAGCTCACTCAGTCACAAATTTTCAGACAAATCATCTGCGCATGCGCTTAAGCATGCGCAGTCCACTCAACTAATTTTTCATAGTCATGGCATCGACTAACTGCAAGTACTTGCACTACTTTTGTGGCAATTAGCTCACTTAGACGTAAATTATCAAAGAAATCATCTGGGCATGCGCAGTAGCGACTTTAATAATACCATAACTTTCGTAGGCCTTTGAATTTATGTATATATATAAAACTCAGACTTCCTATAGTGGATGTCAACTAGCAGTGGAAGCTGGGTGCGATTAGGTATGCAGTGGCTTAGGGCCCAGACTTCGTTTGCGACCGCACTCTCCCTGCGTACCCCGAGCAAAGCCTATCGCAGGTGATCTCGGGGTCTGATGGACGGAAGCTTGCTACGTATTGGCATCCCCAAGTAGGATAGCGTGGAGGGGCCGAAATCTCCTACCGAAATGTTAACATGCGGCGTTCTAGTGCCTTACGCTTAAGAGGGTATCGGGAGGCATAGCCCGAAAACGGGGTTTTTTGCTTTTGAATTTATCTTTTTGTTTACCTCATAAAAGAAACTAGAACATCCAAGGATACTGCAAATGTTCAAAAAAGGCAGAAGCTCTTTGACTTCCTAATCTTACTTTTTACAATGTAACTTTCATGCGTCATTATACAATATAACTCTCTCATCATGAACAAAAGCATCCATATGCTTCATGGAAAAAAGGATTATCTACTTATTTTTAATAGTTTTTACAAAGATAACATTTATCAAGCCAAGCAATTTGTATCGTCTAAATTGAGCATCGCTTTCAACCCTTATGTTATAACATTTTGATTAATTTTGGATAGTAAGTTTCTTTTTATCTTACAATATTTTCATGATTCAACCTAGAAAGGAACTTCTCTTCCCGAGCAATTTTGTGATTTGATAGAGCACTTTTCGGATTCAAAGGTATTCTTTTGATCGCATAGAGACATTCACCAATTTATTACGTACCTAAGCCACGTAGTCTTCGTGGTCCACCTTCCCCAGTTTCTACGTCCCTGTTGCATAATGTACTATAGTTTTTTACCTGGACTTTTCTGGGATACTTTCCAAAAAAGAGAACTTTAATACTTTTTACTTATGCATTCCTAGTCTTAAAAACTTTTTCTACCTGACTTTCATTGTACATTTTTGTTATTAGTTATTACAACCCCATTTATAACCTAAAATTGAAAATACTCAATGAATGACCAAAAAAAATAAAAATTCAGGATTTCCTTCAGAGTCAATATTTTAGATTTTATAGTTTATTAGGGTAAAAAATCTTTTCACTATGTTTGGTACTGAAATTATCAATTAAATTTATTTTCATGCATGTTCATCTATCGCTTGTAATATAATTAGGAAAATCTATATCATTCCCTGGCAACGTGAGCTGATGTCTTGTCATTAATCCAAACAGTAATTAAAGACTTAAAGTCGTTCTTATTACAATGGTTATAAACAAACTGCCATTAATTATTCGTGATTTAGATATCATTCATTTAAATGACTTTTTGTTTACAGAAAGTTCTTCATAAATTGTAAAATTGTCATTTTGAAACATGGGTAACGGCGCTACAAGGTCGAGGAGAAAGAACAAAGTTCGTCAAAATGCTTTGATCGTGGGAAGCTTACAAGCAAATGCTAACCGAACAAGAAATACCACGGTTGCTAAAGAAACCAACAACACCGAAGGGGAGACTAAACCATATTCTTTAGTGGACATGTATGAAGTCAATGACTCTCTTCTCCTCAAGGATGCTGCTTCAGAGTTGTTTGTACCATATTATAAAGCTTGGCTTATCAGGGTGAATTGTGTTTTGATTTTATAGATAAAATTAAAAAGACAATAAAAATGAGCTGACATTATATTATTTGTTGAGTCTTCAACCAGTTATACACTCTAACCGAAATCTATACCATAATGATAAAGATCACTCAATTGATTGATCATGAAATTTCAATAAGAATTTCTCTGAACAAAAGGTTTTTTCTTTTTCATTGCACATCTTTTTTTTCAATAGAAGTTCATTCGGTTCAGCAATTGTCTCATATCTGCAACAGGGGACGATTCATCAACTGCTCATAACTAAATTCATACGTACCAAACACTAGACATCTAACATACTTTAAAAGATATCGCAATTCAGTATATTAATCGGATGAATCATATTTGATCTTATAGGTAGAGGCTGACGAGCTCTGCTCAATTTGTTCCAAATTCACTGGCAAGAAAGTCTTTCCTTGTCGTGTTTGTACTCGAGTTTTTCATGAAGGCTGCTTGCAGAAGATACGAAAGCTAAACGATAAAGATTCAAGGGAAGCATTCTTGCGGGCAGGAACTGACACCGGCTGGAGCTGCCACTACTGTGTAACTACTATAGATAATTATATTTTAATTGAAAACGAAATCAGGATCAAAGTTCGAATATTTATGTCATTAAAAGATATTTTTAGCAGACGTAGTAATATAAATATGAATCCATATTTATTTTTATGTAAAATCATGTATATTACTACTGATAATGAAAAGCGTAAATTAAGACCATGGTTCAAAGGCGTCCCTCTTGCAAAAGGTCATGTAAATAAAGCTGCGCAAAAAAGTGATTGTTTCAAAGTAGTGGTAAAACGGCCCTGGTTAAAAGGCGTCCCCTCGCAAAAGGCCCTGGTTCAAAGCTGTGTAAAAAGTCATTGTTTCAAAGGGGGGTAAAAAACTCGAGTTTACAATCTATCGTTTAAAATATGGAATCTATATGTTTTTAAAAACGGTCTTTACAAACAAATGTTAAGAAAGCATCGGTTCGGAAATCAAGGCAGATTTTAGCCTAAAATTGAGCAGGAATGATCCCCGAGAATTCTGGAAAGGTGGTAGTTTTCACTTCGTGAAAAATCGGGTTCCACCTAGATTCGATGAATATTCGAAGAATATTCGAGAATAACAGAGGCTTAAAATGCTCTTCAAAACCGTTAATCAAGTGTTAATAACTCCAAGTGTTAAGCATTGGTTTGAGGGACAGCGCAGATCACGAAGTGATCGAGCAGGATGGAGAAAATTCTCGACGATAAAATTTTCACGAAGTGAAAATTGGGGTCTCATTGATTCGAAGAATATTCGAAGAATATTCATCGAATAACAGAGGATTAATATATGCTCTTTTACAATCTATCGTTTAAAAATATGGAATCTATATGTTTTTTAATTTGTCCATGAAGCGCGTGTCTTAGTGCATGTTCTTAACAATGGTTGTTTAATGTAGATAGCACATTTCATCAGCGCATGTATAATAATACAATGTTTTACAAACTATGGAATCTATATGTTTTATATAATTTTTGTTAAAAGTGTTTTTACTAATTGTTTCAGGATTTTGAATCTTTTTGTATATCGCTTTTGTATTAATTACAAACAGTTATTCATCTTGATTTTTAGTTTGATAGTTATCTTTAATAAATTTTTTTAATTTTTCGATTTCATCATTTACAAATTTTTTAGTTGATAAAATATTATCTTTTATAGTAGCCCCGAAATTTGGTGAATAACCATTATATCTCATAGATAATGTAGATTGATGGTGTGAATAAACTTGAATTTTGGTTAATCCATTAAATGCTGTCAGCCATTTTCTTTTCCATTCGTTATAACCTAGTGAAACTGCAGATTTTTTTTGTTCAATAATAATATAAATATAGTTTAAATTATCATCAGAACAGTATACATAATATAAATCTAGTAATGCATTAGCTATCTTTTTTTCGTTATCATTTGTTATTTTAATGATAAATTTTTTGTTAATCTTATCTACCATAATATCTAATTTAACTGTTTTAGAGTTATCAGATGTATTTATTAATAAAAGTGTAAATTCAATAAATGTAATATTATTAAAAACAATTCTGATAATATTTCGTTGGCTATCATTTGTGGTATAATTTAATTGGTTACTTTGATATACTACTTTACTATTTACTATATCATCTATTTCATTTTTTGTGTAATAATTGGCTAATCTTAAATTTAAAACATACTTATTATCAGTTTGTGTTTTAGTATAATAGTTATTTAAATTAGAATTTAAAGCATACTTACCATCAGCTTGTGTTTTAGTATAGTAGTCATTAAATTTACCATCAGTTTGTGTTTTAGTATAATAGTTATTTAAATTAGAAGTCAAAGCATACTTACCATCTGTTTCAGTCTTTGTGTAATATTTATTTAAATTAGAACTTAAAGCATACTTACCATCTGTTTCAGTCTTTGTATAATATTTACCATCAACTTGAGTTTTATTATAATAGTTATTTAAATTAGAAGTCAAAGCATACTTACCATCAGCTTGTGTTTTAGTATAATAGTTATTTAAATTAGAAGTCAAAGCATACTTACCATCTGTTTCAGTCTAATATTTACCATCAGCTTGTGTTTTAGTATAATAGTTATTTAAATTAGTCAAAGCATACTTACCATCTGTTTCAGTCTTTGTGTAATATTTATTTAAATTAGAACTTAAAGCATACTTACCATTTGTTTCATTTTTGTATAATAGTTGCCTAATCTTGAAACAAAACATATTTATTATCAGCTTGTGTTTTAGTATAATATTTTAGTAAATTAGAAATCAAAGCATACTTACCATCAGCTTGTGTTTTAGTATAGTAGTCATTAAATTTACCATCAGCTTGGTTTTAGTATAGTAGTGATCTATAGTTGTGTTTTATCTAATGATCCTTGTATATTTACATTAATATCTGTTTTATCATGTCCATAAAATAAGCTCATTTATATTATTCCTCAGATTTCCGGTTTATTATTTTTATGTTCATAAACATGTTTAATAGTTGTTATTACCAGATAAAATCCTATAAAATTGGTGATATTTTTTCTAAACTGTACACATCTCGTTTTAAAATCGTCTGATTTAAGCTGTTTTGTTAATTCTTTGGAATCTTCAATAGCATTAAACTCTTTTAATATATCTGAAAATTTGGATATAACTAAATCAGTTAAAAACTCATTAGCTTTTTGTAATCGTTTTTTCTCGTATTCAGTATATAATTTATCAATAATTTTTTGGCTAGCTTTTTTAATGTAAGCAACTGACTTGTCTAAATTACCATCTTCAGCTAATTTAAGTAGTTGATCTCTTTTATTAAAATTTTGCTGTTTATCTTGTATATTATCATCACATACTGGATAATTTTTGAGAATCAATTTCATTAATTATATCATCAATTTTTCAGCTCTTTACGTTTTGTATATATATTAACACATGTTTTATTGCAATAACAATTTTCCATTGATGGAACAAGTTTTGAAAATGCATACATTATCAATTTTGTTATTTCTTCTATAGTTCTTCAACACCATAAAGATATTCATTATGGTTTGATATCATTGCATTATATTATAAAATGTAACTAAACTTATATTTTCAAAGGTTTAGAAATACTAGTCAATTGCTGTGTAATCACAAAAGTGAGTATAATACAGACATTGAAAGATAAATACTAATGATGTTCTATTTTCATGTGCAACTACCACAGTCATCAAGTATAATAAGACTATTTGTACTATATGGCACTAACATATTTTACCAATACTAGAGATCTTGATCAGATTTACTTTAATAAAAGAACATATATATTTCCATTCTTGATAGTAATATGAATACATAATAAAATAATGAATTGTCTATTAAAGTTTTCCAACATTCCAATAACAGTCCACCACAAGCAGCCACAATAATCATATTAAAGAGTGTTCATTATATATTACTTGTTATTAACTGAATACTTTGTAAATCATTATTAACAAATTGAATAGCATCACTGATAACATAGATGTAACAGTTTAAATCTTTGTATATGTGTTTTTTATTTCTCAGAATGCCATTTTGGTATTCATGACGTTTTCCGTTAAGCAATATTTTTTTTTGAAAGGTGCGTCGATAACTGCAAATTTATCCTTATAAAATTTTTCAATTGTCATGAAGCAATCTATTTTAGTTTATCAAAACTTCTTGCTTCTTCATAAAATACTTTTTCCATATTGCGAAAATACAATTTGGTGAACCTTCATTGATTTTAACTGAATCGATTAATGGATATAAAAATTCACTATCACTAATTGAATTTCTGTGAATAGTAGTACAATGCCTTTCATACTCGAGGCACATTGACATTAATATTCTGTAACTCCTAAGAGTTATATGATGGAAAATAGGCTTCTACCTATAGAATATAGATTTGTTATCTCATCTGCAATTTCTTGATTTTCAATGTTTCATATTCTAGCTGAATATTTTCTAATTCATAATCACCGATACTTTGTTTGAGGAATAATACTTGATTACAATGTTATTATGTATTGAAAGTTATTATTCATATTAAATGGGCAATAGAGACCATGATCTTTAAGAATAGATCAATTTTTTGTCTTGTAATAAACATCATAAATTAATTTATCTGATACTTTTTGAAACTTGTTGTATCATCTTTAAAATATTTTCTTAAATTTAGCTATTCCATATTCAATAAGTTTGTTCCTTAACACAGGTCTTTGTATACACTTATAATATTATGCACAACAATAAATCTCTATGCCACTTTAATTTGTAGTCTATAGTAAAATCTTACTGATTATTTAGAAAGTGACTTTTGTATTGATTTTATCAAATGAGATTGTGATGGAAAAACAACTATGTTTTAATCAAACATACCTTGTTCAGCAGAAGAGAAAGTTCAAGGATACATGTCTTACCTTTAATTTTTTATTTTCTTTTAAAATTAGGTAAAAGCTCTGTACTGTTCATATTTTAAAACAATTTTATTTTTTTCTTGATTATACATCAATATGCAGCAGCAATAGCTAAAATTAAACACAATATAGAGCTTTGCCAAAATGTAGAGCAATCTAAAATACATCGGAACTGATAAATAAATCAACTATCTACGGAAAAATTCAGTTATTGGTTGAAGGAGCTCTAGCTCCTATCTGGTTGTAATGCGGCCCTGATATAGCTAAGTTAATCATGTTTTTCTTGAACATGCAAGGTAAATGAATAATTTGATCAACAAAGTTTTCCTACTAATTTAGGGAAAGTAAATATATTTATCAATATAGCGGATGGAATTGAGTGTTGTCAACGCAACAGCTTTGTGTTTTGTTTACATATAATGTGAGCAAATAAAGTCATCTACAATTCATATTGATGAACTATGTCATCTACAATTCATATTTTTTTGTTGATTTTGTTTAATTTAGTTTGGAAACACATTGAAGGTATAAATTTCTGATACTTCTTTCTTTATTGTTTAAAGTTAGTAAAGTTTTTTATTGCTTAGGCCATGTTACATTACTGCCACCACTTCCAATTTCCATTTTGCAACAAACACACAGCGGACGTCCTGTTTGTGCATATTTTACACGTGAAGGTAATGCTAAAGACAGATGCTGGCTTAGAAATCGCTGCTTTTTTCTTCAGTACACTTTGAAGCAATTTTCATCAGCATGTTTATATTTGATATGATTATAAAGACTGAGGTTTGTCGATCTTTGGAAATTAGAACCAGGGGAGGGGCTTAGAGCTTACGAATAATTTAGTTGGTACATTGTTGTGGGAAAAAATATTCAAACAAGCCGTACATTTTCAATAATAACTGGTCATGTTGAGTACTGATTACCAAAGTAAACACATAGTTACAGAACAGTCTACATGGTATGATCATGGGGCTTATATTTCTTAGGTAATTAGAACATTAGAATAAAACGAAATCACAGCAAATTTCCACCAATTTAGTTATTGTGTTATTCCACATTTTGTCTTGTCCCAAGCTCATTTCATTTATGCAATATGTTTTTCTCATTTTAAACTAATTTATGCTGATATTATGTTTCTAGGCTTGTTACCAAATTTTGACAACTTGCTTTCAAAGTTCATTGAATCAAAATTTGCAAAGAAGCACTGTGCTGAATGGAAGATAGGAAGTGTACAGATTGAGGATATCATACAGGTTATTTGCTCAAACAACTAGTTACAATGTATTAGAATTTTATAGATAGATTGTACTGGTATTATATATTCTGCAACTGTAATATACTTCACATTATAGGCAATAAATCAGTAGCACAGTTCAACTGAGTTTTTCTGTTCAGTGTTTCAAGTTTCTATACTACCTTCAGTGGTTTCACTACCTTTAGTGATTTCATTACCCCTAAAATCCACACTGCTTACTTTCTCTTTCGTCACTTTGTTATAAGCTATTCCCCTAAAATTTTACTACCTCTGTAAAAATTATGAAAATCCATCCATGATTAATAAAGCGGTTGATGTAATGCCTAGAATCCCTTTTGGACTGAAGTATTTAGTATAAATAATAAAATATTAAATACTTGCAAACCAGCTGTGAAATGAATCAATTATAATTCAATATTTTTATGTTTTCTAGATATCACCTCCACCAACTTTATACCCTCGGGTATTGCCTTCCTTACAATGTGACATTGGCGATGATCTACCCTTTGAATTTCTCTTTCAAAATAAATCTCAGAAATCTCTCAGAAGATGGTTTAAACAAGTGGTAAGTGGTCTGCTAGATAATTTTTTGCACACTCAAGTGCTACTGACATGTTGCATTATTTTGGGGGGAGCCTCCAGTGGGACCAATATATTTTATGCATTATACACCGCTGGAGTGAAATCATTGAAGACATCTTTTGTTTTGACTTTCCAACCAATCACGAAAGTGCTCGAACTGGTAGAGCAGTTTGTGAAATATGCATATTGTATTGATTTATTTGAATGTAATTGTTACTTTCTGGTTGTGTCAATTTTGGGGACTCCCTTCTACACTCTGGCATAGAGTGTATGGTTCATGGTGTTTCAAGGTGTTTCACAGATTCGCCCAATGATAATATATGCGTGAAACTGCGTGGTGTACGTAGCAAATTTATGGAAATATTATATTATTGTACTGTACATTAGTAATGTTATTTTGCTCTGTCTTTATTTTCACTGAGCGCACTATTACTTCCATAACTTTATATTTAAACGACATTCTATACTTGCAGTCTACGTCATTCAGTTCGCTTCTATAGCCCACTTTGATGACATTGTGTAAATATGATTTTAGACTGCAAAAAATAATACTCCTTTCACTTCTTTTAAATACGATTTGTTTCTTTTCCATGTCATGGCTTTAGTCAAAAGAATATCGATCACGACCAAAGTTTGTAAAATCGTTGACTGAAGTGAGTGATGTGATCTTGAAAAATCAGGAAGCCATCTCTATTCTAATGATTATGAGTAAAGAATATCTTTCAACAATAAAGAAAACTCTTCAAGAGGTGAGCTTGATTCATGTGTGGTGCTGTACAAGCAGTGAGGTGGAGAAGTCAGCCGAAATTTTTACTCCTGCTGTGCATACTTTTTCTTCGTTTTTTTTTTAAATTAATTTAAGTAACTATTTTATCAGTCACGGAACACAAAAAAGAATTCAAGCAAGAAATAGCTGCTTGAATAAAATAGCTAAGTGAATAAATTTAGCTGGCTTTGCCACTCAAGCAGAATTCTTAGAACAGTTGAGCAATTCTTGTTATCTTTGTTAGAAATTCTAACTCTCTAAGACTGTCTAATGTCATCTGAAAGTCGTTAGCGGGATTCTATAAAAATGTTAATGAAGTCCTGCAAGATCACGAATGATGTCCGTTGAAATTTGTACACTCAATTATTTTGGTAAAACTAAAGGGTTCTGTAGATTTATTTAAGTAATAATTACAGACATGTGAATGTATCTATTTAGGTGAAACAGGCACACAGTTCTAACATTTTCAATTTTATGGTAATCAGCCCCAAAATTATAACGTCGACATCTCGGTAAGTTTTCTTGTAAATCGTTTATTTTTTCTTTAATTAGAAAACGTCTTCGTTAGATTGTGATTCTTACATGTTCGTAGTTAGCATTTTCTTTGATAATTATTTTGAGATATTTGTGATTCTAAGATATTCTTCAACATTTCTAGGAAAGATATTCCGAAGGAAAAGTTAGTTCGTGGTATTAAGAAATATCCTGCAATACTTATCTTTTCTTATGAAGGTTTACATCATGTTCTCCCGTTAGCTTTACGTATATACAGTAGAGAGAACACAATAAAATGTCGTGGTGTTTATGTTGCATGTAGTTTGGATACAACAGAAGACCTATGCTCGAGCATTGGAAGGAAGCGAAAGAGTTTCTTCAGCTAGTATGCAGCTTGCATTAATGTCTCTCGAAGATGTATTTATGAATGAGGTTGGTATGATGAGATGCTGGGTGATGTTTTATCATCTTTATACTGCAAAAACTCAACTTTTTTACAGCTCATGAATGTATCTATGTTGTTCGTAGTAACGTTAATTTTTATACGTATTTTGCTATTGTAAACCTATAAAATTTCAGTGTTCATCCTTGAATATCGCTTTCAAGATGTATGAGGATGTTTGATATAACAGGCTCCATTTTAGGAAGGGTTTCTACGCGAGATAATTGAGACAAAGTACCAACACCCTCCCAGTATCGTCCTTTTTGTCTCGTTTTCCAATCCCGATTCGTTGAAATATTTCGTGAATTTCAAAAAACTTGCAGAGAAGCTTTGGTGCAGAAACTTGCCTTTGGTATTCAGGTTGATGGATGTTAATGAAGGAAACAACTCCCGAGGTAATGTTTTGAAGTTTTTATAGAGATCCTAAAAAAGGGATATTCAGCCAAACACACCCACAGAAATGTGAATTAGTGAATTAAAGTGAAAAAGTGAATTAAAGTCAAGGACGTGTATTTTCAATTGTTTGAATTATAATTCATGATTCATCAAAACTTTATGTGAATTTATGTAAATTATCGTAATTCACTCTCATGTTTCAGTTGTATATAACTTATTGTAAAATCCATGTCGTGTATTTTTGATGTGTCATGCTCCTGTTGCATGTTGGGTATATGGAAGTATTTAGTTGTCATATACTTACTGCATATACTTTATAAATTAAATTTGCATGCGGTGTGCATCCATTAACTTAATTTTGTTTCTCTCTATAGTTTTCTCAAGGTATATCAACAGCACGAAAATTCATGGTTTTCCCGTGTTTGTCCTTTTTTGGCAAGAATTGATGGAACCATACGGTAAGATAGCGGTTCAAAAACCTACAACTTACTTGTTGAATGCTTTTTCTATGTTGGAAACACTTTGCTTTCATATCTTTTGACGAACTGAATGGTTTTTGGCAATGTCAATTTGAAAAGATGTGACTCTTAATTTTCTTCATATAATTATATCCTCAAAATTAATGCCAAGAAATCAAATCGTAGTCAAATTTTTTCATATCAAATCCAACGAAACGATAATTTCCAAAATTCTATTTCTTCACTTAGAAATCATTATTCGCCAAGAAGTAATCAACACTTTGTTAGATTTTAATCAACTGTTATCAATGCTTCTGAAAACCGAATCATAAAATCAAGTGATATAAATCTGGTTGATAATAAACGTTGCATTGAAGATGACGATGACGCTGAAAAGGTTCCTCGATCTCATTTTAAAACAGTATTACAAACTTATGAAGCGGACGCACTTTTCTAATCTTGGTGATTTATTTGTAGGAGTGTTTAAGTCCTTATTCACATGGAACTTGTCAAGCTGCAAATGTCACAAATGTTGTCGAAAGATACATCGATGTAAACTCGTTTGAATTACCCGTGGATAATTTTTCAGTAAGGGTTTCTAACATTCTACTTGGTGATTTATCGGACACGAATGCGTTCTACAAAAGAGATTAGCAATAAACGTGTTAAATATGGATTCATTCATCTCAAAACAAGTAACAACAGTGTTTGATAGATCATTTGCACTTTATGAATCAATTAACTCAACCCATGTACTCACATGTACCTATATGTACTACATCTTTACTATGTTTGGGTGTCGATCATTATGTCGTTCACTCTCCATACAATCAATTCAATCAACTGTTGTATTTGTTTATGTACTCATTCATCGTAGTGGGAAAAACCAACCTCAATACAACGATTTTATCATGAGGAATGTGTAGATTTGTAGCTATTATCCCCGTGCTCTTAATTCTTACCACAGAAGGAAAAGAAACGAAAGAAAGAAAGAAAAGTTGGCAACCTAACTTTGTTAACTGAACTTGACTGGTCAGCGGTGATAGAAGCGTCAAGATGTCCCATTTCTAAGAGTAGTTTTAAAGAATGCGACGATTCACCAAGAGTGTCTGTGGTACTGATGCAGCAATCATTGTCAAACTAGCACTTTAGTTACTGTATACGCATAAATTTTATTTTATGATTTTTTAAATATATCTTTCCTACGATTATGCTCTTTTTACCATTACAATTCATGCGTTTTCTTTGCTTTTTTTTCAAATTTTTGTTCATTTTCTCTCAGGTATTTTTCATCATCAAAAACTGTCGTTATTGCAAAATTATACTCCCGCAAATGGAAAAACTCTCGGAAATTATTCAGCAATATGGTAAGCAAAAACATTAATTTGTTTTAATTTGTGAACATTGCACATAACATTTTATAAAACAATGATTCTTTCTTATTTTAGCTAAAACTAAAGTTTATCTGGTCAACTGCTCAATAAGCTCATCATTATGCGAGCAACAAGATGTCCATGGATATCCTTCAGCGAAACTCTATCGTGGTACCCCGTGTTTGCATCTTTCACGTTGCATCACAGATAACGTTCAAACTCCACACACCGTATTGGATTATCATAGGTCTTTTGAGGTAAACTATCATGAATAAATTGACAAATACTTTGTTGCATGTCTATCCCATTGATCTGAAAAATTAGTACCTGGATAGAGCTTCTACGTATGAAACTTGAAGCCAGTTTTGATTTTACACACCCGATTCTTGGGACCACTTAATTACAATATGGCGCAGAGTTAGCTCAGCGATTGCGACGATGTTTTGTCCAAAATTACTTGTACATCAATAGCAGCAGTTTTGGGAATAACAATCAGTGTGTAGCAAGGACAAAGCATCGTCGCTATCGCTCAGCTAACTCTACGCCATATTGTAATTGAGTGATTCCAAGAATCGGATGTGTAAAATCAAAACTGGCTTCAATTTTCATAATGGTTTCATACGTAGAAGCTCTATCCAGGTATTATTTTTTCAGATCAATGGTCGATCCCCAATTTGCCTTCTGCTGACTTGCAATGATTGTGGCTTCAAGCCATAAACAATTTGTATGAAGCCCGGTGAAAGGGTTTTTTTTTATGCACGTGCATAGTGAGTGGAAGCAAGTGATTCCATGGAAAAGAATTAAGCGTCAGCAAGCGATAGCAGTTTGCAAAGTTTAAGTGGAAAATGCGTGTGAAGGAACAATTAAATGAGTTGATAAAAAATTACGAATTGTTTGGACTTTGAAAATGGGATAAAATGTACAGAAAAATCATCGTGATAGTTTAATGTATGGCATAATAACTTTAAGTCATGACTAAAGTACTTTTCTTACCAGTGTCTGTTGAATAGAGCTAGGTATTTAAGTCTATTTTTGTCACTTGAACGATTCAACTCGTTTTTTTATTACACTCAGAATTCGTGCATCTTACCTCGAATAGGTTTTTTAATATTGTGTGTATAGTATATATAAAACGATTTATCCTCTAATTTCCACAGCCGATGGAGCAAATTTTGGAGTGGCTGAATAAAAATTCTCTCCCAAGTGTCAATAAAGATTATTTACTACGTCATATCGAATCGCAGCAATTTGTAAGAGTATGTTCAATTCTTTACATCATTACAGCGGCATTTTATATAATTTGATATAATTTCATAACTGCAGTTCGTTACATCATTAGAAAGGCAATTTGTATGACTTGATATTATTTCATTAGTGAAATTTGTTACATCATTAGAATGGCATTTTATATAATTTGATATGATTTCATGTTTGATTGATGAAGATTCACGATGTTATATTGGTGGGAACGGTCATTACTCGCCATCACGCCCTGCTTTACTTACCTGCTGAATTCTACGACAAATGGTACTCGTTCCAGTGTTTTCAAACCACTTGTGAAATGCTGTTTGGTAAAGCCACTTGTTACGTCACGATGACGAAAGACTTCGGAGTCACCGAAGATATGAGACACATTGACGATAAGAACTTGTTTTTAATTAAGGTGCGAAAATGAACCCATTCCAGTCATGAGAAGTTTTATGGTCCAATGTTGTGATTTTTTATTTATGTTGAAGAATTGCATCTTCAGAAATGTAGAAAAGTTGATTCTTCACGACGTCACAGTTTATCGAAGAAACAGTTGGACACTGCATTGAAATGTTGTCTACTGTATGATGCATATTTTATTACGCACGTGAATACAATGTTGGCAGCCAATCAATTGAATTTTCTTAAATGCGAAGTGGTTCTACTGTTATTCCTTATACTGTGACGACACGGAGTCTCAGTTTTGATTGTTCAAATTATGAAAACCACGTGATTGAATTTTTAGTTGGAGCTATTTCGAAGTGATGACGTTCATGCAAAACTCTTCGAGCTTGGGGTCCCTGTTGCAAACACGATACACAATGAACAGGACACGAACTTGCACAAATTCCACAATTCTCACAGGTAAGTGAAGAATTGGTACATCTACATATGTTTAAAAACTCAATAAAGGCACATTTTACATGATCATCTTTTGTCTCATAGAACTACTTACACTACAACAGTTGCCATCAATTCGAAGCTATTTGTTTCTTTTTTCAATTATTATTTACTTATAGCTATTTGCTCGATAAAAGATTTCGATGTGAAAATAATCATTCGCGATGTTCGGAATACATCGTTAAGTTTGTTCGAGACCATTCGCGATCGCCCTTAATACACCTATCGCATGACGGATTTCACATTATCGACAGGTAATGGACTGATGAAAAGATTGCTGAAATTTTTGGAGGTGGCTGGTTAGTTGGTAAAACGTTGTGTCGTTCCAACGATTCTCTGCACAAAGCTGAGTTTGAAGTCACTGTAAATTATCAAACTTAATTATTTAAGGATATCGAGAAATGACGCCCATTCGAAAGATTTTTCAATCGTGATAGTTTTAGCTCATAACAAAAATATCACGGAGAAAAGCCATTTTTTGCAGGTAAAGTACTTTGACCATCTTCTTTGTCTTCTTTCACTGGCACTAAGTTCAGTTAATTTTCAGCAATAGAAGTACACGTGACGCCTCCTCACTAACATTGTAACTAATATTCGTCTATCTGTTTAATTTCTCTTCAGGAAATCTATAAAGCTGCGTATGAGCTATATCGTCACGTGATGTTTGCGTCACTCGATGTTGACGAATACCCTTGGTGGGCAAAGCAGTTTGTTCCTCGGAACTATGATATAAAGCAAGGTATAAGCGAGTGTGTGTTTTTCTCTGAGGTTTGAACTCATAACTATCTTCAAATTTTATGTTGTATGTCATAAAACTGCGCCAAGTTTTATAACTACGACTACGAAATGTTACTGCTCAATTATCTTGCTTCTGCCTTATTATAAGGCATTAAAGTACCAGAAACACTGACTTTTTCAATGGTAGCAAGTACCGTCTGCCCATACAAATTCTCATACGCAACATTGATTAAACGTTTTGTTTGCATTTTGCAATATGGCGGTGCCACAAATTCTCGTACTGCTAACGGAAATTTTTCAACGAAGTCAAAATTTAGACACTTATATAGCTCATATTCACTTTTAAGGCTCAAAATCTATGCAAACGCACACCAGGGCAACAGTTCATGTTTCTATATTGATTGAAAAAATCAATCAGTAGCTTGCATACATCAAGTCATTTGTCTTTTCACCCGGGGTCATAAGAAAGGACCAACCAGGTCTCCGGAAGACCAATACATTTTGGTACTGCTGCTGAACTCCAGCATCCAGTCAACTGTGATCTCTCTATTCTGTTGCGCAGCTCAAGCCTGTCATTAACGTGATTGAAGGTAGAATAGAAGCTGAAGTTGTATTTCGAGTTAAAGAATATAAATTTAGTCTGGAGCTTTGAATTTTCTTCCCAGCATACACGGGGGGAACCGGGGCGCTGCATGTATATTTTACTTGCAAAGGAATGTATTTCTGCATTTTTTTACCCTCACCCCATCTTTTAACTTCAAGTTACGAAAATAGTACTGATAAGCAGGATGCTGCACTGTGAATATTTGATAATTATATTTAGAGTTGTTAGATGATGAGCAAGTGTTACCATTACATCATTACCCGCGTCTCTGTATCGTAAAAGCATCTGACCATCATCAAGCGGCCTTTTATCCTAATTTGGACATTATGGACAATTCAAAAACCTTCATGAAGTATTGGCAAGTATCAACGCGAAAGATATCGTTAGGTTTGTTCAACAGTACTTGGTAAATCCTTCAGATTTCCTTGTGGAAACAGAAGAGTTCTGAAAAAATGATGCATCTTTTACTAGCATTAGAATTTAAAAACTAACTGTAAGTCTTAAACAATATGCCTCCCACCCTGAATTTAACATCCACACACACAGAGACCATTCATTATCTTTGTTCTTGTGCCTTATGCCAGATATAAGTTACAACACCCCTGCCCCAGTGATTCCAAAATGTGAAGTATTTGTGAAGCATAGCTTACATTGTTGCCTTGAAGCATTTCTAAATAGCCACCTGAATGTTTGTGATGTTAGCATCATGTGTAGTGTTATTGAGCTGAGAAGCAAAGACTTTTACTTGGGCATTTACGGTTGATAATGAAAACCCACCCTCCATCATTATGAAGCTTTTCTTAATGAAGAGATAAGGACAGTAATTTGAAGTCTTCAATGATTCATGGAACTTATTGGGTTGGCTCAGTGTAAATCCATCTTGCATTGGCAAGTCTTAATTATTCCTAATTTATTTTCCATTAAAAATAACTTATTTATCACAATTGGAAAAAAAACTTTGATTTACAATAGGTTTAGTGTGTATTTTAACACATTGCTTGCAACTATGTGTTACAAAAAATAGCTTTTTAGGTGGAATAGGCTTTATTTGCTGTAGCAATGCAACTGAGGAATTCAATAATTTCCATTTTGCAATGCTTTTTGAAGGGCGTTATTAAGGTCTGGAGGCAAATCCATGTATAGTCGTCTCTTATCAATCTGCTTAATTAAAAATATTAAATCGCGTACATCAACATCATCATTGACAGATGACCAAATTGTCAAAGTGTATCGTTTACTGGAATCAAGAAGCCATTTTAGTGGTCCCCAGGAATCTCGAACATACACTGCCCGTATAGGAAATGTTATGATTTGTGATGTATTCCTACATATTTTTTCCATTTTTTCCACCATGTCATGTGTATAACTTTTATTTTTTATACCACTGTACCATTCAGTGGTCCATCCTAAGGACAGGGTGGCATTTGGGTACGCCATAGTACAAGTTGTGATGAACATCTTTGCATCAAATGGAGGATTTGTTTTAGAGTTAGCACCTGGACCTGTAAGAATATCGCCATTCAACCACAAAGGATTGTCTTTTGTTTTACCGTAGACAGATTGAAGTAATTTCATCCCTGGTTCAACAGCTTGTATTGACTTAAAGTCAAGTTTTATCCCTTTACGAGTCTGCTTCATTGCCACAAGAAATTGTTGCAAAGTCAAGTTGCTATCATTGTCGGGGGGATGAGCCATTATAGGTTCTGTATTGTTTTGATTGAATCTCATAAGAACATCTGCTTCAAACATCATAATGTCTGTTCCAAGATATTTCTTTAGTTTATCTTGACTATTTACAGCATGTGCCCATGTAATATCCTTGGCATCCCTTTTCTTGAAATACTTCAAATCAGCAAATGGGTCTTTTTCTGAGAACAACCCTGCACCTGTTGAACAACACTGTGGGTTCATTACTGCTGCAGTAAATAGAGGCTAATTAGAGCCTAGTAGTTGCTCGATGCAACGATGCAGCTCCATTGCTTCGTTATTTAAACGAAAGTATGTATCAACTATTAAGTTTAAATGCTGTTAAATGTAAAACTTACTTAGCTGAATTTGTGTTTCCGATAGCCAACACAGACTAAAGGCGAGAACAACCAACGATAAGCACATAACTACTGAGAATACAGTTACTGAGATTAAAATGCGCCGTCGTTTGGGTCCATTGAGTCTCCTAAAGTAAGAGTGACTAGCCATTGTGCTCGAATCTCCCCCCCCCCCTCCTGAAACAGTTCTTTGTTTATCAGTTTATCACACTAGAGAATACCGAAATTTTTCCAGTGCAGAGTGGGTAATTTGTTACAAAAATTTAGAAAATTTTATCGTTTAGTAGTCCTATAATGCAAAATCAACGATACTATCATTCGTTTTTGCAGTGACTAATCAGAGAAAAATTATATCTGGCTAAATAATGGGCTATCCAATCGAAGGAACAAATTTTTTGGTGTCGTAGACAGGGTAGATTTACGGAGGGGGGGTGCGTCCGAGATGTGGAGATGCGCAAATGTCTACGAAATGTAATATAAAATGCAAAAGCATTTTGAATTGTGTATAGGAGAAGCACATTTCCAAAAAATAACTTCAATTTTCGTATGCAAGTAATAGAACTTTACAAAAAAAGGTACCAGTCGAAAGCAACCTTCTTAAAAGATCAACCTGGGTTCATCCCTAATGTCGGATGTGTATCAAAAATATTTGCTGTTGGACGTTTGTCTGGGACTTTCACTAGTGAAGTTTTTGCTTAAGATATTTAAAGTCTTTGGTATAAATGCACAATGTTTCTTTTGAATTGTTTTTTAATGGTTATAAGTATAGTATTAAAACAAATTCGTCATCTACTAGTTATGTAATGTATAGTAATATATAATTTCATAGATGGTTTACTTGTTCTGTGGAAAAACATCCTCTCAAGACAAAACAATTAATGTTCATATACGTAAATAAATATATTATATGTTAGGAAACAGTTTTCAATGTGGAATTTCCACCATATTGTACATTGAAAGAACCTGTACATTCTTTTTAGTATCATATTTGTTTTGATGTTTGCGAATTACCAGACGACACACAATAAGGATCAGAAGAACAGCAAGTATCACTACTCCAAACAACAAGCCAATAATAGTACCACGAGTCATGATCAACGATTCACCTATATCAATTTGTCATCATTATTATAACAGGTAATAAAATAGGTCAACAATGCTTTGCACAAGAGTCATTTGTTAGCAAAGTTATTGAAAGTACAATTTTCTGTAACCAGTTGTGTTTTCAAAGAATGTTTTTACAAGAATTTATTGTGATTTTCCCATAGGAAACTTTCAGTACATTTTCAATCACCAATCACCTAAATGCTTACCTCTACCCTAATTTCCAGAGAACATTACAGGACCTTGCCCTACAATTTGTTTCTCTTTTCCCTTTGCCCAGTATGCCAAAATGTCTTCTTTTACTCCTTTGAAGTTGGGTTTTTTACTTATGTTGAACAACAAGGACTATGTGTTTAACCTCTGAGTGTAAGCCTATCATATTACGGTTGATTTCAGGGTCGTAACTAGAACGTTAATGGGGTTGGGGTGGGGATGTATATTCATGTGTTGAGTTGTGCCCCACTGATTTTACTTTCAAAAGTACTCAGTCGGGCACAGCTGAATATATAAATATACACCACCAGCCCATTTATTAATATGTCATTCAAAAGAATTCAGTCTGGCACAACTGAATACACACCATTGCCCCACCCTCACTACAATTAACGGTCGAGCTATGGCCCTGGTTTTTTTATAATCCTACTTTTTTCGTTTATTGAAGACAGTGTTGACTATCACATTTGACATTCCCAGCTTTCCACATAACTCAGCTTATGTATACCTTTAGAATTGGCGGTTTCCTTTTTTTCTCGATATATAACAGGTCCTGTTGATAGCCGATAAGATTTCGTGTCGTCATCCTCCGATCCGACATCGCGACGTTTTCGTGACGAACAATCTGTACTTTTACCGCAAATACTTTTGGCCGTGTTCTTGTGGCAGAGGATTAGGTTACAATGAAAATATACGTAGCGATGTTCAGTCACAAAGCTAAATGCTTGAATGCTAAAGCGATGATTTCTTCTTAGTCCGGATGTAGCATGGCGAATCGTTGAATCTCTATCACAACTGAAAAATAATTTACGTATTTTTAGTTTTCGAATCTTTGCTCTAATAAATTACTTTATACGCATCAAAACCTCATTTCAGTACAAAATTCACTATTCAAGATAATGTAATTTATGTGAGCTATGTCCGAAACCTGTAAAATTTTTATGTCAGCACTTGGCACAACTGAGCATCCTACAGTTGCACCATCACAATCTAACACAAACCTTATTACAATAAAGAATGTAACGCGGCACTGAAAGCTTGCGAGTGTATGGCTGTGGCGCTTTGACTTGAAAAACCGTGCTCAAAAATGGAAAACGTGGGCTTGAAACTTAGATATTTGCAACTATCATTGTAACCAATCACGTTTGTTCTTCTTACCCATTGTCAATAAAGACATACTGTGGTTGGTCATTCGGTTTGTTTGATGGCGTGGCACGACAACTTTTGGCTCGAATAACAACTCCACTATTGCTGCTATCAACAGAATACTCAACGTAGATATGATCCGAAAGTCTTGTCGTCACTGGATAATCATCTTCGTCGTACATATTTTGATATGTGTCGTCTGTGTAGAAGTTCATCGATATAGTGAAATTTCCAAAACTTTCTAAGAGATATAGAATTTGATGCGCACTTATGATTTGATAGCTACATTTTTTTGTAGTTTGTCGAGCTCGTTATCAAGTTCATAAGTTCGTTTTTCGTAGTTCTAAAAATGGTTTTTGAATTGCGTCTACTTCGTCATTCGGGTTATCAGCATAAAAAGTTCGTCTCAAATCTACTTTTTCGTGTATTACGGAACTATTAACCAATTAAAATCAGTTTTGATAGGTTTCGGTATTTTAAAAGTAATTAATTAGCTAACCACAAGATACAGCAAGAAGAAATCTGTTTGTTTACAAATTTTGTTACTACTCACAAGTATTTTAAATCACATCTTTACTTACTTTCATTTATAGTTAGTTGTTGCCTTGCAGGTAGAAAGTTGAAGGAGCCCACAGTTTTCATACGATCATAGATGCAGCTGAATTTCAGACTGATTTCTTTCTCTCGGGTGATGATTGAGCCGTCGCTTCTGTTCCTGGAAGTCGTAATTGCGTTTGTAAAGATAATCTCTTGTGCTGTTTCACGATACGTCGTTCCACAACTATTCAGGTTTGTTTTAGCTATGATGTGAGTTTTGTTTTGTGTTGGTTTGCAAGAATGATCCTTTAGTACCAGTTCGTTTATCTTAATGAATTTAGGCAGGGAGCTCTTGTCGTAGGTAAGGCTCATCCAGGCTTTATTACAGGTTACATCAAAACGAGAAACTACGTAAAGAGAAACGTTTCGATAATAAATGACTGCGATTTTCGCATCACTTAGCTAATTGTATTGACAGTTTATGTTAAATTACCGTTGCAAGCTTTTGACGACATCTTTTTTGCCAATGATGATAACTCTTGAAAATTTTCCAACAAAATCACCCGCTGCTCTTTTGGTTGGGACGCCATCACATTTAGTTCATCCATGTTTATATTTTGGCCAATCCCAACACAAAATATGATTACATTTGATTGTTTTAGCTTTTCTGCTGGTCCTTTCACTCCACCGTTACTTTGACCATCAGTAAGAATAATAAGAACCTTTGTTGCACCTTAAGGAGGATATGAAAATAGTTTGCTAATTCTCGTTCAATAAATAGATATAGTTTCGCATATCCTATGAAATTATTAGCTTGTAAAAAAAGTCAGAAGTCTCACACGGCAGCTCACTCTTAGTAAATTTAAAAAATATCATCGCCACCAAAGCCTCAAACCAAGCCTTCGAGCTCCCCGTCGGCGAGGATGTAGCCGTGCACCCTCCCCCCTGTCTTACGATGTAATATACCAGTTGAAAAGGGCACTTTTTATGCTGACCTATCTGCCTTGCGCCGTTTTTCACCTGGAACATATCCTGATATGCCTTGTTCAAAGCTAAAGCCGTCGCTGTTCCTCCACCGGTATAACCGACGTTATCAATGGCTGATATAAGTTCAGCATGATCGTCAAACTGTCGAGAAAGTGGAAAGTGAATGGTTGCGTCATTTGAAAATGACATCACTGAAACTCTTGTTTCGTCTGGCTTTACGACGAAAAAGCTTGTCAAGTCTTTAACAAATGCCTTCATCTTGTCATAGTTTGTCGTCGACACACTGCCAGAACTATCCAGCACGAAACCAAGATCTAACCTTCTTCGACAGGCTTTCGATTCTGTATAAAGATATTGAATGCTAAGCTACTTTATCAAAAAATTACGTCTTACATAACAACAAACGAAAGTCTTTTGGGGTGCGTCGTTTAAATGTGCTGAAAGATTTTTTTATTTTGCCACGTCGGTATTTGGAATTGAAAATTGCATGAAAACCTTTTGTCACCATTTTATATTCTTCTATATCACCTAAACACATTTCTAATTAGTGATGAAGTTTCGTGTGAAATTGATCGCGATCCAAGGGCTTTCTTGTGTTTTTTGAAGCTCGCCTATTTGATTATTTCTAAATAGGTATGTTTTTCGAACGCTCATCTCGTTTTAAAAAAGCCATTCATCGTATAAAGACTATAGAAGACTTTCTCTAATGAAAGATATCACTTGTGAAACTTATGTCAAAAATTAATGCAATAGAGGTTTTTATGATATTCAGCTCATGTAATTCACCTTCGATTTTCTTCTGGAAGGTAAATCCTCCTGGATAGCCATATGACGCAGAGTTACTTGCGCCATAAACGAGCAAGCCAAATCTTACTCCTGCAACGCTGTGCGTAATTACACGATCATTTGTCTTCAGGTTTGCCACAATCCAGCAAAATTTAGTTCCCTTTATAGTTTTCCAAGTGAAGCTACTCAAACTTTGACCATTTACCAGCAAACCATCTTTAGCATATTCTTTAATAACAATGGCAACTGAATGTCGATAGTATGTTCGTGCCAATGCTGTAACTTTATAAAATGGAAGATAATGGTCAGTCGATGGAAGATTGATCATGGATGAGGCAACGTAAGAAAAGCTATCATATGAACGCTGCCCTTTTGTGTACATAACAACCTGACATGGTTTACTGCAGCTGATGTACGAGCCATTATTACGATTTATCTGCTTAAAATTTCTCGGATGTAAAGTTGATTTGCTTTTTTGCTGGACCACAATCGTGTTAGACTTTGCGACAAACACCCGAAAGATATTTCCATTGTTCAACGATCCCACATTTGGCAGCATAAACTTATTTCCCCAATGCTTCACTGGCAACAAAAATGTAGCCATATTATCAAAGTTACCGCCATAAACTCGAGTGTTTTCTTTAGCTGAAATGACAGCTATAGGTTTGTTCGCCGTCACAATAGTCCCTGACAAGTCGACATTACGAACGAGACACACTGTTTCGAGCTTTTGAAACTTTTTAGAGAAAATATCACCGTCGTCGTATGAATGTCCTTCGTAGTAAAGATTTCCGGAATCCAATCGCAATTTCACTTTGATGATTGTATCATTTTCGCTTGAGACAATCAACACTCTTGATGTGCCAACATTCCACGATGGTAAAACATATTCTTTTCCCAAGACATTTGTTGGTAATGCAAGAAACGCGTCTGAATCTGGACTTTTATCTCGTAACAAAACTACAACAGCAATATCTTGTGTGGAATTAATTTCCAGGCCTTTTTGTCCCCATCCACTACCTCTGGCCAGAAGCGAATCAGGAACCTTATACTCGAAGGCTTTTCCAGCGTCGATTAAAATGGAGAAGATCGATTTGGAGAACATTGTACTGATGGTGACGTTTGTTTTAAACAAGGCCCTCAGTGATATGTAATTTGTTTTTCCCAGTGAGGGTATGCCAAGGATGAAGTGTTTACCATGATGAGTCGGTTTATCTTAATGTTTGATGAAAATAATGATTATTTCATAAATGTAGCTAACAATCAATTATGAAGTTTATAACTTGTCTTTTTCTTAAAGTTATTGAAAAAATTCTTTGGTTAAATACATCAATGTACACAGCGTTGTTGGTAAAATCTAAACTATGGCTGCTAAAGTTATTGCGTCTAGATAAAACAAGACACGTGCAATCGTCTCATAAATTGCAGCAACAGTAACAGGAAATACTAAGCGAGTGAAACGCATTTTGAGCTTACATTTTTCGTAGTCAGAAAACCAAGACGCTCTTTGTCCATGAACCGAAGAAGAACTCAGTATGACTTGCATTAAAAAAAAATAACATTCCTGCTTTTTGTGAGCACAAGTATAAGCAAGAGGATTCTTTGCCTGGAGAGGTTAAGAACGTTTTCATTTTCCTCAAAGAGTTTGGAATTAATAGGATCTAAGATGCTGCATTAAATAAATAACATTTTTAGGTAATAATTCAAGATTTGACACACGTCTTAAAAGAAAATACCGAAAGTTGGTTTCACGACTAATGCGGACACTAATGCAGTATAAATTCATGGCATATTTACCTTGAGGATAAAATTCGAACGATAAGTTCATGACATTTCGATTGTCTTTTGTCTAAATATTTTCTTTGTACTATCTGCGATGTAATCTGCTATATGTATCGAAGATCTTTTTGTAAACAGAGGATCTTGTCTATTCTGTGAAAGCACGTAATTTTATTGTCTTGCGTATGTTCCTCTAATCTGTTTTGTTTGAAGTTGCATTTAAAACCTATACTTACTACACATCTATTGTACCCTTAAATTATCATTTAGCTACCCAGGCTTTTGAAAACTAAAAAATTGAAAAGTTCTTCAGAAGATTAATGGAGCATAAGGAAGCCTAATAAATCATTTGTGTCGATTTTTTTTGGTATATTGTTTTTTAACTACATATTTCCATTTTCGTTTACTTTATTGGCTTGTTTTAGAAGAATTTAACGTAATATACTATTAATGAATTTATTTTACAATAAAAACGAAGCTTTTATTTATAATTTACCTTGTTTGTGTTAATTTAGATCACCGATGTATTTTGTATTCTGGCTAGTAGCGTTTCTGTTATCGAAGCCTTTGTTGAATATGATGCAGGTATAAAATTATGTTTATTAATCGCTCTATTTTGCCTTGGTGGCTTGGCTGATTTCGTTGATCATTGAGTATAGCGAGTCATGGTATGTTTCTTTTGATATATATGCAGTTTTGAAGACGATTTGTTGCCATTGGGAAGAAGACCTTGCATAGCTACATAACGTGGTACGTGCATATTTAAACTTCTTCGTGAATCGTGATCTGAATCTAACTAAAAACAGGAATTGAGAATGGTTTGGCCATTTTTTGGAAATTCAGTACTTTTCAGATTGCGGAATATATGATTTCTCAACATTTTTTTCGTCCCGAAACAAGACGATGAGATATAAAAAGCATGCTGTGTGATAGATATTGGCAATCATCGCTCACAGTGAGAAATGATAACATAAACTTCTGATGTCGTGATGATTTTTTCCTGCAAAACACTTCGAGCACGTACATACAATTTTTAAAAATGAATATGAAAAAGTTAAAACCTAAAGAAAATGCCTAAAAAGATGACGCAAACATAAATTGAGCGATATGAGCGAAATTGCTCGCAGCCTTTAAAATCACAAATCGTTGTGTTAAAAAATGTGTTTGAACATAGTTTGTTTGAACAGCTTCTCTGTTGGGGAAATAGCTACGAAAACGTGAGAACCCACTATTGCGTGCGCTGCAGTCAATTGTTAGCTATTTACACACAAAGATTGCATGAATTCTAATTCTTATCAAAACACCTTTTTAATCGAATTTCAGTGTAAGTGCAAAAATCTATGTAGGTCGTTTCTCAAGACACGACAGACGATATATCTGCTTGGCAATCTATGCTCATCCGCGTGCGTGCACAGCATTTCTATTCATAAATCATTCTTGTCGTAAAGGAGAAGTGGAAGTATGCGAATAACTAGATTAAAAGTGCCGCAAAGAATTCGGCTGTGTTGTCTTTTTCAAATTAAATTTGGAACAGTTTGAGCAAAGAATTTAACAAGTCTTTAGATATTTAAACACTTTTTTTTATTTTTTGCTTTATGGAATTCGAAAAGGCTGTGAAAATATTTCTCAAAGTGTGACAAACGTCATAAGTTACTTTAAATTAGTGCGATTAACAAAAATTTATATGCATCCAGTGGCGTAGCCAGCCATACTTAACACACTATACTGTCGTTGTGATAACAAATTTTGAACTCCGCATCCATTTTAGTTGTTTTGATGTTTTCTTTTGTGATAACAATCCGTTTATTTTGGTTGAAAGTACACCAGCTTATGTCAAACATTCTATCTATTTTATCCTTCCCAAGTTTTGTTTCAAATTTCTATACCAAATTTTGTTTCGAATCTGATTCACTTCAAAATTCATATCCATTCGCTTCTAGAATCTAGATGTGACGCAGATGTTAGTAAACTGTTTCAAACTGATATAAGCGTGGGGTCTACAAGACAATTCGTATTTTTCGATTGACTGTATATAAATATCATTTTATTTTGCTGTTACATGAGTGGAATGTTTAGTAGAGATTTTATATCGTATATGATAATCGCGTGTGAAATATTTAATGCGATTTTCATGAATACGGAAGCAATGTTCTCTAGAAATACGATATTCAACGAATTTATTTTCCCTATGACAAACAGAAACCCAAAAACCATGACCAGCCGACAATTTAAAGAAATATAGTATAAAACAAATTTCGAAGAAGCAAGACATTTTGAGATTGCAAAATATGCATCAAAACAAGACGAGAAGTGAACTGTAAATTTTCGACTTTATTTCAAAGTGAATGGATCATTCTGTCTGAGGATGACTTTGAAATAAAGTCGAAAATTTACAGTTCACTTCTCGTCTTGTTTTGATGCATATTTTGCAATCTCAAGATTTCTTGCTTTTTTAGAATTTGTTTTATACTATAAACAGAAACCCGTCGGATGAGACGTGTTACACAGACATAACCACCATAACTTCAGTATGGTAAAAAAAATAAGTTGTGAAACTCGGTGCTGTTCATATTTCAACATTCCTTTTCCATGTTCAGCCTTCTTCTTTGTCAAAATCAAAACATTTTCCTTTCTGCCAACACTGCTCACCTGAGCACTTCGAAGAAATATGATACGCCACTTGAGCACTGGCTCAATCCTTTCAAAGAAATTTAACAATTTTCGATGACAATTTTTAAGGTGGTTGCTCGATAAATATTCTTGTCTATTTATCCTAAAGACTTCACGATGAAAGGTGTAATTAAATTTAATTTAATTCATGAACATTCTGATCAATTGGCACACATGCTTTTCGCTGGAATTATAACTTCAAGACTTGAATTGTACAGTTTACAAGAGGTATATGCTTACGCGACTCAATACCATCCATGTGAGCATCAATTCTTGCTATGAAGGGCTACACCAAAGTTATTTTGTCCCCAAGGCGTGATACCATAAAATGTTTACTAGAGCGTGGGAGCTGTATGTAAGCCAAAGTCAAAGTGGATTATCTTTGAGTGTTCATACCTCCAAAACTGTGAAATTTGATTGGATTTGGGCGTCTGACACTTATGAATGCAAAGAATTGTGAGTCATCATGGTATCCACTGAGGTGTCTCATAACTGTAGGGGGGATATTCTTTCTTCAATAAATGATTAAAATGGATGATCGATGATTCCAAGCCGATGGAAATCATCCAAATGTGATGAATAGGGCTTTCAAATGCTGCGTTGGCTTGCCTCGAATATTCACATCTGGTTTTAATTGTGTGTTTTATATAGAGTAGCAACAATGTCGCGCGAGATATTTTTGCATTTCTTTTTTGTTTATGTCTTGCAAGAGATTCGGTTGGCATCTATTCTAAACATCTTTTAACAAATTATCTTTGTAATAAAGGATGATCGTCGAAGTCTTTTTTTGACTTATTGAGCCGAAGGTCTATTGTGTTGTATGCACAGTCAAAATTTTCATTTTGCGACCAATTTGATTGATTAAATATAAGTTGAAATAAATTCTTTTTCCAGTCTGAAGTTTTCAATCATGCGTTGACTTTTAATACATGATAGAGCGATGAGTATAACAAATATTTAAACAAAAGTCCCTAAAGGCATTTTCCAATAACTACAAGGACAAATTTATCCCCGCGAGTTAGCTCAGACCCTGTCCACACTAATGCGTTTTCGAAACGCTCCGTTTTCATTGCATCCACGGCAGCGTTTTCATAGCGTTTTCGACTGTCCACACTAAAACGATGAATGTGTGATATATTTAAAACAAAACGCATCCGTTTTCAAATTGCTCCAATTTGGAGAGCGTTTTCGAATCGATCCGTTTTCATTAGGCCGTGTATCCGTTTTTGAGAGCTTCAGTGTGGACGGAAAGCAAAAACGCATCAAAAAGTATCCGTTTTCAAGCGAAAACGTATTAGTGAGGACGGATCTCATAGCTGTATTGTAATGTCAAAAGAAACTTGCTTAGCAAAAACCTGTCACCAAGGGCGTAGATCTGATGACACTTCGATGCAGACCGGAAAGTTTCAAATTACTCGACATATGCTCGCCACAGTATAATGACAATGATGTTTGTCGTCTATCAAAACTGCTGACCGTCCGTTTGAACCGTTTCGCGAACTTAACCTTGTGCTTCGCCAGAAAATTCACTTCGCGCCTTGATTGTCACAATCGTTTATAAGTATGGATCACTTTATCCATATCCTGGCAATTTCTTTGTATTTATTATTTACTCAAGGAGTTAGAAGCGACAACCCTGGTATGTTTAAGTCTTTCTGTGTAATCCGCATGGCAAACAAACAAAATGTAGAGACGATGCGATGGTATAGGGAATTCTGTTGATTAATGATGTACAGATTTGCTATAGTAATACTATGAGACTAAGAAATGACTTTATTCAATAATTGATAATATCGAATTGTTTCTTTGGTAAATTCTTTTTGAACATATTTACGTACAGTATATTGTGACATGATGACAATTGTTGTGGTTTGTTCATTAACTAAAAATAGATGTATCAAACGCGATATTTTCATTTGAATAATGCTATAGTGGCTTTGAGTCTTCTTCATTTTGTGTTTTTATAGTTATCTCAAATCAAAATCAAGTAGAAAGCTGAACATTTTTAGTTAAAAGCAACGCAAATAGACTAAGTATTCGAAATATGACGCGAGGGTGTTCCATTGATCAGACGATAACGTAAATATTTTTCATTTGTCAGTTGAAAGTTTACGAACTGCAAATAAGGGAAAAAACATGCAGAAATCTAAAGCTAGCAAGCACACTCACAAAATCTCAAGGGTATATATAATCGCCGATCTTCTTGACCTTCTTGCAATATTTGTGCATTGATATTGAGGATTTTAAATAATATAATAGTCACATGCCCTCATTCCACCTATGTACGTGTTTTGTAATATGGGGTCAAAATCACATTAAACTGTAACATGCTGCTTGAATGATAATTTCGGTTTCAAGGTTAATTCGAACGTGCTAGACTGACGAAAGACACCGTCCATTTACGCTAGACTTTATCGGTGTTCGATTTCATATATGTGAATTTTTTTGCAACTTTGATAATGTGGGTTCTATATATTGTAGCACTACTAGTAGTCTTCGAGGAGTGAGTTAATAGATTTGGAAAATGATTTTCATTTGATCGTTCTTTTTATTGGAATTAGTCTGTTCCAAATCCAGTTTAAAGTAGGATCCACTTACACAAGTACTCGCGAGTATCGGCCTTTTTTTCACTCAAAAATGAAAATAGAAGTTTTAAAATTTTACAGAAATTAATCAATATTGGTCAATTCACATGTGCAAAAATTTTCCGTCAATGACCTGTGTTGAGGGATTACCTATGTACGTATATTGGCCCTGTGTGAGGTAGAGTATCATAAAAGCACGCGCTCATGTCAAAGTATGTCAACGCTGAAAGTGTAAAGTGCAAAATATATTTCACTGCTTATTATAATTGACGTTGCACCCTACCCTTTTCCATTATAGCAGGATCCCTCCCTTCTCCATTACATTTGGAGCCCTCTCCTTTTCCATTACGTTTGGAGCCCTCTCCTTCTCCATTACATTTGGAGCCCTCTCCTTTTCCTTTACATTTGGAGCCCTCTCCTTTTCCATTACGTTTGGAGCCCTTGCCTTCTTCAAATACGCGAGAAATGAATGGTCCTGCTTTAAAAGGACGCAAGTGTGGAAAATTATTAGAATTAATAAAATGAAATAAATATAAAAGGTTCAGCTGGTCATCAACCAATCATTGATATGGATCATTTTTTTTCTCTATAGCGTGCGATATTCCTGTCGGTCTTCGGAGTAAAGAAAAGTTCAAGAGTACTCAACTGAGCGCATCTTCTTACAGATCAAAGGATGCAAAACCAGATAATGGAAGGTTAACAGAAAAAAGGTATTGCAGAGACTTTGTCGTGGTGACAAATTTAAATTTTTTTAAAAAATAGCAAATACCGTAGGGAATTGGCAAAATAATAACGTAATAGTTCTTAAAAGAAGAGTTAAAACCAGAACACTAACCCAACTATTCTAAAAGAACTGTTTTTAAAGCTGAAAGACACTATGCTTTTTACAGTTTAATATTGATGCAATGTGGCACGTAATTCAGTTGTACGTAACTGCAATGTGCTTTCTTTGAATAAAACCAATTTATATATTTATTTTATTTATGCATTTTGGCAGACTACTAATCATCAGATGTCAACGTATGCTAAATGAGAACTTCAAATCATGCGATATTTTTCATGGCAAAATTATTATGTGTTTAATTTATCTCTGTTTTAAGCGTCATCTCCCAATTTAGAGGCGACATTAACGTTCGAAGTTCTCATTTAGCAGACATTGACACTTACAAAGTGTCTACCAAAATATATAGTGTCTTTCAGCTTTAAAAACAGTTATTTTAGAACTATTTGGTTAGTGTTCTGGTTATAAACAGTTCTTCTAAAAACTATTACGTTATTATTTTGACCATTCACCATGGTATTTGCTATTTTTAAAACAATTTTGAAAATAGGTATTGTAATAGTTGGCTTATAATCTTTGGGGAAGTATAGTGCACATTAGGATATGAACTAGTGAAGGTAATGTGCGCAATGAGGTATTAAGGTAATGTACAGATTAGGGTATAAAACTAGCAAAGGTATTGTACATATTGTGGTGTTAAACTAGCGAAGGTATTGTACACATTGTGGTGTGAAACTTGTGAAGGTATTGTACACATTGGAGTATGAAACTAGCGAAGGTATTGTACACATTGGAGTATGAAACTAGTGAAGGTATTGTACACGTTGGAGTATGAAATTAGTAAAGGTATTGTACACATTGGGGTATGAAACTAGTGAAGGTATTGTACACATTGGAGTATGAAACTAGCGAAAGTATTGTACACATTGGAGTATGAAACTAGTGAAGGTATTGTACACATTGGGGTATGAAACTAGTGAAGGTATTGTACACATTGGAGTATGAAACTAGCGAAGGTATTGTACACATTGGAGTATGAAACTAGTGAAGGTATTGTACACGTTGGAGTATGAAATTGGTAAAGGTATTGTACACATTGGGGTATGAAACTAGCGAAGGTATTGTACACATTGGAGTATGAAACTAGTGAAGGTATTGTACACATTGGAGTATGAAACTAGTGAAGGTATTATACACATTGGAGTATGAAACTAGCGAAGGTATTGTACACATTGGAGTATGAAACTAGCGAAGGTATTGTACACATTGGAGTATGAAACTAGCGAAGGTATTGTACACATTGGAGTATGAAACTAGCGAAGGTATTGTACACATTGGAGTATGAAACTAGCGAAGGTATTGTACACATTGTGGTGTTAAACTAGCGAAGGTATTATACACATTGTGGTGTGAAGCTAATGAAGGTATTGTACACATTGTGGTTTGAAATTAAAGAGATTATCGTAGATTAGCTTATGATCTTAAAAAGGTTAAGTTACGGTAGTGCATACTTGGTTTAAAAATTAGACAATAGATCGTTCATATGGTATGAACTGGGAGAAAATATCGGCCAGATTTATTCATGTAACTGAAGAAAATATTCACTTTTATTGACAAATTCGTGAAGAGCTCCAATATTAATAAAATATAATGTAATCTACCACAACATGGTATTCCATCTGTGAAATCCAGCCATAATCAGACGTAATTAATGTTGTATATGGTTTCAACCCTGAACTAGTTACATGTTTGTAGATGTAGATCGTCCAGGTTAGTAGAGTTTCGAGGACTGTTGATGTTGACTGACGTTTCGACAACCTAAGCGGTTAAACCTCAACCACTCCGAAGATGACTACCGCTAAGGTTGTTGAAACGTCAGTCAACATCAACCGTCGTTCTCAGGACTCTACTAACCTGGACGATCTACATCTACAAACATGTAACGTAATTAATGTTTTCATCCAATGTTTATCGGCAAACGAAACGTGCATTTTCACGCGCGCGGGCTGTCCAACAGAGAAACTGTTTTATTTGATCTTTATGTATTTTTTGCTTACAAATAGTGGTTGGAGCGATACTGGTTGGTGTCCAGAATTTACCACTGACAAAACCGTGGTTTCAGGTTGATTTCAACGTCACGTATACGATTACATCTCTCAAAATAGAAGAACCTGATGAACTGATCTCTTCAATTTCACTGAAGTATAGCTATGACAACGACAAATGGCATCCCTACCGTCCTTTTGTTGCAAAATCGCCTGAAGAAGACCAGGTTCGTCATAAGCGACTTGTTTTTATCGAGCATTTTAGCCAATATTGTGTTTATTTTATACTAATTTATACAAATGAAATTGGAACAAGCTGAGATGCTAAGAAACAATACGAAGAAATATTTTCCGAGTGTTGCACTGCTTTACACACCACTTATTTTCGGAAATGCAGACTTGTGTCATCCATATTAAAATTGTAACAATTACGATGTTTGCGTCACGTGCTATAGTAGATTTTGCAGTAAAATTTACTCAATACACGTTTTGAGGGGAAAGAAGTCGAGAAGATAGTAAAATACGATGAATAAGCAATAGACTTGAGGCAGTTAAACAAAAAAAATTGATTCCAATTATGATTGGAATATTTGCAACAGTTCGAAAGGTTTAAAACTAAAACTAGAGAAAATTGAAACAGAGTCGGCCAAGATGAGAGATCTTCAGAAAAATGCGATTCTCAAAAAGACAAGGATTTTTAGGAAAATCGTAGAAGTTTCCAAGCTTGTCACCAAACTCTCTGAAGTAGTAAATTACATTGGGGGAATGAACTGTTGCAGGGCAAAACAAAAATTCAGTAATTTGCTAGGGTAGCGAAGTTGTGACTGGCACGTTTCGAACCAATCAAAATCTAGCTTGGATCATCTACGTGTGAGTGTCATGCAGGATTGGCAATTAAAATGGAACATAACATATTGGCAAATGTGCGATTGCATATCTGTGAATTACGTTGTTCTGTTATATGTAAGTGTTATAATACGCAAATATAACCGAACATTGTCGTCGAGTAGCCCGTATGAACGCCTGATAGGAGTCTTGTTCTCATTAGCTGCTCTTCTTAAGTGTCTCCTTTTTATTGTTGAACAAAACAAACTGATTTTTTGTTTTTTGTGTGGTCATAAATCGTTTTTATATTTTTTTTGTGTAGAGCTATTCCAAATATTTGCTTCCACATTCAATTACAGCAAGATTCATCCGTGTGTATCCTTGTACGTGTAACTATGGTGAGAAATCATGTTGTACTGCTGGACCGTGTTTAAGGTTTGAGTTCTACGGGTGTAAACCAGTCACAGGTAAGCTAACTGCATTTTTAAGTGAAAATTTATATTTAGTTTGAAATTGTCTACTTGTACACTGGTTTGTTTGCATCATAATGGTAGAAACACAGGCCTTCGTGTGACAACACTTCTTTTGCAAAATTACTAATTCTCAGAAATTTGCTGAAATTTGATAAATTATACAATTGTAATTTTCTTGTGCAAAACTTTAGCATCTCCTATGTCTCTTTTTCATTTTACCTACCAAGTGGTTGCTATGGTTATGATCCATTAAATTTCTTACAGCTACTAAGTGCTCGCATGACGGCCATGACCAACATACAATATCGTACACAGCTACCCATACAAAGAAAGTTGTATTGATGTGTGCGGTTTTCATGCTTGAATATGAAACTGTTCATGAACGTATGTAACATTTTGTGAAGTTCCTATAAAAATTTCTTCTTAGATTGTGAAACGCCTGCAGGTATGGAGGACAAAAGTATACAAAACAGCCAAATCACTGCCTCGTCATACAAAGAGAAACGTTTTCCTTACGGCGCACGTTTACATAATAAAACCTACAACAGATCGACCAAATCCTGGGGTGCCTGGTGCGCAGACGAAAATGATCCATCGCCCTACTTGCAGGTTTGTATTGCATCATGTATGCTTACGTTAAGTGAAATGGTTTGAGAAACATTGTACTTTCGCATTCGTGATCCTTCTATAAAACTCGTAATACTTACGTATTGATTTCCAATTGCCTGCTTACATAATGTGTATAATGTAGACTGAAGTTTTCAATGCAAGAAGTTTGACTACAACATTAGTTATATTTCATTTTAGATTGATCTTGATAGGAAAAGAAACATTTCGATGGTGGCTACGCAAGGTTTCACACGTGGAATGTTTGTGAAGAAGTATAAATTGAATTACAGCACGGACGCTATCACTTGGCTTGCTGCTCACGCCAAACCCGATTCTGTTGTAAGGTTTTTAAATAAATCATTGTTTTGTAATATGATTGGTGAATGCTTTTTCTACGATTTCTTTAAGGAATTCGATGGTAACAAGGACAATGGTACTGTCAAAAATCAGAAGTTACGCCAGGTGGTAACAGCCCGATATGTTCGGTTCCTTCCGAAGGACTGGAATCTATATTCTGTGCCTTCATATCCATGCATGAGGGTTGAGATTTATGTATGCCTGCCTGTTAAAGGTAGGTCATATTGGCAAAGGTTAAAGTGCCTATATCGGGGTCAGAGAAATAACTTTTTTGGATAGTTAAATCGATTTCTGTCAATGAAATTCGTATCAGAGCTTAAGGAATAAACAGCACGGCCATTTCGTTGCGCAAATCAGTGCCGTATACATGATTAGATTATTGGTTAACCATTCCATATTTTCTATTGGTCAGAAAACATAATCGTCGAGCTGTTACTATGGTAATCACGTACGTACGTTGTAAGATATGCATGACAGAAAAAAAATCATTGAAATATCCTCAGTGTTTTTTAAACCATTGACTTGAACTACCGGCCGAATAATTTCACAACATGCTTTTGTGACTAATCTTACGCCATTTGTAATGATGTTGACACTCATTTTATATGAACGTGCATATTAAGCATCCATCTTGTATTATAAGTATTTGCACACATGAGCTATAGCGGTCATAGAAGTGACAGGTTGCGCTCGTATGTACTTGCGCTTCATTCCCAAGATTATGGGAAGTTTGAACATTCTTTTTAACTTGGGAAAACTTTCCTAAAAGGAATATGTGCTTGTTTTGTAGAGAGAGTTCCCAAAAAATAGAAAGGACAAAGTAATATAATATGGAAATATTGCTTAAGAGGGAATTGTACTCGAGATTGAAAGATATACCAGTATGGGAATTTAGCTTCCAGGAAATTTACATTTATGTTTGTAGGAAGTGTTCCTAGAATTGCCGGAAAACAATCAGAACGTACTAGAATTGTCGATGCAGATCCCGGTGCAAAAGTTGCCTTAAGATGCAAAATGTATGGTCAGGCCGGCATAATTTTAAACTGGTTTACTATGAATCAAAAAATCAAGGAATCTGCCAATATAAAAATTTCAAAAAGTGCCAATGACGGCCATCATTCTGCGTCATTCTTAATATTGAAAAACGTCACGATGAACGAGAATGGTTTATTGTACGAATGCCGTGGACAATATCCGGGTGTTGAAAACCTGTATGAGACTCAGACGATACTGCTTCGTGTTGGAGGTTAGCTCAACTCAATAGCTTTTCCTTATATCTCCTTAAAAAATGGAATTCTAATTTTAGTAAATGTCACCTAATTATCATAGTTTGAGTTGGGGGGGGCTCCTGATAATCCTAACTTTGTAGGATTAATGTGAGGAATAAGATTAAGAAATTTGCTAAAATATATGCTGAGAAATTCAAATCGTTTTGTTTTCAGTGGACCAGCCACCAATACAGTTGCAATCGAAGACCCACAACTCGCTATCGATAGAAGTGAAATATCGTCTTGCCAATAGAACAGTGCAGTATCGTTTTGAAATTCGTGCTGTAGGCACGCAAGATTGGACAAGCTACAGGTTCAATCAAAGTCAAAATGATATTTACACCATCAAAAAATTAAAACCATGGACGGAGTATCAAGTCAAAGTCATTCCTGAACACAAAGAAGCAAACGACATCGGCAGAATGAGTCGTACGAAGAATTTTACAACAGCACAAGGCTGTAAGTTATTGTGTTTTTTTTTAGTATTTGCTGTTTCTCCATGTAGTCTTCAAATTTTCTCCTGCGATGCATATTTTCTGTTGTGTTCGTTCACTCCAAAAACAAAAAAATTTAAAAAGTAATGAATGATGATAATGCTTTGAAATTGACTAAAACTTGTGGGGTGGATACGCTTCTGTTCATACTTATAGTGAGAGCCTTTGTAATGAAAATATACGGTCGGTAATTTCTTTAATAAGAACGGCATTGGCACTTTGACGATGCCTCGTGTTTTTTAAGTCTATTGTCAACTTCTGTATGTTTGTGTTTAGTTCCCGACAAACCTCAAAATCTTCATTTGAGTGATGTAAAACAGGATAACGCAACCATACAATGGAGTAAGCCTTCAAGAGATGAAGTTCGCGGTGTTATCGAAGGATATTACATGGAAGTGATTGATGACACTAAAAATGTCATAGAAAGAGAAAAGTTACCGATTACAAATGTTAGCATGCATACCATAACATTCCTTTTGCCTAACACAAGCTATACTGTTCATCTGGCGGTTCAAAATCAAGAAAAACAAGGCCAGTTTGCAACTCTGACCTTCATTACGACTTCACTCACTCCAGGTAAAATACCCTGATTGAATACTTCAATAGTAATAGTTTATCAGAACTTCATCGATCCATTGCCACTAGACTTATTGGGCAAACAAATTAGTTGCATTCAAACATTTTGTATGTTCTTTTTTCAGAAAAACACAAACCAACAGCTTCCAACCCATTTATTGACTTGAATTTGTTAAATCAGGTATGGATTTTGTGCGTCATTTTGTGTTAGAGCTATAACTCTAAAGAAGTTTTTGAGAAATCTGACCAATATCGTCCAGTCAAGTATTTTTTTATCATATATAGAGGAAGATCACCCATGAAAATGTTGTGAGTGTCGCAAAAAATGTGAAAAATCTGACATCCTTACCAGATAAACTGAACCCCACCAACATATCGACTGCAGCAGAAATTTTGGAGAAAATCATCAAAACCCAAGAGAAAAGTATGGAGGTAAAGGGTGGTGAATCTACATATGTTATTTATTTTATTGATAGTAGCTATGTTTCTATTGCAACTGCATCTTTCATCGTTTAACTTTACTTAAATAGTCATCTAAATTGTGGGCTAGATATTCTTTGAAACGTTGCTGGTAAACAAGCTTCGAAAAGTGCTTCATGGGCAAAAGACATTTTTGCTCGTATTAAATGGAATGATGATATGCATGGTTATTTATGACAAAACTTTTCAATTTTTGATAATACGAGTAGCGTAGTAGATTGTAAACTTTTTATGGTTCAAAGCTTAAAAAATCTCGCCATCAGTATGTACTATTTACCACTGTATTGATATAAAGCAATCATGCCGTTTACATGCTGTTCTACTTTGTAAAGCACTTCAGACAAGTTGTTTTTAATTCGGCTGTTTTGGAAGCGTCACAAGCATTTAGTTATGATTCTTTTGAGTCATTCGTACAACGCTATTCATTTTGCACGTAAAATGGGCACTTTCGAACTTTTTTTTGTCTTTATAGCTACTTAAGTTTTCATTTTCCATATTTTTTTAGTCTAATTGTTGAGAGATGTTGTGTATTAATGAACCAATCAATTATCTCGTTTATAATGAGTTGTTACATTGTAAGCGTTTCCAATCTTTACCAATCTTATTTTTTAGGTCGGAGATATTATACTTGAAACGATCAACAACCTGATCGATGTAAAAGAGAAAGCTCTACAGGAAAGCAATTCCTCTACAAGGTAAATTAGCGTTTTCGATTTAAAGTATTGATTTTTTTATCAAAATTGGAGTCAAAGCGCAATGGACAACTGAAGTACTACTTAAACAAGCAATCGGCGCATGCGCGCTATTCGATTATTCATCCAATCTAAGAAAAGCCTGAAAAAAGTGATTAATTCGAGCTTGCATAAGCTTAATCAAAGTTTGAGGCAATTTTTTTATGATGAACTTTTGAAATTATCTTGCAATTTTCATTGATTAATTTCTTGTTGTTGAATCGCACCTACAAGTATCGCCTGTTTTTTAATCCTTTCTCAGATAACAAAATTCAATTTAGATTCATAAAGATACTTGAAGATTTCATTGCTAATGGTGGCGATTTCTCCAAGAATACTTCCAACATTCAGGTTAAAATAATAAAAAATCTAAATATCATGGACGGAAACTTGAAGCAATTCTTTCCTAACGGCTCAAGCATAGAGATTCCACGTGAGGTATTGGAGAAGGCGAAAAACAAGACAATGTATTTTATTTACTATAAGAACGGCAACTTATTCAACGGTAAGCGTTACGTAAACGAGATTTGTTCAAATGGATTCACGGAGAATGTCTATGAGCAAAGTACGGCTGTTATATCAAGTGGTATTTCCGGACAAGAGTTACAGAATTTATCTGAAAAAGTCGTTTTCAAGTTTCATGTCTCTGATCCAAAGGTAAAGAGCCTGTGTTTGTTAATTTGACTTATGTCGTTTTGGAAGTATTTATAAAACATTAACATATAAGCTTTTAACAAACTAAAACATGCCTGAATTTTCACCTATAGGATGCTCAAACGAACTATTTTTTCTCTGCTTGTACGAAGTTTCATTGCTGCAATAAAAACATGCCTATTGTGTTATTTAGGCTGTTGCAAAGCCATCGTCATGTGTCTACTGGGATTTTAAAGCGTCAGGTTTGTGTTTTAGTTGAAATATTGACAGTTTCCCAAGCGGTTCATCTAAAAATGTTCTTGTACTTTTGCCGTGAGAAAAAAGGAAAAAGACACGAGCAAAATTAATAGATGAAGCAATTTTTTCCAAACAATTTGTTCGTGTTGACGAATGTGTTGTGAACAACGACAAAAGTTTACTTCGACATCATTCAAAAAATTTTGCCAATCATCGATGGGCAATCTTTGCTTTCTTTCTTATGCGTAATATTCTTATACGTTTTTCAGCTGGGAAAGGAAATTGGTCAAACAAAGGCTGCAAGTTGAAGAGAATTTATGGCAATACCATTGAATGCGTTTGTGATCACATGACAAATTTTGCTGTGTTAATGGTAAATAATGCATGCCATCTAAACCTCACTTTATCATCGCGTTGTTTTTGGTTATGTGTTCTTTCATGATGAAAGGACTTTTTGTGTCTTATTACTTTAAAATCATTCTTGTAGGATGTTCACTCCGATACTTCAAAGTCTTGTGGTGTCCATGGCGACATATTGCAACTTCTCAGTTATTTGGGCTGTGGTCTATCAATTCTTGGCCTCACTTTAACGATATTTACGTATTCGTTTTTCAGGTAAACTCTCATAAATCTGGATAATTAAAGTGTACACATACACATTGTATATCTGCAATGATCAACTTTGATCATACGTTGGAGCAACTTTGTTGTAATGCAGCATTGTAAAATTTGCTATGATGTGTTGTTGCCTTCATTCAACCATTGTAAATACAACTTAAATTCAACGATGTCGGCAAAACATGCAGCTAGAAATAAAAATTGGCTGCTGTTTCCTCGATCATAATCCTATGCATAGCGCTTTTTTTTCTTTCAGGAGACTTCGTAAAGAACTGGCTGCAAAGATTCTCATTCAACTTTGTGTCGCTTTGTTATGTGTCCTCGTCGTTTTCATTGTTGGTATTGAGCGGTCGCGTGTCGGTCGTTTTGGTTGCTTCATTGTTGCCGGGTTGCTGCATTACTTCATTTTATCAGCGTTTTTGTGGATGTTAATCGAAGCCCGTTTTATGTATTTGGCATTTGTCAAAGTTTGGACACAACATGGTGAACACGAGTTGCTGAAATGCTCTTTTATTGCTTGGGGTTAGTACCAATGGGGAGGTTTTCGTTTCGCTGCACACCCACAAAAGACGCAACCAGTTTTCATTATAGGAAAAAAATTTTATAGGGTTCCTAGTTGCTACCAGTAGCGAAACTGGTTCGAATTTTCACACTTCCTTAGTATGGAAGTTGATGCATTGTTTAGGGTTCCTAGTTGCTACCAGTGGCGAAAGTGGTTCGAATTTTCACACTTCCTTAGTATGAAAGTTGATGCATTGTTTAGGGTTCCTAGTTGCTACCAGTGACGAAACTGGTTCGAATTTTCACACTTCCTTAGTATGGAAGTTGATGCATTGTTTAGGGTTCCTAGTTGCTAGCAGTGACTAAACTGGTTCGAATTTTCGCACTTCCTAAGTATGGAAGTTGATGCATTGTTTTTTAAGTGAACGGCCGTTAAAAAGCAGAGTCATTCAATGGCATTTTTTGTCCAATAGAAATGCTAAGCTGGCTAAATGCAACCAGTTATCTAATTAATTGTACAACATCGGTTCGCACAGCAAAGTAATATTTCTATTTCTTTCTGATACAGTGGCTGCTGCTTTCTGAAACCTCGTTTTAGCAACTGTTAACAAACTTTTCATTAACAGCAGGAAAGAGTTCTACAGTTATACATGAATTTTGCAAACTATCTTGCCTCAAGTATCTAACATTTTTATATACCTTATAATGGTCTGAATTTATTTTGTCATTAGGTTCTCCTGCTATTGTTGTTGGAATAACTATGGCCGTGGATTTAAATAGTTATGGCAGCGGTCATTAGTAAGTTTGGTGTTAATTTAAATTGAATTCAAACTTTTCGCATTATGAATTAGAAAAAAAATCTACGTGTTTTTCCGTTAGTTCTTGGACAATAATGTCAAAGTATTTTTAATTTTTTTTTCAATTCAGTTGTCTCGTCAAAGGTATTCCATTTTTTGCGTCCTTTTTTGCACCGGTCATCTGCATCATTTTCCTCAATCTGATCGTGTTTGGCATTATAATGCAAAAGCTTAGCTCGAGACCGGAAAGTTCTCTGGGTAGAGATCGCAATACTATGAGACCACGTATGAAGCAAGCTATCGGTATATTGATCTTGGTTGGTGTGACATGGTCCTTCGGTGCTCTTTCCGTGAGCAGTGTTCGTCTTTTCTTTGCATATCTTTTTGTGTTCTTCAATTCCATTCAAGGATTTTGTATTTTTATATTCTACTGCTTGAGTCAAAAAAACGTTCGTGATTGCTGGAAGGCTCTACTGACCTGCCAATTGCATAAGTTATATAAAGATAAATCCTTTCATACGAATACTTTTGATAGACGCCGGAACTCTACCCTCAGTACTACTCAAAATACTTTGAGTCTTGCTAGAAAGAAGACTACATCGTCCTCATCAATGGTAAGTAAAGTTTTTGTTTGTACTATCAACTATAGTCGCATTACAATACACTGAATATCAATTGAAGTGGCGAATTCCTGACGTATGTCTACTCTACCTCAAGCATTTTGGACTTCCTCAGTCAGCTATAAAAACATCTCAACAAACTTGTTGTAATTCCACCCAATAAGTTATTCTTAAATTTGTCACATTTTTTTATCCATTTTACCATCATGTAGCTACATATTAGTTGCTCGATGTAATGTAAATTTTCGCTGAAACATGTATTGATCATTTGAAACACCGACATGCAAAACACTGTCATTGCAAGTATAGTCCTACGATTGTACATGGGTGAACCTACATGATCCTTTATTTCAGGCATATCCCATCCATTCTATGGACACGCTCACTCGAAATTTCACTTCGTTCAACTGTGTCAGCAGCAATTCATTGACTGGTAGTAAAGATGGAATGAAACCTAACAACCTTAATAACTTCAAAGAGAAAGATTGTAATCTTCATAACGGCATGAACAATAAGAGCAATATCTGGAAGCGTGTATCCAACGCTGTTTTGGCAGATGAAAGTGAAAAGATGAAATTTAGTAATTCAAACCCAACATTGACGCGGACAAACTCTTCTCAAACCCTATGGTCCAATGACAGTTATGAGAACGACAACTCGTATGACATGGTTGCGTGCTCTGACGGGTCGCTTGTGAGCCTGCACTCTTTGGCGGAGAGTCAAGCATCGGATAATTATGGCTTTTACAGTTTAGTCGATACAAAAGACAGTTGTAACAGTTCTATGAACGGTGACTCCGCTCCTGGCACACCACGAACAGAAAGGCGACCTGAACCAATTTCACTTGCTAAAAATAATCATCTTAGTGTTCCATCCCCAACCAAAAAACATTACATATCTGCCTTGCCGCAGGAGTGTGATCCATCATCAATCCCAGACGACTTTGGTAAGCTTGTGTTTATTAGCTATTTAAAATTTCATTCGTCGACTTTCAGTACATTTGACAACTAGTAGCAACTATTATCAACAGATAATGTTTGAAAGACCTCGTTGAAAAATGTATATACTATATGTTAACATTACAGGAAAACTGATTATTAACCCTTCCCGTGGTTCAGTGCGAGGTGTACGAGGTGTTGTAGAGACGTCAGTGGACACATACGCTGAAGATTCGAACGTTCCATTAACGCCGCAGGCAAGTCGATTGGCTGAAGATGTGAACAACGAGCAACAAAGCAAGTACGGTTCCAATGATTGCATTGCATCACCGATGTATTTTGCTCAGAATGGCCGAACAATATCAAAAGATCGGAGCTCATCCGGGAATGGAACAGTGATTGGTGACGTGTGTTTGTAGGTAGGTAACGTTTTTTTAGAAAAATTTAATGACATGCGTTTTCTCTTGCAAACCCTAGGTATTAGAGTAAATTCAATACAGGTTACTCACCTTTAAGATTTCATAATAAATGTTCACAGACTTGTATAGTAGCTGGTATTTGTTTGAAAAGTGGACAAAAATTTGTAAGATCTATGCCATATATGTATTGAACTCGAATTATAAGACTATGTTTCTTAAGGTGGAGCAAGTCAAACACGAAATGTAAAAAAATATTAAACTTTCATGGGAATGAACCGTAAACGGTATTTGCACTGCACCATTTCTACTGGCGATTAGAACACAATCGAATGTAGAGCGTTGACTACAGAGCTGAGTCAGACAATACTATGCATGGCACGGTGAATCTATCCTACGTAGTCCTACAAGATGTCAATACATCGCAATTAATGGAACTACAAAAGATACTCATTTATTGCCGTTGGGTGTTTGGTATTTAATTGATTTTTGTTTGGTGGTTAAAAAGTAAAAATACTTATAAGATGATATACTTCGTAGTCCATGACTGGGGAAAAGATGGATCATGTACATCAATGAAGCATTGTTTATATATGAACGTGAGAAAGTAAAGATTTAAAATCTCAATAAAAGATTTTTGACAAAGATTGTCACACAAAATGTACATTTCCATCATTTTCGCAGTCAGTCATTTTAAATGTTTTCATGTCTTTAAAATAAATTTGATGTTTTTCTGCTGGACAGAGAAATTATTATTGAACTACTATTCACATACGTAGTTGAGTACTTTAAGCTAAGACGTGCTTAAGATAAAGCTATTAAATTAATCTATTTTACGACGTGTCAGCTGCCTCTTCACTTTCAATGGATAGGGCGACGATGCAACAATTTAAATGTGCAGGGTCTTTGGAAGCCTTTAAAAGTTGTGGATTTTTCCTACTCAACTTGTGATCATGTACAAAAGTTTAATAAGTAGTGTGACTACTTCATGTTAGTTATTTTTAATCGGTTTTCTACTTTTACTTGCATCATGTCATAGTGAAATGATGATATAGAAATGGTGAAATGTGAAATGAATTGCGAAATGGTGAAATTGATTTAAAAGATTTGCACACCTGTAAAGTGTATGTCTCATGGTTAGATGGTTTATGTCTCTATTGTTAGGTGGTTTATGTGTCTATGGTTAGATGGTTTATGTCTCAATGGTTAGATGGTGTATATCTCAATGGTTAGATGGTTTTGTCTCAATGGTTAGATGGTTTATGTCTCAATGGTTAGATGGTTTATGTCTCAATGGTTAGCTGGTTTATGTCTCAATGGTTAGATGGTTTATGTCTCAATGGTTAGATGGCTTATGTCTCAATAGTTAGATGGTTTGTGTCTTGATGGTTGGGTGCAGGTTCCCAATCTTGGCAAAAGCAAGCAAAGCAAAAACTTGTCGTACTATTTCTTTTCAAAACATATATTTACGTCGTGTTAAGTGAAACTCTTTGACAATCTTTGTATCTTACAAAGTATCCCTGTTTTGGCGCCGCAGTAAAATATCTCTTGCCCATGAACGATCCATCTGTTCCGAGTTTATCCTGCTTCATCAACTCAATTCCTGCGATAAGGTTGTCTTTTCTCTTTGCCAATGTTGGTAAGTATCCTCTCCACTTTAGTACACCTTTAAGACTTCTTGATTTTCCTCGTACATTGCAGACGACCGTCGTTCCAAGAGCAGCTTCTTTGCCTTTTTGCTCAGGAGTGGTTTTCAATGGAGGCTTTAAAGTTGTTGACTGCAATTTTACTCCTTTGTGCGACGCTTGCTCTTTCTTTTCACCAACACTTGCTGTGCGATCTTTTCTTTCTTCATCCTTTGTGGCTGAATGTCTCGCGGCAACATTTACTTTAATTCCTTGACTGAAATAAAGTCAAAGTATTTGTGATGCACTAAATAAACTACTTTAAAAAGTTCTTTCAGAAACCTGTCCAAAACAGGCTTTTACATCGTTCGTTATGTGAAGAGGGAAGTACGTATACAAGTTTGTGAATAAAATTCATACATACAGCTCATGGTACAGCTCATGATTAGAAAAACTCTAAATGTGTAAGATTTTTATGTTCTTAGGTTGAGAACACCGTTTTTTAAGCATACCACTATAGCCCTCTCAAGTCTTGCAATCTGATTTCATTGCGGGAGGAATAGATTTCATACTTTAGTTTACATTTATTTCCCCCCTGTATCTTACAATATCTCTTCGTCTATTTTTGACACTACGCTTTCTATGTTTGTAAATGTCGATCGTCCAGGTTGGTATAGTCCTGAGAAGGACTGTTTTTGTTGTTGTTGACTGACGTTTCGACAACCTTAGCGGTAGTCATCTTCAGAGTCAAAAGATTTTATAGTATGAAGAATGCAAAACTTGCCTTAGTCTCTCATCGTGTACATTTGAAGTCTTTTTTGAAAAATCGGGTGCTGTGTCATCAGGGAAAACATCATCTCCTTCACGTGATCTCCTTTCCGCCATTGACCATTGCCGCCGACCACCTTCCCTCGGATCGTTGTAGGACAACTGCAGATTGTAATATAGTGAATGTAATAATAGGTAGCAATAATATAGTTTCATTTAATACGAGATATTATTTGTTGGTTTTCACTCGCTTTGGATAATTCTACGTAAGTTATTCGCACACCCAATGAGACTGCCATACTTAAAATTGAGTCTTATCTTTACGGTTGACAATGCCCATCATGTTTTCCTCAAAATATTTTAGGTAACCAAGGATGAATTGAAGTGATTCTAAATGCTTGGATTACAGAAACTCAAACAGGAAGTATGTAATAACAGCAGAATTTTCTGCAAGGTTGTAGAATTTTCATGTAGTATAAGATAAAGTTCGCTGGACTCAAAATGAAGTTCTCAATTCTGTCTTACAAGTTTACGAAATGGTTTAAACACTGAGAGTATGATCTTTTATTCGGCGAGGAAATTTATTTTCCCGTCGAACCAACCTACTTACTCCTGTAGATTGTTCTCCTTCAAAATCTTCTTGAGACGGTTTCAAGTGGAAGTCAAGAATAGTTACTTTTTCCTGCTCGACTTCGACCACTTTTCTCTGCGGCTTATAACCGTCTATGCTTGCTTGGATTTCATAGGAGCCTGGTACGAGCAGCCTCCAATAGTCACCATCGTCAGCCGTGGTAACCGGATGCTGACGATCAGACACCATAATATTTGCTGCCTTTAAAGGTTTTCCTTTGACATCTTTGACAAAACCTTTTACACCTGTGTGTACCTGTTTATATAATAAAGGCGTTCATTCTGGCTTCTCAAGAAAACTGTTCAGTTGCGTGTTATAAAAATTTCCAAATAGCACAACGAAATTCTCGGTAATGGTATCTCACACTTGGCAAAATATTATGTCAATCACTTCTCATTTTACTTCCTATTAGATACATGCATTAACGTGTGAAACGATCCAATAAAAAGATTTTCATTGGTTCGAGGACTTCCATATGTGATTTGGGTAATCTTGCAAAATGACAGGAAAAACACATTTTTACTTGGGCTTAACTTCGGTAGCCGGAGTAAAGAGGAGTAATTTTGTACAAAAATTCTTACGTATAATCACATGTTATCTTTCGACGTTTTGATGTTGCATGCATAAAAATTTTCTTGTTTATAGAGTTCAACAATATCACCTTGTTCCGACGTCTAGCATATAATTACTATAGTCAGTATTTGCAGAAATGCAATTGAACAATTTAAAGCAGTTCATAAAACATATAACATTTTACCTGGTTAACAAAGTTGATAAGAGATTTTTTGTTTTCGTTCCAATAAGATTGAATCTTTGATGCATTAGGAAATTTATCGCAGCCAATTTGGATTGTGACTTCAAAACAGTTCGATTTCACGTAGTTGTAATCTTGCATTCCTCCAGGTTCACTAAACCACTTAGCACCATTCGTTACACCGTCAATGAAATGCTGACCTCGGTGGGTGCAGTTCAGTTTTGGATTAGCTAAATGCATTGTGGGATGGTTGACGGAATATGCTCTTGCAATATGTCTGAAAACGTCGTCATCCGGAGTGGCACTGTATACATTTTGCCCAGAAGGTGAATCATCATACGGATAAGATACGACTAATGAACCTCCGTGCAGGCTGCCAGAAAGCACAAAGGAATATGATTTTATCCATTCTACAATTGCCTCAGTTTCTGGTTGTGAAGGTGTAGTCGTTGGGAAGAACTGATCTGGAAAGTTCCAGTTCAAATCTATACCGTGGGCATTTGTGTGTCCAATACCTTCATGCTGAAGCCCCTTGCTTCTTGCCATTGCATAGCCATCTGGATTGAGACTTGGTAGAATGTGAATTCTTGTCGTATCAACAAGTTTCGTTAATTCTGAATCTTTATCGTACTCTTCACACATAAGTTTAATAAATTGAAGTAACACCTCTTTACTAATCGCTTCCTCTCCGTGAATTCCACCGATTAACTTTACTTCTGGTTCGCCTGGATCATGTTTCCCGGCATTACCTGAAATTTCAAACACCCATAACTTCCTGTTTTGCACTGATTCCCCAATGCTGTACAGCCTTGAAATGTTTGAATACTTTGTGGAAAAATATTTCATGAACCATAGCATCTCTTCATAGTTGTGATGCTTAAATACATTAACGTCCAATAATTTCGAAACTACTTCCACATCACTTTTTATCGAAAGCTTCTGCGTGCCTCCTTTTTTCAAAGCCTTTGCATTTGTTGATACGATACTAAGAAAGAAAACAACAAGTGAAAATGTCTCAGTATAAGACATCTGTCGAAATGCTTTTTTCTAAAAGTACTATTCTCTCTTTGTGTATGCTCAAGTTTCTTTTGTGTCGCTCATACTCGACATATAGATGCAATTTGCTTGATACAATACTGTCATTTCTGAATATAATCGCATACAATCAATTATTAATCACATGCATCATTTTGACGTAACTCACGCCGCAATTTTATTGATTTCCCTTTTCTTGTGAAGAATTTTCGATATTATTCATGTAAATGTATTGTGTTTAAACGTTAATTTCAATTACTTTTAAAGTTTTTGTTGACACTAATTCGAGTCTTTTAATTATTTAAATATTCAATCCAATAAAAAAGCGAGAATAACTAGAGCAATGAAAATTTCACTGAACATTGCAACAGGTATCATGTTTTACCTGCATCAGTTCTGGGCAAAAAATCAAACTTCAAAACAACTTCAACTTTATTCTGTCAATTTTCTGAATGAATAGATAAAGAATCATGTCATATGGATGGGTAAAAAGTCTTAATAGAAATTTCTTGATCTTTAAGCCTTTTCTGTTTTTTAGTCGCTTCATTTAGTCTACCAATGAAAAGTTTGTTACAGTAAAAAATGTATAGGATATTTTGCAAGTGCTCGGAAATAAGAAAATATCATAAAGTAAAGACTATCAATGATAATCTGACATAATTGAAGGAATTGTGTCAAATAGTTTAATTTTTTAACTCACACTTGACAACAATGAAAAACCTGCAAACTTTTAGGTGCGGTCCTTCTGCCGAATATAGCATTGGCCTAACAGCCACATGCAGTTTGTCAAAGAAAATGATGCCTAAAATCCTAGTTTGGCGAACGAAATATAGCATGGACTCAAATTAACGAAAGTTTTGTCTATGTTAAAAAGGCAAATTCTGCTAAAGATGGTGTTTTTACAATATTTTATGGTCTTGGCAATTGCTCCATTAATAGCGGTGGGATATGGTCGACAATTCAATTCACAGCCCCTTCAGCAAAAGACTTTTCCAAGTGTGAAAGATTTGCTTAAAACAAAGGAGGTAATATGATTTTGTCAATAATTATACTTGTAAGTGGTTTGTATGCATGTTAAAATACGACACTCGTAAAAACAGTTATTCATTTGATATTTAACAAAAGGTCAATTCAATGAAAATTGTGCTTTGTGTATAACAATTTAGCAATGGCAACTATAACATCAAAATGTCTTTTTTATTTCATATATATTTAACTCTTCATTTTTTTATTTGTGATTGGTCTTAGCAAACGAATATTTGATCTTTTCTTTTTCCACAACTTATCCTTTCGTGACATCTCTCGTAAGATGACATGTAGATGACTTGTAGATGACAAGTAATTTGCAAAAAAATTCGATTCATTAGGTCCAGAGACACGGTAGTCGAGTTGAGCACCACACAAAACCAAATGGTGAAATTAAGGAGAACGATTTCACGCATCACAATTACGAAGAGTTAACGTGGTTCTTAAAAGGTGTCAACAAAGACTTTCCTCACTTAACTCGTTTGTACACGGTCGGACTATCCTCTCAAAACAGACAACTATGGGTTATGGAGATATCCACAAAACCAGGAACACATCAACCAGGCATTCCGGAAGTGAAATACATTGCAAACATTCACGGCAACGAAGTAGCTGGACGAGAAATTTTGCTACACTTCATACGATATCTTTGTCAAAACTATAAAGTAAACGAGAGAGTAACTAGACTGATTGAAAACACTCGCGTTCATATCATGCCAAGTATGAATCCAGATGGATATGAGCTGGCTGCAACGAGACGAAACTTTTCGAAGATTTTAGGCCGAAAAAACTCATTTGGTATCGATCTTAATAGAAATTTTCCGGACCAGTTTTTCCAGGGTGAGACAGTTCCTCTACAACCAGAGACAAAGGCTGTTGCTAAATGGATTCATTCCATTCCATTTGTACTCTCAGCAAATTTTCACGGAGGCTCCCTCGTGGCAAACTACCCTTTTGATGACAGTCCTTCGGGTCAAAGCTCCTACAGTGCAACTCCTGATGACGACATCTTCCGACAACTAGCCCGAGCGTATTCAGAAGCTCATCCTACTATGCATTTAGCAAACCCACCATGGCCTTGCAAAGAGCCTCGAGAACGATTTATTGATGGCATAACAAATGGTGCAGCGTGGTACAGTATATCTGGTGGCATGCAGGATTACAATTATGTCCATACAAATTGTTTTGAAATAACTTTGGAGATTGGATGTGAAAAGTTCCCAAATGCTACTGAATTGCCTAATATTTGGGAGGATAACAAAAATTCTCTGATGACTTATCTCGAGCAAGTAATTATATTTTGCCTTTATTGCCTACACTCTTGAAAATAAGAAAAAACCAATCATTAACCGATCTAAGATGTGCGTTATTTTTACTACAGGCTAATAAAGGAATCTCTGGCTTTGTCACTGATGAAGACGGGAAAGGTATTAGCGGAGCAAGGATATCTGTATCCAACAGACGTCATGATGTATTTTCGACAAAAGATGGAGATTATTGGCGTTTACTTGTCCCTGGAGCATATGACGTCACGGCTACGTCAGTCGCTCATGAACCGGAAACAAAATCTATTATCGTGGACACTGGTGATGCCACTAAAGTTAACTTCAAGCTGAAAAAGCTAACTTTATTGAAATCCTTGCACCATCAAGGTTCAGAAGAAGAGGCGTTTAATTTGTATCAAATGCAAAGGCAAGCAAATGATGAGCTGATGATGGCATCTGAGCCAACAGGAAATACTGTGCGACAAATTATAGATGGACCTAATAATGAACTTAATATACGTGGTCAAAATATCGAGAGATCATTTATGTTCGATTCAGATAGATATAAACGTTCTTTCTCAAACTATGCTCTTCCTCAACGGCAGTTCACTCCGGTAATGAGTCAAACGTATTATTCAGACCAATTTAGTCGAGCAAACAAACAAGACAGGCCAAGATAATGAGACACAGGACATACCCTCGCATATGTAGTTTTGTTAACATTATCAAACTGATAAATTTCTTAACCTTTTACTTGCTATGATTTGTTCATAAAACTTGGACTTTCGTCAGAATGTTAGCAGTCATTATTGCTCAATTGATATAGTTATTTTCATTTGTAGTTCTAATTTGGAAAAAATCTTTTAGTGCAGACTAGGCGGCAACGTTGAAGCTTCCATACATATACTGAGCGTACGCATGCAAGAAAATTTCAAAAAATGTGAGAATTTGAAACTCTGTAAGTTAAATGAGTATAAAACATCCAGAGAATCAGATGCTTTATGAAGTAGGTATTTATTTAATGTATAATTGGACATATTTTGCTTGTCGTTATTTGTATTTACCCAAGATCATCATGACAAATTTCAGAGTTAATTCCACCAACACTTCAGTGTGCACATGGATTATTTTCATTAACACAAAATTCCCTCAACGCAAACAAAACCCATCAGCTTTGTGCAATACGTAACTTATCTATTTCTTGATATTTTCAATCTTTATGGATCGTGGCTCTCATAAATGATAAGTAACTCTGATTGAAATTACTTTGTTGGCAATAAGGTATTAGTTTGCTTGTTGTACTTTATATCTCGATTGATGTTAATCTTGTGTATCTATTCATTCGTCAACAAAAAGTTTTTCATACAGAAAATAACTTTCTCCTTAAATCGGTTTGTCATTTCAAAAACGGTATACTATTAAACTACTAAACAATTATTTGATGAAGTGTCCGCGATGTAATTGCCGAATCATTAAAGCGACTTTGATATAATTGTTTTATAACTACATTCCGATTCAACAAACACAGCTCTACAAGTATTTAACTAAGGTTTAATATTGTCCTATGCATGAAGGCTATATGTCCTAACTCAACACTCATATTGTATACATACCTATTTACAGATATTTATATTAAGAAAAATCGATGAAACAGAATGGGAAAATTACATCTTGGGAAATATCTCGCAAACACAAGTCAGTGTTGAATGAAAAGTTATATATATTTCAGCAATATGCCAATATCTGCATGAATTAAATGTTAGCTAAAAATCCACACTGAATTTTTTTTCTTAGAAGTAGGTCGAACGCTATTCAGAAATGGGAGACGGGTAATGATGATTTTCAGGATTTAAAAGGCAGGTCTCAGTATACGTTTTAATGTATACAAGTTAACTACTCAAATTAAACACTGTCGAAAGTTTTTGAGAAATTTTTGTTATGATATGTGCGGTGTAGCACTGAATTTTAAAGGTAAATGTGCACTTTGTCTAGACATTAAAGACTACCTGAAGAAAATGCAACCAGGTACAATTAAATCTAAATATTAAATCCAAAATATAGCAATAGTTTAGAAACGAAAAGGATTAAAACTTGTGCCTAGCTACATCTACCCATGTTGACATGTGTGAAAAAACGACAAATAGAATTTCCATAGCTACCTACTCTTGAACAAACTCGAACTTTCCTTCTTAGGAAATTGCCCGAACATGGGTATTTTCTACGGAAGCGATAACAACAATTATGTACAAAGGAATTCAAACCAAAATTTGAAACAGGATGAAATCTTTCTCGTCAATGGATCGGAGAATTATGTCAGTGAGGGATTGTCAAAGAGTTTCATGGGGATCTGCTTCAATTTCCTTCAGTCTGAACGAAAGATCAACCATAACTATAAAAAAAAATCAAGTGAAAGTGACGTCGTAGAATTGGGAAGGAAAATAAATGAAGGAAAACAAAAGAAGCTTTTAATCATGAGAGCAACTAACCGAAGAATTCCCTCTGTTTCAAGCTTTAAGTCCAAGGTTATGATCCCAGAGGACAAATTTTACATTTTACAAAGCTTGACTTACAATACAAAATCCAAATTGAGAAATGGGACTGAGCATAGTCGTGAAGTCAAAGGAAAGCGCTCCGCACGTCATAGTAAAAGTCCTACAAATTATCAACAAAATGCCTCGTTCACTGAAAACGCTCAAAAACAAAGCACATGCTCCTCACGTGTGTATGCTTTTCAGAGAGGCTTGGTATCAAATGAAGAGGCCAAAACGTTTGATTCATTCAAACCTAAACATGTCCTCCCTGCAGTCATTGCTGAAAGAATAGGGAGCATTGATCAAAAAAAGTATAGGTTAGTTAACGACAGGCAATTTTTTGTTTTTTATGATGACTCTACGTCAATGGACTGGAAAAAATTGACTTTTTTTTTGAAAACAAAAACAGTTTTCTATAGGGATAGCTTGAATTAAATACCTTTATAACTTTGCTGAGGGGTTAGCCACTTCCAACTCCCCCAAATTTACGTCCCTGTATTTTGCATTCCCTGTTTCTTGCATTTTACATTTTGCACTTTGTAATTTGTATTCTATATTTTGTATTTCGTATTTTTTGTCAACGTTGCTGAAAGTATGTTAGCTTAATCTGGCAATATCAATTATATTTCCAAGAAGTAAAATAGTATCCCTTTCATTTAAAAAACAGATTATCTTTCGAAAGCACAGTTTTTACGTCAAAGGAACGTGATCATGGCACAGCAAACAAATCGTACTGTGATGGATCGGTTACACCAAAGTATCATTCAATTCCCCCATATAAAGAATTTCCAGCGAAAAGTGTAATACCAGCTATTAACGAAAGAAGATACTCTGATTTTTTCAGCTATATTCAATTTCTTTGCAAGGAGAGAAACAAAAGAAAGGAGAGTGCAAATGTTTTAAGGCAACTGAATGATCGTCGATGGCGTGACAAACATGCAGCGAATAATTTATTGAGGAATTTTGGCGGTGGCATTGTGAGTGCAGCTGTAGTTTCAAACAGATTTTTTTCAACCTTATTGTGACTGTGCAATCCTTCATTTTTGCAGCTAGAAGATATTTACAGAGGTATCAAAGGATCAAAAATATCCATAAACGAGCCAGTCCAGTTCAAATTTACACGGGAACTTCTCGGTGAGAGAAAACAGCATTCCATCGATGATAGGCAAGTATTTGGAAAATTGAAGTTTATAAAGAATAATGTGTTGCAGCAAAATAAAAAAATGTACAAAGGTGCAGTTTTTATTCACATACTACCATGTAGCTTGCTCTTTACATTATATTACCGTGATTACGTAGCTTGTTATTTTGGCTTGCTCACTGCTAGCCAAAATTACTAAAAATGCTTTTCTAAATAAATTATGTTGATGTGAAATTCACACACCATGGTTTGAACTTGCGTATTTATCGTTATTGTCTATTCGTTTATTTTAGTTGTCCACAAAAGTTCCATTTAGTACTTCCTGGACGTAATTCCTACAGCAAAAATATGGAATATCTACCATAGTTGTCATAAAGTTTCATTTAAGAAATAAAAGATGTTTACTGTGTTTGCACGGGCTTGTGCAAACCGAAGAGACCTTTGGGAGAACTCGAGAGCAGATCAGTGCAAGCCCAAGACCGAAGGTCGAAGGTTGCACCGGCTTGAGATTTATTTCTTTTATAAAATAAAATAATGCAAAAAAGGCAGAAATTTTAATTTTTCGTCTAAAATATATTCATGATCAATTTACAAATTCTCTTTGACTGATTGATTGTTTTGATTGATTTGATTGGTTGAGCTCAGATGTGTTTTGCACTGGCCAATGCAAACGCAGCTCTAGACCAATCAGCACACGCTTTTCATTGTGTTTATTGTTTTATAAATAAGTTTGGAATATAAAGCTGCAGCACACATTAACCAGTTGGATTTCATGCAGATCATAGCTACTTGAGTTTATTAAGTCTTATGGAAAATTGAATAGCTTTTTCCAAATTTATAAACGCGTTAAAGGAGAAGCCGAATGGTAATTTAAGATTAGTTGATTTTCAAATAATTCAGTTGAACAGTTTATTCGAATGATTAGGAGTTATTTGAATCGATAGCAAAGAAATTTTATTGATCGCATCGTCGCTGGTTCAAGCTGTGCCACGTTTCATTTTTAATTATTCTATTCATTTCATATTTGTATACATCAGTGGTGTAGCAATAAGACTTAGATACTTTTTGTCAATTGATTTCAAGTCTGACCGGTAGTCATTTAACAAATACGGAGAGTGTGGCTGGTATTGAAAGTGTGAAATTTGAAACTTATTTTGTGCCAATCAATCGATCGATTGATCTACATACGTTTCAGAGTCAGAGGGAAAAAATTGGGTATTCCTTCCCCCCCCCCAATAGTGTACACAACTGCATTAATTATACAGTCACAGACTCGACACAGTCGAATTGCAGATACGAAATTTTTTCACAGTAATTCTTTTACGACAAAAAAGAACTGCGCCGATAAGAGAAGCTTAACAACAAATTTGGGAAAGAGCAGCGACTGATGGAATTTTGACATATTTTGGAAGCATACTTGGGATTTTTGAAAAATTACAGTCAAGCACAAAATGTTGTGTAAATGTCCTGAAAAATTATATTACGTTGTATAGCGGTCAACATCAAAGCTGTTTTTTGCCATTTCGATAGAACTCAAAACAACATACAAATATTTCAAGTCAATCAAGTTATATTAGACACCAGACAGTGAAGGAATTATTTGAAGAACGACAGAGGCAGTTTAGTCCGTGATCTGTGCCTCAAAAATATGCTTTAAAAATGAGTTTCGTTGGACACCTCAAGGAAGGTCGCAAAATTTTCAAAATAGATAGAAAGTCACTTGCTGTTTGATATTCTTTTTATTGTCACTTCTAAAAAGCTGCAGTTTTTTAGTATTTCGCGGTTGAATTTCAAAATTCCTCGCTCCTTCAATTTTGAATGTCGCCATTTTTTTGGTGCGGAACTCTTTGATCTAACTGCCGTTGTCATGGTGAGGCAAATTTATTAACGGGCGCCATCTTGAAAGGTGGCAAAAAGGCGAGACTCTTAATAAAGTCCAAGTAAAATGTAAGTTTTAAATGAAGAATTCTATCGAAAATTTTGGAAGCAAACCTAAACTGTCACCTTTGCACTTATGTACCAACATAGGAGAAGCCTGTTTTAGACCTAAATCTTGTCAGTTTTAAGAACTCATGGTTAAATCGTGCGCAACTTCACTTTTCGAAGGATAGCAACGCATCTTTCCATAAATTTTTCCTTAAACACTAAAGCTTGGTAAGAAATTGATCATTACCACTAAACAATTTTTTATTAATAAGCTTTTAAAGAGGCACATCATTATGCAAAGGCCTAAGATAAATGTAAAAATTGTAGAACAAACATTTGCAGCTTACAGCTATGTTAAAGATTCCATAAAGTACATGCTTTTCTGATTAACCTGCTTTAAGTGATGCAAGAGCAAAAATAAAGTTTTAAAAGTATTGCTATCAGGCTATTAGACTCACTAAACACAAGAATTACTTTGATTCAATGTTTTGACCACACTTTCTACAAGGTCACTCCACATAGGATAAGTGAAGTCCATTCTTTACTTTGGAAGAGTAGAACTCTAAAATTTCTCTTTTTAAATATAGAAGGACAACATTTTTTTGGTTTTGTAGAACCTACACTAAGCATTAAAGTGCTTGCTCACTTACTTCTAACAGAGGATCTTGTCTCCATTACATACCAATGTCCCAAAACCATCTTTAGTTGCTGTTTCCATGCATTGATTATATAAAGAATGACTTCAAAAATAATTCAGATATTCTTTATTTTAAATCAACATTATAAACTTTTATCAAAGGACAACAGAGTAAATTAGTAAATTAGTATGTATAGATCAGAATCATAACTACATTTCTTGTTGAGAAATATATATACAGGATCACTTTTTCAATCAATGTGCCAGAACTCTTTCACTCTCCTTTTCATGGTATGACAAAGACAACTTTTATCTATGAAAGTCCTCGATAATCAAATTTACAATAAAACAAGTTTCAACCCAAGCAAAAAACCCCAGCTTTCTGGCTTCTGAAATGGCTCACTGAAAATATTCTTTCTTGAATTGTAAAACATGATCTTGAGCATAAAGCCTAACTGAAGATTAACAATCATCACAACCTATGAAAGAGATTGTTGAAAAATACAAAAGTTTACCACTTCTGACATATTGTAAACAAATAGTAGCTAAGTTTGTTCTAAGAATCATATAATGTTGAGTTCTAGCTTGGTGTTTTGAGATTTTATGCTTCTTAACTGAGATTTTAACTTCTTTTGCAAAATACCTCTCAGTTGTATACAGAATGCAATAAGAATGACTTTAGCAATATTTACACTAACTCTTGATTAGCAATGGAAGTTTATGGAACTTACATTTTGTACCAAGCCGCGCTTTGGCCTTTCTGTTTACAACCACAAATGGATATTACTCCTCCGGATGAAAATGGGTGGCAAACGAGTGACGGAAACTGCAAGTCTGAAATCGTATGGATGACCATTCCCAGCGCCGAATTCCCTACTTGATAACGTTCATTGTGGTTGTAAGACTGGCTGCAACGTGGCTGTAACTCCCAACGTTGTTCATGTAACAAAGCCGGAGTGAAGTACACAGATGTATGGTCGTGTACTGCATGCACGAATGTAGATATTGATGACGACAATGATGTTTAGGAAGAGGAGTTTTTAGATGATGACATTGACGACGAATTCGAGACAGACCTTTAAAAAAAGCGCGCCTTGTCTTGCACAATACGATTATAACTTTCAAAATATTATCTTCGCAACAATTGCTAAAATCCAACCTAATGCACGAGTGAAATATGTATTTCTTTCAGCCATTTTATTTATGTTGCCAGTATTATCGTGCGGAATAGCTCTCTATTAGGTCTGGCACTAGCACACAAAATATAAATAACATGAAGTTTCCTGTGGGAAATGTCGGATTCCGAAATTGTAATGAGCTACAAATTTTAAAATTTTAATGTAATATAGCAATAAAACTGCAGCTTTTTGGAGATGACAAGAAGTAAAACTGCGTTAAGCATGTAAAAGTCGTTCTGTCTTGAATTTTTTACGACCTTCCTTGAGGTGTCCAACGGGAATGAAAGAAAATCGGCCACAGATCAGGGACTAGTTTTCAAAGACTCTTTAACAGTGGCCATTTAAAAAAATAAGTCTGTGTTTTTTACGACAAAATTGTTCCTAATTCCGAAGTTATGGTCATTGTTTGTACATGTAACCATTTATGTCTCCATACTTGTTAAGTCCTGTTTCTCTATCGTGAGACTTTAGTGTAAGATAATAAAATCTCAAATATTGCAACTACTTTACATAATTGTTATGCGAATGAAGGAAGCGAACAAGTGCACAATCTTTATATTAGTCAGACTGCTTGACGTCCATATGAGGCAAATATTGATTACACTGATAATGGAAGGTTATGTGTGCAAGAAAGGATAAAATGTATTGATCATTGTCATATGGTAACAGAGACGAAGCTCTTGTAAAAAATGTAACAGGTCTTCATTACCAGGCTACCAGCTCCCCCTAATTTAATGAAGTGACAAAAGTTGGCTTGCCGTAAAATTATACGAAGTATTTGCTACAAATTATTTCGCTCTTTAGTTAAGTAATACATGGTTTGAATTCGTCAATGATAATTTAAGATAAGTTACAATCTTATAGTAAAGATGACTGACGCTAAGGTTGTCGAAAAGTCAGTCTACATCAATACCAACAGTCCTTCTCAAGACTCTACTAACGTGGACGATATGCATCCAAACATGTTACAATGTTATGCACTTTTACAAATTGACCAATATTTTTCGAAACAATTACCTGTTAATCCATTTATATAGGTTAATGATTAAACGAACAAGAATCAATAAAAAACAATTAACAACTCTTGTTTACAAAACCAAATTTGTGCTGACGTGTTAGTACTATAATATTGTCTGTTCCGAACACAAAGATGTGTATAAGAAAATATGAACGTACAGAAAGTTACGAAGCATGTCACTTAATACTCCATGAAAACGAAAAGCAAAAAGAGACAGGATGTATATACAAATGAAAGAAAATAACTTCTCGGCATGATCGGCGGCTATTTGAATAGAAAAACAAACATAGCTGCAAATTATTTGGCTTATGCGAAAAATTTGATGTTAAGTCTAAGCATTCTAAGTGTGATGTATGTACAACTTAGGTATGCAAAGTTCACCTTCATGATTTCATGAGACAACATTATAAATGTTGATTCGAACTCCATAATAAAATAAGTACAGACATGTTATGAAATTGTCATGTGACCTAAGCCAGATTTAACCATACAATGATGATGCAGAAACTCTCAAGCAACTCAACTTCCTTGGTTGATATCGATTTTTTCACATCGTTTCACATCATACAAAGAATTATTTAATATATTCTTGGATTCAATTGGAATAAAACTATACAATTCTTTCAAATATATATACTCTCTCGCACACACAACGTGCACACATTCAAACACCTTAATTGTAATTATTTATACAGATTGTGAAAATTGCAAATTGTACCTAGAGATCGTGGCATTTTTACATCCAATTATCATAAATCAATTGTCGTGTCGCTTCATATGCAGCGATAAATGATCTGACCTAGAAAAACTTCGACTACACGTCGGACATTGAAATGGTTTAACTCCAGTATGCTTTCTATAGTGTCTAGTTAGTTCATCGGAACGTGCAAAACGCCAAGCACAACCTTTCCAATTACATTGGTACGGTTTTTCCCCCGTATGTGTCCTCAAATGTGCTTTGAGATGAGAACTTTTAGTGTAAGATTTATTACAACCTTCGTAGGTACACGAGTGAGTTCTGGCCAAGGCCTTTTTGCGTCCTGTTCCTCGTGCACTCACATCAGCGAGTTTTAACTCAGCGTGATTTTTATTGTCTTGAGGATCAGCTAAAGTTGCAGTGATAACCAGAGGTAGACCGGCTGGCAAGTTTGGCATCACTTTGCGAGATGAATTATTAATTGTTGAAGCTTTGCTTTCATTCTTTTTGGGTCTTTCGATCTTTTTATAACTGATAGCTGCATTGGCAATGCCAAAGTGCAGGGAAATATCATCGCTGTCTGAATCAGAAGAACAAGCTGCACTATCTCCTCGAAAGCTTGACCTGATAGCCTGCACAGCCAATACTGGTTCGTCTGTCACCGAGCTGCTTTCCGAATCCGCATCTGAATTTGAATTCAGAGAGCAAGCACTGCCCCAAAGATCGTAAGGTAGAGTGTCATCGCGGTATTTCTCAATAAGATCATCCGAATAGAAGTAATGGTCTTCCCACATTAAATACTCTCGTGCTATTGTAGACGCTTCAATTTCCTCGAGCTTCGTATCATACTGGAATATTCTATCTTGAATTTCAGCATCTTCAAGCAGCTACAAATGTTTGAAAATACTTATATTAAATGATGTAAAGCAATCAACTAGTAAAAGACAAAACTAGTTTCTTTCATTCAATATAATGAACATTTATTATATTTGACAAGTTGGTAGATTAAACAGAACTTCTCAAATAGAATTGCAGTTAAGGTCAGAAGGTTTTTGCATGCATTTGTACATCTACGCTTACCTGTTTTATCCTTCCTTCAGGGCTTTCGTGCCGCAGTTTCCCCCTCCTCACATTCAAAGTAACAGTAGAAAGCAGAGGATCCATCACCGACAACGCTACAGCCTCCGAACTGTTACAAACAAGTCTTACGTTCTCACGTTACGGTTGGCTACAGACATGGATTTCGATTTAGTGAGTTTCATTTCCGTTAATTTGTGATTGGTCTACACCAAATATGATAATAATTGATAATGCACCAAAACTTCATTCATCGTTGAGTCATAACTTGATGACCTTATATGGAAGTTACGAAAATAGTAACAGCTGTAGGCAGTATAAAAGCGATGTGAAAATTGTCGACTCAGATGTAAACACGATCTCTGCGGTGTTGTGAGGCTGTCATCGAATGAGGTAAACAAACTTCACATCAATGACTCGTGCTTTTAAGATGGTTCTCTAGAATTCGTGATATCTTACAAGACGGCAATTATCCATGTACATTATTCGGTATCGTAGTCTTTAGAAGAAAACATAATCTAGTCCGCAGTATTCTATTTATTGTTATAAAAAAATGAAGCCATGTTTATAGCCATCGCAAGTGTCTGTTTTATGACAATGGCTGGGAATGATCCAGTTGCAAAAATTTGGGCTGAGCGAAACAGTTAGCAATCCTACCTAATATTAAATAAATGCGAGCGTCTACAAAGGATGAATATTTATGAAATTGCATTATTTTAAATTCGAATTAGGAGGAACGCATTAGGCTTTAATTATTACTGATTCTGCGATGATTAGCCAAAAGTAATGTTCCATTCCATCAAGCATTTCATTTACATCGTTTGGCGAGAACTGCTTTTGTCATTCAGCACATTCGCTCTTACTTTCAACATTTCTTTAATCGGTTTGTTTATCGTTAGTATGTGATTATAAAAATCCTGCTAAGTAGCAAAGAACCCGTTAAGGACATTGCTTAGCTGCAGAATTGCCTGTACTTGTTGGAATGTATTTAAAAGATAACCTGTTCAATATGTACAATTTCTGTTCGTGGGTCGTGTTGATGATTGGCCATGATTGGTGGTGATTCTCTCATCATAGTTATTGCACAAGTCTAGAAGATAGCAAACACTGGGTCGAGGTTTGGAAATATTTTTTTAACAGCGACAGGAACGCAAAGTTTATATGGTATAAATTTTGGTTTCGAATTTCTTTCATTCAGAAAATATATTTTAGAAGTTTTCAAAAATGAGTTTGATCGAGAAGACGAAAATTGTCCTTGGAATGCGTATACACTTCTTTCGATGGTAGGAAATCGCTTATATCAACCGGATATTCATTGCTAGCTATACATTTATTTCTTGTTTCACAATTGAGACTCACACACTGTAGCCCTGACCTGAAGAGCATAATTGAATAAATAAGTTTCACTTTTTTCTTTCGACTTTCAACGTTGATCATGGCCAGTTAGTCTAGTCGCCAAGTCATGAGCGAAATACGGATACTTCCGAAAGTTTAAAGTTTATGTAAAAAATACAAAGCACTGTAAAACAATGCTACTGGAGTATGACGTCAATGATAAGAATTAATTTGGCACAGTCATGATATCGGATAACCCAGGATAACCTTATTGACTCTTTAAACAAACAATTCCATAATCGAATGCGAAAAGTCAAGCAGGTCAATAAGATTTTGTAATAGTGGACGGACAATGAATGTGAGAATTATCCGATTACCTTTGTCATGTATGAATGTTTGTAAACTTTGAATCAAAGCTCGGAGTAAAAACACGTTTGTACAAGACCAGGGTCGTAAAACTTATGTTTTAAACACAAATTTTGGTGTGTTAATTTCATTAAAATTTTTACTTTAAGTGCATAAAAAAGAATTGTACTTAAGTGAATAAGTAATTTTTAGTCAATAGTCTGCCTGTGGTTCGAACCGTGCAAATCTTCAATACTTCCTCACACAGACAGTCCTCTTTTGAAGCTGATGAGGACTCCATACATATGAATCTATGTATGTAAACCTCTTGCAATATCAGTCAAAACCTGGCCACTGGTTTTTATCTTGTTTCTCATTTGTGATTCAAGAGTATAAGCAGCAAGTTTATGCTAAAACTTACAAGTGAAAATCATTGCTAAAAGTTTCTCTTGTGACTTGACATGTGATACAGTACAGCTTGTGCATGTTGCATTGCTCGGCGTTCGTAATGAACTGGATCGTGTTTCGACACGGTTCCTGCCGGAAATGAGTTCGTCATCGGATATACGTCAATCACTTGAACACCCGCCCTGCACATTGTAGACATCGCGTACGCGTTGTATAAGATGATTCTTGGAACGGTTAAAAAACGACGAACATCTTTGTGCGGATCAGGAAAACGATCACGAAAAATAGCCGTTGTTGTACGCCAAATAACTTTTCCTTTACACTGACCTGTTCTCTGTTTTGCTTGAAGTGTGACCACAAAATCGTCGATTAATTTTCGATAGTTGGTGAAATTCACTGCTGCTGCGAAATGGATGCCCCAATTCAAAAGAAGCACGCTACGTTCGTCAAATCGTTTGTCGTCAAGAACCTGGAAATGTGTATATGTAATTTTATATAACCGTTCATGTCATTAGTTTTGGAACAACTGGAAGATTGTCATTTTCCATCATTGCTGATCTTGGATCTCTCCACTAATTTTTGTCTTATGATATATGATTGGCTAAACTGATTGGTTTTTGACTGGGCATGCACCTGCCATTAGTTTTCTGCCTAAAATTAATAAGATTCGAGAAAACAAGAGCGAAATTCTATAATTCATGTTTATTTACATTTTAGAGTAAGCGTCCATCAGGCCCGTTTCAAACGTCGCATTTTGCGTTAATGCATTAAAGACAAAAGAAAATGAGATAAAATTTCTCATTATCTTTTGTTTTACATGCATCCGGCTAGTGTAAAATGGGACATTTGAAACGGGCCTTAGGTCATTTCATATGCCACTCACAGCAAGGTCTGCCCAACACTGGCAACAAATGCCCCCAACTAGCTATAAATGAGTACGAAATGCCATTCAATTGTTTTGTTTTTTTTTGTGTGATAAATTTATATCTTAACATAGCCTATCATCTAAAATTAAGTGTTGATCTATGTGACATGTTATCTAGTAATAGTTACTTCTGCATTTTTGAAACTATAACCTATTTTGTGTAATTGCTCTCATTGTTGATATGACATTTTCATCGGTAACATTAATGGTTTCCGTTGCCAAAAATAAGCTATTTTTTCTGTATAAATAATGCATTTATAGAAAACTCTGAGCAGTTACCTTGATTATCTCATACATGACTTTTTCGTGGCTGTAGTCTTTACCATCGACAGTTTCTTCTACTTTTCCTCTTTTTATATTATATACCCAGGAGTATGTTACTTTGCACTCCTTGAATAACTTTGTACATATTGTCTGGTATGGGCCCGTGACCAGATATTCAGCAAAAGATTTGGACACCGAATCACCGTATATCCACAAGATACTTTTGGCATCACGAGGACTAATTTGTTGTGACAAACTCAAGTCTGTAATTAAAGTAAGACGTATAGATCGTTTAGTATAACAATAAATTGCGATTGTGGGAAATCTGAAAGCGGCATGAAGCCAATGCGTTGCTATCATCTCGCCAAATAGGCAAGTGACGTGTTTTCTTCAGTATTTCCCGGGGGGAGGGGGCAGCCGGACATGTCCCGTCTACTATGGACAAGCATTTAGTTGAGTAAAAGATCTACATATAGATTATGTTCATGTATTATTCTGCCCACTCACGCCTCCAATTTTCTTGGTTATATTTGTAAACCAGACTCTGCCCATACCGTTATAGAAGGGTTTCCAAGCTCCTTCATTCCATCTTCCTTCACCACTTGATAATAGACTTGGACACTTTTGATTGCATGGGTTTTTGACGTATATTTCATTTCTTATCTTTTCCATTGCAGCTATATGAATGGAAGTTCACTTAATTGCTACACAACCACGTATCTATTTATGGAACAAAGAATCTTACCAAAAACGTTGGTGGAATAATTTGGTTTTGCAACGTTAATGAGAATCGGTTTTCCATTTTCCAAGGCTTTCATTAAATACGGGTGATCTCCGTTTAAGGCGCCATCTGCCTGGTTTTTTCCTTGAGAGCTTCCTGCATATTGAAATAAAGCATTCCAATCTCAATCATCCACTCCATCATAGTTCTTTTGTGAGTGAATATTGCATCACACGCACTCGTGAATAATAATTATAGAATACATATGGTTAAGGACACAAATAGAAGACGGCTGTGCTCTAAAAGCTCGCTTACACTCGCTGAGTAAAGCCACAAAATCACAACGTTACTTAAAGCTGAAATTTTCACTCAACTGATCGCTTGATTTGAAATATCTAAGCTGAAATCTTGCTATTGATGTAGAAATTGATGAGCAATTGTAAGCGAGAGTGAGTAGTCATTGGGAAAAATGTTCCGATATGTCCGCCACTTAATTATTAGGACATTTCTTTGCCTGCAAAACAGCTGTGCTAGGAGCTACTACGCGTTGGTACTAATCACTCCGTGTCTCGTAAGCCCAAACAGTTCAGTTCTAACAATTATTTGAAACTCCAAAGATACAATTGAAATTGACATAGATTATGGCCTGACTTTGTGATAATTCTGCTTGAGTTTTACCTTTTTTATACCAATCTATAGGTGGATCTTTAAGTCCGTCGCACAGCGTATAGTCTAGATAGATTTGCACATCATAAATTCCCGCATCCATCAACAAAAACTCAACCTCATACAAGCCGTTATTGTGATCGAAGACTATTGGGCTTATCGAAGATACTCCATTTATAAGAACTCGCCATGAATCTCCACCTATCTTTTTAGGAAGATTTCGTGAGGTTCTAGTTTGAATGAAGAATCTGCTGAACTGCCCGGCATGGCGAATGTCCCATTTAAAAGTATAGCTATGTTCTGCAGAAGTCTTCAAAGCGTGATTCCTCCAGCCAGCATTTGAAATGTCCCATTTTGTATGGTCAATACATGGTGCTAAAAAATTTTCCCAATCCATTCTACCTTTGTTTATTTTACACCAGCCCCTTTGGAACTCCTTTCTGTATGTTGCCAAAAAAAGTTTTTCCATAGATGATATGTGATGCTCGATTTTGTAATCATGTGGAACTTTTTGTGCCTCGGCAGTTTTCCCATTGGGAGATACAGAAAAATTTGAGCTACTTGCTTTCTTTAAACGTTGAAGTTTTGAGATCGCCGAAACAGGTTGGACGATACACTTGAATGCGTTCTGCCATGACGACGTCTCTTTTTTCGTTAGTAAAATAAAACAAAGGACAAAGCATGCACATGACCATAGTGCTGTGAGAATCCGATTCTCGAGGCTTCTCATACAAACAATACTATAATATGATTCGCTGACAACAAGATGAAATAGGTTGATAATGAAACATAAGCAATACAACTTGCTGAGACATAGCTTTGTAGTGACATTGTCATATGACGATGATGTAATCAATGTTTTTGAAAATATTCGATGAGAATGTTTCTAAAATTGTCTTTTTTTGTTACTTGGAATTTTTTTGTAATTGAGTTTTTTATGTTACTGACTTTACTGTGAATATTGAATAAAAATACAGCTGTTGTGTTCTCCTTATTGTATATAGGTTTGTTAGAAATTCGAGTGTTGAAGAAAAATGTTATGTTGGCATGGCAGTCATGCATGTTAATTCATCTGCAAATGACATATTGTCGTTTTTTTCCACTTCGAAGCAAAATCAATCGAACGAGTTAAAAGTTCTTGGCATGTTTAAGGTTGGATATCACCCTTGGGCAGTGGGGTAGCGGCCAGCCTGCAAATTTACATGCTAAGCAAAATTTTCTACTTTCAATTACAGTAAAAACAATATTTATGTAAAAAGAAATGAACAGTGATAATAAACTGAAATTTACCTAGCAGAACCAAGACTTGCAAACTGGCTTTGCTTTTGCCCATGAAATGTAAACAAAAAGCGTTGCTTGCTAACGAACCGTTAATTACGTTTGTAAAAACGCACTGAGCAGATCTCATGACAAAATGATGTAAAAAAGAAGTTTTCAACTCGAAGACCGAAAAAACATGAAAAGTGCTTAAACACAAGCATTTAAACAAAAAAATTTACCACGATAATTCCATGAATCGGTCTGACCACAAAGAAAAAAGCCTCAGTAAACGAACGAAAATGTTGGCATACCAATACTAAAAACTTGTGATAATTCATTCGGCAGTCGCCAGCACGATCACGTCAAATATCCCTCTTCGTGTACTACGTTTGAACTTCTCTCTGCTGTATCCCCTTTACACGAAGCACACGAAGCACACTTTAAAACGTTTAATCGAAAATTTCAAGCACAATCTTGTGACACAAAAAAGTTGCAAGCGTGACATCAAAAACGTTATTCCTTCAGTTGATTTTGGCTAAAAGTGTATCTCTTGTTGTGCACCGACCTTACAACGGTAAGCATCCTCCTAGCAAGCAAAATAAAATCACCCATATAAATATTTCTTGAAGAATACATGAAGATTATGAAGATAAGACGTTATGGTAAAAGGTTGTTGTTCTAAGGTTTGAGCTAGACGCAGCCCGGTATTCAGAAAATTGCCTCTTCCAATTTAAAGCTAGCTGATGCCGTCTTGCGCATTTGCAACGAACTTCAAATCCGAAGCGTTGTACGACTTTGTACTAAGGCAAAGGTGCTTTAAAAGAAGTGTTGATAAAGTGCCTCCTTTCGGATAGCCCGTACTTACAATGTTTTGCTCAGTCTATACTCTATAGTTTCCTAACTTATGAGCTTTGCTCGTAACTGCCTCTTACACGCAAATAGAATCAACTAGTACAACTACCACGAAAATAGCATATTTCTTTGCGCTCAAGTTGACAGAAAATTAGCTTATTTTTTAATCTGTCAATCAGGGTAGCATCCCTGTAGCACTGAGGGATAAATAGGTACTGCTTTGCTAATAACTGCTAATAATTTAATATTTCCAACGAGTGATTTCGTCAATATTCTTACTATAAACATACGCACTTTTCACGTAATGAGCTAATAGAGAAAAAAAGATGAAAAAGTGAATGAGCACGGTAGAAATGTAAATGTTCCTTGTTTAAGTTCATACTTGAGCCCACTATATCCATAGTTATCCTTACTAGACGTTGTTGTTTGACCATTTTGTTGCTATGTTAAAGTTTGTATTCTCTGTTTGTATTTGTATTCTCTGTGTGTCTTCTTGCAAATTGTTGAAGTAAATGAAAAACGAAGCTTTTCATTCTTCTTAATTTATCTTCAAATCTGTGAAATGTCTCATAAATCGTCGCTGGTATTGCAAAACCCTACAAAACTTGATGAAGAGTGTCGCATGGCTTATCTGGCTGTCGTCAACAGTACAACTGACAACATAAAGTCATCTAAAGAACTTGCCTTTGGTATGCTTCTCGCGATCATTCAAAATTGTTCACGTAATAATTATTTTTCCAAGTGTATTTCAAATGCTTCCTATTTGTCAGTAAATATTTCAATGGCTCAAATCAAACTCAAAGAAGTTGCCAATTAAACATTCCACCATTTCCAATGATGGTGATTCCCTGCCATTGTCCATGAACATGTCACGAACTAATAAGTTATTTGGCAAAGTTTTCTCATTTGGATACATCAACAATTCATAGATGCAGCATTTAGAATTAGATATTTTAATGTAAATGCTGACTTGTCATATTTATGTTTTGCTGGCAAGCAGATTTAGTCATGTACTCTTGGTCAACTCCTATCTTTGGATTAATCTGTCTGCCAGCAAAACATAAACAAGGCAACTCTTCTTTAGCATTATTTTATAACATGCAAGATGGCTAAAAATGTTGAATATGAGATATTTTTCATTTAAATTAAAAACACTTTGGTTTAAATTTTATTTGTGTAAATGGGTAAACTTTGTTCAAGCTTCTTTTAGCAAGGCAGTTGGGAAAGCTAGCTCAAATCTTAGTTTGCTCATAAAATTTTCTGCAAAATTATTATTCTTTTTTTTGAAAAACTAAATTAATTTCATTTACGATGAAATTATTTAATGTACATAAACAAAAAGTATTTTCCATGCAAAAATCAAAATAATTGTGAATTGAGGGTTTGTGAAATAAAAATAACCAACCAGTTACATTATTGTGGAGAATATGCCCATAAGCTTTTGGTGTTCTTATTGTGCATGTGATCATTTACTAACTGTAATTCCTATTATTTCATGTTATCTGCATTTGTTGGGTTACTTGGGTAGGAGTTTTAGAACTATTGGTTTCAGATAACCATATGTCGTTAAACAGACATGGCTCACAGCCTCAATACTTGAGAAAGTCTATATTTTATTGATTTGAAAATTATGAAAACTTTGAAAAATGCAAAACAAAAATTAATACAGATATGAGGCGAGCAGTCAGCATTCCTGTCAAACATTGATATCAGCAAGGCCTGCCTCATCAAAAACTCCTAAAGGCCTCATATTCTTCCTCTCAGTCATTGAAAAGAAATATTGTGGAATTGAAAATGCTCAATGAGTTACAAATGTATATTAACTGCTGTTAGAACACTCAAGGATAGTCAAGGATAGAGAGGATTTAGAAAGGTCATGGTAAGGTCAATAGGCTGACGTCGTAATTAACATCTGGATGCGGTTGCACAAAATTTGGAAAACGTTATCCATTGGATTGTAAAATTTTCAAACCTGCAAAAAAAGTGTTTATATTTTCTTCACGACAAAGGAATTTTGTAATCTTAGAAACAATACTTTACATCAGTGATTACTCAGATGAAATCTTATATTTTTCCTTTTTAAGAGTTTTCTTAACTGTTTCAAAAAATTTCCTATCCAATTGATAACGCTATCCAGCCCTGGATTTGCAATTATCCTCGCAAAACGGTTTCTTGCATAATGTCGGGATCGAAAAAAATACCAACAGGCTTTAATTTGTTTTAAGTGAATTTTGATTATTATTACACTGTTTCTTCCTTTAAAGCTCTTCAATATGCTGGTCGTAATCCATCACAAAAGTCTATAGAGCGTTATTGGAAAGATTCTGCAGGTATGTATAACATCTTAGTCAATTAAGTTACACACTATTATCTCTCGCATCCCCCTCCTGCCACAAACATACTTTGTATCACGGGTTTTACCGTGCAATGTTCAAATTTCTAAGGTTTCTTTTCTTTTTATGTACATATGTATGAATATACGCAATGCGAACAGCCATTAGTGTATTGAATGAAAGCTGGTAGTTTTTTTTATCCTCTTTCAATTTTTCTCTGTACAGAGACACTTCTTGCGCTGAACACGGCAATCGTATACGATTTTTACATGTGATGCAAATTAATTTCCTACCTTTCTTTTGATTTAGAATCCATTTCCTATTCCAAATTTTGTGCAATAATGAAGCAAGAAAAACAGAATACAAAGAACGAGTTGTTGTCTGCCTTCAAAAAGATGGACATAAATGGAGATGGTTTCATCTCTCTTTCTGAATTGAAGAAGACTCTCTCGACAGTGATTATAATATTTTTTTTATTTGAACGTAGCCTCAGGATAACAGAGTTATTTTTGCTTTTTAATGTTAGCAATTTTATCGTGATCGGTGATGGTTCCTCGACGATAAAAAAATTATCATAGTCCTTCCATTTTTATTATGAAAGATCTTTGTGATGAAAATGCCATTGCCTAAGAATTTCTAGTGAATAGAATCAGAGAAATTGAATTGCTTTTAAAGTACTTCAACTTGTAAATTGTCTATCTCCGCAGGGATTCGTGGAGATTTGTGAGGTTACGATTTTAAGAGTCCCTCGATCACCCCGTCATTTAGTATTGAAACAGACATGTCTTCACTTTGACCTTAGCTAGATCTACCACTGACTTCAATCATGTTCTGGATGCACGAGTGTTAATTGAAAACTGGTTATGCGCTTGTAAGAATTCTTCGTCGGATAAAAAATTCTAAATTACATATTCACTTTTTACTACATTTCAGCGTGGAGAAAAAATGGATCCTTCTGAGGTTGAAGATATATTTAAAGAAGCTGATGGCAATAAAGATGATCGCCTAGATTATGAAGAGGTGTGAATAGTGCAATTGTCTTCGTAGAAAACTATTAAAATGTTTGTGGAATTGCGATTGTATGTTAATATATTCAAATTGTCACTGGTTTGCTCATAATTGTATTCACTAAAGGGAAAGTTAACATTTCATTGTTTTCCGAATGCGGGACTTTGCGTTCGCAAATTGATTAAGAGATACATGTTTGTCACATATTGAGCTGCTCCCTTCGTACGAGGTTGAAAATTCAAATAATGTTTAGCAAAGTTCACCCGAAATATGATGTGATAAGTCATGAAAATCGGTTTCACGAAGCTTGGATAGCGTTATCCATTGGATAGTAAAATTTTCAAACTTGTAAAAAACGTATTCATATTATCGTTACTACAAAGAAATTTTGCAATCTTAGAAGAAATATTTTATTTCAGTGATTGCTCAGTTCACACCTTATATTTTTCTTTTTTAAGAAGTTTTTTAACCGTTTAAAAAAGGCTATTCAATGGATAACGCTATCCCGGCTTTGTGCAACCAGCCCCTGAAGTCTGCCTGAGATTTTTGACCAATCTAATCCCATGGCAAGAATTCGTTGTTTTTATTACTATTTTACATTCATTCATCCTGTCATAATCTAAACACGAAATAATATTAAACTAAATGACAACTAAACAAATCATATAACATGTACCACAACCTACAGCTAACCATCTTGTTTTTAGTTTTGTGATATGCTAATGTCGACTGTTCAACAATGTAAAGAAATCAGTCAAAACAAAATCAAAGATGAGTTTCGTGTGGACAAATCAAGTTCGTCATCGAGAAAATTTTCAACTGAAATTGGTAGTCAGAAATCTCCTGTGTCGGCGAGAAATGTTGTAAAAGAACCAAAAATCTTAAGGTTAGTTTTTGAGATATCCTTTATTTAATTGCTCTATTTTGTTCTGTCCTATTTATTTATGAACACATGGTGACAGTATCGTTTCTTTTTCTGCTTATTTTCTGCACATTTACTGTATCAACATGCAATTCCTCTTATACATTAAAGGCCTGGGAGTATCATATGAAAAAAGGTTTTGTTGTGATGGAAGATGACGGAAAATTCTCTAGTCATTGTTATAAACTTAAGATTCCTCCTCAACTACACTGTGGATAGCCATTAATGGAAACTATCGAGGTATGAAAAGTGATAAGAAATGTCAAGTACAGAAGCGTAACTAGAACGTTAATGTTAATTGGGGGGGGGGTATATTCATATATTCAGTTGTGCCCTACTGATTTCTTTTGAAATTCAATTCACTTTCAAAAGAAATCAGTGGGACACAACGGAATATATGAATATGCACCCCCCCTCCCAAATTAACGTTATAGTTACGCCGAAGTATCGAACAGGTTTATGTGGCATATTTTACGTTGCATAGAGTATATATGTCACAGAACTGCTGTTACATGACACAGAACCATTGCTACGTACATGTTATAGAACTGTTGCTATGTATGTCACAGAACTGCTGTCACATGACACAGAACTATTGCTACGTACATGTTATAGAACTGTTGCTATGTATGTCACAGAACTGCTGTTACATGACACAGAACTATTGCTAAGTACATGTTGTAGAACTGTTGCTATGTATGTCAGGGAACTGTTTTTACATGTTAGAACTGTTGGTACTTGTTACGGAACTGTTGTTACGTAATCTGCTCCATGTCACAGATATGTTATCAGTGTTTCTGTAGCCGTATTAAATTGTAATATATGGCCTTTACAGAAAGACGTGCGGATTTTACATTATTTATTTTGAAAGAGTCATCTGGAGAACTTGTTGCTTTTACTAAAGCAATTGCTAATGAAGTAAGTTTTCCTAAATCCTTTAACATCTGATAAGTTTGATACAGTTTTATGTGGCTATATTGTACATGTTCAGAGTATTACGGTGAGCGTAGTCTTCGCCATGAACATGCGTGGCAATGTTACGTAGCTACATGTAGTTAGTGTAACGTCAATGAATAAATTTTACTTTTTAATACTGTGTGCTTTAATGATTGTGAACTTCATTAATTTTTCTTGATGATTTGCTGTGACTGACGTGTGTTCAGTATCAAGTGTTTTCAGTAGTCTTTACTCAACTAAATATCTTTACTAAAAATCGCATCAAACCTGAAACAATTTCATCTAGTATTTACAATAAATTGCTAAAAATAGATGAATTGAGAAGGAGATACCAACGAATTTTCATTCGGGTGTGCCTTTGAACTTTTTCTTATAGAAAAGTTGCGTTCTGACTGACATTCCCCCCGGAGAATACGACGTCGTTGTCTTTACAGCCGGATGTCAAATACGCACACGAAAACATGAACTAACAAAGACAGTTGACTTGCTTAAGAATGTTAATGGTGAAATCCAACTCACAAAGCGATGTAGGTGGGATGTTGAAAACATGTTAAACAAGTTCTGGTTTTTGTGTGTTAATTTTTTGTTCAATAAAGATTTTATTAAGTAAAGGCTTTTACCTTAACATAACTGGTTTTTTTATCCATTTAGAGATTCTTTGGCTGAGATATTTCATACTTGTGATCTTGATGGCAATGGCTACCTTAACCGCCAAGAGTTCGACATTTTTCAAATGCGTACGAGTGGAGAGTCTTGTGATGACGATGCTTGGCAAGTTATGATTGGTATGTTTTCATCGAACTTTTATCTTGTTTTATGATGCATTGTCAACTTCGCCTGATTGCCAAACGAGTTGGAAACTTTTGAAAGTTAGTCATGGTCGATGACTAAGTATTTGTATTACCATTATCTACTTTTAATACAATTTTCTTAATGCTTAAATTTTTTAGACAATTTCCACACAAAGAATGATCGTGACATTACGTTAAAGGGATTTTTGGATCTCAATCTGATGGAAGCTCGAGATGCTGAAGGGGATTCCAATGACTTGTGGATAACCTTCAAAAGCATGGGTTACAACAGGGCTTTGGAACCAGACCAGGTACTTGATTGCTATAGTTTATACCTATACGTAGGTAATCCACAACAATTAAAAAAAATCTGTGTGTCAAACGACAAAAGTTGAAGTCTGCTTGAAGCTGTCATTATTCTAAAGGTGCGTAGCCTCGGATGTGCAAAGGGGGGGGTTGCACCTCCCTTTTTTGTGATATGTTTGAATTGACTGTCATGTAAGGTTGCTTTTTTCGGGACGTCTCCCCCTTTCCTCATACTCTCAGTGACTCTCCCCTTTCATGAATCCTGCCTACGACTCTGTTCTTTATTGTTGATAATCTAATGTTGAAATTTAGGTTGCATTTTTTGTCATCGAAATATATTCCAAGGATTCCAACATTGAATTGGAAGTATCAAAGATTGATGACAAAATTGATATCCTGACAAAAGTTGTTATACAGTCAATCGTAAAAAACTCGACAACGCGCAATGTAAAGCGCATGCGTGATCTTATTCTACACCGTTATGAAGACGAGCAACGCGTCAGTTTGGCCGTCGAAAACAAGGTACATGTAGTATCCAAACAGATGGTGTTTACAGGAAATTAAAATCCAAGCAAGTTCTAGATAAGTTTAATATGAATCCAAATGACCTTGTCGTAAAACTAACAATCTTGCATTATCGTTATCCCTTGCTGTCCAGTGGCGTAGCCATTCAGCAAATTTAGTTCTGCGATGTAAATTTGTGTGTCTTTACGCTCCGTGAAAACAATGATTACAGCCAGATTAAGGTGTGGGCTCAAGGAGCCTGGGTCACGCACCATGTCAGTCTAATTGCTCTATTGATAATACAAACGACGTCCACAAAACTTATACCATTAACAATAATGAAACAATGATGTTGAAAAATGACCAGTTTCAGACCTCAATGATATTGTACTGTAACCAGCTCTAAGCGCCAAGTGAAACATGTGATTAATAGCTCTTGAAAGGTGGAAAGGATAATCAACAATGTCTATGTGGTAAAAGGCAGTTGTCGAAGCATTCGGCTCAACAACCTAGAAATAACTGGAGTCATAGGACAGCCTAACGAAAATGCACCAATAGTCTTACTTTATCTTATAAAACCGCATTGGGAATGTCGTTTTAAGGACTCGTTGTGTTTTTGCATCCCAAAGGTCGTTTCTATTGTTTACAAGATCCCTTGATGTACTCGCAGTTAGATGCGCCTCCAAATGTTCATCTCTTATAAGATGTCAAGTATTACAAATAAAATAGAGGTGAAAAGGCCACCTAACATGAGATGATCCCTAGGCCTCCTGAGAGGTTCATCCTACCCTGAATATAATGATGTGAAATTTAAATATCAGGAACTAAACTTGAAGGCTGGCTACACTGCAGTTGCTGACCACTAAATATGAAAATTGTATATCTTTGCAAATTCTTCTTTTCACATTTGCAGTCTCGTCAATCTGTTATGGTAAGGTTAAACTGTGATCAAAGTGAAAATTGCTTGAGTCATCGTTCCAACTTAAACTGTGTGATAAAGGTGGAGGCGAAATCCATCGAGGTACGACGACTTTATTTTCAATCTAAGTTAATAAACTGTTCATTGAATCTGTTATCTTAGGGAATCGTTGCAAAGCATTACTCACATGAAATATTCATTGCTGTTCTCCTTTCAGTGTTGGCTAATTCGTTTTTGTGTATATTTATATAGATTGGGCATCATATAACTGCTTTGGATCCTTCACAATCATGGTCTGTGTCGTGTGAAGATTCAGTGTTGGATTGAGTATTATCAAGAAGTCCCGGATCCTTCTCATACTGGTGAGAAAGCATTACGAATTTATAAAACATAACAAACGTACGTAATATGAAGGCACAAGATGTACGATACGGTCTTCCGAACTCCATGTTGGCCTCTGAAGCCAACTGCTAAAAAATTTTTCAGTGTTTTTTTCAGCAAAAACTATGCATAGGTCACCTTGTTTAACCTGAGTCACATTGTACATTGTATACCAAGGGTACCCGTGTTTACTCTGGGTACCCTTGTTTACCTTGCGAACCCTTATAAATCAGTAATCGATTCAGAAAACACGACACATATGTAATGTTCATAAAACTTGATAAAAACCCCGGATAGAGTCACTGATTAGTTTTATATAATTTCGTTCAACACTGGCGGTGCAAGCCTGCTTATTTAGTCCTGTTATGTTAATTTTTCAGTGTTCATTATCACTGGAAAACAAATGAATTCTAAAGAAATAAATAATGATAATCGTCTGACATTTAAGCCTCGGTCACACTGTTCGACGATAACGATAACAATAAACGATAACGATAAACTATAAGAAATTCAATGGTCACATACTAACGATAAATCGTTATCATTATCGCTGCAATGTGACCGCACAGAAGAGTTTGAATAACGAGCGATTTTTTTTTCGGATCGTTATCGAATGCAGTGTGACCGAGGCATAGCAGGAGTAAAACTTGCTGGCTGGCTACGCTATTGCACACAAAACCTAATCTAACGATAAATCTGAGGAAGAAGAATCATTGTCGGTTACGTCATCAATGATGTCGTCGTCATCTGAACTTTCTGGTCCATCATCATCATCTATAATTATATTTTCATGTTCAACATTATCCTCCTCTGCCACTACGTCCCCATTAACATTGTCGGCGTCATCGCGACATGTGTTGTATGAACCACATTCACCACATTTCAATGCAACGATATGAAATTTCGTAGTCGAATGCTGTAAAATAAAGTTGATTTTATTTACTTATAAATTAAAAAAAGTTAATCTAGAATGCATGCAACATTACAATTGTAAAACAAGCGAACTCGTTACACGTAACAGGTCAACCTGAAAATGAATTTTTGTTGTGCCTTGGTGAAGGTTGAAACTCAAAATATACTAAAGTGCATTGAACTGAACTTGTAACTGGATGGCTACCTTTTGTAAACATGTCTGTACTTTCATTAAGTCAAATTTTATCTCCATACACACAGAGGTAGCTAAAGTACTGCACTTTAACGTAAAGTACGGTCGTAGAGAACTTTTACTTGGTCGTGCGTGAAAGAATTGGTACTATTTGAATAACTGAATTCAAATTTTGGCAAGAGGTAGCCTTCTATTTTTTATTCAATTCAATGATCAAACACGTTTGTTAATGGATGCAAAAGAAAGCAATGGGACGCGTCACGCATATATGTGTTAAAATGAGATATCCTTAGAAGTAATGTCATGATATAATTCCTGACATTATACAGTTGACATTAAAGGCATAAATAGTTGTGTCTAATAATTGGTTTCTTTAGTAAGTTCAAAATAAATAACATGTAAAGACAACACAAGTAAAATGCTTACTTTGTGACAATCACGACAAAGTATCTAAAAGCAAAAAGAAAATAAATTTTATTTGATGTGGTAAACAATACATAATGTTCATTATAAATAACACTTACCCTAACATCAATATTTGCATACTCTGGTGGCATTGGTGTCAAGGCAATTGTAGAATCCAATCTTCGCCAAGTTGATGACATATCAATCAAGGACTCATTGCATGTTGGGCAGGTGTACCCCCTAAAATGTTAAAAATGGCAAAATTGAATGCTCATGAATGGAATTAAGACACAATGAATATGTACAGTAGTAATTAGGAATATTGATGATATACAATACCCAGATCTCAACAGGTCATGGAAACATGTCCTAAAGAATTTAAATACAAATCTGTTAGTAATTCATAGCAACTATATAGACATAACTGCAAACCAGATTCAGTTATTAAAAGCTTTTACACATGTTTTTGATGGATAGATATACGCTGAAAAGTGTAGGTTACTGGAATAAAATTTTTAAAGTTCAATTTTAAATTTTAAATTTTGACTTACGAATGTAAGAGATGACCACATTTTGGAACATGTGCAGGTATTGTTGAAGTATGTAAATCCTGAATTGAACAACATGATTTGAGGTAGGGTTAAATGACTTCCTAATCTTTAATAAGAATAACTGGATAATAGTCAATGGAAATAGGATGTTCAGAGTTCCTTAGCTAAAACAGTAGTTGTTAAAACAGTAGATTGTAATTTTTCAATATTAAGCAATATGCCACATTTCATAGCAGTTCTATTCAACTTTCTTTTGCATCAACTGTGGACAAACTGTTTTGTATTATTAGTTAATGGAAATTATCACTATATACCTCAAGACAGATTGCACAACTGTTTCTGGAAACCTTTTCAAGGCACTGAAAAAGGCAGGAAATGTGATGAATATACACTCTATAAATAATATTTAAATTATATAGAATTGATTTTAGTTTGTACCTTGTGCGAATCATAAATAGATTTGCTTAAACAAAAACCACATGTATCACAATGAATAAAATTATCACGTCCTCCAACTCTAAAAACACAAACTATGGTAAATAAATGGCTCTTGGGGTTAACATTTAGTTTCATAACAAACCTACAAATACCACAGCCATCACAGTGAAATTGTCCTTTATCATTGTCATCGAACATGCGGCACTTTCCACAGTAGTATTTTCCAAATGATATCAAACATTTTTCACAATTAGAAGACACCTTAATAGAGATCTCATTATGGTATTTAATAAAAAGATCTTACATTTAATGAATATGTGTACTTATTGAAAAAATGCCTCTTTATGTACCTTCTGTCTAAGTCCACATTGTCTACATTCAATCTGTTCTACATTCGTTCGTATCAATTTGTGATCCTCGTGTTCATCATGGCAAAATCGACAGGCATACACCTTGTCGCAGCATGGACTCTTCATGAAAAATAGAAGTTGTTTGGGAATGTAAAAAATGTCAATGAATACCACAATTTAGTGAAGTGGCTGACATTCTTGTGAAAGAGTTCAACTTTGGTTTAGCTGTCTAATTGTGAGGGATATTATAAGTAAATAAACTGTTTTTTAAGTTAAATATGTCACTATTCAAGACTTCAAATCCTTCAGATATTATTTTCATATCTCACGAAACATAATCAACATAAGTTAATGAGTAGTTATCAACGAAATAAGACAGTAGATTCAATGTTCGGTGGATTTTCATTCTTCGTACATGTAAGTAATTGATTTCCCATGTATAAATTTTGGAAAAGGTTTTTCACCCAAAAATATTTCATTTCCTTTTGCTTCACTTCAAATTATTTCTACCGACAAAGAACTCCTTTGCAAATCACAATAAACAATACGAAAAGTAGAGTATCACATCGCTTCACAGATGTATAGATAAGTTAGATTGTTTACATTTTTTGGCCGGCATATTTCGTTGTGTTCTTTTAAAGAACACCAGCAAGAATGCTTAAACTCCCTTGGGATAAATCTGACTGCCAGAAAACGTAAACAATCGAACTCGTCCATCATTATCCTTACAAATTCTTTGAACATATTTCTTGAATTTTATAATTAAATGCATGTATTAAAAACTCTACTTACAACTAATGAACATTTTCTAGCGTAATGTTTACAATTTTGATAATCTTCGACTGAATCCAACGACATTGTTGCCATTCGCGATACTTGCGGCGCATGCGCGTGGGTGAATAGCGAAATGAATAAATAGCTATGTAAGCGAGGTAGCACAACAATCTAGCCCATAGATTAGTACGGTGGCAATAGTTCACTGATATCTGATCGTCACTCGTATTCTTCATGTACAGGATCTATAATTTATCGTAGTGTTATAAGCGGTCCAGATATCAGTTTATGTTTCTCGTAAAATCAATTTATACAAATATGTTTCTTGATTTTAAATGGTTCATATAGCTTTGTATGATTGTTTCTATCTATTTGGCTGTATGTAATTATAGTTTCTACTTTATACAGTCTTGTGTAATCATAGAGTTTTTTCTACTAAATAAATCCATTTTGTGCTCAATAATCCTTTTATAACTGGTGACTTTAATTAAGAGTCTTGCAATGGTTGGTGCACAATCTTTAACAAATTCTTTAAGTCACTAGTTAAGAAAGCCTAGAAAGGAATTTTGTTCACAAAATGAGTTTATTTAATAGAAAAAGCCAGTAAATGTGTGCCGCCTATGATTTTATAAAATACATCACAGGTTTTTAAATGTATTTGTCCTGGGGCCAGTTGCACGAAGCCTGGATAGCGTTATCCATTGGATAGCAAGTTTTTTAAACTTTTATAAAACCTTTTAAAAAGCAAAAAGTACAAAACTCGAACTGAACAATCACTGAAATAAAATATTGTTTCGAAGATAAATATGAATACCTTTTTTACAAGTTTGAAAATTTTTGCTATCCAATGGATAACGCTATCCAGGCTTTGTGCAACCTGCCCCTGAATTCTAAAAACATTAGCGTTTTCATAATTATAAAAATATATTTGCATGTTAAAAAACTGCATAAGTATAATATGCTGCCTTTTAAAGCAAAAAATTTAACCTGATCAAGTTGTAATCCGGTGCAGCGTAAACCAGCGACCATAGAGACATTTCGGTCTTGTGATGTAACGAGTTCGGAAAGTTTCTTTTGTGCACGTTAAGTTTGTCACATGACGCTGGAACTCACGTGGCATATATAATGTTCGAGGTTAACCCCCAGTTTTCACTTTCATCATTTGTGAGGGTGAGTTATCTCTCGTGCACATTCCTCCTAAAGTGTGCTATAGCGTTTGTAAAGTTCTTAAGATTTTTACTTATATATTTACTCACATTTAAAAGCCTAACTTCTGTTACTAACTTCAAAAACATAACGTAAAAGTCTTTGACGTATATCTGACGTATATTCTGACTAAAATTGGTCCAAATGGTTGCAGCCGGTTTTCGTGACTTTTCAGTTAAAAATTTTGGAATAATAATTAGATTACATTCTGCCGTTGTCTTGTGACCACATTTCTCATTCTTACCGCATTCAGACGAGCATTTATGATTGAAAAGAACGGCAAAATGTTGTCAAAATGTTTCATATATAATAACTGCACAGAAAACCAACAAAGCTCATGGCTAAGAAACGGAACTGTTTACCATTTGATCTTTGATTGTTACCTTTGCAAAACTTCATTTGTTGTTTTTCAAACATGTCTGGTGTTCACTGTTCAAGGATATCTTTAACTTTTTATTTGTCGAATTCAAGATATATTGTATCTCGGCAAACCTTCGAGAATTTTCTCGATTGGTTATCTGCGTCTCTTTCATAGATGATTAGCTAAAAATTGCGTTGCTATGACGTAAAGACAAATATTTCAGCCACTCTTTGAATTTTTTTTCTAGAAATTGCGTTGCTATAAACGTAAAGACGAATATTTCAGCCGCACTTTGAATTTTGTTTCATTATCATAGTATTAATAAATTGTATGCTAATAAAAAACTTTTGTTTCAACTTTTGAAAATATTTCTATACGCTTGTTTATACCATTGTGTATACACAATCAAATGTATTTGAACATTGGCCAAATTAAAACATGAAAGACACAATATCAACATTTGTTGATATGTCAACGCAGAAAATATTTATATTTCACTTTTAATTAGTATAGCGTGCATGCTCAAACATTGAAACTCACGCGAAAGTGTTCAAGGTCAAGAAACATAGGAAATATAAAAAATATTAATTGTTTCTATTTCATCGTGAACGTAGAGAATTGAATATTTATCTGTGAAATTACCGAATTATATATCACAGCTGAACATATAACTCCTTAGAACTCTATGAAACTCAAAAATTAATAAAAGTTTATAAATGTTTCGTGATGAACATGAGATCTTCATACCCGCCAAATTTGCATGTATATAATATTTATTTTAACTGATGATCTGTTTGCTATGTGTTAAATCATCAGTTTTTTCGTCCTGAAACAAAAGGAAAGGAATTTGAAGTAATCAAAGCTGGCAGAGATATGTTTTTTGTGTGGGACGATAGACTTAAATTGGCTGACCTATAAACATTAATGACAGGAAAATCATTGTTGCTCAGCCCGGTCACATGAAAAGTGATGAGAAGTATATAACAGAGCATCTGACTTTTGTATTGAATGATATTTTTTGGGAGAATAAATCAGGGAAATTTTTCTTATTCTTAAAAGTAATGAATTGAAAGCATTCCAATTTCCAACTTTACCAAAATGTCTTCTTCATTCTTGGCAAATGTTAACAATGGAAATACATCACATCAGTGTATTTTTTGCTACTTCATAAAAAAATTATTTAATGTTCATTGGCAACTACCCTTTAATATATAGTAATTTGATTTAAATTGAGTCATAATGCTGTTTTACAATTTGTCAATGATTACCATAATTTATTTGCTTTGCACCAGCTAGATATATGTGTTAATATTAACTAGCGTTGTCCGTCAAATAAATTTTTACCTGTCATCACCAAAAACGGAAGAAAAACGCCTCGTTCAACCTATCAATTATTTGTTGTAAATGCATTTTATTTATAGTTTTCTTGTTTTTCTTTCATACGTGACTCATCTTAGTGTTATGATTCTCTGCTACACCCTTTCATTGATATTGATACAACAAACCAAATTTAGAGCTCATGTTATAGTTTCGCCATATATTGTATTAAAAACACTTAGACTTGACGTTAGTACTTTCTTCTTCCCTTCACACAACAGTCACGAGTCTCCATGTGATAGTGAATATATGCGAATATAATACTGCATTGATTTTTATTTTTTATTCATACCATTTTTGACTCACCACTGCTACTATCATAAATTATGTGAATAAGTTTAAGGTTTGCGTGTGTAATGCAAGTCTTCGCATAATATGTTGTTTCGTTGTGCGTTTAGTCCGTAACGTTTCACGAATCTTGGAAATTTAGTTTAAACGACATCACGGAGAAGCTTTAATTAGCTAATGTAATAATGATCTCCCTATTCCTGTGGAATTCTTAGTCGACTTTCCGTGATGATTCCTATTGACGTCTGTTTATCGCTGTTTACTGGAGTTTAGTTTAAAAAATTGTTGAAGACAAAACATGTTTATACGTTGCCACAACAATTCATCATGGGTTTGGATTGCATCGTCAACATCAATTGCAACATTCTATGTGACACAGATGTTTTTGCATATTCAACAACCCACGCAACATTTACAGAGTTAAAAGGTTAAATGATAAATATTGTTGGCATATTTCTTTACTTGTAAGGAATGCAGTTGTATATAAGATAATTGTGACATGAAAGACAATTTGAGTTAAGTATGTCATATGGTATGCACATACTTCATAAAACGTCTTTATAACCGTGTTGTTTTTGCGGTTAAGATCCTAATCTTTTACAATGTAACACAACGTTAATCTTTTATTAGTTGAGTCAGTTGAACTCTGGAATTTTCCATTCAGAAGATTGAGAACAATACTGCAAGTATTTCCCATGGCATTTCAGTTACTAACTTAAACACACACAACCGTAGTTGTACAGATATTAAAACACAACAAAATTAATTATTGCACCTAATATATAAATTTGCTGAGAATTATTGGGTTGCATGAAATCAATCTCGAAAATTTCAAACTAAACTTACACGTGTATTGATAGAGTGTTGTGACTATCAAACCTGCCTCATGGCGTTCAAGCTACATCAAATAAAAGTGTAGAATTTTCTGGAAATTTAAACCTGATTAGAGTTAAGAATTTTTCCTAACAATATTCGTAAGAAAGACTTTGCTTCTTCTATATTCTTCTACTGCATCGGCAATCACTATACATGAAACGTTTGTCGACTAAATCATTTAAAATAGCTATCGATAGGCACGCACTTACTAATTCGAGTAAAAAGTTGTCGCATCACTCGAATGCCTGTTTGGAATTTTACAAAATTGTTCTTGCTTTTACTAACTCTGTATTTCGTGATGGATTTTCATTACCTTGTATATATGTATGTAATCGTTTATTGAAGGTTTAGTCTACAAGATTCATTGAACGATTTGTCTGGCAAATTATTTCCTAACTTTGTCCAAGTCGAATCTTCGTGCACGGAATGCTATTGTCGACAATGTCTGAACCGATACCTTTTTGTAAGGAACCCAAACTACGTGACTTACCTTATTGCAAATATCTGCAGCCAATTATGACATAGTGGCACTTATTTTAATACATTATTGTTGTTCTAACAACAATACACATAAACTCTTCATAAACCGACATCTAAGGAATTTACACATTTGCCTGCTTTATCCATAGCAACTTACAGATGGACAATAGATTTGTGATTTTTTTATCACAAATTATGACGATGTAACTTGTTATTTATGACTATGCAACTTTATATATACAACTTACTGAGAATGTTAGCATCGGGTATATGATATTTATTTTGTTAACTAGCATGTGCATTTAATGATATTGGCTTTAAAATAATGAATAATTAGGATAATAAAATGATAAAATTGAGGAAAGGTATACTTGATTACCATTGAAGTATGAGAAAATCGCCTGTCAACACTGGAAAAGTCGCTCTTGTCAAACACACATTTCAATTCTGAGTTTCGACATGTAATTGTAGTGTTGTTGAAACACTTTAAGTATAAACATATTCTACAATATTTACATATAAATTGTTCCCATTTTCACAATGGTTAATGATTAACTAGCTGTGGTAACATCAGGACAGCTGTGTTTCGAGATAATAAGTTCTGGGTATTTCTGTTTTAACGTGTTCATCGTTGGTTGTATGAATAAACTTTCAATGTTCTCTGCGCTTTTAGCCGAGCACTCTACAAAGAAGCAATCCCATTCTATTGACAGTATCTTTCCTTCCTCGGAGCTCACAACTCTACGATTATCGTCAACGTCGCATTTATTTGCTACGAGTAAGATTGATCCATTTACGTCTCCTTTGACTTTCATAATTTCCATTTTCACTTTCTTTGCATCCTCGAATGATTTTCGATCATCCACAGCGTAGACAATCACAAATGTATCAGCCGAGTCGACTGCAAGTTGTTTCATCGCTGGGAAGTCATCTGATCCAGAAACATCGAATATTCTGTATTCCACGCCAACATTGTTTTGCTCCAGAACGAAATGCTCTTCGAAAACATCCATTAATGTTGGATTGTATTTATCGCTGTACGAATTGCTCAGGAAACGCTTTACTACACTTGTCTTGCCACAGCGACTTGAACCAAGGACAGCAACATTCATTTGGATTTTTCCATGGTTTGATTGGCGTCGTTTACTTCTCTTTGGTGAGCTGGATGATTTTGTCCGCTTCTTGATTGGCATCGCTAAATACGCTTATATTTTTATGTCTTTTCTCTCGTTTGTTATTATGACCTGTTGTCTCTTCTGGCTGCTTTGACTCTGTGAGTTATTTTTACATGTGCATGCCAATTTAAGCACTCTTTCTTTATGATCTTCCGTGTATGACGTGCAAAATATGCAACGTCATACCCTAAGTACATATTACGTTTGTTCAATAATTACAAACAATTTAAAGTTTGCTTTTATTATTGCTATGGTGTTGCTATAATACGCTGATATTCATTATAAACAGTTTGCTGCAAGCTTTTTGAGTTAAGACTTTTCTGCTCAAACGTATAAAATATTACGACTTTAAGACGGTCCTCTCGTGCCGTGGATGTCCATAAATGGAATTGTTATACGGTGGCGATTGTAACAAGGCAAGACAAAGTGTTTGCGAGAAAAAAGTGTTGTGACAAAAAGTCTCTCGCTCAAATTTTTTAGCATAAACAAACGACAATGATTCAATATTTTCTTGAATCGACTTATACGTCGGTTTAAATTAATGACCATTATTGTGCTGCCATTCTCAATATCATATATGGTCGTAACAGACTTTGAGTCTGAACATCTTAAGTGCCTATTTAACGTCACAGCATTTTAATGCCCATATCAAACAATTTGTTCGACAAGATTTACCGACTTTTTGTCAAACTACATAAAAGTTCGTATTATTACATAATTTTCGCTAAAGAGGTGTTTGATTTTGACCTTATCTATCGGAAACTCCTATTTCCTGCCAAAAATAGTTTCCTAAAATTTAAATAAAGGCTTGCCTTTTCTTAAATATCTGCTGCAAGGCAAGTGCGGAACTTGTAATAATTACGTAGTTATGTTCTGACTGACATAAGAAAGAAATTTGTATTTCATTTCAATTTTTCATTGTCCGTTTGGTAAATTTTAGGCCTTGTTCACATTATACCTGATTGCTTTCGATATTTTTTTATTGATCCAGTGAAAAATTATAGAAGCAAGTTTACACTGCCTCTTTTTGCATCGATTTGGATTTTGGAGTGCGGTTTACGCGGAAAGTTGCTGAAAGCTGAAGCACGTTTTTGAAGGAAACCACTTTAAATTCTTACTAATTTGTGAAACGCGAGAACATCGTAAATTTGATATAATTTATCACATGATTACGCTATTCACGTCACACCGACGCGTAATATATTATTATTAACAATAAGAAGAAGAAGAAAAGAATCTTTTAATTAAAAAATTTATGATGGCATGTAAAATCCCATAATATAATTTCTTTAAAAAAAACACGTATAGCGATAGATTGATAAAAGATACACCTATATGGTCAATGTCGTTTCCAAAGACTTCCTGATACTTGCTCGTTTTAGTTCTTTATAATCAAGATATTTCTTTATGAAATTTGTTTTTAGCTTTTAGAAGCGTCGTGCAATTTATTATTCAAAAGCTGTACACCCTGCTTTAAATTTGTTTGGGGAAATGCTTCAGTTTGCATGCAGCAACCATCAAAAACTATCTTTTTAAATTGTAAAAGAACTTCGTGATTTCCAGTTTGTTTGAGGTTAATGAACTACCTTTGATGGTTTGTCCTCGGGAAAGATAAACTGCACTGTCTTGTTTTTTATGTCACCTCTCAAATCTCAATTGATATATACGAAACCGACATTAATTGCACCGGAGGGAACAACAGTCAATTTGACATGGTAATTATGGCACGAGGAAGGAAATCGCCTTCTCTCCCCGTTGACAATATGAAGACCTTTGTCTTTATGTGTACCATAAAGATATAACTAAATATAACATATATTATAAGATGGAAGAGCATTTTTGGTCCCCCACTCTTCCAAAAAAATTTGTCGACAGGACACCACCGCAAGAATATTTAGATGGTCGAGACAGTTTTTGCTACGAATGTTTGACACGTAAAAAGGAATCGAAGGAACATCGATTGTAACAAACTGAAAAGCATTGTACGAGAAAGGTTTTGATTCTGGATTATATCCAAAAGAATTTGTAAGTTCTACTTTATTTATAGATTGGTTTTGCGTATGTTAACTGGACAGCGTAAATAGCATTTCTGACGCAAATCTGAAATGAATGCGTCAGAAACGACTTGATGTGTTTGTTGAGATAGTAACGTAAAAGGAAACATGTATTTAGATTTTCCTGGGTGAATACATAGTTACACTTGAGTCAAACAAGAAAGAGGTCAAAGACGAGGTTTGTGTTCTCCATTCCTACATTTTATCATCAACAAATCAAAATCTTAATTGTCTGGCAAAATATGTTGTTGATGTTGTAGTTTCATTTGTGGTATGTTCATGTTTTTTCTTGCCTTGTTCTTCTGTAGCAATCATGGCTTGTAGCTCACTCTCGTCGGCGATGAAATAAATCGAAACGGAAAATTTACCTGAGGTACATACGGATGTTTTGGAACTCAGACATTAATTGCTTTTATAAAGCACTTCTATATAGTTTGTCTGAGGGCTGAGGCAGTGTGCATAGCAATCCTCGATAATTGAAAAAGGGGGTGTAATAATCATTTAAACATGTCCCTGAAACATTCAAAAATAAATAATTGGCAAACATATTGATTTTTATAAATGCAAGCTTCATTTGCTTACCGTATTTATATTTATACATTTTGCTGTTGCTTGAGGGGCTGGAAATTTTCCACATTTGCTACTGAAAGTCTGTCGTTTTCGTAAAAATAAGTTCAAATGACAACAAGTCACAATTGTTGTTTTCGAAAAATATTTATAAAATGCAATTTGAACATTGATTTTGTTTTTTTTTGGGCAAAATATAGAAGTATATAAAATAACTATTAGAATCATTTTACATATAATAAATTTTTAAAAAATAATTTGCCTGCTAATCTTCTCAAGTTCGTCATTTTTACATGGCAATCAACGGACGCATGTTTGAGACAATTGATGGATATGTATTTTATAGAATTAAGTAAAAGGACCAATGAAGAGTAGGCTGCAAGGTTTTAAAAAAACGCACGTCATTCGACAAGTAGCTACGTCATTGTACACGTGATGTATGGAAAGACGGCAGGTACAGATGTGCGCTTGCTCTTGTAGAACCTTGGGTGAACAAAGTATGATAACAATCGTTGACTCATTTCATAAGATTCTTTCCGAAATCGACTTTTAGTGACAAAGTCACATTTTTCAATGTTAGTAAAAACGTTTGATGCATGATAAATAGCAGACAGGCTCATGTTTAACCAAGAATTGTGGGGAGAGAAGAGATGGAATAAATTATAACAACTGTGAGCATTAAACAGGCAAATATCAGGTCCTTAAATACGACATCACGCTCCTCCCTTTCTTTTGCTTTAAGATCTTTTCCTTGCTGAGTATTTTATATGACATCAGTTTATTTTACGGCAAAATTACGTTAAAAATTTGTCCACCCAAAAATGCTAATGATGTCATAGTTACCGCACGTGAAGAGTTTCTTACTTTCTTACGCTCAAATAAAATGAGAAAAAGACATTTGAGAACATAGGGATCGATGTATTGGGAAATAACCCCTTGTACGATCAAAATATTAATGCTAAAATATTAATTTAATAGGAAAATTATAAAACCTCCGCTTATCTCATATGTCGTGTTCAAATCTTTTCAACGCCTTAAAATCAGGCTTCATGCCGACAATTTTCTTTCACAGTAAATTAAAAAAAATGCAATTCTGGTGGGTTTTCAATTGTGTGACTGCATGATCGGATATTAACTGAGACTTGAATTTTTCCTTAAGCGTAGTCTTGCATGTTTATGGGATGAAAATATAATTTATTACACGAGAAATATTTCGTCATCTCATTTATCTAAATATATGTATGTCCAGTGTGGTAATGATTATCTGTATTTCATCAAATTTTTATAATCTTTAATAAACAAACAGAAATCTTTTACTTGTGGCTTTGTGACTGCTATAAACTATGAGTATGAATTATCGTGGGTCGTCATAATACAAAACTATTAGATTCAATACAATTTCACCAGTTTGTTTCTTGACGATCTCCACGCTAATAACGAGGAAGGGTTTTTGATTCAGGCTAGTTAGACACATAACAACAATACAGACAATTAGTTCTGCTAAAAATCATTTAGTGTCTCCCGGAATATTTTCTCGACATTAACACCCAACCTTGCCGAACTCTCAGTAAATTTACATTTTAAATGTTTTGCAGCCAAACTTGCTTCCTCCGTGCTAACTGCTTGCCCTGAGGTCGGTAAGTCACATTTGTTTCCCACAAGCATTATTGATTTCACATGGTCTGATTTTAGTTCGAACACTTCCCTACAAATCGTCTTCGCTTCATTGAATGATTCCCTATCATCGACAGCATATAACACCAAGAAAGCGTCTCCTTGGGTAATTGTCAACCTCTTCATAGCAGGAAACTGGTCTGAGCCAGCCGTATCGTAAATTTTGAACAGGATTGAATCTTTATTGCGTTTTGATGTGAAATAATTTTCGTATACGTCTTCGGTAGTCGGTTCGTGTTCAGCATTGAATTCGTTGTGAACATAGCGCCGAATAATGTTTGTCTTACCAACACTCCCTGATCCCAGAACAATTACTTTTACCATTATAGTACCATGTGACCGTTTATTGCCTTCTTTTTTCAGGTTTTTTTGTTTCTTTAGCGGAAGAAGCTTGTTTATTACAGGACCAAAGCAGCTCTGCATGTTAAATTCCCGATTTTTTCTTGTTATCGTCACCATAACAGTCGTTTCCGAACGGACTTAAACAAAACAGTCTTTGTTGTCCTTTTTGTTTCGTATTATTTACTTTTATACCTTTCAAACCATCTTATTTCCGAGCTGGCGTGTTCGTCCTTCGATTTTTATACCATAAACGTCGGAAACCTGCGATCAAATACTTTCACGGTTGACACTTGCAGTAAATATTTAGATACCTGGGTGTGAATATTGATAATCATTACTAAATACGTGTGCATTTCATTATTCACACGTCATTGTAATCTCTAAGAGTATGCAATTTTGTGCTTTAGAGTTTATCAAATTCAAACCAAATTAAACATATTGATTAAATGCAATGCGTACATGGTATTGGTAAATTTATAACGCAAGCCGATCCTTATAAGAATTGTGCTACTGCTACACGAAATATGTGCAGCCGAACATGACCGGCTCGTGCCGTGTCAGCTTTTGCTCTGTCATTTTCTCATATTAGCATATAATTGCTTAAACACAAACCCTGCCTACATAATTTACTGCGTAAAAGCAGTTACTTTTAAATTTTAATTGCTCATATACACGACTCGTATTTATGTTTTGTTTTACATTTCCATAGAAAATACTTTGCCTACATTTGCATGCGAAATCAGCAAAACAGTGATCAGTTTGAAACTTTTTTTGAAAAATTATTTTCTGTCCATTCTAAGTCATTCATTTGCAGACTAAACATGCAGTTTAGATTTAGCGATAGCGTTAACAGATTTCGACCAAGTCAGTCAGTGTGCTTACTTTATTGTAATCACTCAAGATAACGCCCGGCTCATCGAAAAAATTGAAGCTATACGTGGCCATTTGACTTATATGACTCCTGGCAATGCTTACGTCTTCTGAATTTTAATAACAAACACGGTCACATTTTATTATAATGGTAAAGACAATTGTTCAAATATATATTTAAATTTGCCAAGAATTAAATTCATGACTGAAAGTCAACTTGGTTATCCATTCGTTTATAATACTATGTACATTGCACAACGTCTATTTAAGTTTTGTTTTATTTTGCTAAAGAAAAAGGAGTGGCGAGTGGACTTTGTTCCATTTATTGCAATCAATCAACATAACGCCCTACCACTCATGGGAAGAATTTCCCAGCTACATAGATCCACTTGACTCGTGTGACTCCTGGCAATATTTGCGTCTTTCAAATTTTAAACGTAAAGTAAGTGCGTTCCCATTGTACTTTAATAGTAAAGACGATTGTTAAAATGACGTACATTAAGTAAGGGTTAGAGCATGATTATATTTGCTCTATGGCATTTAGAATCACGAGAGTTAGATAAAAATTCACAAGGGCGTAGCTCGAACTAGTTTTAATAAAATGTGACAGACTCTTAATCCCTCAGAACACAAATGATCATGTTCTAAACGTCTTGAAGCGTGGCGAAAGCAACTTTCACTTATGTGTCGTACTTAACCTGTTTCAAAAATAATATTAAGTCAGTCTGTTCGAGGAGGTTGGGGACAATGGTTATGGCACACAAACAATTGGATTAAACACGTTAAGAAAATATTTACGCACAATGTGCAAGGCTGGGAACATCGATACCAAAAGAAAAAGATTCTCAAATCATTCTGAAAAAGTGGCGTGAACAAGAAGATACAAAGTGGGCGTTTTGATGAAAATACAATCGTGTCATCGAGCAATAATTGAAGCAATTTGCTTAGATCTACCAAAAAGCTAAGTTCTGCTAATGTTCAAGTGAAGAAAGAAATATGTCCTACAGCACCACTTATACAGAAGAGACAAAGACTTTGCTGGTTTTTTGAACACATGGGAAACACGTATGTTGTTTCATTTCAAGCTACATGCACACATGTGTGTTAGCTTTGAATTTTTGGTGTGATGTTTACTTTTTTTGATTTTGTTCGTAAGTGTTATATTGTTTTTAAAATTGTGTGCAACATGAAATATTTACATCATAACAAGATTTTAGAAATGCTTTCAATTTTATCTCCTTGTTATAGTTATTCATGTGTGCACAATAGAGTTACTACAATCATTAATGTTCTTTAACCTCATCTGTATTCTCTTTTTAGAAAATACTAATAAGGAAATGAACAATAACACAATATCTAAATGAGATTCTCTCTATATGCAAAATACTAATTAGTTTGGAGAATACTAATAAGCTATTGTATTCCATTGTTTTTGCTTTAATCCCACATTTTTCATTTTTCCCGAGCTTCAAAGCCCACGCCACCTGATCAATTTTAGACACTATAAGATATTCATCAAAGAATTAAAATATCAAAATACTGAACGCTGATTAGCCGAGTGGCTTTGGCTGTGTTCTAGTGACTGATTTGATTTACTTGTCATCACGAGTGATAAATGTGCACGAGCATTATGCTCAGCTCAATTATGTTTCAATATTCTTGAGTTTCGATTCCGCCATGTGGAAGCTCAGATACAAAACAATACAAATAATTTCTATGATGCCTATACTGGCTTGGCAAACGTTATTGTTTTTTAAGTCGCAAAAAGTTGATTGAAACCCGAGAATAGTGCTAACTTTGAATGCCCCTTCGAAACGACAGCATGCATATCTTGTGGTACATAATGCAATGCATAACGCCGGAGCCGGGAGGGCTGTGGGGGCTAAAGCCCCCACTTTTTGCAATGGTAAAACAAAAAAATATTTAGACAGAGCTGAAGTTTTTGTTTAGAAGTGTTTTTTAAGACACTGTAATAGAATAAAAGACTTAGCCCCCGCACTGTAATGAGTTAGACCGTTGGTCACACTAACAAATGAGATTTTTACTAAAATTTTAAACTGAAGTGAGGAACTAAACTACCTAAATACTTACAATAAATGATAAAAACAATTTTCTATGTAATATGCATAAATAACACTATTTTATAGAAGTTAAATATACTTATCAGTATTATAAAACTAAAATAAGCATCCTTCATTTGAAGTATATATTGATAAGCTGTTGTAGCAAGAAGTACGAAGTAATGTGATACCGTAGAATTACTATTTTGCGCACCAAATTAACTCGCTTTAATTATTTCGGCTCCGGACATGCAAACTTGCTCTAAAACCTCTAGCCAAACCACTGGTGTTATAAAAGAGATTTGAATTTTATGATGATCGTTCAAAGAATTGGATGACCAGTTGAGCAGTTTTCCCTAGAAAATTATCAAATGATTTTCTCTTGAAAAGTTGCTGACGAAAGAACTTCTTGGATTGCATACTACATAGCATCATCTTTCAAAAGAAAATGACCTGTCTGGACTGGACGCTCTATTTTTATTTGTTTACTGACTTTCACAAGTTCACTGCGACGAAGATCAGGTAGAGATTGTTCCATGACAAGTAAGCATTGTTAAATAATGTATTTTGATATTATCAACATAATTCTGTCTTGAATCTCTGGATAAATATAAGTAGCATAAATGTGTATAACTAAACTACTAACAGGATCTTTTTAATTGTTTGTTGCTTGTCAAATTATGTTTAGAATGGTTTTCAAAAGTCTTCTTCTCCTAGTTCTGGCAGCGTATTGTCAGGAGGCGGCAGGTGTACGAGGTAAATATCTCTAGTCTCTAGAAAAACTATCAGATAAAACAAACACAAGTGATATTTGTCTAAAGCAAATATTTGTACTGATTTCTTTTCAACATTTCAATGTATAGCAGTATAGGTGGTCTTCAATCACTCCCGTAAGAGTAAAAGAACAATTGATTTTCGCCATGTTGGATGACATTTGCATTGTGAATTAGGAAATTCTTTTGTCAAAAATTTTCCAACATGAAGACCATGACGTAATTTGCACATCAAGAATTCAAAAACAATAAATTGAATAAGAACATATTTCACGAATACAATTTAAACTCCCCTTCAACATTAATGCAAAAAGGTGGGTCTTCGCTTGCTTTTGGTTGATCATGGTTCTCAAGAACCAACTCATGTGTAAAATAATATTACTCATACGCATCATACGACTACCATATGGTTGTGTAACGAGAGAGCCCCATAGTAGTCAAAGCTGGAGTATTTTGTTACTGAGATTTCGTCACATCCGTTCTCTCCGTTTTTTAGTTGAAGTCGATGTTTGTTTGAAGATTTATACGGCTCGATATGGCAACGTATCTCACTACGGTGTTTATGGTAATCTTGATTTCCTGGAGTTCTCAAAGAACAAGCCAGCTGCTGTATTCAAAGTTCTTCCAAAAAGTATGCTTCAAGAGATCTCGACCAAGAAATGTGTACATAGGATAAGCAACGGGAATAAGCAGTTGGTACTTACATATGATTGTTCTGAGGCGACCATGTTTCCAGTTGATATGTGGAAATACAATTCTGTCAAGAAGTGGCTACAAGATTTAACAAGCTCTGGTGAGGTATGCTTGAGTCCGTGGACCAATTCTAGAGCGCCTTATGACATTCAAACTTTGACAGGACTTTCTCCATGCGCTCTATGGAACCAAATGAATATGATTGGAGGTACGAACACTGTAAAAACTGATTGGTTAAAATAACAATAAAAATTGGTTACCTCAGATGCATTTAACAACTTTAACCAATATATTTATGGTTACTTTAACTAATCTTTTGGTTATTTTAACCAATCAGTTTTTACAGTGAAAAGTTTAGAGTAAATAGATGAAAACAAGTACCCGACGTTTGTATTATACCTAGGGCAATTAAATGATGTAGATGATGTAATTTGGGGAATAGGTTATTGGCTATAAACAATGAAATTTGGAAATGCATAACTCAAAACGTCTTATTTCGGCAAATCTAATTTTTAGAGAATGATTTGCAAATCACTAAAAGCGTTTTTGTTAATGTATTTTAGAAAACGAAATAATTATTAACTTATCCAAAGTGACCAAGATATAATCGACTTTTTTACTGTATAAAAGTTAAATTACAATCATTCCATTGCAACACGAAGGTTCTATTTATTTGCAAAAATCAATAAATGCTGTTGATCCATTTAATCTGAAAAGTCTTGTTTTGTTTATGCCATTCGTCTCTCGATTTGTCTATTTACTCATCTAAAATAAACATACAACTACACTGGCTATTTATTTAAATTTCACGTAGACTTAAGTATCTAACATAACAAATTCTGACTAATCTTTGTTTTTCTCACTCTTTTTCGTCTCTAATTTAGTTCCTTGCCCGGCTGCCTCGTCAGACGAACTCGAAAAGCAGAAGTATTAAATAAAGAAATTTGAAAGCAAAAACGCGGATAATTCAAATACTAAACAGAAAACATGTATGTTCACCAATTCTGTGATATAAATATAAATTGGATTAGGGCTTATATTTATATGTTTTCATTTTAATGTGTTCTCTTAAGCTCAGGTGAATATAGCTAATGCAGCGAATCAATTAGCTAATTTTGGTAAATTATGAAGAAAAATTAATCTAACCAACGAACTGGTCCTTTTCCCTAAACAAAGTACGGTTTATAAATTCCTGACTGATATTTTGATCGTCGGAAATCAAAGTCATCGATTGTACTGTATAGGTTATATATGCTGGATGAATTAGTTAAGCATGATATCAAGAAATCTTCAGACCACAGATTAATTATACAAAAACCAATTTAATAATTGTTTTACTTCTACCAGCTAAATGCTGAAGCTTTTAGATTATTTTATACGGCTACGGAAGCATAAGTTTTTTGTGCTTCGCGACATGTAAACTGATAGTTTCAGCGATTTGCCTTCGTCTTTTCCACCTAAATACTCCGGGAAGATTTCGCCACAAATTTTCTGTGTTTTTAGTCATCCCATTAAAAATTACGTCACGTACAGTTCATTTTCGATGTTTTGTTGGTGGCAAGACCCTGAGTATGATCTATAGGCTCTTAGCCAATTACAATCGAGATTGCGCGATCATTGTATAATAAATAATACTCACATGACAAAATCAATCGTATGTTTACAAAATATACGGATGTTACCTATATCAATTTGCAAAATATCCGATTGACATATTTTGAAATATAAAGATGCAACATTCCCGATAAATCGTAACTCCTGACGACAATGATGATGTGATGAAAAGTGAAAATATTTTCTTTTAATGAAGATAAACACTCACTGTCTGTTTCATATAACATTACATTGATCTTCATCGAATTAATGTTTTTCGGATATGACCATTGTTCTTTTTACGATTATTTATACATATTTGCTTTGTGATCTAAACCATGCAACCTTAGTCCTAAACACGGATCAAAGCAACGTGACCTACACGCATGACCCGTACTCTAAAATGATTAATTAAAGGATCGTATTTGCAAATTGTTTTTATTAATAGCATTGATCATATTTCTATATAAATATATGGTGAAATTCACACCAGGCTCCACTCTCTGGGATCACCAAAAATGGCAAGATTCATATCAATACATTCTAATGTGACAAAAGACACAATCATAGTCTACAAATTCATTTTTATCATAAAATACCGACATTGTTTTATCAACTCTTAAAGTTGTAGGCACCAGTAGTATTCATAACTATAATTAACACTTCATGGAGTATTGTTCGTCTTTGCCTCAAATCAAGAACGGCAGAAGATTGATCACATTTTTTCTTTCTTAATTGAAATCTATTGTAATTATAGATTATACATTATAAATGTATGACATTGGCCCCCCAAATTATCCATCTTCTCGCGCCTTTACCTAAAATGGAGCAAAGGTATATTCAAGTATCATTATAGCAAGTCAGTGATGTCACCGATGATTATTAAAAAGAGTTAGCGAGTCATTGGACGATGGTAAAATATCTTGACTCGATGATAAATCAATGTCCCTCAAGACGGTTTTCATTTTGTTTCTTCCCTGCGCAGACTATTTTTGGATGTTTGTACATTCCTGTCACACAATCGAAATTAAACATGTTTATTACTTTTGTTGCTCATAACAAATATGCCTAGTGTACGCTGACAATATATATCATTGTAACTCTTGTCCGCCTTCAGTTCAAAAAACTACCATACACATCATGTGCTAATCACACTACTGTTAATTTTTCAGATCACTTTATCAAATATTTTGTTTTGTAAATACTTATTAGTTTTGTATAACGATAATACGCATCTTTCAATTACAGTATACTGATACTCTTTACTGGCAAAAAATACGAAATCATGCATGATTTCGTATTACTTGGAATACTTGGAAAACCAGTTAATTGTAGCTGAGGATCTTGCTTTGAAAATTATTTTGTCATTTTTTCTTGGAAAAAATTCTTGGAAACGTCTTGAGTTGCATATTACATAGAATCATTATTCAAGGAAAAGGTTGGTGACCTTCATGTCCGGAAGAGTTAATATGATATGACCAAACTGATGGCATAAATTAAACACCATACCCTTTTTATTTTCATTTGTTTTCTCTCTCGCTTGAGATAATATCAACGAAGCAGAAGTGGAGATTGTGCGATAAACAAAGTAAGCGTTTTTCAATAACGTATTTTGGCATATCAATATAATTTCTGTCTTCAATCTCAGGAGTGTGTGTATATTTTATAACACGTAACATGGTAACAGAATCTATTTAATTGATTGTTTCTTGTTTGTCAAATTATATTTAGAATGGTATTGAAAAGTCTTCTTCTCCTAGTTTTGGCAGCGTATTGTCAGGCTGCAAGTTCACGAGGTATATCGCTTTGGTTTTTAGAAATTGATCTGCAATGTTTAACTATTCGATATATTCAATGCAATGTAATACCCGTCTTAAGCAAATATTTTTTGCTGCTGTCGTTATAGTAAATTGAATCATAACATATCCCCAAATGCAATTTGACATTATCCACCTTAACTTACGCAAAATAGTTTAAATGGATAAAATTATTGTTAAACTTATTACTAATCTAGTTCATGGATAACTACAGGTTTCTCCTTATCCTTTCTTTCTATTTCGTATGTACAGTTGAAAATAGTCTTTGTCTCAAGATTTATTCTGCTCGATACGGTTACGTATCTCGCTATGGTCCTTATAATGATCTCGATTTGTTGGAGTTTTCAAAGACCAAACCAGCAGCTGTATTCAAAGTCATTCCAACACGCATCCTTCAAGAGATCAAGAGCCAAAAATGTGTACACAGGATAACCAACACAAATATGCAGTTGGTACTTAAACATGATTGTTCAAATGGGCTTTTGAATCCAGTTGATAAGTGGATGTACAATGACTTCAAGCTGCAAGATTACACAGCCCCAGGTGCACCATGCTGGAGCCCATGGAATTATCAAGGTCGAGATCCTCCTGCAGTCAAATTTGTGCCAGGTCTTTCTACATGTGCTGAATATAACAAAATAAATTTGGTCATAGGTATGTAAAGCTCAACAAACTCTTTAGATTATATTGATGAAAACCATAAATTGACACTAAGAATGTTATAGATGGCAAATAGCTAATTTATTTTTTGGGAACCTGCAAAAATAATGCCGTTTAATCACTATGTAATAAAATTAAAAAATGCATGCAACTAACAACTCCTCATTTCTAAAATTTCGACGTTCGGAGATAAATTTGAAAATAGTTTTGTTAACAAAACAGTGACTAAGTCATACTGACGCATTGGTAAGCGTTTTTATAATGAAAATTACGACCAATCATCCCCCGTTCTCGAGCACAGATTCATTTGCAAACATCAGTTGAACGATGCTAATGATCGTTTAATCTGAATGATCTTATATATTGTTTATGTTATTCGTGTATTTTACTTATCTAAAGTAAACTCGCGGCAAAACTAGTATGTTATTCCATCTTTTATGTGTCAATGCATATTCATAAGAGTTTCATTACAGTTTACAACTAATAGTTTGCTCTAAACATAAATAATGGGAAAAAACTTATATATGATAAAGAAACAGACAGTCCACATTATTTAAAATGAACCAATTTTGTATCGGTGGAGTTTTCCTATCATAATAAAATGCACTCGTGAACTCAATCTAAAACGTTTCGTCTGGCTATTATTTTAACTTTCACAAAATAACCTTCGTTTTTGTCATTATCTTCTCTAGTTTCCTGTCCAGATGCCTCCTCAGACGAATTCCATAGTCAGAAGTACTAAGAAAAGAAAATTGAATGGAAAGACGTGTGTAATTGAAATAGTAAAATGAAAACATGTATGTTTACCAATTCTATATGACTAATAAAAGTTGAATTTCTGCGCACTTTCATTTTCATTTTAATGTGTTCTCTGATAGTTGATATAATGTGATCAATTAAATTTGGTTAATTATGAACACAAAAGGATCTAATTTCATCCAACGAAGTCACTTTCCCGAAAAGTTACGGCTTACCAGCTCCTGGCTGATATTTTGATGCCTAGCCTCCGTTATCACGTAGAAGCTCAGTTACTAACATACTTTTATCTTACTTTTACAAGATTCGCGATTATTCTCTGTATCAACCTGCAAAATATTCGATGTGGGGTTAATAAACAAATAGCTCGACTTATAGTTTGAAATTTTAATGAGCATTTGCTATAAATCAAAACTCCTCATAACAAGAAGGACATGTAATGAACAATGAAAATATTTTCTTTTACTGAATATAAACACACATCATGTCTGACTGTACATAGACCATATATATCATTGCGAATCTTGTACGCCTTTAGTTTATAAAAGTACCATACACATGATGTGAAAATCCCACTACTGTTAATTTGGCAAATCACTTCATTAAAGATATCGTTTTCTAAATACTTATTTGTTTAATACAACGATAATACGCATCTTCCAATCATTGTATATTGATACTCTTTACTGGCAAAAAAATGCGAAATCACGTGATGTTACTCGATTTCGTCTTTTGCTTGCACATCGAAATACTCGGAATACCGGTTACTTGCAACTGAGGATTTTTCTTTGAAAATTATTATGTCAATTGCTCTTGCCGAAAAATGCTGACGAAAAATTAACTTCTTGCGTTGCATTTTACGTAGAATCATTATATTGAAGGAAAAGGTCGGTGACCTCATGTCTGGGAAGAGATAATATATGACCAAACTGATGGTATAAAATAAATACCACACTATTTCTATTTTCGTTTGTTTTCTCTCTCGCTTGAGATCACATCAACGAATCAGAGGTGGAGATTGTGCGATAAAAAAAGTAAGCGTTTTTTAATAACGTATTTCGGCATGTCAACATAATTTCTTTTATAAATCTCAGGAGTGTGTGTGTATTTTATAACATTTAAAACGGTAACAGAATATGTTTAGTTAATTGTTTTTGTTTGTCAAATTATATTTAGAATGGTATTGAAAAGTCTTCTCCTAGTTTTGGTAGCGAATTGTCAGGCTGCAAGTTCACGAGGTATATCGCTTTGGTCTTTCGAAATTGATCTGCAATGTTTAATTTTTCGAAATATTTAATGAAATGTAATACCAGTATTGCAAATATTTGTGCTGCTACACCCGGGCTCATGTAATAAAAGTATGAAAAAAGAGCACTGACTTGCTTTTTATTAAATTTTCTGAAATTTTCATTTAAAGCCCTTGTATAGTTGAACCGCAAATGATCTAATGTAAACTCCCATTAGACGTTTAACTAATTCTAGAGGCTTTCGGGGTGGAAAAGACTGTAAATTATATGATGAGTTTAAAAGCGAAAAGTAATTATATTATTTCTATCAACTTATAGTGTGAACAAATGAAAAATAAACTAAAAATAAATAGTTGAACTCAATCAGTAACCATTATTATAGATGTCTCATGCTCCAAGGGGTGAGGTGCTCATTATTTTGGACTTCGGCCAGTAAGGGCGAATTTTAATGTTTGCCATGATAAATCCCAAAAGATTGGTTTTAGTTAACAGTTTGCTTTTAAAGTTTAACTGTACACCATCTACGTAAGTAGATTGTAGTCAGCTTTAGACATGTAGCGAAGAGAGACAGACGTTTCCAGTATTTCTCGTATTTTGATATTCGCTATACTGTTATAAACTGTATGTGTTTGCGCAACAAATATTTGTAATAGAGCTGTGCAATAGATGCAGAATATTTTAAAAGAAATTTTTAACGTGCGCACATTCATGAAATCATGGTTGTTAAGAAATATATTTTATTAATGAAATGCTTATATTTACTGTTATATAATCATTGTATTACGAGTATTTATTTTTAATTTTTCGTGTCGTATAAGCGACTTAGATTGTGCCATTTATTAAATCGGAAGAAAAGACCAACGTGAAACTTCCTGAATCCTCTTTGATGTATTCTTTCTGAAAATAACATTTACAGGCTCTTAGCCAATCACAATCGAGATAGCGCGATCAATGTATAATAAATAATACTCACATGACAAAATCAATGTAGGATGTTACCCTTTTGCAAAATATCCGATTGACATATTTTAAAATATAAAAATGCAACATTCACGATAAATCTTAACTCCTGACGACAACGATGATGTGATGAAAAGTGAAAATATTTTCTTTTAATGAAGATAAACACTCACTGTCTGTTTCATAAAACATTACATTGATCTTCATCGAATTAATGTTTTTCGGATATGACCATTATTCTTTTTACAATTATTTATACATATTTGCTTTGTGATCTAAACCATGCAACCTTAGTCCTAAACACGGATCAAAGCAACGTGACCTACACGCATGACCCGTACTCTAAAATGATTAATTAAAGTGTCGTATTTGCAAATTGTTTTTATCAATAACATTGATCATATTTCTATATAAATATATGGTGAAATTCACACCAGGCTCCACTCTCTGGGATCACCAAAAATGGCAAGATTCATATCAATACATTCTAATGTGACAAAAGACACAATCATAGTCCACAAATTCATTTTTATCATAAAATACCGACATTGTTTTAATAACTCTTAAAATTGTAGGCACCAGTAGTATTCATAACTATAATTAACACTTCATGGAGTATTGTTCGTCTTTGCCTCAAATCAAGAACGGCAGAAGATTGATCACATCTTTTATTTCTAAATTGAAATCTATTGTAATTATAGATTATACATTATAAATGTATGACTTTGGCCCCCCAAATGATCCATCTTCTCGCGCTTTTACCTAAAATGGAGCAAAGGTATGTTCAAGTATCATTATAGCAAGTCAGTGATGTCACCGATGATTATTAAAAAGAGTTAGCGAGTCATTGGACGATGGTAAAATATCTTGACTCGATGATAAATCAATGTCCCTCAAGACGGTTTTCATTTTGTTTCTTTCCTACGCAGACTATTTTTGGATGTTTGTACATTCCTGTCACACAATCGAAATATAAACATGTTTATCACTTTTGTTGCTCATAACAAATATGCCTAGTGTACGCTGACAATTTATATCATTGTAACTCTTGTCCGCCTTCAGTTCAAAAAAGTACCATACACATCATGTGCTAATCACACTACTGTTAATTTTTCAGATCACTTTATCAAATATTTTGTTTTGTAAATACTTATTAGTTTTGTATAACGATAATACGCATCTTTCAATTATAGTATACTGATACCCTTTCATGCATGATTTCGTATTACTTGGAATACTTGGAAAACCAGTTACTTGTAGCTGAGGATCTTGCTTTGAAAATTATTTTGTCATTTTTTCTTGGAAAAAATTCTTGGAAACGTTTTGCGTTGCATATCACATAGAATCATTATTAAAGGAAAAGGTTGGTGACCTTCATGTCCGGAAAGAGTTAATATGATATGACCAAACTGATGGTATAAAATAAACACCATACCCTTTTTATTTTCATTTGTTTTCTCTCTCGCTTGAGATCACATCAACGAAGCAGAAGTGGAGATTGTGCGATAAAAAAAGTAAGCGTTTTTTAATAACGTATTTCGGCATGTCAACATAATTTCTTTTATAAATCTCAGGAGTGTGTGTGTATTTTATAACACTTAACACGGTAACAGAATATGTTTAGTTAATTGTTTTTGTTTGTCAAATTATATTTAGAATGGTATTGAAAAGTCTTCTTCTCCTAGTTTTGGCAGCGTATTGTCAGGCTGCAAGTTCACGAGGTATATCACTTTGGTCTTAAGAAATTGATCTGCAATGTTTAACTATTCGATATATTCAATGAAATGTAATACCTGTTTTAAGCAAATATTTTTTACTGCTTTCGTTACAGCAAATTGAATGATAACATATCCCCAAAATGCAATTTGACATTATCCATCTTAACTTACGCAAAATAGTTTAAATGGATAAAATTATTGTTAAACTTATTACTAATCTAGTTCATGGATAGCTACAGGTTTTTCCACATCCTTTCTTTCTATTTCGTATGTACAGTTGAAAATAGTCTTTGTCTCAAGCAAATATTTGGGCGGCCTTCTTTGCAACAAATTGAGTAATAAAATATTTCAATAATGCGATTTGACATGATCCAATTAAATAAACTTACAAAAAATAGATCTTTGCCAATCTAGTTCACGGTCAACAACAGGGTTTTGCTGACATCCTTTCTTTCCATTTCTTATAGTTGAAAAAAACGTTTGTTTCAAGATTTATTCTGCTCGATATGGCTACGTAGCGCATTATGGTATTTATGACGATCTTGATTTGCTGGAGTTTTCCTTTTACAAACCCGCTGCTGTATTCAAATTTCTTCCAAATTTTGCTTCAAGAGATGTCGACCAAGAAATGTGTACATAGGTTAAGCAACGGAAATAGGCAGTTGGTACTTAGATATAATTGTTCTGAGGCGAGCGTGTTTCCAGTTGATATCTGGAAATACAATTCTTTCAAGAAGTGGCTAATAGATGTCACATGCCCTGGTTTTGTATGCTGGAGCCCATGGGCTAATTCTATACCACCTTATGACATCAAGATATTGGCAGGTCTTTCTCCATGCGATGTATGGAATCAAGTGAATTTGGTCTTAGGTATGGAAAGTCTAACAAACTTTTCGTATGAAATGCATAAAAACCATCAATTGACATTTGCATTTGTATCTATTTTGGAAAATTATATTATGCGATGCATTTTGAAATGCATAACTTAAAACTCTTCACTTTAGAAAATTCAAAGTTGAAAATAATATAAGCAATTATTGGTTGCTTTCATAATATTTTAAGCATTTTTAATATTCGAAAGACACCATATATCATAGGTTGAAAGTAATTATGTAATGATTCTATGTAATCATTGTGTTTCTCATTATTTAATTCTTATCTATAATTTCAGTTTCCTGCACTGCCGGCTCGCCAGACGAACTTAAAAACCAGAAGTATTACATGAAGAAATATAAAAGCATGAACGCTAAATGAAGTAGTAAGCAGACAAGATATATGTAAAACAATTCTAGGATTTTAATAAAAAGTGGATTTTTCTATCTAATTCAATGTATTAAATTACAAGTATAAAGGAATATATATATAATAGCTATTTACATAATATTAAATTACATGATGGGATGAAAACGTGATAGTAAATATGGGATAAGATGGTATGACTACTTTTCCCACGTCATACCATCTTATCCCATATTTACTATCACGTTTTCATCCCACCATGTAATTCAATGTAATGTAATTAGTTGGATTAGATAAATTATAAACAAAAAATACATATAGTTTCATCCAATCAAGTCTCTTGACGGAAGCAAATTACGGTTTATCAGTTCCATGCTCATTTATGTTATAACTAAAGTTATTTTATGTTTCCACTTACAGCTTGCGTGACTACTTTCGTTCACAAACAGGGACGTAGAAAAGACAAAAAAAGGGAGGGTGTACATCCAAGAAATTATGAGCGCCAACTTAGGGATAACATTATGTTTTCTGCACGCTATAAAGATTAGATACAAACGAAAATTCATGTATAACTATAAACATTGTAAAACGAGATTTTTGGAGCAAGTGAAAAGTGAGTGATGCATTTTATGATATCTTAGTTAGCCTAACTTGGTTGCAACATTATCTGATGAGATAGAAGACAACCCGCTTCTATTTTTGAAAACGACAGTGATGATTTACTTTATTAATTTACCGATTGTTAGATTGTCATTGTTAGATGTTATGTTTACAGCTAAGATGCATGTATAAAACGTTATCAGTATATATAAAGTATAAGTTGGCACTACCCCTCTTCTTAATGAGAAGATCATAGACCAGCTCCTTTTCCTCATGCAAGCTTCCCACACTCATATGCGCGAATAATTTTAGTATGCATAAATAATTAGTTGGGTTCTACCTGGACTAGTTAACACAGCATTTTATTGACTAAGAGACTGTTTGCATGATCCCGGCTAGCCAGGATTCCGTGTGGCGTGAAATGATTTCAAAGCATTGAAAGGAAGCAAAACTTCAAGCGTAAAATTCAGTACAATTGTTTGTTAAGGGCCACAAGTCATTCCTGTTTTAATTCTCAAATTAGGCCAAATGGGTTGTTTTAATTTTAAATGTTTTGTGTAGTTATTAAATCAGAACATTGTGAAATTTTCGAGAAGATTTATCTGATGATGAGTATTGAATTGTTTCCATTTGCCAAAATCATTTATCGCTTAGCCATGGGCCCCGCTACCCGGGCTCATGTAATAGAAATATGGAAAAGAGCACTGACTTGCTTTTATTAAATTTTCTGAAATTTTCATTCAAAGCCCTTGTATAGTTGAACCGCAAATGATCTAATGTAAACTCTCATTAAACGTTTAACTAATTCTAGAGGCTTTCGGGGTGGAGAAGACTGTAAATTATACCATGAGTTTAAAAGCGAAAAGTAATTATGTTATTTCTATCAACTTATAGTGTAAACAAATGAAAAATAAACTAAAAATAAATAGTTTAACTCAATCAGTAATTATTATTATAATATATCGATGATGGTATTGTAGGGGTAGGCGTCGTATTAGAGAGAGAGAGAGAGAGAGAGAGGGGCGTTTATTAGAGATAGATGTATAAGAAGGTCCAGCAGATGAGGTCATTATTAGAGAAAAATGTCTCATGCTCTAAGGGGTGAGGTTCTCATTATTTTGGACTTCGGCCAGGAAGGGCGAATTTTAATGTTTGGCATGATAAATCCCAAAAGATTGGTTTTAGTTAACATTTTGCTTTTAAAGTTTAACTGTACACCATTTACGTAAGTAGATTGTAGTCAGCTTTAGACATGTAGCGGAGAGAGACAGACGTTTCCAGTATTTCTCGTATTTTGATATTCGCTATACTGTTATAAACTGTATGTGTTTGCGCAACAAATATTTATAATAGAGCTGTGCAATAGATGCAGAATATTTTAAAAGAAATTTTTAACGTGCGCACATTCATGAAAGCATGGTTGATAAGAAATATACTTTATTAATGAAATGGTTATATTTACTGTTATATAATCATTATATTACGAGTATTTATTTTTAACTTTTCGTGTTAATAAATCGGAAGAAGAGACCAACGTGAAACTTCCTGAATCCTCTTTGATGTATTCTTTCTGAAAATAACATCTTGCAGAACACATTTGACATCTTTATCATTCTTTTAAAACTAAATGTTCCTTCATATAAGACAAATTTTCGTCTTGGATCGTACGGTTGTCTGCTGTATTGGCTCACTGAGCCTCAAAGCAAGTGTGAAGGAAAATATATTATTATTGTTCTCATTCTTTTATTACTATTTCACGTAACATGAGCTTTTTACCGTGATACATTAACAGCCAATAGATGCTCGAGCTCGTAGGCGTTTGCTTTTCATTTAACACAATTTTGCTTTTAAATTATCCATTGCTACACCATCTTTGGAGAGATTGACTTGATTTTTGGTAAGATGGATATTTGCCCAACTCGTGGGTAAAAATTCTCAGGCTGAAGTTTTTTCTCAAACCTCAGACTAACGCACACAATCCCCTGTCCCTACCTAAATTTTGCATTAATTTTAGTATTTTAACTTTTAAGCCTCGTTTTATGGAAGTGAGGAGATAGAGAATTCATCATTCATCGAGTTACTTCGCCTTCATTTCTGTGCCTGCTATGCTTTTGGCCCCAGTGAGCAGTTTCCTAACACAAGTTAATGGATCGTTTAAACACAACCGTCCAACATTATCCAATGTGCATCCAACAATGTTGTACGATGTTGGTCCAACATTGTTGGATCGTTTAAACGGGCCTTTAGATTGTGCTATTTATTAAATCGGAAGAAAAGACCAACGTGAAACTTCCTGAATCCTCTTTGATGTATTCTTTCTGAAAATAACATTTACAGTCTCTTAGCCAATCACAATCGAGATAGCGCGATCATTGTATAATAAATAATACTCACATGACAAAATCAATGTAGGATGTTACCCTTTTGCAAAATATCCGATTGACATATTTTAAAATATAAAGATGCAACATTCGCGATAAATCTTAACTCCTGACGACAACGATGATGTGATGAAAAGTGAAAATATTTTCTTTTAATAAAGATAAACACTCACTGTGACACTGTCTGTTTCATATAACATTACATTGATCTTCATCGAATTAATGTTTTTTCGGATATGACCATTATTCTTTTTACAATTATTTATACATATTTGCTTTGTGATCTAAACCATGCAACCTTAGTCCTAAACACGGATCAAAGCAACGTGACCTACACGCATGACCCGTACTCTAAAATGATTAATTAAAGGATCGTATTTGCAAATTGTTTTTATCAATAACATTGATCATATTTCTATATAAATATATGGTGAAATTCACACCAGGCTCCACTCTCTGGGATCAACAAAAATGGCAAGATTCATATCAATACATTCTAATGTGACAAAAGACACAATCATAGTCCACAAATTCATTTTTATCATAAAATACCGACATTGTTTTATCAACTCTTAAGTTTTAGGCACCGGTAGTATTCATAACTGTAACTAACACTTCAAGGAGTATTGTTCTTCTTTGCCTCAAATCAAGAACGGCAGAAGATTGATCACATCTTTTATTTCTTAATTGAAATCTATTGTAATTATATATTATGCATTATAAATGTATGATTTTGGCCCCCCAAATGATTCCTCTTCTCGCGCCTTTACCTAAAATGGAGCAAAGGTATATTCAAGTATCATTATAGCAAGTCAGTGATGTCACCGATGATTATTAAAAAGAGTTAGCGAGTCATTGGACGATGGTAAAATATCTTGACTCGATGATAAATCAATGTCCCTCAAGACGGTTTTCATTTTGTTTCTTCCCTGCGCAGACTATTTTTGGATGTTTGTACATTCCTGTCACACAATCGAAATATAAACATGTTTATTACTTTTGTTGCTCATAACAAATATGCCTAGTGTACGCTGACAATTTATATCATTGTAACTCTTGTCCGCCTTCAGTTCAAAAAAGTACCATACACATCATGTGCTAATCACACTACTGTTAAGTTTTCAGATCACTTTATCAAATATTTTGTTTTGTAAATACTTATTAGTTTTGTATAACGATAATACGCATCTTTCAATTATAGTATACTGATACCCTTTCATGCATGATTTCGTATTACTTGGAATTCTCGGAAAACCAGTTACTTGTAGCTGAGAATCTTGCTTTGAAAATTATTTTGTCATTTTTTCATGGAAAAAATTCTTTGAAACAAACTTCCTGCGTTGCATATTACATAGAATCACTATTCAAGGAAAAGGTTGGTGACCTTCATATCCGGAAAAAGTTAGTATGATATGACCAAACTGATGGTATAAAATAAACACCATACCCTTTTTATTTTCATTTGTTTTTTCTCTCGCTTGAGATAATATCAACGAAGCAGAAGTGGAGATTGTGCGATAAACAAAGTAAGCGTTTTTCAATAACGTATTTTGGCATATCAATATAATTTCTGTCTTCAATCTCAGGAGTGTGTGTATATTTATAACATGTAACATGGTAACAGAATCTGTTTAATTGATTGCTTCTTGTTTGTCAAATTATATTTAGAATGGTATTGAAAAGTCTTCTTCTCCTAGTTTTGGCAGCGTATTGTCAGGCTGCAAGTTCACGAGGTATATCACTTTGTTCTTAAGAAATTGATCTGCAATGTTTAACTATTCGATATACTCAATGCAATGTAATACCTGTTTTAAGCAAATATTTTTTGCTGCTTTCCTTACAGCAAATTGAATGATACCATATCCCCAAAATGCAATTTGACATTATCCATGTTAACTTACGCAAAAGAGTTTAAATGGATAAAATTATTGTTAAACTTATTACTAATCTAGTTTATGGACAGCTACAGGTTTTTCCACATCCTTTCTTTCTATTTCGTATGTACAGTTGAAAATAGTCTTTGTCTCAAGCAAATATTTGGGCGGCCTTCTTTGCAACAAATTGAGTAATAAAATATTTCAATAATGCGATTTGACACGATCCAATTAAATACACTTATAAAAAATAGATCTTTGCCAATCAAGTTCACGGTCAACAGCAGGGTTTTGCTGACATCCTTTCTTTCCATTTCGTATAGTTGAAAAAAACGTTTGTTTCAAGATTTATTCTGCTCGATATGGCTACGTAGCGCATTATGGTATTTATGCTGATCTTGATTTGCTGGAGTTTTCCTTTTACAAACCCGCTGTTGTATTCAAATTTCTTCCAAATGGTATGCTTCAAGAGATGTCGACCAAGAAATGTGTACATAGGTTAAGCAACGGAAATAGGCAGTTGGTACTTACATATGATTGTTCTAAGGCGAGCATGTTTCCAGTTGATATCTGGAAATACAATTCTGTCAAGAAGTGGCTAATAGATGTCACATGCCCTGGTTTGGTATGCTGGAGCCCATGGGCTAATCATATACCACCTTATGACATCAAGATATTGGCAGGTCTTTCTCCATGCGATGTATGGAATCAAGTGAATTTGGTCTTAGGTATGGAAAGTCTAACAAACTTTTCGTATGAAATGCATAAAAACCATCAATTGACATTTGCATTTGTATCTATTTTGGAAAATTATATTATGCGATGCATTTTGAAATGCATAACTTAAAACTCTTTACTTTAGAAAATTCAAAGTTGAAAATAATATATGCAATTATTGGTTGTTTTCATAATATTTTGAACATTTTTAATATTCAAAAGACGCCATATATCATAGGTTGAAAGTAATTATGTAATGATTCTATGTAATCATTGTGTTTCTCATTATTTAATTCTTATCTATAATTTCAGTTTCCTGCACTGCCGGCTCGCCAGACGAACTCAAAAACCAGAAGTATTACATGAAGAAATATAAAAGCATGAACGCTAAATGAAATAGTAAGCAGACAAGATATATGTAAAACAATTCTAGGATTTTAATAAAAAGTGGATTTTTCTATCTAATTCAATGTATTAAATTACAAGTATGAAGGGATCTATATATAAAAGCTTTTTACATAATATTAAATTGCATGGTGGGATGAAAACGTGATACCTTACTTGTATTGAAATTCGAGTAGTACTCATTTTCGCTCAGCTTTAAATTCGCGCGATTTAATTTCGCGCACTTTGTTGACAATTATTCGCGCAGCTTTAAATTCGCGCAAGTAGTTTTATATGCTCGTTCTTTTTGGTTTGTTCAAAAGAACTATTATTAATTAACGCATTTATATTGAGCTTTCTTTATTAAGAAATACCTCAATATTCATCAAAAAAGCGATTGGGTGGCCTCAAAAATGGCTTCAAAATAAAGCGTGAGTTCACTATCCCAACAAGAACTAAAAAATGTAATAAATGATATTGCCTAACAATATACTTTATAAGCCAAACAAAAGTTTAGCTACAGTTCAAATGGATCCTCTTTTCGTTGTGGTTCCTCCAATGCGGCGCTCACACCTGATCGTTGCCAACCTTTGACGACAATATCCTTGTTCGATTGCATGTAATCATAGAACTGCACTATCCATTTTGCGTGAAGTGGTTTGAGCACGCTAATTCTCAAATCAACAGAAACTTTATCAGGTTGAATACCTTTCTCTATTTGGGCTTGGACTTGCTCTGAGTACAATGTTTGCGCCTGGTTTCGAAGGAAAGCTTTGCAAGAGCGATTGACCGTTAAATCTAAGGGCTGCAGGTATGATGTCATATTATTGGGAACAGGTATCATCTTCCCATTATTGTCGGAAATGATCTTCTTTACGGCATCCGTCCAATGTGCTTTAAAAACATCGGCGATCAAAACCCATTGTTTTGTTGCGCGAAAACCAAGCTCTTCTCTAATTTGCTTAACATAGGGGATAAGAATGCAATTGACTAATTCAATTGCTTTCGTTTCATTTCACCAATGATTTTCCGTGTGGGTAACGTTGAATTCTTTTGGAAATCTGAATTTAGGGTGACACCGGTCTGTTTTCCCCTGGTAGATTAGTTGAATTGGCAGAAACTTTCCCGACGCGGTGACTGAGAATGTTCCAGTAATTTGGCGATAATCGGCGCTATCACTGATCGGCACAAACTTCTCGTTAGTTTTGTCCATTGTATACTTGCTGATGAGGACAAACGGGAGAGGGGTCTGGTCAATGTTTATAATGAGATCGTCGGGAACGTCATAAGCGGTAACCACTTCATTAATAGAACGATGAAACGTGAAGTGAATTTCTTTTAAGAAGCCAGGTGATACGGGTTGTTTTGCAGTTGTTGCTCTACGTTTACTGAAACCCAATCTTCTGAAAATTGACTGGCACCATGTATAGTGGAATTCTAGGATTCCTCCGTTTTCTTTCAACAAAGACCGATCATTAGCCAGTACTATCCCCTTCGCTATGGAAATAGCAATGTTGTAATTGACAACACAACCGGCCGTTCTCATGCTCTTGATCATGGCGATAACTTTCTCATCGATGTTCTCGGGTAACAAAATTTTTGCTCCACGATGTTTTCTTGGCAATTGTTCGAGTTCAGTGCGCTCTTTTCGTTCCTTATTGTACGATTTGACAAGTCCACGAACAGTTGACTCTGGTACGGAATACTTTCTTGCCGCCGGTCTTATTCCATGCACAATTTCCCATTTTGCAATTTCTGCTCGTTGAAAAGCATCATATGCTCCATATTTGCCCCTCCTTTTCTTTGGTTCTGGAGCGTCAAGAAATAATTGCTGTTTTACTGCATTTTCTTCGGCAGCATTTAATTTGCTGTCAGACGACGCGACCGAAATATCGTCTTGGGAAACCTTTTTGAAATATTTTAACAGAGCCATGTGCGTTGATTTCCCGCACAATGTTTTCTGTTGGCAATACTTGAATATGTGTTGCGGAAACGTTTGACGTATTCGGCAATTAGTTAATAAGGAAGTAAAATCAGTCAGTAAAATAATAATAGAACATCATATCTAACACCTAAAGAAACGTGACTCATCATTGACTATTGTGTTGGAGAAATGGAAAGCATTTGCATCGTGTGCAATGATTTGACAAAATACACTTGTCTAAAATGCAAATCATTTGTTTGTAACCGAGGAATCAAGTGTTCAATCCCTTCATCTGAAAACTATCCTGGATGGAAAAGTGGTTCGAGTGTTGCTTTATGTGAAGCGTGCGACGAGAAAGAAAATTACGCATCTGATTGCTTGCTTCAGGAAACCCACGATTCAGGAACGGATGATTCTAATTCAGTGAAACTGAGCCCCAAGGGACATCGTTTTCTCTGGCTTGCGCATCACGAGGTTTTCATGAATACAGAAAAATCTGGGCTCCAAGAATCAACCAGCAGTTAATAATAAAACCAGAATCAGGAAACCTATTCGACCCATATGCTATTTGTCTGTTTACCAAAATCAGAGGCAAGATTGAACCATTGTCACTGGTCGGACATTTGCCTCGAGAGATTTCCCGATTTTGCAAGTTCTTTTGAATATGGGGCAATATAGAAGCATGTTTGTGTGACATCAAATTTCGTTGATCCCCATTACCACAAGGAGGCTTGGAGATTCCTATTACCCTAACAGTCATGCAGAACAATGCAAGTTTTAGGATATACAGCAAAATGCAGGTATTCGTGACGGAATACTACGTAGAACCTGAGAATATCCCGACTGAAATTGTACAGGATGAAAATGAAGACATTTTTGATTTTTAATGTTACCAGGACAACTAAAAACATATGTCAATATGTATATGCGTTAATAAAACAGCTGATTTGCATAACCAACAATGAATGTCTCATATTACACTACAAAGCTTTTCGCGCGGATTATATTTCGCGCAATACTAAAATTCGCGCACTCAGCGCTGCGCGAATTCTAGTACTGCGCGAATTTTAATACAAGTAAGGTATAAACATTGTAAAACGAGATTTTTGGAGCAAGTGAAAAGTGAGTGATGCATTTTATGATATCTTAGTTAGCCTAACTTGGTTGCAACATTATCTGATGAGATAGAAGACAACCCGCTTCTATTTTTGAAAATGGCAATGATGATTTACTTTATTAATTTACCAATTGTTAGATTGTCATTGTTAGATGTTATGTTTACAGCTAAGATGCATGTATAAAACGTTATCAGTATATATAAAGTATAAGTTGGCACTACCCCTCTTCTTAATGAGAAGATCATAGACCAGCTCCTTTTCCTCATGCAAGCTTCCCACACTCATATGCGCGAATAATTTTAGTATGCATAAATAATTAGTTGGGTTCTACCTGGACTAGTTAACACAGCATTTTATTGACTAAGAGACTGTTTGCATGATCCCGGCTAGCCAGGATTCCGTGTGGCGTGAAATGATTTCAAAGCATTGAAAGGAAGCAAAACTTCAAGCGTAAAAATTCAGTACAATTGTTTGTTAAGGGCCACAAGTCATTCCTGTTTTAATTCTCAAATTAGGCCAAATGGGTTGTTTTAATTTTAAATGTTTTGTGTAGTTATTAAATCAGAACATTGTGAAATTTTTCGAGAAGATTTATCTGATGATGAGTATTGAATTGTTTCCATTTGCCAAAATCATTTATCGCTTAGCCATGGGCCCCGGCTACCCGGGCTCATGTAATAGAAGTATGGAAAAAGAGCACTGACTTGCTTTTTATTAAATTTTCTGAAATTTTCATTCAAAGCCCTTGTATAGTTGAACCGCAAATGATCTAATGTAAACTCTCATTAAACGTTTAACTAATTCTAGAGGCTTTCGAGGTGGAAAAGACTGTAAATTATACCATAAGTTTAAAAGCGAAAAGTAATTATATTATTTCTATCAACTTATAGTGTGAACAAATGAAAAATAAACTAAAACTAAATAGTTGAACTCAATCAGTAACTATTATTATAATATATCGATGTTGGTATTGTAGGGGTAGGCGTCGTATTAGAGAGAGAGAGGGGCGTTTATTAGAGATAGATGTATAAGAAGGTCCAGCAGATGAGGTCATTATTAGAGAAAAATGTCTCATGCTCTAAGGGGTGAGGTTCTCATTATTTTGGACTTCGGCCAGGAAGGGCGAATTTTAATGTTTGGCATGATAAATCCCAAAAGATTGGTTTTAGTTAACATTTTGCTTTTAAAGTTTAACTGTACACCATTTACGTAAGTAGATTGTAGTCAGCTTTAGACATGTAGCGGAGAGAGACAGACGTTTCCAGTATTTCTCGTATTTTGATATTCGCTATACTGTTATAAACTGTATGTGTTTGCGCAACAAATATTTATAATAGAGCTGTGCAATAGATGCAGAATATTTTAAAAGAAATTTTTAACGTGCGCACATTCATGAAAGCATGGTTGATAAGAAATATACTTTATTAATGAAATGGTTATATTTACTGTTATATAATCATTATATTACGAGTATTTATTTTTAACTTTTCGTGTTAATAAATCGGAAGAAGAGACCAACGTGAAACTTCCTGAATCCTCTTTGATGTATTCTTTCTGAAAATAACATCTTGCAGAACACATTTGACATCTTTATCATTCTTTTAAAACTAAATGTTCCTTCATATAAGACAAATTTTCGTCTTGGATCGTACGGTTGTCTGCTGTATTGGCTCACTGAGCCTCAAAGCAAGTGTGAAGGAAAATATATTATTATTGTTCTCATTCTTTTATTACTATTTCACGTAACATGAGCTTTTACCGTGATACATTAACAGCCAATAGATGCTCGAGCTCGTAGGCGTTTGCTTTTCATTTAACACAATTTTGCTTTTAAATTATCCATTGCTACACCATCTTTGGAGAGATTGACTTGATTTTTGGTAAGATGGATATTTGCCCAACTCGTGGGTAAAAATTCTCAGGCTGAAGTTTTTTCTCAAACCTCAGACTAACGCACACAATCCCCTGTCCCTACCTAAATTTTGCATTAATTTTAGTATTTTAACTTTTAAGCCTCGTTTTATGGAAGTGAGGAGATAGAGAATTCATCATTCATCGAGTTACTTCGCCTTCATTTCTGTGCCTGCTATGCTTTTGGCCCCAGTGAGCAGTTTCCTAACACAAGTTAATGGATCGTTTAAACACAACCGTCCAACATTATCCAATGTGCATCCAATAATGTTATACGATGTTGGTCCAACATTGTTGGATCGTTTAAACGGGCCTTTAGATTGTGCTATTTATTAAATCGGAAGAAAAGACCAACGTGAAACTTCCTGAATCCTCTTTGATGTATTCTTTCTGAAAATAACATTTACAGTCTCTTAGCCAATCACAATCGAGATAGCGCGATCATTGTATAATAAATAATACTCACATGACAAAATCAATGTAGGATGTTACCCTTTTGCAAAATATCCGATTGACATATTTTAAAATATAAAGATGCAACATTCGCGATAAATCTTAACTCCTGACGACAACGATGATGTGATGAAAAGTGAAAATATTTTCTTTTAATGAAGATAAACACTCACTGTGACACTGTCTGTTTCATATAACATTACATTGATCTTCATCGAATTAATGTTTTTCGGATATGACCATTATTCTTTTTACAATTATTTATACATATTTGCTTTGTGATCTAAACCATGCAACCTTAGTCCTAAACACGGATCAAAGCAACGTGACCTACACGCATGACCCGTACTCTAAAATGATTAATTAAAGGATCGTATTTGCAAATTGTTTTTATCAATAACATTGATCATATTTCTATATAAATATATGGTGAAATTCACACCAGGCTCCACTCTCTGGGATCAACAAAAATGGCAAGATTCATATTACTACATTCTAATGTGACAAAAGACACAATCATTGTCTACAAATTCATTTTTATCATAAAATACCGACATTGTTTCATCAACTCTTAAGTTTTAGGTACCAGTAGTATTCATAACTGTAACTAACACTTCAAGGAGTATTGTTCTTCTTTGCCTCAAATCAAGAACGGCAGAAGATTGATCACATCTTTTATTTCTTAATTGAAATCTATTGTAATTATATATTATGCATTATAAATGTATGATTTTGGCCCCCCAAATGATTCCTCTTCTCGCGCCTTTACCTAAAATGGAGCAAAGGTATGTTCAAGTATCATTATAGCAAGTCAGTGATGTCACCGATGATTATTAAAAAGAGTTAGCGAGTCATTGGACGATGGTAAAATATCTTGACTCGATGATAAATCAATGTCCCTCAAGACGGTTTTCATTTTGTTTCTTTCCTACGCAGACTATTTTTGGATGTTTGTACATTCCTGTCACACAATCGAAATATAAACATGTTTATTACTTTTGTTGCTCATAACAAATATGCCTAACGTACGCTGACAATTTATATCATTGTAACTCTTGTCCGCCTTCAGTTCAAAAAAGTACCATACACATCATGTGCTAATCACACTACTGTTAATTTTTCAGATCACTTTATCAAATATTTTGTTTTGTAAATACTTATTAGTTTTGTATAACGATAATACGCATCTTTCATTTATAGTATACTGATACCCTTTCATGCATGATTTCGTATTACTTGGAATACTCGGAAAACCAGTTACTTGTAGCTGAGAATCTTGCTTTGAAAATTATTTTGTCATTTTTTCATGGAAAAAATTCTTTGAAACAAATTTCCTGCGTTGCATATTACATAGAATCACTATTCAAGGAAAAGGTTGGTGACCTTCATGTCCGGAAAAAGTTAGTATGATATGACCAAAATGATGGTATAAAATAAACACCATACCCTTTTTATTTTCATTTGTTTTTTCTCTCGCTTGAGATAATATCAACGAAGCAGAAGTGGAGATTGTGCGATAAACAAAGTAAGCGTTTTTCAATAACGTATTTTGGCATATCAATATAATTTCTGTCTTCAATCTCAGGAGTGTGTGTATATTGTATAATACGTAACATGGTAACAGAATCTGTTTAATTGATTGCTTCTTGTCAAATTGAATCAGAATCTGTTTGGAGATTGTGCGATAAAGTCGTTCAATAACGTATTTTGGCATCAATATAATTTCTGTCTTCAATCTCATGTGTATATTGTATAAGTAACATGGTAACAGAATCTGTTTAATTGATTGCTTCTTGTTTGTCAAATTCTTCTCTAGTTTTGGCAGCGTATTGTCAGGCTGCAAGTTTACGAGGTATATCACTTTGTTCTTAAGAAATTGATCTGCAATGTTTAACTATTCGATATACTCAATGCAATGTAATACCTGTTTTAAGCAAATATTTTTTGCTGCTTTCCTTACAGCAAATTGAATGATACCATATCCCCAAAATGCAATTTGACATTATCCATGTTAACTTACGCAAAAGAGTTTAAATGGATAAAATTATTGTTAAACTTATTACTAATCTAGTTTATGGACAGCTACAGGTTTTTCCACATCCTTTCTTTCTATTTCGTATGTACAGTTGAAAATAGTCTTTGTCTCAAGCTAATATTTGGGCGGCCTTCTTTGCAACAAATTGAGTAATAAAATATTTCAATAATGCGATTTGACATGATCCAATTAAATACACTTATAAAAAATAGATCTTTGCCAATCAAGTTCACGGTCAACAACAGGGTTTTGCTGACATCCTTTCTTTCCATTTCTTATAGTTGAAAAAAACGTTTGTTTCAAGATTTATTCTGCTCGATATGGCTACGTAGCGCATTATGGTATTTATGACGATCTTGATTTGCTGGAGTTTTCCTTTTACAAACCCGCTGTTGTATTCAAATTTCTTCCAAATGGTATGCTTCAAGAGATGTCGACCAAGAAATGTGTACATAGGTTAAGCAACGGAAATAGGCAGTTGGTACTTACATATGATTGTTCTAAGGCGAGCATGTTTCCAGTTGATATCTGGAAATACAATTCTGTCAAGAAGTGGCTAATAGATGTCACATGCCCTGGTTTGGTATGCTGGAGCCCATGGGCTAATCATATACCACCTTATGACATCAAGATATTGGCAGGTCTTTCTCCATGCGATGTATGGAATCAAGTGAATTTGGTCTTAGGTATGGAAAGTCTAACAAACTTTTCGTATGAAATGCATAAAAACCATCAATTGACATTTGCATTTGTATCTATTTTGGAAAATTATATTATGCGATGCATTTTGAAATGCATAACTTAAAACTCTTTACTTTAGAAAATTCAAAGTTGAAAATAATATATGCAATTATTGGTTGTTTTCATAATATTTTGAACATTTTTAATATTCAAAAGACGCCATATATCATAGGTTGAAAGTAATTATGTAATGATTCTATGTAATCATTGTGTTTCTCATTATTTAATTCTTATCTATAATTTCAGTTTCCTGCACTGCCGGCTCGCCAGACGAACTCAAAAACCAGAAGTATTACATGAAGAAATATAAAAGCATGAACGCTAAATGAAATAGTAAGCAGACAAGATATATGTAAAACAATTCTAGGATTTTAATAAAAGTGGATTTTCTATCTAATTCAATGTATTAAATTACAAGTATGAAGGGATCTATATATAAAAGCTTTTTACATAATATTAAATTGCATGGTGGGATGAAAACGTGATACCTTACTTGTATTGAAATTCGAGTAGTACTCATTTTCGCTCAGCTTTAAATTCGCGCGATTTAATTTCGCGCACTTTGTTGACAATTATTCGCGCAGCTTTAAATTCGCGCAAGTAGTTTTATGTGCTCGTTCTTTTTGGTTTGTTCAAAAGAACTATTATTAATTGACGCATTTATATTGAGCTTTCTTTATTAAGAAATACCTCAATATTCATCAAAAAAGCGATTGGGTGGCCTCAAAAATGGCTTCAAAATAAAGCGTGAGTTCACTATCCCAACAAGAACTAAAAAATGTAATAAATGATATTGCCTAACAATATACTTTATAAGCCAAACAAAAGTTTAGCTGCAGTTCAAATGGATCCTCTTTTCGTTGTGGTTCCTCCAATGCGGCGCTCACACCTGATCGTTGCCAACCTTTGACGACAATGTCCTTTTTCGATTGCATGTAATCATAGAACTGCACTATCCATTTTGCGTGAAGTGGTTTGAGCACGCTAATTCTCAAATCAACAGAAACTTTATCAGGTTGAATACCTTTCTCTATTTGGGCTTGGACTTGCTCTGAGTACAATGTTTGCGCCTGGTTTCGAAGGAAAGCTTTGCAAGAGCGATTGACCGTTAAATCTAAGGGCTGCAGGTATGATGTCATATTATTGGGAACAGGTATCATCTTCCCATTATTGTCGGAAATGATCTTCTTTACGGCATCCGTCCAATGTGCTTTAAAAACATTGGCGATCAAAACCCATTGTTTTGTTGCGCGAAAACCAAGCTCTTCTCTAATTTGCTTAACATAGGGGATAAGAATACAATTGACTAATTCAATTGCTTTCGTTTCATTTTACCAATGATTTTCCGTGTGGGTAACGTTGAATTCTTTTGGAAATCTGAATTTAGGGTGACACCGGTCTGTTTTCCTCTGGTAGATTAGTTGAATTGGCAGAAACTTTCCCGACGCGGTGACTGAGAATGTTCCAGTAATTTGGTGATAATCGGCGCTATCACTGATCGGCACAAACTTCTCGTTAGTTTTGTCCATTGTATACTTGCTGATGAGGACAAACGGGAGAGGGGTCTGGTCAATGTTTATAATGAGATCGTCGGGAACGTCATAAGCGGTAACCACTTCATTAATAGAACGATGAAACGTGAAGCGAATTTCTTTTAAGAAGCCAGGTGATACGGGTTGTTTTGCAGTTGTTGCTCTACGTTTACTGAAACCCAATCTTCTGAAAATTGACTGGCACCATGTATAGTGGAATTCTAGGATTCCTCCGTTTTCTTTCAACAAAGACCGATCATTAGCCAGTACTATCCCCTTCGCTATGGAAATAGCAATGTTGTAATTGACAACACAACCGGCCGTTCTCATGCTCTTGATCATGGCGATAACTTTCTCATCGATGTTCTCGGGTAACAAAATTTTTGCTCCACGATGTTTTCTTGGCAATTGTTCGAGTTCAGTGCGCTCTTTTCGTTCCTTATTGTACGATTTGACAAGTCCACGAACAGTTGACTCTGGTACGGAATACTTTCTTGCCGCCGGTCTTATTCCATGCACAATTTCCCATTTTGCAATTTCTGCTCGTTGAAAAGCATCATATGCTCCATATTTGCCCCCTCCTTTTTGGTTCTGGAGCGTCAAGAAATAATTGCTGTTTTACTGCATTTTCTTCGGCAGCATTTAATTTGCTGTCAGACGACGCGACCGAAATATCGTCTTGGGAAACCTTTTTGAAATATTTTAACAGAGCCATGTGCGTTGATTTCCCGCACAATGTTTTCTGTTGGCAATACTTGAATATGTGTTGCGGAAACGTTTGACGTATTCGGCAATTAGTTAATAAGGAAGTAAAATCAGTCAGTAAAATAATAATAGAACATCATATCTAACACCTAAAGAAACGTGACTCATCATTGACTATTGTGTTGGAGAAATGGAAAGCATTTGCATCGTGTGCAATGATTTGACAAAATACACTTGTCTAGAATGCAAATCATTTGTTTGTAACCGAGGAATCAAGTGTTCAATCCCTGCATCTGAAAACTATCCTGGATGGAAAAGTGGTTCGAGTGTTGCTTTATGTGAAGCGTGCGACGAGAAAGAAAATTACGCATCTGATTGCTTGCTTCAGGAAACCCACGATTCAGGAACGGATGATTCTAATTCAGTGAAACTGAGCCCCAAGGGGACATCGTTTTCTCTGGCTTGCGCATCACGAGGTTTTCATGAATACAGAAAAATCTGGGCTCCAAGAATCAACCAGCAGTTAATAATAAAACCAGAATCAGGAAACCTATTCGACCCATATGCTATTTGTCTGTTTACCAAAATCAGAGGCAAGATTGAACCATTGTCACTGGTCGGACATTTGCTTCGAGAGATTTCCCGATTTTGCAAGTTCTTTTTTGAATATGGGGGCAATATAGAAGCATGTTTGTGTGACATCAAATTTCGTTGATCCCCATTACCACAAGGAGGCTTGGAGATTCCTATTACCCTAACAGTCATGCAGAACAATGCAAGTTTTAGGATATACAGCAAAATGCCGGTATTCGTGACGGAATACTACGTAGAACCTGAGAATATCCCGACTGAAATTGTACAGGATGAAAATGAAGACATTTTTGATTTTTAATGTTACCAGGACAACTAAAAACATATGTCAATATGTATATGCGTTAATAAAACAGCTGATTTGCATAACCAACAATGAATGTCTCATATTACACTACAAAGCTTTTCGCGCGGATTATATTTCGCGCAATACTAAAATTCGCGCACTCAGCGCTGCGCGAATTCTAGTACTGCGCGAATTTTAATACAAGTAAGATATAAACATTGTAAAACGAGATTTTTGGAGCAAGTGAAAAGTGAGTGATGCATTTTATGATATCTTAGTTAGCCTAACTTGGTTGCAACATTATCTGATGAGATAGAAGACAACCCGCTTCTATTTTTGAAAATGGTAATGATGATTTACTTTATTAATTTACCAATTGTTAGATTGTCATTGTTAGATGTTATGTTTACAGCTAAGATGCATGTATAAAACGTTATCAGTATATATAAAGTATAAGTTGGCACTACCCCTCTTCTTAATGAGAAGATCATAGACCAGCTCCTTTTCCTCATGCAAGCTTCCCACACTCATATGCGCGAATAATTTTAGTATGCATAAATAATTAGTTGGGTTCTACCTGGACTAGTTAACACAGCATTTTATTGACTAAGAGACTGTTTGCATGATCCCGGCTAGCCAGGATTCCGTGTGGCGTGAAATGATTTCAAAGCATTGAAAGGAAGCAAAACTTCAAGCGTAAAAATTCAGTACAATTGTTTGTTAAGGGCCACAAGTCATTCCTGTTTTAATTCTCAAATTAGGCCAAATGGGTTGTTTTAATTTTAAATGTTTTGTGTAGTTATTAAATCAGAACATTGTGAAATTTTCGAGAAGATTTATCTGATGATGAGTATTGAATTGTTTCCATTTGCCAAAATCATTTATCGCTTAGCCATGGGCCCCGGCTACCCGGGCTCATGTAATAGAAGTATGGAAAAAGAGCACTGACTTGCTTTTTATTAAATTTTCTGAAATTTTCATTTAAAGCCCTTGTATAGTTGAACCGCAAATGATCTAATGTAAACTCTCATTAAACGTTTAACTAATTCTAGAGGCTTTCGAGGTGGAAAAGACTGTAAATTATACCATAAGTTTAAAAGCGAAAAGTAATTATATTATTTCTATCAACTTATAGTGTAAACAAATGAAAAATAAACTAAAACTAAATAGTTGAACTCAATCAGTAACTATTATTATAATATATCGATGTTGGTATTGTAGGGGTAGGCGTCGTATTAGAGAGAGAGAGGGGCGTTTATTAGAGATAGATGTATAAGAAGGTCCAGCAGATGAGGTCATTATTAGAGAAAAATGTCTCATGCTCCAAGGGTTGAGGTTCTCATTATTTTGGACTTCGGCCAGGAAGGGTGAATTTTAATATTTGGCATGATAAATCCCAAAAGATTGGTTTTAGTTAACAGTTTGCTTTTAAAGTTTAACTGTACACCATCTACGTAAGTAGATTGTAGTCAGCTTTAGACATGTAGCGAAGAGAGACAGACGTTTCCAGTATTTCTCGTATTTTGATATTCGCTATACTGTTATAAACTGTATGTGTTTGCGCAACAAATATTTGTAATAGAGCTGTGCAATAGATGCAGAATATTTTAAAAGAAATTTTTAACGTGCGCACATTCATGAAATCATGGTTGTTAAGAAATATATTTTATTAATGAAATGCTTATATTTACTGTTATATAATCATTGTATTACGAGTATTTATTTTCAACTTTTCGTGTCGTATAAGCGACTTAGATTGTGCTATTTATTAAATCGGAAGAAAAGACCAACGTGAAACTTCCTGAATCCTCTTTGATGTATTCTTTCTGAAAATAACATCTTGCAGAACACATTTGACATCTTTATCATTCTTTTAAAACTAGATGTTCCTTCATATAAGACAAATTTTCGTCTTGGATCGTACGGTTGTCTGTTGTATTGGCTCACTGAGCCTCAAAGCACATGCGAAGGAAAATATATTATTATTGTTCTCATTTTTTATTACTATTTCACGTAACATGAGCTTTTTACCGTGATACATTAACAGCCAATAGATGCTCGAGTTCGTAGGCGTTTGCTTTTCATATAACACAACTTTGCTTTTAAAGTATTCATTGCTACACCATCTTTCGAGGGATTGACTTGATTTTTGGTAAGATGGATATTTGCCCAACTCGTGGGTAAAAATTCTCAGGCTGAAGTTTTTTCTCAAACCTCAGACTAACGCACACAATCCCCTGTCCCTACCTAAATTTTGCATTAATTTTAATATTTTAACTTTTAAGCCTCGTTTTATGGAAGTGAGGAGATAGAGAATTCATCATTCATCGAGTTACTTCGCCTTCATTTCTGTGCCTGCTATGCTTTTGGCCCCAGTGAGCAGTTTCCTAACACAAGTTAATAATTTAATATTTATAAAGTTCAACCATTCAAATACAATAGCAACAGAATGAAAAAGAACTTCATCTAAAGAGAGAGTGAAGCTATTGCCAAATTAAATTTTCCCATGCAAAAACGGCAAATTCCTCCGAGAGGTGGGATATTGTTTCTCTAAAGCTAGAATATTTTAAATATTTCGGTATGTTAAGTTCGTCAATGGGTAAATGTTAGCCTTAGAAATTAGGATCACGTGCTAAATAATTTCTAACATTGTTTACCTTCGCGTTACATGATCCGTAAAATATAATAACATTGCTGAAATACATGTATTGAAATGACAGACTATTGCCAAGATGCGATAACAAGTTCATTTTCTTTACCAACTGTGCAAGTCGAGAAAGAAATTTTAAAATTGATAAATTGACAATGTGGTGGAATAGAGGTAACAGTGTTAAAAAAAGAGAAAAGTCAACACCAGCAGACGAATTTCGCACAAATACAAGTAGAGAAAGAAACGATTCTCCTAATCGTGGACAGACACCACCAAGATCACTTCCGATTGGTTTGCCGGTAATATTCCTTATAGGTTAATATTTAACCTTCTAAATAGTCTAACAAATTTTTAATTTGCTTATGATTTCCTTTGTGGTAGATTGTACAGCAATCTCGTCAGCCATCGCGTTATTCATGTGTTTATGATGATGGTGGAACAGAATTAAAAAAATTTCATAAACGCAGAAGTTTGGATAATATTGATTTTCATTCGGATAATGAGACTCTTGATGTGCGAAATCACAGAGAGACTTTAGAGGCCGTCAAAGATATTGAACCTCACAATGATAAACAAGACAAGCGACGTTACTCAGTGGACACCGCAAAATCATTACGCCAATCCTCATCAAAAACTTCACTACGGTCCTTAGCTTCACCTGATAGCTCTAAAAGCTATTCGTTGAACAGTCTTTCTTCATCCTACGGTGCCGACATTACTGACTACCAAATGGTCGACCAGGAAGGCATTATAAATCTCACTGTTCACGTTCGACAATTTTCTGATGCTATAAACAATCTCAGGAGCGCATTTTCAAGCAATGGCTCGGACACCGACTCAGATGGTAGGGTTATTTTAAATATTTATTGAATATGGTCACCGCTTGTGTCGTTTTTGATGCGGTTTTCGTAATTGTTTTTATCGAAATACAGTTGCCTGAATAGTCGGTTTTGTCTTTGAAGAATTTTAATTGCTCGATGGCTTTTGAAACATAAGTGCAAATTACTTCTCATATTGAAGAATTTAGCCACATGTTTGATAAAGAAAGGTCACTTTTTCTGCTTTTACTTATGAGAATGAGCATCAATAAATCAATTGTATAATACATAGAACAAGCGTATTTTAAAACACTAAAGAATGTTCACAGCACGCATCCTAAAGTTTCCCGTGACCAGGCGACTGGAATGTTTATTTTACCAATATCGTTTCGTTTAAAAGAACAAGGTTAATATTCAGCACAAATTATTGTTTACTGATTGCCAATGGTTGCAACATTTCTTGCGCTTTTTTCACTCATTAACAAATAATTTGAAAGAGCAAGAGTTAAAGGATCTTAAAAGTGCCTTTGTTTTTTTTTATTGTTTATTATATGGACGTGAAAAAAGTCCCTCCTAACGTAATTTAAATATATAAAGTGAAGTGGTTACGTAGTTTAGTGTAGGAGTTAAGTCGTTTGCAATTTCACTTGTAAATGATGCTAATCAACTGCCTTAATTGATTCGTAAATAACGAAAGGACTTCAGTTATAAATTTAAAATAAAGATGCAAATTATGTTAATGGAGAAGAAATATTTATCATAATTTATTATTTCTTAGCAATACATATGTTCTTACCTAAAATATGGAAACATTTATCATTTTCATAGTTTACATTAAATCAAAACTTCTTTGACGTTTATGATAAAGGAAACTTTTGCCAAGTGAACCATAATCAAATGTAATCATGGTATAATCATTTTCACTTTTAAATTTTTTTGTCAGTGACTGATTGTGGTCAATACATATTCTTTTTATTTGATCAACACTTACTAATTTTGATCATGCTTTATGTATTTGTACAATTGAGCCGGCTCATATTTTAATTTAACCCTTTTGGCATTCTTTTTAAGAATATTTTTGCATGCATGCACAATAAACATAGTTAAAATAGTTCAAACAAACTAGAAGATAAGTTACAGCTAAAAAAGCATGTGTTAAAGTTCTGTAAGACTCAGAAAAAGGAACAGCAAATTCTCTTTAGTCTTGTCTTTGCACATTAAGCATGTTATCTTCTTGGAATGTGGTCATGAATTAATGAAGTGCATGTGAATTTGGATGAAGTGCCCGTACATAGAAAGGATCCTCTCTCATCAGTGACCACAGAAGAATGTAATGTTAATAGGGCAAGGCTGGATTTATATTTTGTGCAATGTCCCCTTGCCCTCTCTTCTGCCAAAAAAAATACAGCAGTAATAAGATAAATATATCTGCCTTATGATGTTATGTTTAAATCAATGCGTTGAATGTATTTCTGCCAAAGTTTACATCCTGAAACACCAACATTGTTTAGTAATGATATGACTATTGACATTTATGTTGAATGGTGAACGTCAAACTCATACTAAGATGAAAAATGATACAATAAATCGAAAATGCTAGAAATATTTGTTTAGCCTTTGTCACTTCTTCTTTAACCTGGCATATCTATACCTAGATCACAATAGTTACAGTCATTTGGAAGCACATCTATGATCACCGAGAGACTTTCTCAAACCTTTACTAAATACTAAACAGCACTCTTTCAGTTTCCATTAATTTTTTCACTGTTTATCCTTTGTTCTCTTCATTTTTCTCATCACAATAACTATTTTGTATTTTACACTATAGCATTTTGTGCTATCTGACTGCACTTTAACCTGCCACTACTTTGCAATCACTTATCCCTACATTATTTAAATATGATATGAACTGCCTGTGTGCTCCAACCTCCACTCTTTTGAGCAAACTGTGTTACTACTTCTTCCAGATACTTACACAGCCATTTCTATTCTTTTTACAAAGTCATGTACCAAATGTCCTTACTTGTTCCTGACCTGAATACCATACCTACTCATTACTTCCTCGTCACCTCTGTTGGCTGAAACAACATGACCAAGTTGCAGTTAGAGCCAATAACAACCCTTTCACTTCTTTGGACATTCAGACTTGCTTCATCCAGTTCACTTTAAAATTTCTTCTCTTACAATTCACATCTTAATTACCTGTTGTTAATTACCACTTATTACAGTAAGAATCATAATTTCAATTTCTAACTTCAAATGTATTTCTCTATCTGAAGTTCTCTTTACCTCCATAACACTCCTAAGAAACTCTTCCTTCAAGATAACGCCATTTCTTTTCTCCTCAACACCAAATCAAACAACTTTCTCTCCGGTTTTTGAACACACAAGATGTGTACTTTTGTCCTTTGCATCTAATGACCATAGGAAGATCGTTGGGGAGGGAGGCCATATTCACATATGCATATTATATTCTGTAGAACACGCGATTATCGTTCTTCCTACGCCCCTTTCTGAAAGTGAAAGTTGAGGGGGCGTGTGCTCCCTCGTGCCCCCCTTCCCACGCCACTGCGCTCATTCATTCTTTCAAACAACTCTCAACCTTTTATTTTCATAGTCCCAATATCTAAATTTCTTACTCATATTGTCAAACTCATGTCTTTCCTTTTCTCTTCCTCTGGGCGAATAAGTCTTACTCCTTTTTTCGATTAACAGTAGCCCACTTTCCATTAGTGATCTGCCTGGAAACAGCACTCGTTGCGGTCGTTGTTAGCCCAACTTCGTGATTCCAGATTCCACTGATTCCAGATGGAAATCACAGAATTGAATCACATACTGGCAAAAGTTTTTACACTGCTTGATCTTCCTGACGCAACCCTTTACGTTTCTCCGGCAAAGGGACCAGCACAGGAAAGATGCTCTTTATGCTTTATAACATGCAAAATACCGAAAGCACAAAACAATAGTGATAAAATTATACTTTATAGTTTTAAGGAAAGACGTTTGTATGTATGTCAATCAAGCATATCAATAATGTTTTGAAAATTTAAATCAACGTACGGCCTATTTGAACAACCATCGTGAATGATAAAATAAAAGAAAAAGATATGTTAGTACTTATATTCAAATTGAGTATAGTAGTGTTTAATTCGTCATTTCTTCTTGATGAATTTTCTCACACATCTTCTCAAACATCTTTCCTTGGATAAGTTGGATGACAATGACGTTCATATCATGTAAACATCAATTATTTTCGTTTTGAACTTTTGATATAGATGTTTATTTTAAAAATTGCTCTCGGGCGTTTAGTAAAATGATTGCAGTACTAAAATTTTGCGCTAAAGTTTGATGGCTTTTATTCTAAAATAAGTCTTATTTGAGAAGTAAAGCCTTGAGTGCATGACGTCAGGCATCCCGTAAGTAGACCTCATTTAACCTGTAAGAATGACCTCAGGTTACCCGTTAGGATGACATCATGTAGCCTGTAGGGATGACATCATGTAGCCTGTAAGGATGACATCATGTAGCTTGTAAGGATGACATGTAGTCTGTAAGGATGACATCAGGTAGCCTGTAAGGATGACATCAGGTAGCCCGTAAGGATGACATCATGTAGCCTGTAAGGATGACAGAAGTTAGCCCGTATAGATGACGTCATGTAACCCGTAAAAATGACATCAGGTAGCCTTGTGAGGTTGACATAAGGTAGCCTGTAAGGATGACATCGCTTAGTCTGTAAGAATGATGGTAGATAGCCAGTAAGGATGTCTCTCGCGATTGAATTAGTATTCTGATTTATTTGGTGCTTATTTTAATTATGTTAGCACGGGTAAATGCTTTTGAAATTTTTTATTGGTGTTGACTTTCAATACATATATCTAGCTTTGTCCACTCCAATTTCGTTGGAATGACGATGCATGTTCAAATCCATCTCATTGTACGTTTTAGAAAATCATGAGGGTGAAACTACCTTGGAAAAGTACCATGCAAAAGTTCATAAATGCTTGGCAGATGTGTTATTTCATTTAAAAGAAGTGATTCATCGTTTTCCATCCATGAACACTAATGAGATTTTTACTGCGGCTGGTATACTTATCCGTAACGTCAAAAATCTCAGTCATGTCGACAGGAAAAACCCAGATGAATTTAACGAAGTAATTGATCAGTTGGCTTTAATCTTTAGTAGCAGGTGCGTTTGTGTCTTGACCTCTTGTAACAACTGCGCTTCATTTTTGTTCTTAGCCTCTGCGCATGCGCTGCTATCCTTCAATGTTTTTAAGAATGTTTGTGACTATGTGTGTACGTTCGTCCTAATCATTGGTTTCGTTCGTTTTTGTACGTTGTCTCTTTGCCAAAATATTTGGTCAGCATCGCATTATTTGTCGTGGCGTTATATTTTTTATGATTTGATTTTTTCTACGGTTCATTGACATGAAAACATTTGCTATAGCTTTGCCCATCAATAATTAGATACAGTCTTTGTCTGCGTTTGTGTCATTTAACACTATTTTTGACTTTGCTTGATTATGTAGGTTTGATTCATGCATAGTGACATTGCAATATGTAAATGTATGAAAATTCATTCACAATTACTTGCAATGCAAGTTGTGAAAAAAGGGCAATTTTAACAACATTATTACTTTTTGAGTGATAAACTACTCCATGTCGTGCAAATCTAGAAAAGAGAACTTTAACATACATTCTTGGAAATTATCTGGTGCACCTTGGTGTGAGATCTGCTGGCAAACAATTGCATGAAAAGCTATTCAATTTAAAACATTAACGCCCCTTTAAAACTTGAAGGATTTCAAAGTTTTTAAGAAAGGTTTCATAAAGTATGTAATAGCATCTTTGGTTTTCTGAAAATCAACTTCCTCTCTACAACCGATGCAACTGCGACACTTATTCCAAGATCTTTAGAAGGGCGTTATCAAAATTTGACGCATCTAACTTTGAATCAACTGCTTCGTATAGGTACTCGAATTTCGTCAAGGCTGTAACTCCCTTTAGCTCCACCAGTTTACTAACACGTCAAAACTGTCATTTACATCAACAAAATTTTTCACTTGTTGATGCTACCCTCCCCACCCGTGTTGACAAGTGACTCCCCAACGACAATTTTATTTTGTAAAGCAAAAATTTGATTTGGGTTACAAACTTAAACATAGCTCTGAATACCGTATATTGTTCATGGTAAATAACAAGTGAGTAGTTCTTAAAAGAACTGTTGAAAATCAAAATGAAGATTGCGATAAAATTAAATGACAGGATGGATTTCGGCAGTCCTCTCACCAGGTGTCTGCTCAAATGAAAACCGAAATTTACGTCTATTTATAACGAAGACAAGCATTTGTGTTAGTTTTCCAAAGCTCGTCTGTTGTCACTCCAAGAGTTTCAGATTCATAATTCTTACTGAATCGTTTTCAACTTTCACAGTTAATTGCATATTTGAAATACTTTTTGTCATTTGCTTGGAAGCAATCGACATAAGCTCAGTCTTAAGCTACATTAAGGCTGGTCTTTTTGGTAATTAAAATGAAATAAAGCTAGAGAAACGTCTTAGTTTTACTCAAGAATGAATAAAGACAAAAACAGTAAATAATCATGCGTAATGTTTGAAGGTTGTACTTACAATTAGATGATGAAACGGTCAAAAGATTGCCGCATCGTTTTAAATACGCTGACTTTCTACAGTAAGAAAATTCTATTATGAAAAACACATCATATATATTATATTAGGAAAGTCTCGGTGAATTTCTTTTACAGGTCAATGTTAAAAAATTTATGAATTCATTCGAATATACTACTGCCTTATACTGCCTTATACTTGTGTTGTTTTTGGAACTGAAATTTAGAGTGGAAAAATGTACCTTATTTTTATCATGACTGGCCACTTGACCTACGATTACATGAATAATGAACATGTACTTATAATAACCAGGGACCGGTTGCACGAAGCCAGGATCGCGTTATCCATTGAATAGCAAATTTTTTTAAACTTTAATAAAACCTTTTAAAAATAAAAAAATATAAGATCCCAACTGAACGATCACTGAAATAAAACATTGTTTCGAAGATTACGACAATTCTTTGTCGTAAGAAAATTATAAACACTTTTTTTACAAGTTTAAAAATATTTGCTATACAATGGATAGCGCTATCCCGGCTTTGTGCAACCGGCCTCAGGTGCGTAGTGTGACATTTTGAACTTGGGAAGAGGGGGGTGGTGTGCCCAACGAGCACGAGGTACTTTGAACGCATTTGGTGAAATAATTTGTTCAGTTTGTTCAATATCGTGCTTAATGAATTGATTACATAAAAACCAATTTTGGGAAAAAGAGACTTCATTATTTATTGTGGAAAATCGGTTCATAAATTCAAAAGCGATATAAAAATCGTATCATTACCGACCAACTCTTACGACAATTTCACATTTGATTTCCCCTTCCTTCTACGCCCACGTATGCTACGCCCTTGATAGTAATTATATTCTAATATGCACAACACATAATCTGCTCATGTCCACAGTATACATATAAACCAACAACAAGCGTGTTAGATCTTTGATTCCAAACTCACTGTCCAATGCAGTGATTGATTCCACTGAATTGTTTCCGCATTTGAATTGTTCTATATGTTCAAACCAAGTTTGGGGTTCGGCGCTGATCAATCATTGCACAAAATTGTAGGAGTTGTCGTTCCTAGCTGATCAATTTTAGTTCAGGTCAGCTACCTATCACTGTTTTGTTTACAATGAGCTTGGAGAGCTTCCAATTTTGGAATTATGCTCTTAAAATAGTTGTTACTCAGCAAACGTTACCCACAGGATGTCCAAAATAATTCTGGGTAACCGCTGCGTTACAGCAAGGGTCGTTTTTAATCATTGTTTATGGTTTTGAGGTTGATTTTACGTCGAAATCTGGTTGACAATTGTGGTTTTTAAGAACCCAAATTAGATAAATACCTTTTGAAATAAAGTCGAATTTTCGGTTTAAATCTTGTCTCTTGCTATTATAACTCGAATCTTGAGTTTACAAGTTGATGTTTTTTGGAGTGTGTGTTCTCATTTATTTTTTCAAATTACGTAGATATAGATGTTTTGATAATCATATTTGCAGTCGCCCAGAGCCAATTAACCTCCTTACGATTTTTACATTATTATATATTGTACACAAAAATACAACAAATTGACAAAATTGAACTAGATGTATAACAGAAATGCAAAGAAAAACTAAAATTTCTCAATTAAACTTTTTTGTACGGTAAAAAAGGTTTATTCCTTACGTAATTTATGACTCGTATCAACTATGAAACATTTTGCTTCCGAAAGACAAAAACCTCAACAAAACAGCTTTTAGAGCTTTAGCGAGGTCTGCTGTAGCAACAATGTTTGTATTTTGAGGAACGTTTATGTGAGCTTTATCCTCTGATTTTTTTTAGTATTTCCGATCTATTGACGGGTGACCAAGAGCAGGAACCCAATCACAAGGTAAAAATGCATTACGCCTAGAAGTCAGTCATTAGATATAGTAAAAATGAATGGGCGGGTTTTGGGTGAAGGGTTAAAGTGAGTTGTTCTAGATACTCTTATAGGGGCAGTATTTGGTTTCGTTCATGCACTGTTTACTAGAAAGTATTAGTCTTGAAAAATTATTTTTATTTACTCCATGAAACTCTTTAAATGAAAGCAGAAAATCTACAAATGTCCCCGCATCTATACTACGTTGTGCGTATAATGTACCTCTGTACGAGTGTAACTGTTGCGCCTGATGCACTTTGATATGTAGCTACTGATGAGTGGCAGCTAAGTGCTTTTGATTTTTGCTACAAATGGCACAAGGAGAGGCAGCGCATGTAACATGTCGGCTAGCGAGTGCCAACACATTTGAATAAGGATGTCCGGTGAAAAGGATCAGTTTATGATTTTGTAAAGTAGCATTTATCGTCTCAGGATTTTTTTGAAAAATATGGTCATTTTCTTCAAACGTTTAAGGCTCGTTTTTTGGTGAACGCTTGTGTATCGTCAGTCGTACATGATTTAGACTTTGAAATATTCTATTAAGCCGTATTACCGTTCACGTTTTCATTTTTATTCCAATATGGCATTTAATTATAGTGTGTATTTTTATAACCTAATCTTTACTGGTATGTAGCTATGACAAATGAAAGCAGGCATATATTTCCGGTTGCCCAAATTTGCGCGGCATAAACTATCAAGAATGCATACCAATGTGTTCCTTTATAACAAGATGCAATTGCTATCAAGTGCGTTCATTGATTTTAATTTGGGCGATGCTCATCCAAAACAAGATCCTTATTTATCCCATGCATGATTTTGAACTCAATCCTACTCCCATTGTTGGTATATGGATTCGCTTTGCTTACCAAACTCGATACAACTCAATGCTTACAAACAGAAAAATATTATGCACTAGTATAATTTACCAGTATTCTCTATTTATAGTTCACTTTGAACTCAATAGAGCAGATCATAGTTTTCTGTTCAAATGAACGCAATGTTGAGCTCACTTGTAAAAGAAAGCTAGCTCTTGTTTAACGTAACTCTGCGGTGTTCAGTGGTTAAAAGATGCTTTAATTTTTCAAGCCGCATTTCCAGTTGAAAAACTGTACTTGGGAATCAATATTTTCGATCCGTATTTTTGAAATTGAAATTCTCGATTTATTCAAAGAACTTTGATCGAAAAAATTCGATCCGCTGAATATTTTTGAGAGTGAAAATCTGACCTCTTATGGCCATTTAACTTGATGTTTTATTCCAATTCATAAATGGGCTATAAACTTATAATTTCAACATGGAATAACGCGCTGTTCTCGTTCACAACAACCACCATGCGTAAAAACTCGCTTTGTTTTGTATTGATTTGTCGTTAGATTAGAGGTGCTTTTCAGACAAACCAAAATATTTCCATTTAGTCTGGTCATGCTTGTGACACAAATTAATGAGAAAAATGTGACATTCATTCTAGAAAAATGTGCTTTATAATTATAGATGTGGCTCGTACGTGCGTCAAAGGGCGTGTGTAAATTACATGTTTAATCGTTGTCTTGTTCAATATACACAAATACTTTTTCATGAAATGCAAATAGTTATGTTGTTTAATTCAGAAAATTTTTCATTAGTCAAACGATGAATATTTTTGGGTGCTTTGTAATGATGAACTCAATTTATTGTTGGGGAATGATTATTGCAGATTGACATATTTTAAGCTCTTTATGGTCGCATTATATATGATATATATAGCCAAACGCCTACAACATATCTGGTACTTTTTTTTGTTCAATTTGCTCGCACATACGTTTGCAGTCAGTCAAACTAAACTTGATCCCTCTCAGACACGTATCAGTTTATTTACTAGCTCGTTCCATGAAACCAATTGTCTTGTGTTTCTTTCATGTCGATGATAAGTGCACTTTTTCTCCCAAGAGTGGAATGCAAAACTTGCAGACGCATCAAATAACCAGTTATCCTGCGGAGATATTAAGGCCAGAGGTTGTAGTCTTGAGTCTGTTTTAACCTGTCAAGCGTATTTCTTTCCCAATCTTTCATCGGCGTGTGTTTATTACATAAACTATACACTCTTGGTCATCCATCTTTTTGCTTGTATCGTTCTACAACTTACGACAACATATCTCTCGCAAATGTGTGTGGTATGCGGGAATGCAAATGTCACTCTCCAGCTCTTGTGCTATCTCAGTGCTTCGATTCTTCATGGTTGCAAACATTTCGGTACGTTCTCTTTTCAATCTATGTCAATATTTTAAATATAATCACGTACGTTATAATATATATTGGTCACAATATCATGTCCACTGGACGTTGTGGTAACAGTGTTTCGTTTCTACTTCAATGTTGACGTATAGTAAATATGATATTGTATTTTTATCGCGGCGTTTAGTGATTATTTTCAGAAATGTATCAGTCAAGATTGCACTTTAGAAGATGCTGCAATCACGCTTGCTTGTTTTAAGATAACTCCAAACATTATGAATGATACATTTCGTCTGTAATACACAAATGTACGTCACTGTGTAATGGTTCATTTATTTTTTTGTTATTTTTATCGAAGAGTAATTTAATTGAACAAAAATCATTGGGATAATTTACTCTTTAACTCTTTATTGCAACATAAAAGCGAAATCAAACGTTGCGGTAACAAGCGTTCAATTTTTTTACGATATTTTAAATGACGTATATATAATCTTACTGAACCATTTAAGTGCATAAAATTGGTGGTAAATATGCCCATGGCTGTTTCATATCCTGTTGGTAGTCGTACTGTATGAGTTAGTTGAATCCGAGTTTCGGCAAGCCTTGAACATAGCGAAAATAATTCATCGTTTTTATTTATGGTAATGCTACTGCTTGTACTCCTGAACTCAGTGTAGGTCCAGCTTGATCATTACTATTAGTTTATCTTCAATATGTACCCTACAAATTTCGGACGGAATTTGCTGTCAGCTATATAAAGAATTAACCACCTTATAAAATATGTAAACCGGCAGGGAACTTCGTCGTCTATTGTCCTTGCCAAAATAACGGATACGTTAACTTTACAGCCACGTAGTGAGGTAAAAACGATTATTCGAATCTTTAAAGATAAAACTGGTATGATTTATATCGACGGTATCTCAATTTATTTATAACATGTGCCGGACTAATCACTAATCCGCATCTAAACGTATTATGTATACATCAACAAAACAATTCCGTTTACCAATAAAGTTTATTGTCTATCATGTATTTTTTTAAGCGGTACCATTGTGATGTGTTTTCGTGAATGATGATTAGATGAACAGATTTGTATACAAAAATATAATTCTTTCAACGAGGTTGTTTCGCAGGCAGATTTCATGATTATCTCAAAGTGTTACTTTTAGCAAAGGTTAAATGGGATGTTAGGCAACCCTTTGCTCTCACAATCAAATTTCCGAATACCTTTGAAAAAGTGCAAGATTCCTTTCGTGCAACAAAACCTAGTCAAATCATCACAAAAAGTGTTTGTTTCTGCTTTTTTGATGTTTTTCAGTTTTACAACATTTTCAAAAGAATCAACCCCATTTACTTTTCATGATTTCATCCTTTTATTCGTTGGATTCATGGCCGTCTCAGAATCGGACTCATTCACTAACCAAAAAAATCACATATGATCTTCTCACCAATCCAGAAAGAATAACGTTTGGATTTTTTAATACTTTATATATATCTGCATGAGTAAAAAGGATTTGACCTTAGTGCAACAAGCTATGTGAATCGCTTGGTTTGATTTCATTTAACCCTGTTTTGCTGCACGAATTTAGAAAATCTGTGAGCGTTATGGTTTGTACATTTTATAATCCGAAATCGTTTTCAATCCAAGTTAATAGTGAGGGAAATTCATCAAAAACATTAAGTCCTTAAAAAAGTTTTAAAACTTTCAATAAATCCTGTTTGTTAGAATATTTCGTTGACAGTGATACGTCTGAAGGCAACAATGCCTCTTAACATTCCGTTTTTGCCTCACTCTCTGTCTATTGTTGAAAGAAGGAAAGCTACCCTACTGTTGTATGTTCAGTTTATCGGATTTCTCAAGTTTTACCCATAAATATGTCTCAGGAATGCAGTAAATTTGAAAGAGTGTTTTGTAATTTTAAATTTTAGGCAAACTCAAAGTTTTACCAGAAATATCTCTGCAACAGATGAGTGATTTAAAAGTAACCTGTGGTGCCTACTGCGCATGTACTTTTCCATATTGTTACAACTAGCAAAAAATAGGGTGCGATATAAGGGAAAGTAAGGCAAGCGAAAGGTTCGATCATTTCATCACATTTGTGAATGCGGTATATCAGCGGATCTTCAAAATGAGCAAGAAAAAAAATTTGGTTCGTCAAAACAAGTCAAATGAAATTTACATTGATAAAATTAAAACAATCTTTTGTGTAACATTAACTATAGAGGATTCAATCATGGACGTTTTTGATATTAGGATCTTGATCATTGCAAATGTTTTTAGCGTACGTGAAATTACTCGAGCCGGTCTTCTCATTTTATTATATCTTAGCTTGTGCCCTCTTAAACGTTTCTCTCTGCCAGTCAGGAAAGATTTGAGGACGACTGAATTATTTCCTATGATTCTATATGCCGTACAGTTAAGTGGGGAAATAGGATGAGGAATCACTGGCACATTCATTCAAAACACGTGGCAAATTTGATTTGAAAAAATTCCAAGGATGAAACACGCTGTTTACATGTCGACGAGAACAGAGTTTTTGGGGGACATTTAGCTAATACGTCAAAGTAAAAATAGTTTAAACGTGAAAAAGAAATTTGGGGAAGCATTGCCTTTTGTTAATGAGAATTTTTTTCTCCTCGAAACTTGGTTAGTGAATAATAGTCACACTGTAACCTCATCAATATCACGACCGCAGTCGCATTTTTCAAAGCAAAATAAATTTTAGGCTTGCCGTATTACATACACAACCGCTGTGATATTTTCATGGACACTGCATGTGTCCATTTACGCTGTTGCTAAGTAGTCATTGCAGATTTGGTTTTATTAAACCCGCTGTGATAGAATGACGCAGAAGACCGATAATTTTACTCAAGTCGATATTTAATGCAATTTTTAGCTTTCTTCAAATCCGTGGCAGGTTACTTTAAAGACAAGTCCGTTGTAATTTCCCAAGTTATTTTGTCCTTGGCAAAACAAAAAATGACCATTAATTAATCAAATCTGATATAGTTGACTGTGCTGTTGATTAACTGAAAAATTAGAGTTTTCGAATAGCTATAACTGAATTCATTCATGGTGTATAAGCAATTATTGTTGATTAGTATAAGGTCCTGGAATTTTAATTTACGTAAATATATTTGAACGTAATTATGCGAACCTTCAAAGTATAGCTGGGTGAAAAGATTTGTAAAAGAAAAGATAAGTTCTAGACTTGTTGTTATGTATTTCTTTCAACGCTCGGACCTCGTTATGATCGCATTCGTCATTTCGTTTCAGTCTTTCTGAAATTTTTTTTTATCATAATTCGCTTACTTTTCATCATAATTTGTTACCTTCAAAAAAGTCTAATTTCAAGTTTTTTGTTGCTTTTGTTGCATTGACTTTCATATTAGACGTCAAATTACTCAAATATGTCTAATAATCTCATCAATGTCTTATGCATTTCTATTTATAAATCTTTATGCATTTCTATTTATAAGAGATTACATTGTTTATAAATATTGTTTTATTTGTATGTATACAGCTGAGGGTATAAGAATTAGAATATTTTTTTACAGTGATAAGAACGAGTCCTCAGTCTCCTTGATATTTTTTTTCGTGTGTGTAATCATATAGTGGTGACATATCCATTAGAATACAAAGCATTCATCTTGTTACCTGTGTTTTAGTTGTATGTTCGTCATTTGTATTTTTCATGTATGGCTATATACACAACATAAAAATTACTATTCTGATTTTTTAACCTGTATGTATATTTTTTTTATGTTGTGATTATATATTATGTAGGACTATGTCCCCATCCCCATAATACACTAGTGACTCCTGTACTTCGGACACAGAATTTGCAGTTAGACATTGCTACACATTTGTATGGCAATGTCACCAGAGTGCTTAAACTACACATGTGATATGTGTATATGTATATCGATGTATCATATTGTTTTTATCGTTGTTATTTTGCTTCGTCTTTATTGAGCACTCAAGTCAAAGTCTCATAAAGACAAGGACAGAGTCTTAAGTGCATGATATTGAGCGCAGCTCTGAAGTGCTCAACACCAATAACGACAGGGGTGTAGCTAAAAAGCGGACGACGGACGCGGACGGCGGACGCGTCCGCTTTTTATCTACACCCATACGACAGAGCAAAATAACAATTATGATAACAATAATAACAATTATAGTAACAATAACAGTAGTCTTGATAATTATGGTATAAATTATAGTAATAGTTAACAGTGGTATAATAGTTTGAATTATGATAATAATAATGTTATTTTATGCAATTGAACATCTACAAAGGGAGACCTCTCGGAAGCGGACACTGCTTTTGGGGCCTTGCCAAAGCGCTATGTATGAAGTTAGAGTACGTGTCACTTTTTTACTTTTTCACTATAATGTAATTGGTGTTAGTATAAATTTTTCTCATCAACCCGATAACTTCATTTCATACATCTATTCTATGATATATTGTTTCTTTGCATGGAAGTCTTGACGATTCAAGTGTCCATTTGTATGAACTTGCATCTGCACTGTGATTGGATGCTTGATGTTGTAAACATGTGTCGTCAGCCCACACTGTCAGGCAATTTTACCTTCAACGCAAATGATAATTTGTTTCATTCTTTCGGTTTATATTGTTAGACGCATTTTACACATGCGCCTTTAGCACTACTTTCTGTACTTGAGCATTTGACTTGCGAGATGATCGATTTATTACAGCAAGCTTACTTCGTATTTAACACAATTTTTTCTCTTTCACCCAGTTGATGTCATGCACATATGTCTTAACCGGATGTACCTAAAACAGCCTGTTTAGAAACCAACCTTTATGCAAGAAGTGAATTTTAACTACAAAACTCAAAGGATTTTATTTCAATCTATGTTAAAATTGAAAGTATAAACCCGACCCCGCTTTTTCCATGGACCCCACTTTTTCCATGAGCAAGTAGTTTATTGGGTAAAATTTAGCATCCCACGTATTGAGTATGTTCTATGTTATTCTGCCCGCCACCACCCACTTTTGAACAGGTCAGTCTAAGTCAAATCCTGACTCTAAGCCATTCAAACTTTATCAGAATGAATTTTTAAGGGCATAGTCAAAAAAACCTGAAAGCGTCATTAATTTTAAGTATACATTTTATGTTTATCATTTTCATGGATTTTAAGTTCATGTTGTGTTACAAGCTTTCCTCTTGTCTGGCTTTCTTTTCCGTCAGGTGTGTTTACATTTTGAAGTACTTTGAATAATTTCGTATTGATAAGTGAAGTTGAGGCAAAGTATATCTGTCCCATTTTTTGACGTACGGAATATGCTCGTATCCTTCATTCAGTTTCAATACAACATTCATTCATGAAGAATGGTGTAAAAATGGTTTCGTTAAGAGCATTAAAGATATTATCTGTCCTTGGTAATGGTTCGTTTCATAACAATGATTACGGTGAATTTTCAGTACGTTCATTAAGTGTATAATAATGCATAGTTTTTTGTCAGTGACTTTCGTCGCAGTAAGGCATTACGTTTTGCTTGCGTTGATATCAATTAATAAATTTCGATTGATCTTACTGATAAATTAAGGTTGGATTAAAAGAAATGATTATTCTAAATTATCTGTGTTAACCAAAATCCTAGAGAAATAGATCGTCTCCTACAATTGTTAGATACCCTCTTTAAAACGTTTGCATAATTAGATAAGCATTCTTTTCATATTAATGTACATTCTTGTAATATGAAGAAACATATCTTAAATATGTTTCTACATGGGCCATCACGTTACGGATATCGTGGACCAAAAAATATTCCTCCATTCAGTTTTTAATAACTATTAATGTTAATAATGATGTGCTAATGCGTGTGTTGATAGAAATTGCATTATTGTGTTTATATATTGTATTGTACATTGTTTTCATATTTATTGCAAGTGATAATTGAGCACGAATTTAATATGAAAATGTAGGTGAATTTTTCTACGTTTTGGCGTAATAATTGCATTTTGTCCCAACTACCTGTTACGAATGTCCGCATGACATCTTTCATCGATCTGAAAGCTTCCTTAACGGAAATGAAATTGTTAGTTGATAAAAATTTTCATATTACCTTTTACGTTATATTATTATTTCGCCAATCATAAGTGGGCAAATTGTACGGGCAGTGTTTTTGATTGAGACATTAGAACTTGCGTTGGATGTTCGTTTACAACGTAACACTGACACCCACGTAAAAACGTTCTGTTGACATCCATGTTAAATCCTTGTGTGGACATTTTTGTACCGTATACCGCATTAGTGGTAGATAGGTACTTAAGGTGGAAGTTATGAACAGTACGACGAGTACGTGTTTGGTAGAGTGAACACCAAATAGTATAAGTATGTGCGTATGGTAAATTTAACGTAAGGTGAACACTGTGTAAGACGGTCACCACGCAAAGTGGTTATCATCTTATAAGTTAATCCGTGTGGAATACTTTGCCAGGTGAACACTGCAAGGAACAACGTATGGTGAACACCTCGCATGGTGAAAACCTTGCATGGTGAAAACCTAGAACATACAGTAGGGCCACTCCACTGAATTCTTTCGTGCCACGCATATCTTATTACGCATGTCATTATTATATTGGCAGCCAGTAAATTGCATTGTGTGACCAATAGGATTGACGATATGGCAAACGGCAGCCAGTAAACTAATTAAATACACAGCAGCCAGTTGCACAGCAAAGTGGACCTACTGTATATTCCTATACAGTGACCATATGAGATGAACACTTCGCATGGGGGAAAACTGGCATCGTGAGCACACCATGTGAGGTGAACACCGTGTATGGGGAAAAACCTGTATGTTGAACACCATGTCAGGTAAAAACTTGTATGGTGAGCACCATGTGAGGTGGACTCCACGTATGGGGAAAACCTGTTTGTTGAACACCATGTTAGGTGAAAATTTATATGGTGAGCACCACGTGAGGTGAACACCACGTGAGGTGAACACCATGTATAGTAAAAAACCTGTGTGTTGAACACCATGTTAGGTGAAAATTTATATGGTGAGCACCACGTGAGGTGAACACCATGTATAGTAAAAAACCTGTGTGTTGAACACCATGTTAGGTGAAAACATGTATGGTGAACACCATGTGAGGTGAACACCACGTATGGTGAAAAACCTGTATGGTGAACACCATGTAAAGTGAACATTACGTCAGATGTCGGACGTTGGTGAGATCGAAAATTTAGAGGGGGGGGAGGGAGCTTATATTTATACATGCATGTTATAATCCTTTGGAAACAATGGATTTCAAAAGAACTTAATACTGCATAACGTGATTATTTGAATACGAGCTCCCTCGAGCTTCTTGCGCCCAAGGTGTACACCATGTAAGGTCATAACATTGTATGGTGAGCTCCATGTAAAGTAAACTCCTTTGTGATGAAAACCACGTGGACGTCTGCGTGCTTTTGATGCACAAATCCAAATAATGCCTGCTCAGTTATCCTCCACCCAAATCTACAGTTTAAATGTCTACATGTTTTAACTGGTATGTTTTTACTATTAGACTGGTGATGATGGTGAGGATGTAGATGATTATACTAATGAAGATGAGGAAGGAAGTGAAGGAGATATTTTGTCAGAGAATATGAGTTTACATTCCAGACAAAATTCTGGTAAGTTCTAACTTAATTTGTACTTGTAATTTCATGTGGTTGGCTCATCCCCAAGGCACAAGATATCCCAGTATCCTACCGAGACAAAAATCAATAAGGCTTAATGTGTCTGATGAGACGTGTACTGTAGCACAATGCAAAAATCTATGAAATAGTCATTATTTAACGTGATAGTCACTTTATAAAGGTGTGATTTGTGGCGGCTGGTGCGAAATTTCGGACACTGGCGGTTTTTGTTTGCAGTTTTATTAGCATTTTTTGTGTAAATAATAAATAAATTTTTGCAATGACCCTCGGTGGTATTTTTCAAATCACGCGATAGAATACATTTTGAAATAATCGTGCTTTGTAATATTTTTTTCATCTTTCAAAGTTTGACATTCAGGTACAATATATTACAGGTAGTGATGTCCTTAACGATAAGGATGATGTTGAAATCGACGAAGTTTTGCTCAAAATGGAGGCGGGCGTCGACTTTTGCTTACAGGTAATGTATAAGCATTGTCGTGCGCAAATCATTTGTGAACGTTTCGGGGAAGATATAGCTGTATGTAGGTGGTATCAAGGATTGTTGCCTATTGAGGGATTTGCATAACTCTTTGTAGCAAAAACGTTTGAATTAAGATTTTCATAATATTTTCGATGTTTACTTGCTTTTTATTAGTGGACAAAATATTGGTCTAAATATGTGAAAGACATCGCCAACTATGTTGAAAAGAGAGCGCTGCTTGGTGAGTTTACGATCATAAATTATGCTTAAAATAGAAATAATTATGACAAAATGATCGCTATTTTAATCGTTTTGGTCAGTTATTTGTTGAAGGATCTGTGGCAAGTCCAGCATTAGGCGAAATATATTTCAACAGCCAATTGATTGTAGACCGTTTGATTATTTTGTAGACAATGTATTTTTATAAAGAAATCTTGAATTTAAAATGAGTTGCTGTAACATATTTTGCTTGTGGAATGGAAAAACTTTACGTCAGATTGTACAGAATAGACGCAACAAAATTCTATTCTCTTCATATAAAGCACTGACAGCTAAAATGATCATCTATCTAGCAAATGAGGCAGCTAGTTGATTTTCACTAGTTATCTTATCTCCTTATCGAAGTACATTACCCCAGAAACAGGACAAAACCATGACAAACATCGTAAATACAAAAGTAATGTTACAATGAAAAGCTTTTCAGTTACAACTCAGTTGTTATTTCGAAGAATCAATAACTTTTTAGGAAAGCCATCTTTAATTTTTAATTATGGAATGTTTCTTTTGCATTGCTATGCACCCATTAATGAAGCAATCCACGTATCTTCGTATGAAAATTCTTACAAAAAGCGTTCACGATTTTTTTGTAGAAGTGGAGTATACGAAACAGCTGACGAAGTTGGCTCAAGCTACAAGAGCTGCAATCAGTGAGGAGGTACATACATTCATCATTGCATCGCTTAGTATGTGCAAATCATCATTTGTACCAGCTCATTTTGTGCAATTGTTGATACTTCATGACAGATCTCGTAGGAATCGACGTTATAGTTCATGAATTATAACTTTTTGTATTTTATAGAGTAATCTTCCTTTTCAGTCGACGTTTATCACGGCATTAGAGCAGGTGCGTAACGAATTTGCATGCTCAAGGGATGTTTGTTTATTTTTAACACATGCGGTTTTTTATCACGTATGAAGTGTCGATCGTATGATTAGATAGGGCATGCAAGACATCCTCGCTTTCCTACCGCTTTCCATTAGTGTTAGCATTCCAGATGCCTAATTACCATTGAGTTCAACGCATACCGCTAACTTAACGTATTGGGCTGTATATTGACATACAGAGGCTTTTATTTCAGGACATGGAATATGCGCAAAAATGTCAGCAAACTCAGGTTGCTATCAGTGGATCAAAATTTATGGAGGTGAATGCATTTTTAAATTATTGTGCTTAACAGGTGTAAAAGGAAAAATAATCGGAAGAAAAGGTCCATCTTGAACTTATATATTTGAGTAAACATTTGACAAAAAGGTCCTTAGATGGACCTTTTCTTCGAAGTGTATTGTGTGCTATTTTTCTCTAACAAAATGTACATCTTAGCAATACTATATGTTTGTAAAAGTAGATCGTCCAGGTTGGTAGTGTTCTAAGAAGGTTTGTTTGTGTTGATGTTGACTGACGTTTCGACAACCTTAGCGGTAGTCATCTTCATCTCGACTCTACATTTACAAACATAAAAACGATACTCACGCGCTCTCAAACCATTTATTTTATTAGAAAACTTTTATAGAAGGTGAATATTATCATTAAAAACATATTACTTTATAGCCTTTAATGCAACGTCGTTCTGTTCACGATCGTGCCCGAAAAGATATGAAGGACGAGTGGGCGAAAACACGTCGACAATTGGTAAGTATTATGAGCAAACATCTTTGTAGTTTGAAGTAACGTTGAAAATCCTCATCGATCATTTGAAACCGTTTTCTCACTACGATTATTTCTTGTTTACCTTTAAGCACGATTCAGCAAATACGGTCAAAACAACAGAAAATAACTATCATAAGAGATATCAGGATCTTGAGAAGGTAACTAGTAAATTTATTGATCACAAATGATTTAGTGGTGTGTTAGCAATACATGAACCACCGACGGGTCAAGTATATTTTCTCAAATTCTCTTTTATCAAAATGCGTTGAATTTTAAAGGCGCTCTTTTCAGCCGTCGATCTTGATTGTTTTAGCTGAATCCTAGACAGGGAGACGTAAAAGAAATAAGTCGAGATGACAGTTTCTCGGTGTTCAGCTCCAACAAAGGAAAGAAAGAGGAAGAGCTACGAGGAAAGATGGAAGAAGCACAGCAGCTGTATAACAGTGCTATCAAGGTTGCCAATAACATGCAGAAGGCGACAGAGAAAACGAAAATTCGTATTGTTACTCAGACGAAACAACTTGTGAATGAATGCGACCGGACGTTTAGATCGGTGAGAATCACACACTCGCACGCTAGATTCATCTGATAAAGTTTGAAGAAGCTGTGTCATCGAATGCGCATTTTCTTTGCGCATGAAAACGAAAACCGTAAAATTCGTAATTTCCTGGGAGTTGTTCTGGTTTACTATCTTTCTCTTACTCCCAACTTTTCCATGAATCAAACGTTGATTTATTTCATTTATTCTAGCGTTTTTGGGAGCTGGCAAAATAACCAAGTTTCTTTTTTCTACCGGAATTCCCTCGCTTCCTCTTCAATTACAACAAGAGTGAAATCTTGTTGCTTGTTATCTACGAAAATAGCTTGCGCAAAAATGATGCGCATGCTCTGACACAACTCCTTTAAGTTCGAAAAAAATATTTATTTAGTTGTTAGAACAGTTGTGTCATATTGAACACAAAAGTTATGACATTTTTTTTTATCAAAAACAGGTGACGCGCAAATATTTCGATATGATGCATGAACTGGCTGTCCCTGTTCCAATACATTACAAAACCTTAGCTGAAAGCTGTCAGGGATATGATCCCGGGAAAGCATTTGAAAACTTCGTTCGTTTTCATCAATCTGCAGCCATCTACGCCGTCAATAAATCATTCGAATTTCGACCTTATGGAAACGGACGGTAAGTGTCATCCAATTAGCTCATTCGCAGTTTCATTTACAACAGCTTACAATTACAGTATGGTTTTATTGTTCTTATCATTTGGTATTCAAGGTAAACGCGAATGCCTCGCTCGTTCTATATTCATCATTCTGCTTCATTTTGTCCCCATATGTTTGCTCGGCTACCCGCGTATGCGCGCTGCGTACTTATTTTTTCAAGTAATAGCATGGTTATTAGTATTTGAAATTGAAAATTGAAGCTGCTACCACTTTTAATGAAAGAATTTCAATTGCTTGAAATCGAGCCTTTCAAGCATCGCAAACCATGAACGAATTTTTTTGTAATGAAATAACAACGGTACTTCCATCTATTATGTTGTGATTTAATTGCGCTCAGAGTGAAATGTAGTTTATTGCAATATTTGAATGATTAATTTGAAAATCAATAAAAGTTAAAAAAGCTGTTTGTTTCACTAGCTTTTGACAATTGCTAGTATGTGTACATTGTGTCACTATTTTGTCCTGTAGTGGATCCAGCTTTGGTCAAAAGGAACAATTAAAATGCTTTGATAAATAACAGCGCTATTGGTTGTTAATTTCTAATGAACGAAATTTCTCCTGTCGACCTGTTTTAATGTGTTTTCAAATGTAACTGTGGGAAAGCAGTTGTTGTTATGTCCAAGAGTTAAATATAGATATATGCAATTATGGAATAAATTAATAATTCATTTTGTCGTCCCAAGTCATTTATGCATACATCTAATTATAGTATGTTGGATCGAAACTTGATAAGTATTCAAATATTTATGGTATTATTATTTTATTTTAGGTTTGGCCATGAGCTAGAAAGTCCTGTCAATGGATCTCCTTTGGATACCATGAGCGATTTTCCGGGGGGACGAGTCTCTCCTACACTTTCACCTACGTCTAGTCCAAAAACAAAAGACCACCAAGAATACGTCCACCCAAATCCCCCTCCAGCGATGATGAATCTGAAGGTGAAACGAGAAAATCGAGTAAGTATGTATGTAGTATTTGCCGAAATGTAGTAAAACTGGGTGTATTGCATTTGCTTGTATAGTTCGTACAATATTGACCGCTGTTTATGGACTTAAGTCATTTCTGTGTAATGTGTATGCGGTAGTAACTTTAAATATGTCGTTGAATTTGTCACTTTGATGTTTTTAAGGGCTTAGAGTCTGTGAAGAATTACTAAACAAGTTGAAAATGGTCAATGTAATTACATACGAAAAGTATAAACAATTTATTGTTGCTTTTATATTTGCTTAGAGTCTGTAAAGAATTCCAAAACAAGTCGGCAAACGAAGAACAACAAGCAGTCAAAAGGTCCAATGACAAAAGAAGCGGCCACTCACACTTTTCATAAGATGCGCACGCCGGGGAAATGTGCCGTATGCGATACGTATGCATTTATAGGTTTGGAATGTGCTCAATGTGGTCTAGTCTTTCATAAGAAGTGTCTGGAGAATATAAAGACCCCCTGCACACGTAGCGTAAGTACTGAGAACTATTTGTGAAGAAAATTTTAGCTATCATAAGAAAACATGCTCTGATCGTGACTTATGTCATATATGGGTTGCTTCTTATTATACTCTCTATACATTTCTGCTTGTTCACTTTTCATTTCGACCGTAATTTAGAGAGTCCTGGCAAACACCAAAGAACTTCCTAGCCCTATGAAAACATTTGGCGTGAGGTTTTCTGAGGATGGAGGCGTTCCGGTTTTGGTCTCTAAATGTGTGAAAGAAATTAATCGAAGAGGTATATGAAGGGTTTGTTGGCTTTATAGTGCACGTTGTTCCTAGCGGAGATAGTCACCATTATATTAACATTGAAAACCATAATCTCGGTTTGACCTTTTGAAATTCACAATTCGCTCTTGAAATTGGTATATGTTTTAAAATATGTCAAATTTTTTTCCATAGGTCTCAGAGTTAAGGTGAGAATACGATAAATTCATTTGGTAATAAGTGTATTGTTAATTTAAAATTAAAGGCACACAATAATAGGTGTAATCTCAACTGTGATCACCTACGAAAAATTCTCCATTGTACCCAAATTGTTTAGTTAGGGTGACACGATTTAAGGCTTTTGAATATTTTCATAAAAATGGATTTGTTTTCTTGTTCCATTAAAATTTGTGTGTTTCATTTATTCAAGGGGATTTATCGAGTTTCTGGTGTGAAATCTAAGATGGAAAATTTGTGCCAGGTAGGTGATAAACTCTGACGCTATTTTCTACTATGCAACATAATGGTTTTAGAACTCCCGCCAAAATAAAAGTACTAGTCTTACCTTTTATACATTGTTGACTAAAAATGATGATCATCTAATTACTAATTCACCATTTTTTTCAGGAATTTGAGACGAATGCTGAGTCGGTCGATTTATCCACACAACCACCTCATCTTATTGCGTCCGTGCTAAAACTTTATATAAGACAGGTATATGTGAATTCATCTTATTTATTGATTATATCCATAATTTGTCGCCCAGGCACATAGTAAATATCTTTAAACATTTCAGTTGTTGGCTACATGCACATGGCTGTTTAAATTTAGTCAGAGTACTTGTTTTGGATGTGATTATATTGTCCTTAACTTCCCTTTGCGATTCGAGTTTTAAACTTATATTGAAAGAGTGTTGTATATGCCAAACAAAACACTGAAGTACTTGGCTTTGTTTGACTTTGTCGAAGAAGAGTGGAGGAAGTTATTTATCTATACTAAAAGCAGCTTTTCCTATAGTGGAGGAGGCTAGTGTTGGCTGTAGGTTCAAGTATGAAATGCAAATATTGAACTAAAAAAATACTTACCTGACAAAAGTTGATGGTGTGCACGGATTTAAAAATTTCATTTGAACTTTCTGTTTGCTTCCCCTTCACAATGCGATGTAACGATGCTCTTGGGACTTTTTTGTCCAATTTTGAGTTTCTTTAAAACATGTTGCTTTTCTCTAGCTTCCTGAACCACTGATGACTACAAAGTTGTATTCCGAGCTCATACAATTAGCGAAGGTAAATGTCATTGATAAAGAATCTTGTACATGGAAAAACTTCCATCACATTTTGGTTTGGCAGAAATTGAATGCAACTTGGCGTTTTGACTGTCGAGACATGTTTTGTAGTTGCTACAGTGCATGGCTATCGGTGTAATTGTCGAGACGTGTGTTATTGTTGCTACATATCTGTGTAATTGTTGAAACGTGTTTTGTAGTTGCTACAGTGGGATATCTGTGTAATTGTCGAGACGTGTGTTATTGTTGCTACATATCTGTGTAATTGTTGAAACTTTTGTTGTAGTTGCTACAGTGGCTATCTGTGTAACTGTTCAAACGTGTGTTGTAGTTGCTTCAGTGGCTATCGGTGTTGGTCATAACCAATTTTATCGTTTATTTTTTGTCTCTTTGTTTTGTAGGAAAGTGATCATCTTCCTCATTTACGCATCGATGACTGTGAACCAGAAACTAAAGAGGAGTTCAGAAACTTTTTAGACAAATTGCAAGAAACCATAAAGAAATTACCAAGATCTAATTATCTAACGACTGCAACCCTAATCAAACATCTTCACAAGTACGTTAATGAAACTTTTAAGTAATCATCGCTCATTTAATTTGACAGAATGGTGGATACGATCCCATCATAGGGATAAGAATTAGTATAATTATCAAATAATTCGATGTTATTGTAACGCTTGGACGTGCCTGCGAAACTTTGTAGCCTGTAAATTCATTGACAAGTAAACGTTGTGCACAGCAAAGGCGCCTGTCTGACTTTGGCTAATGGTTTTCTGAACCAATTCTGTTTTTTTCTAACAAAAACAGACGATTCTGGAAGTCTAAATAGGAAAAAGCAAAGAATTTCACTGTTATTTGCATAAAGATCAGGAGTTGATTACCTAGGAAGGGGGGGAGGGGGAGGGATATTGAGCACCTCTCCTGGCTTTGGTTTGAGATGGCTGGGTTGCCAATTTTCTTGCGAGTTATATAATGATGAAGAGATATATTTAAAAGTGTGCTCCATAAAACACGAATTACAATAGCTTTCTTTTGATTGCTTTGTATAATCATAAGGGAAACAGAATTTAACAAAACAACGCACGGTGACCCCCTAAGTAAGCGTCAAAATGGATCGTCCCCCCCGTACAGAATCTTCTTGGATCCTAAATACCACTTTCACACATCTTCAAATTTTTCATTGGAATCTTTACAATTATTCCAAGGCTCGAAGTAGTCACATTTAATGAACTCTTTAATGCATCTTGTTTTCAGAGTTTCACTCCACGAAGAATATAACCAGATGAACTCGAACAATTTGGCGATAGTTTTTGGCCCGACCATCTTACGATTGGAAAGGTAACTTTAAATGTTTCGAAGTTCAGTTTCAATATTCTTAAAACGCCACAACTCGTCAAAAACTACACGGTCGCTCGAGCGAATGTGCTCAAACTTGTTTATGGAAAGTGCAAACAAAACGACGGGTACTCCCAAAATGGACATTGTGCAAATGAAAAATATTGACAAATACTGTTATTGAAAATAAGAAAGGATAACTACAAATTTGAACAACATTTAGCAAAATTTTCACTTAATTTTCATTGCAATATCATGTTTAGTTTTGATTTTGTGAAAGCTATATGCCGGCATAGAATTCTTTCAAAGATTTTTATACTTTTTTTTTCTTTAGCACGATACCTGGATCATCGCTCTCCTCTCTGGTAGACATGTCACATCAAAGTCGTATTGTTGCACTACTCATCGTGAATCCTCAAGTATGTTGAGCTCATGCGTTTACACAAACGATTTACAGACAATTAAAGTCGCATTCACCGATTGCGCTTTTCTGTTATTTTACATTCGTTATTTCGACATTTTTTCCATCGATGTATACTCTCATCAAAAAGTGTTGTCAACTTGCTTCGTTTAACGAACGTTTACCCCCAAGATGCGTATTCTTGTTATACCAAGTATCGAGAATTTTCGACTAGAGTCTTCTTACTTTTGTAAAGCCTGGATACGATAGCATTTGCAATAGATACAGTGACAAATGAACATTTTCAATATGGGGAAAGGGGACAAAATAATAAAATCATAATAAAATTCATATCCTCTAAACGACTAGAAACGGCCTTTTTTCGTTGATTATCCTTACCATTTTGGCCGTCATATATGAGTTCACAATATAAACCCGTTCCCTTCCCCCCCCCCTCCAATTCCTACGTCTCTTGATGAATGAATGACGTTTTAATTCCATCAAATGCTACGTTATTTTGCATGTGTTTGATAATTGTGTATTGGATCATGTTCTATGATGATTATTGTTTGTTTTTATCAAGTTATTTGATGATGTACCGGATGAACCTGACGATGAGCTTGAAAATGTATCTATCGAGGAAAATGATTCATCTTTGCCAAGCTCTCCTGTCGAGGTAGAAAAAATAGAAATAGTGAATAAGTTTTGTTGTCCAAATAATTTTTTCCTTGAGAAATAATATATATGTCGTGATAATCATTTTGGTGATAATCATTTCTAGAAATCTGTCTTAACCGATTCTAAAGATGAAAATGGTGTTTGTAATATCGATAGTGAAACCTGGGTTGGAGGTAGGTCGTTAGATAATTTTAAACGTCGATTCTATCGCTTGCATGGCGGTATGTTATGTACTTACGTGCGAAATTTGAATTCTTGTCTCACCTGTAGATTTTGTTAAACATATATATATACTTCTTGCTTATATCATATTTTATTTCAAGATGAAGTTCCCTCTCCAAAGGAGCATTGTTCATTTCAGTTGACGGATATCACCAGTACTCGAAGGTGATTTTGCCTGTGACTTTCATTCTTCGCATACATCTCGTTTTGTTGCGTGTGAACCATTAACTCCAGCATTTTCTAATAAGATTTGTAGGAACAGAATTTGTCTGTTTTTTTGAATATCATTTCGAATTTTCATGAGATGATTAGGAGGACTTGGGTTTAGTTTTATATACATTTATATATAATTGTATTGGGTTGCGTTAGATTATCGGCTAAAGGAATGCATTTAGTCAACAGTTTAATTAATAGCGATGACCTAAAAGGTAAATGATTTTGATAACTGTTGATTTGTGACAAATTTGTGTTAATTAGCGCTATTCTACAGCAATAATTATTCTCTAACACACCATTCATGCATTCAACGTTTTTCCTTTGCATTTGCTTTTAGGGCACAGATCTTTGACACAATGAGAATCAGTGAGTCAGATAACTACGAGGTAGGAAAAGATATATTCTCATAGTTCTGTTAAATATGTGGCGTTTGGAGTCACCCATACTTTATGAAAATTTGTAGCTAATCGAAGTTTTTCCTTTTTCCTCATTTTAGGGCAAGGCAGCAATCTCCCTTCTTGGTAGCTCAGAAGAAAAAGATACAAATTTTGATTTCCCGGTAAACCGGAAAATTTCATCTGAACGCGATACAGGTAATTCTTCAACGCTCTGTAATTCATTTTTCTGATACATCCTCGATTGCTTTTGGGCGAAAACCTACAAAAATTCAAAAATTTCGAAAGTCGTGCCACCTGGCAATTTCATCCAATTTATAAAACAAATTTGTACTGTTCTCTTTCCTCTTTAGAACCTTCAAGTTATTACTCCAAACAGACTGACGTCGTGCAAAATGGAGTATTGGATGAAAACAGTTTTGTTTCCAGTTATGAAGATTCATCAACTTTGTCATCAGTTGGCTCACTGTCAAACCAAAATTCAACAGAGTTTCAAACCAGTAAAAGGGGCGATGATTCTGAAGTGGAACTACCTCAATCAAACTTCGGTAGTACAAAGGATAAGATGGATTTTGATGGAAATCGTCCGCGAAGACGATCTAAGGCATTTAGTGCTGGGAAAAAAAATAGTGAAATGCTAGCGAAACGCGGCTCAGCTCTTATGAACACCTATATGGTTGAAAACAACACCAGTACGGTCGAAAGCGATAATCAAGAAGGAGAAATTTCTCTTGAAAACCAATCAAATGGTGAATTATTAGTTATTGCTTCGGAAACAAACTCCAATGAAGCAACCGATTCGGATATCACTCCAGTGCAAACAGAAACAGAAGGTCAGGTTGTTTCTGGTAAATCGCCATTCTTGGAAATGAAGGCACCGATTGCGTTGAGATCGGAGAATCAAGTCAATATAAATACCTTGTACAAAAATACTCCAAGTCGAAAACGTAATGCTACGTACGAAATTGACAGAAGACGAAATGGTACTTCTAGACCAGAAAGACAGAACGGCATTTTGCTGGCGATAGAGTGTACGGTACACGTGCTAGGCATACGCGCGTCTCGGTTAAAGATCAAATCAAACAATTAGAGAGTAGAGAGCAAAACGACTCGTCAACAAATAAACAAGAGGGAGTTAGGAGCTCCAAGAAAACTTCATCTGATATTGTTGAGGACTCTCATGGTGTTCAGGGAAAAACTATTGATCTTGTCGATGGAAAAGAGAACGTCAATGGCAACTCTATGGGTACTGGTAACCCGATAATTAGAGATTATCCTACGAGAGACATATCAGGAATTTTTCAACCGCCCAAAGTTCCAGTATCTAAATACAAAACAGGTGATGATAAATTCTGTGCCGTGAAAAGGGATATAAACTTAGATTCTCCTCAAACTCAGACGTCAGACTCGTCTGAAATAGAGAGCGACAATGTGGGCACGGAGGCAAGCTTACTTCCAACGTGGAAGGGACAAGGTCTTACTCCTCGTGATTCAAAACACGCACCAGAATTTGTGTAAACCTTTGAAGTAGGAAACATTTACAGAATGCTGTAAACAAATATTATGAAAAATTATGTAAGGTGGTAATTCCTATGGTATTACGTTAGTGAATTATAATTAGAAAGTCCTGCACTCCAATAAGATTTAATTTTATCCAATGCACAGCATCTTTGCAAAATTGATGTATTTTCCTCATACATATATATATGTATATATATACATGCATTTATATATTAAAATATACTTGCAGACGTGTGACGTTTATTTAAGTTTTTGTCTCGTTATAGCCAGTATAACATCAATTTTTATTATTCATCTTCTATCTGGGGTATTTACCAACATATTTTTACAGTATACATGTTTTTCTGTTATCGCTTTCCACGCTCAAAGTTTTTGTAATTTTGAAAAGGACGCAGGTCATCAAAACAACGGCGAAACTAGTATGTGTCCAAATAAATAAATTTATAATTAAATATTAAACCTAATGTAAAATGTTTATTCAATTAATATATAGTTGGATGGGGTAAGGGGACACGGGTGATTAAAAGGGATGTCGAGCGTGAACCCTGTTGAGGAAAATGAACATTTTGAAAGCTTCCTTCATCATGGAGATTTTGCTGTTTGAAAAATAGTTCTCTAATGATTGCGGGAAGGGCACTGTACTTGTCTAATAGCCAATAGCTAGGCGTAGCTTCATCACATGACCGGTATGTCTTGTGCTTTCCTTTTTCATCTCACTTCAGCAAAGTAACTAAATAATCTAAATAAACTCTTCTTAACTGAATCTCGTGTTCAGCATAAATGGATCAAAATCATTATATCTATGATCAAAATGCGCTGGCTTCATGATTCTTTTCGCTGACTGACTTTCCCATTGGTTCAAACCACTTCTGCGATATTGCATCCAATGATTGCATCAGATTAAATTATATCAACATAATATCTAATATTAGATTCGGAAATGCATCGAGCATGCTCTCAGCTCTCGTTCACGCCATCTTTCATTCTCAATGGCGGGGAACTGTAGGTGACGAATTCAGGCAATCCATCGCAATCTGGTATCCGAGAGAAACATCGCGGCCAAATGGATAGTGAATACAGTGTAATGGTGAGCAATAAGTTTGCTGGTCTTCTTATGGATGAAGAAGACCAAGCAGAAATGGACATATTGATTGTTTCGAGCGAAAAGTCAAAAGACGAAGTGTATGGGAAGGATTCGAAGAAGAAACAAATCGTGGACAAAAAGCTAGCAAAATCTGGTACAAAAGATGCAGTGTCGAGAAAGGAAAATATAAATAGTGAAAACAAGAAAGATAGTAAGTGTGCTTATGTTGTGGTAAATGCCTTGCTGCCTAAGTCATGTGCAGGTGGCTGTCTACACATGCATGTTTAAGCTTGGAAGCTTCAGTTTCGTTTAAAGCACAGTTTATTATTGAAGTGTTATGTTGTTTCGTCTGTATATGCCTATAATTAACGCCCTCTCTAGTCGCCAAAACTTTAACTAGTGTGAAAGGAGGATAAAAGTTGCTTGTAGTACGTGTATATTATGTAAATACACACGCCTTTGATACAAACTTCTGTTGACTTTAAATCGCGATGGTCTGAAATTATGTGTGACACAATTGCCTCCGAGCGTCACGTTTATATACGATTATTTGCGCTTGTAGATCGTAAAGAGAAACTAGATGACAGACGTGCAACAAGACGTGATGATACCAAACGTGAAAATGAAAAAAACACAAGAATAATGAACGACCCTTCGATTTCTAATGAAAAAAAGAACTTTGATAAACCTCGCGGTGGTAGGAGAAGGGAGAATGAATCCACTGATATTGACAACAACAATCGAGATGAGAAAAAGTTTGATTCAGGTGAAAGAAGATCTGGTGCCTTTGGGAGTAGAGAGAACAGAGGTGATAGAGTGGGAGGATTCAGAGATGAGGATCGTGGGGGTGGACGAGGTCGTGGTGGTAGAGGACGTGGGGGATTTGGTCGTGGCAGAGGAAGAAGAGAATTTGATCGACATAGTGGAAGTGATAGAACGTAAGTAATACAGGTCATTGTTTTTGTATTCAGGTGTGATAAAGGGTTGTTTTGATGATTTGTCATTGGCAGTTATTTCTTGATGGAAGCAGTGTGCTTCTCTCGGCAAACAGAAAAAATCACAAACCATTTTTTAGATTTAATTTGAACCCTAAATTAATGAAAGTTGTATTGTACAATTTATAACTTCTTTCACAAAAATTTACTTGCACACAACATATGTATAGAAATGGTTCATGATTTTAGGAATGACTAATTTTGTCGAAAATAGAAAAAAATGGCCTTTCTACAATCATATATGTGAGCATATTTATTAGCAATATCTGAGTGGAAATGAAATTATATGTTCCCAATTTGCAAATATGGATCAGGCTCCTGCAGTTTTTTAAAAAAACATTATCGATGTATTTTTTTTTTAAATGTAAAAATCTAATTTTAGTACTTAGCACAGTGAACAAACACCAAGCACATCTGTAATTTCATAAAGAAATGTTGTCATGTTTTAGCATTGATTTTGAGTTCTTCCTGTACTATTTTTACTAAAATTCAACAAAAAATATGAGCATGTTTGCTTGCACGTTTGCATTTATTCATTCTCTATGTTGAATGGAAACAAACATGTATGTGAGTGGGATTAAATATTTTGTGATACACCAATTATACCAATACATTATCAACAAACTGATGTTGAAAAAAAACCATGTCCAGCCGACAATTTAAAAAATAAATTAAAAAACAAATTCTAAAGTAACAAGACATTTGAGATTGCAAAATATGGATCAAAACAAGACGAGAAGTGAAAAAGGAATTTTTGACTTTACTTCAAAGTCATCCTCTGACAGAATGAGGATGACTTTGAAATAAAGTTAAAAATTTACAGTTCACTTCATGTGTTGTTTTGATTCATATTTTGTAATCTCAAGATGTTTTGTTTCTTCATAATTTGTTTTTTACTTTAATGATATTGAAAATCCCCAACATTTATTGAAATTGCGATATTTATTAATAGCAAAAATGTAACGTAAAATGTATGTTTGGTTTTTTAGTCACAGATTTTCTGTTAGGAAAAGTGAAATATGTGCTTTTGTTTTGTATGTGAAACTCAATGAAAATCATTAGTTTTGATCACAAGTATTTTTCTTGTAATTTTCTGACCGATGTCCCTAGAATTGAAGCTATTTCATTGATAAATTGGAAAAAGAAGTTTTTGAGACTATCCAGCTTAGATTTCATGTAGTACTTTATGCATGGCCAAAAAAAGCAAGTTTTTGCAAGCACACTCTAAATATGTGTACCACAACTTGTTTAAAATTGGTAAAGATGTCTCTTCTGTGACACTTCAACGGTTGATGGTTACTTTTCCCTGATTGGTTTGAGTTCATCATTTATGTTTTAGAAGTGTTAAACCAGAAGAGAAAAGAGATGGTGGTGGACAATACAATTGGGGAAAGACTACTGATTTAAGGTTAGTTTAAAAAGTAAAGCTGTATGCATTGGATGTCATTTGATATGACCAAGCTATTTTTTTTCCCTTTGAAAAACAACTTTATCATTGGTAGTGATTCTGAAAATAATCCTGGGGAAGAATCTGGTGATTGGTCAAATGAAACTCCAGCACCCGTTGAACCAACTGCTGATGAACCCAAGGTGGACCAACCAAATGAGTCAGTATTTTTCTGAGTGATTATTTAACTTGCTTTGATCAGTTTAATGCTGATGTGATAAACAATCCAATTTGAAAACTTAGAGAAGAAAAGATATCTGATGATGAAACCAAAGAGCAAGAAGTACAAGAAATGTCTTATCAAGAGTGGAAAGAGCGACAGGAACAAGGAAAGGAACACATGAAGTATAAATTAGAACATACTGAGAGAAAGGCAGGCGAAGGAGAGAACAAGTCCCAATGGAAGAATACTAAAGTTTTCTCCCGTAATGAAGATGTTGATCCTTTATATACTGAGCGCAGGGTATAGTTTATTTTACAATTGTACCTTTTAAATGCAATAGAATGCATCTGCCATTGAATTTTTAGATTCTACTACTTTAATGCTAAAAGCAAAGATTTTCTGTTTATGAAATTCTTTTCTACCTTACTGGTAGGAATACGAAGAAAAAATCAAAACATCAGGTCGAGTGAAACAGACTCTTGAAATTGACTTCAAATTTGCACCTGGTGAGAAATTTCAAGAATCTCGTGGAGGTCGCAGGGGTCGAGGTGGACCTCGAGGTGGTCGTGGTGGTGAGCGACGAGGTGGTAGCAGTGGTGGTTCAATGGATCGAGGCGAAAGACGTGGTGGTGGAGGATTTGGAAGACCTGGAGGAAATCGAGGCGGTTTTAGTGACAGACGCGGTGGCGGACGCAGCAGTTTTGGAGAAAACGACGTGGAAGCCAACAGAGGGCTTAAGTTTGACACAGAAGATTTCCCAACTTTGGGTTAAACATTTGGTTACAATCTTCCTTATTCCACGAGAAATAAGCTCCTGTTTTGGTATCATTGACTTATGCATTTACTGTTGTTTTTTGTGTGGTCAACCTTCCTTTGTGGTAAAATTATTTTTTTGTGAACTGGGAGATTTTCTGGACTTATATATTCCAGTTCACGTAAGGAATCGAGTTGACTATTTTGTAACTGTGACAATGTACGCATACGTGACGTTCGTAGTGTGTGTGCTAATTGATAATATATGCGTTATGCTCAAACGTTCATAGTATTGTCTAGTTCACTTTTAATAGTACTCATGACTTTTGATTTATTGTAATGTTTATTGAAACAAACACAATGTCTATGAACATGTGATAATGCAAGCTTGCATAGTTTTGATTTCTGAGTATAATATAAACATTTCGCGTGCTTGAAGTAGGATAGTTACATCGTATAGTTACCAGAAATTGTAGTCGAAAGTGATCTTAAACAAAATGTTGATTTTTGGAAAGATTTGGTCACCACTTAAGGGGATAGAGTAGCAAAGAAACATACCATCAAAATTTTATTTACGTAATGCCAAAACACAATGAATAAATGTATACAAGTTTTATGTAAGTGCATGTCGTTCAAAATTGACCTACACAATTGAAGTACACCTTCAAAATTTAACAAGTTTAATTTAATATATTATTTAGCAATAATTGCTTCATGCTTATGTAATCCCTTGCTGTTTTTGTGTTATAAATTAGCATTTCTAAATGAATGGATCCAAATCCTATGTTGAATAGTCAACCTTTTGTAATGAACGCTTCTACCAGGATAATCTCATTCATTGCAACAAGTTGTTGACTTATGAGTACTCTACAATTAACGTTTAAGTCCCCCATTATTTACAAAGACTGTTACATACAGAAAAGAAGTACAATATTTACAATAGTACTGGATACATATGTGGTAATGTTGCAATTAACTTCCCAGTTCTGATGTTTAGAGATAAAACTTTATCATCTAAAAATTAAACTCCTATCTTAAATTCAAAGTAAAAAAAAATTTTAACATCTCAAATCATAAGCAATGAGTGTTCATTCTCAATTGCATAAGTAATTAGTATACACTATACAATTCTACCAACAATAGCAAACTATCATGAATCAATGGTGGCACTTCATCTGAAAATTTCAATGTCCTTTCACAATTGTGCTCAAAACCCAATTATACCATGACTTTTATAAATATCAATTAACATGATCTAGCATATATACATTTCCAAAATAATATAAACTTTAAGCTTCTTTAGATTCTTGCACCTCAAGTAAGAGCTGAAAATAAGAAAACCAGAAACATTAAATTAATATTCTTCAGTAATTATAGCATGAGAGAAAACCAAGGGCCAGTCACCTGAATCAGACAAATGACTTTAATCTCCAGTTTCATAAGAGGATAACAAAGCTGCATCCACTGGTTCCATGCAGGATGGACATGTAAATGACCTGATTAACCAATCATCAATACATTCTTTGTGGTAAATATGCATACATGGAAGGAATCGAATTTCATCACCAAATTCAAAATCGACCATGCATATGGCACATCTGGCAAATCAGATCAAAATAGTTTCAACAATTTATAGGAAGTATCAAATAACTTTCCTTTTCAGTTTTATCAATCTCAACATGAGCATTACAGATGAAATTCCTATTAAACATGTTTTGGTGTTGCTATGTAAATTTTGGATTTTTAATATTATTATTTCTTTCTTTAGACATCCCAAATATGTTCCAGAAAAGTGGAAATTCCCCATTAATTGTCATAATCATGAAATTCTTAAGTCAACATTTTCTGCCTCAAACAAGTGTTTTAAAACAGACTTTTTCTACTTAGCTACCGTAGTAAGTTCTATATTAGATTTTGCAAGACATTATGGTTTCAGAAATACTGTGAAACAATATAATATGGTACATTTTCAAACACCCAGGAGCATGTCAACTTTACAATATCTGAAAGAGTTTCAGCACTGAAATAGAGTCTCACGAGTAGAAACAGGGCAGTTCAAATTCATTATCCACTAAGCAGAGGGGCACTTTATAAAATTTTTTTTCCCATCTCATGTATAACGCACTTTAGCTATAAAAAAACACATGGTGTTAAATGTTAATATGAAGTTATGATCACAACGACAGCTGTACACAATATTAAAAGGAACCGCACAGAATTACGGTAAATCATAATATAAAAGCGAGAAGCGACACAATGAAAGATATCTCAAGTGTTTATCTTCCTTCCCGCTATTTCCTGGAAGCAGACATCAGAAAAATAAAGGACCTATCAATTGTTACAATCAGAATTCATTTATTCATGTTTTGCTGAAAGGTCTTTTACTCCTCTGCGTTATTCGCAATTAAAAACCGAAAACTGTTTCTTTTTCGCATAGATGGTCAGCGAATTACGTATTCAAAAATGGCGAAACTTCGGCACTAAAGGCCATCAAATTCTTAGTTTCCTACGCGTTACGCGTTGGCGTAATAACTGTTTATACGTGAGGGCATTTGCGAGACAGGTTTTCGATTTCTATTTTGAAGGTTTCGTGCTGTTTGCCATATAAAGGCAGCAATGTGTAAATGGAAAAGTTGCGTTGGGCTTTAATCCCTAGCAAAACGAAATTTTAAACAAAAGAAGAACACAAACGCTCTTTGTTGCATTTACCATTACATCATGACACAAGACCATTAATAGCGCTTAAAAAATTAAAATTAGTTTTCGTTTAACCATATTCAGCTAATTTCTAAACAACTTACTCTCTTTTCTTTTTCGTTTCGTCATATTTACCAACGGGTAAATGTTGGATTAAGCCAAGCCGCTGAGCTAGTCGTATTTGTTGTTCCTCCGACAGCAGATGGGGAGCCCTTTGACTTTGTATATAATACGAATATGGAGGGTCTTCCTATGAAACAGACGAAAGGTAAAGCGTCATATAAAACGTCCAAAAGGCACATAAAACTGAAAAAAACTACACAGAAAAGAGTTAAACAGTTGAAAGTTCGTGAACGATATCTTGAATACCTGATACGGTGGCGGAGGCTCCCCTCGCGAATTTAGGGCTCCGTGTTCTTCGTGTAACAAGGAAATATCATCAGATGTCGGGCTTCTAAGACAATTGCCCATAACGGGTCTTTAATAGATTATTTCTAGAGCCACACACAAGTAAATTGAAATTTATAGCACGCAAACCACCGCATATAAACTTTCCAGTCATTAGACTCATAATATTTTGTTATGTTTTATTGTCGTTCCCAGTGTTCTCAGTGGTCGTTCCTTTTCGTAACCAATAAACACCGGAAGAAACGACATTCCAGATTCCAGATATCAGGGGTCGGGTCATTGTGGGTCATTGTCCGAGTAACGTCATGGTAACGTCACGAACGTCACTAAAACGTCAATGAGTCGTCAGTAAGTGTACACAAAGCAGAAATGGTATATAATTGTATTGTATAAAATTATAAATTCTAATTATTTTAAAGTAGCATTTATGTAGAATGTTGTAAAACAGAAACATTTTGCTCCATTGAAAATTGCGACACCTAAATAGCAGTGAGCCTAAAATTGATATCAATATGTTTATATTTATAGTTTTAAATATAAGTATAAATATGAATGTAAATATAAATTTAAATATAAATATAAATATAAGTATAGATATAAATATAAATATATTTATGCGTAAAAAATTCTTAGATTAGATATTATACCTCGATATTCAAACATATATACTATTCGTATGTTGATTTTTCATGCCTCATTCTATTTTTGGCAATTTGTAACGTAATTAATAGCTGTATAATTAAAAATTAAACGAGCTTACCTGTAAGTGAAGTTTGATTGGGATTCTACCGATCCATTGCGAGGAACGAAGGGATTACATGAGATTGCGCCAGCGATCACAACTTCAATATTTAACGCTTGTCGAATATCATTATAACCTTGGGTCGGGGTTAGCAGCCATTTACAATCGGCAATAATCTACACAGTACTAATATCTATTACATAACAAAGAGTAAATCCAATATGGGAGGGCATGTAATCCCTTCGTTCCTCGCAATGGATCGGTAGAATCCCAATCAAACTTCACTTACAGGTAAGCTCGTTTAATTTTTAATTCTACCTCACCATTGCTACGTCACTACGGGATTACATGAGACTTTAAAGTACCAATGATATGAGACAACTGAATGAACCAAACCAGTACCAGTCATAACTAATTTTATACTCTAACAAAACAAAAAAATAAATTTTTAAATAACATTGTGCAGTAATGCCTGACTAAAATTAGCTAAACCCTCAATTGGTTTATGATAAAATTTTGCAAAAGTTCGTGCATTAGTCCAGCCAGCCGTATTCATTATAGTTTGAATATTCACTCCCAATAGTGATGCTGCAGACGTAGAAGCTGAACGTGTGCTATGTGTTTTAAAAATGTTCATATCTACCCCAGCCTTTTCCATTATTGTTTTGATCCACCGACTCAAAGTGTCCTTGGATACCGCAGAATGGGGTTTAACAAAACTCAACAATAGCTGTTTTTGTTGTCCTCGAATGACGGAAGTCCGCTTAAGATATTCTTTAAGGCATAGGACAACACATAATCTCTCATCCGGTGTGTATACCTCAAACTCTAAATCCTTTATGTGCCTGCCGGGTTTTGACTGCTTCACCAGCCCTTTGACTTGGAAAATAACTTTGTTTTCCTGCAATATCATGTGATCAATATGCAACAGATGAATTGTTTGCAGTCGCTGCCCAGACAATATCACCAGCAAGCTTGCCAACTTTAATGTAAGTTCCTTTAGTGACAGGTGTTCAGCCAAAGGTAGCGCCTTAAAATAGCTAAGCACAATATTGACGTCCCAAGTAGCTGTGTATCTTGGCAAACTTGGTCTTTGTTCAAATACCCCTTTCATAAATCTGATGACCAAAGGGTGAGATCCAAGAGAAACGCCGTCGTGCAATGAGAGAACCGATGAAAGGGCACTACGTGCTGTATTTATGCCACTATATCCCAAACCGGACTTGAACAAGGATAATAAATAATCAATTACCTCATTGATCTGTGGGGCACATGGTTGAAACCCATTTTTTAAACAAAATCGTGTCCATCGTTCCAAGTATCCCTTGTACTGCTGCCGGGTTGACTTACGCCAAGAACACATTAATATTTCAGTGGCCTCTGGTGAGATTCCTGTACTTTCGATTGATTGCCGGATAAACTGCAGGCCATCAGTCGTAATCTCTGTGACAGAGGATGTTGAACCCTGGTTTGTAGGGCAATATTAGAATGTCCTTCTGGTAAGGCAACAACAGCGGTTCTTGGAGTAGCATCTTCCGAGAATGGGATACCATGGTTGTGTGTTCCAATCTGGGACAATTAATATTCCTGTAGCTTGATCTTGTTCTATTTTCTGTAGCACCCTGCCCAATAAAGAGAAAGGTGGAAAAGCATAAAATCGACGATTAGTCCAGTCAAACGTAAATGCGTCAATTGCAAAGGCTCCTGGGTCAGGATTCCATGAAATATAAGGTTGTATCTGATAATTGAGCCTTGAAGCAAATAAATCAATATCCGGTTGAAATGCGAAAAACTGAACAATATACTGATACATGCTAGGATTCAACTGCCATTCTGTTTGGTCATGAAAACTCGAGAAGCTTTATCTGCTTCCCCATTAAACTTGCCTGGTAAGTGTACTGCAGTAAGCCAAATGCTGTTTTGAATGCACCAAATCCATATTTCCCTAGCTTTGGCATTGCATTGAAATGATTGACTTCCCCCCATATTATTTATATATGACACTGCAGTTGTGTTGTCGGTTTTTAGGCAAATATGTGTATTGGACAAACTAGAACAAAAGGTTTGTAAACCCAAAGGACTGCAGACATTTCCAGATAGTTAATGTGTTGCACAGCTTCAGTGGGTAACCACTGCCCTCCTGCAGACTTTCCCTGGAAATTTGCTCCCCAGCCAAGCAATGAGGCATCAGTAAACAGTGTGTACTCAGGCTTAGGCTTTGAAATTGTCTTATAAGTGGTTTCTATATTATCCGCCCACCATCGCAAATCAGCCAGACTGGTTTTGGAAGGTGTCATAACCTCATCATAATGGCCCCTGCAGGCCTTAAGTGCTGAAATTTTATCATTCTCCAGTTGTCTGTAAAATAAAGGGCCCATTTCTACTCCTGGAAAACTGGCCACTAAGATTCCTATAACTTCAGATACTTCCCTTATGGAAGGTTGAGTTTGTGTCATGAGTTTTTCACAAGCTTGCTTTAACCGCCGCGACTTGTTGGGCGTCAAACTAACAATCATTAGTTTAGAATTTAATAAAAATCCCAAGAATTCTATTTCTTGCGATGGGATGAAATTTGACTTCTCTTCATGAACGCAAAAACCCAGTTCAGATAAAAACGTGGAGGTGGTAGAAACATTATGACGACAATCGTCATAGCTATACCCTTGTAAATAGGAATCATCAATATATCCCACTGATAATAAGCCCTGTGCTCGCAAATGACCATAAACTGGTTTTAGTAGCTTGGTAAACAACCGTGGGGCACATGCAAGACCATTGGGCATACAAGTAAATTGGTATAACTGTCCCTTAAAGTGAAATTTAAGATACTTTTGGTGGGACTCATGAATAGCTACAGAATAATACGCATCCCTGATATCCAGTGAAGCCATGAAACAATCCGGTTTTATCATTTGAATAACCTGCTTAAGTGATTCCATCTTAAAATGTTGGTAGCGTACAAATTTGTTAAATCTCTTTAAATTTAGTATCAGACGAAATGACCCATCTTTCTTGGGGTCAAGAAAATAGTAGAAATATATTCCCTTTCTCATGATGACTAGGTATAATAACCTGCTTTGCTAACAACTTAGAGATTTCAGCTTCAATGAAGGAGGCTTCTTTGCTGAAAACTGTTTCTGTTTAGAAACATGCATTTGGGAAGGTTGTTGAAGTAAATCAATTTTACAACCTTTCACAATATTCAAAATGAATGAGTCAGTTGTTAAGTTTTCCCACTTATTATAAAACATTGAAGTCGCCCGCTATAAAACTAGAGGCTGAATTTTGACTTACCAACTTATATTGGGTAGATGTCATTGCTGTTTCTGGCAGTCTTTTGGTGCCTTTTCTTTCCCGGTATGGGGTTTGTGCCATCGAGGGCCCTGCCGAAAATTCTGACCATAATGGTCCCTTGGGCGATGTGAGTGCCTGGAGTAGGAGCCCGTTCCATTCTGCCGATCATATTGTCGGGAACTAGCCAGCTGTTGGCTTACTCGATTGGTGGCACTAATATCCTGCACTTGTTTGGGTAAATCATCCCCAAATAGCCAGTTTGTGAACTCAATATGTTCACCACAAAGTTGCTGATATTTATCATTAAGGTCTGGTCGTATCAGTTCTCTACGTCTTTGCACGAACTCATAATTAGTATGTCCCAGAATGGCCATAGAGTCCATTAGACTCCTTATCATTGATTTATTATCCTCAAGTTGAGATGAATCAGCCTGCATGAGTTTGTGGATAACTTTAACCACCGGAATGCTAGCCTTCAGTAACATATTTTGCACCCTTTGTAATTTAATATCTCGACTCCGAGTGCTTGACTTCAATTTCGGCCAAATTTCAGGGTTGATTTTAGTGCCTACAATGTTCTCGCAGTTTGTGGGCCGAGTACTCTGTGTCAATTTTTCTTTAAGTTTTTCATCGGTTAATCTGTTACGCACCATTTTGTTAACAATGCTTGCTAGTTTAGGATTAACCTCTTCAGCACATTGTTCGTCAAGGTTGTATTCTTCAGCTATTGAGCCTAGAACATCCTCCTCATTTTGAGCAGAGGCAACATTCGATGTAGTGTTGGGATCATTCCCTGCTAACAATTCGTCAACTTCCACGTCAACATCACCTGTTGACTCACGACGCGCTCTTTTAGTAGCTTTTCGCGTTTCCGATGCTACTGATGCCACGGAGTCCGATGACTCTGATGCTGAGCGAGTCCTAGTGCGCCCCTGTTTGGTAGCGTTGCTTAACTGCGAAGCAATAGCCTCCGTAAGCTTAGAAAAACCTCGCTGAAGACCATCAGTTAGGACTTGTTGCATTGCAATTATATCTCGTCCCATATCCCTACCGTCATCACTTGTCGATGGTATATCAGATGATGTTTTAATCCGTCGGTTATTACGACTTTCATCTCGTTCATTTTCCGAGCCAGACGAGTCTAAGACTTCATGGCCGGTTTCACCTTCCGCCGCCATGCGTTTTCGGTCGATTGCGAAGAAAAAACAACAAAATGAGCAGAAAAATAGTTTAAATTGACGATTACGTCGACCTGTATCGTAGTAAGAGTGGGAAACAGCAAGATTGCTTGCTGTAAATTCCCCGATGCAAAACGATTGCCCAAAATATATTAATATTACAATGGCAAATACAAAAGCGTCCTATCTCGTTGTGTTCACCTTTACATTGAAGTTGTGATCGCTGGCGCAATCTCATGTAATCCCGTAGTGACGTAGCAATGGTGAGGTAGAATAAATGAAAGTACAGTGCGCAACCGACGTCTACTTATTTTACCACTGCTACTTACGAACACCTCTTGGAACCGGAAACCTCCCGTAAGCGGACACTGCTTTTAGATCCCTGCCATAAAAATATCATCTTTCATGACTTCTCATAAGCGGAAACTTTACACCTGGTCGTGGTCCCAAGGGTGACCATTGGTATACATATATGTCCGTGAGAATGATGGCTTACAGCAGGTTTGACTGTATTTTGCATTTAAGAAAGCTGCTATTATGCTTTGAATATCCCTGGATCTGCTCCTGAATAATGGATTGAAGACAAGATTTAGCTATTACTTTCTTTATGAGATGATCAAGAATACATCAAGAATATATCTGATGTACATCTAACAACAACAAAAACAGTCCTTCTCGGGACTATACCAACCTGGACGATCTACATTTACAAACATGTTACGATACTCCAGGGTTTAAACCATTTGATCTTGAATAATCATGGATTAGATTAAAGCTTAATTTTTGTCAACCAAATCTTAATCGCAGTCGCCATGTCTATGCTTTCTTGAGAATTTGAAACTGCGCGGGTTGATCTTGATCAGTAGACACCGTCGACACTGGAAAAGAAAAGTTGGATAGAATAGACAAATTTTGTTGTGTGCACAGATCTTTGTTGGCCTTACCCAAACGATGCCTGTTGCTATAAATCGTGTTCCGGGAGAAAAGATCGCCGTTCCTCCCGAGATTTTGGAAAACGTTGTGAAAGATGTGGATGAATATTTGTCATCCGACAGAAGATATCCAGAATTAGCCGACCAAATTGGAGCATTTTCACAAGGTTAGGTTTGGGTTAAGTAAATCGTTAGTAAATTATGTTATTCTAGAAATGAGAAATGGATAATTTTCACACAACTGTGAAATCGATGTCACTGGATTTTCATTTCCAAACAAAAGTAAACCTTGATCCTTGTTGTTCTTCCTCTGTCTCTGTGTAATTAGCAGCCTTACCAAGCTTCGAGATAGTGCACTTAAGTGAATTTTTACTGTGAATACATACTGTATTCTGCCATTATGAGAAAAACCACTTGTCAATCACAATATCTTTTTGCAGCTGACACTGTCTTGAGTGGAGTCAACGACTTTGACTATCCAATGCTGTCAAGAATTTCTGATGGACTGAGACATATGCATTTGATTTCAACAGTCAACCATATACCTCTACCATCAGAACTCATTGAGCAATTTACTTGTATCCTCTTTTAAATCTTTTGCTACATAAAACTGATTTACTAGGTAGAGACTACAGAGAGATGTTCAAAAAAAATGTTTGACCTTTCAAGTATTTTTGGTTTAATTGCTCATTGACTTTTCAAAATCCTTGACTTTGAATGATACTGTGACTAAGGATGTTGAAATGTAATCAACACAATACCAAAAAGTAGCAAAGCCAGTTTGTTTTATCAATTTCTACAATGCAAATATTTTTGTGTTTGATCATTGGAAACGCAATGAGTAATGTAAAGAATAACAATTTTGCTAAAAAAATTGCATTGTAGGAGTAAAAGATCAGGCTGGCCTTCCTACAACTACACCGACCTGGATGATCAGCATCTAAAAACATGTTACTCTTTGTTACAAAGCTAGTCAATGAGCATGGTACATTTTATAATGAAAACAAATCTTACCTAGGATGTCACTATTAAGTTTGGAGCTGTTGTATTTGACACAAGTCTTGCCATAGCTTTGCAAAGAATAAGAATGATAAGTAATAATTATAACTAAGCTTTGACAATTTCAAGACATGCAGTGTAATTGCCAGATGGGTCTGTTTCCTGAGATTCATAGAGCATGGTTGACCATAGACAGTGATATATACGTCTGGAACTATGAGGATGGGTATTAATTAAAAATTTTACATCATGCTTCATTCCAACATAGTTTATACATAAATTTTGAATTAAGAAAGTTCCTTATAATTTACATGCTAAAAATATTCTAAAGTGTACATTTATCATTTAGAGGCATTGTTGTGATTCTCTCATTTGCTTCATCTGAATAAAAAAAGCATTTTTGTATACTTTTGTCTTTTTCAATTTTCAGAAGTGATTTGGCATATTTTGATGGCCTGAGCGAGACCATATTGAGTGCTGGTCTGGTTCAACCAAAACCTGGTGCGTATGTATTTTACTTTTTTTCTATTGTATGTTTATTATTGTTTTAAGAAAATAGTGAGTTGTTGTTTTGTTGGGGGTTTTTTGGGGGTGGAGGTTGGGAAGAGATCATCATTTAGAAATTTCAAATTGTGTTTATTGGCTTTTGTGAAATATGGCATCTATTAGAGAGAAGTATGTAACTGAGGATAGTTTCATATTTGAACTTTGATCCTGACAATGTACTAACATACTGATGACAATGAAATTCATTTAAGTTTTTATTAAAGCCATATACACATTCTGTTTGCAGGAATATTTCAGGAGCACATCAAATTTCTTCTATGTATCACAACACCTGTGGATGTTGTTCTACTTGGTGTAAGCTTTAGCGATCCAAACACTGGTAATGTAAAATTATTAGTATCAGCATGTGGAAGCACACACAGGGCTCAAAATAACAACCATTATACGTATGTCCTATCAAGATGAAAGGTCAACTTCATTTAAGCTTAGTTCAAGTCGGTTTTTGATTGGTCAATATTACCCATCATTTGTATCTAATAAAATGAAAAAAATTATTTCAAATTAATATTCTCAGGACGTAACCACAGAATAATGATTATACAGAAGGGTCACTCAGGTGTACAACGCGTCCTCATGTCGGCCATTATTCCAGCCAGTTGATTAGGATTTCACACTTGTTTCCAACCATTAAAATTACATGATGTCAATACTTAATAATGAATTCAAGTATATTTGGACTTAAGAAATGACTTCGGATCATTTTAAAGTTTGGAAAAAGTCAAAAACCCTAATCATCTGGCTGGAATAATTGCGGCAATCATGCGCGGCACGACATGCTCGAGGACAAAAACATCAAAGGCTCCGACACAAGTGACTCTTTTGTATATTCTTATTCTGTGACGTAACCATTCATCGCCTAACTTATGTACTTTCGAGGAAAGCGTAAAAATTTGGCATGTCGAATTGACAAAGTTTTTGCTTGTCATTTTGACCTGTATATTTGTGACCGTTGACCTGCCGTTATTTTGAGCCACGACTTTCGATTTTTGTCTGCACGTAATGTCATTTTTGATGACAAAATAACTTGAAATTGCTATTGTTTCTGACATGCAACGCCGTACGTTATTCAAATTTGTAAGCTGCCATCAATTTTTAAATTGACACTATCCCATTAAGATTCCTCCTAAAAACGATCCACTTTCTCATTTAAATTTCTGATCGGTTAACTCAGTCCATTTTTCCGTCCCCAGCCCCTAGCTCACATGCTGCCATTCAAACGCTCATAAATTCTTTGTTTTCCGACAAACATATTTATGTTTGTTTAATTGTATCTCTTGAAATATTTTCATTTTATCGAACCTTGTTGCCTTATTATCTTTTAACAGCTTGATGCTGGAAAGCCAGTAGCTTTATTTGTATTCACGTTGTTTGAAAGAGTGTGCACAATCACCATAATTATGATGATGTGAAATAACAAATTAAAAATTTGCACACTTGTTGTGCTCGATCCCGTCGTACTTCGCAGGCAGTTCTGGAATTCTCCGGCCCTTTCAAGCGGGAAGTGTCAATATATGATACACTCCCATGAAAGGAGATTTATCAAAAAGCAACTTTTGTGAAGTGAAGAATGTAATGAGTTGGACGTGCAAAGCCAACCTTATCACGTTTGTTTAGGTGTACACGAAGGCGATTACCACGAGATGCATTTATTGCCCGAACCATTGTTTACTTTACAAACTGATAACGTTTATATGTCTGGAATAACTGGCACTATCAATGGTCGTATTTTTCTCTGTGGTCGGGATGGTTGTGTTTACGAGATGGACTACCAGGTACAGTACAGTATGTATGGCATACACGCGTTGATAAACATTATCGGTCATCGCATTGCATCAATAAGTATTAATTGTTAATACTGTATAATAATGTCAGAAGATCGACAATCGATAATCGATGTTTTGGTTATTTTAGGGAGCGGGAAATTGGTTTGGAAAGAAATGCAAGAAAGTCAATCATTCTGTTAGCGCGCTTTCATTTCTCATCCCATCTTTCCTCTCTTTTTCACTCAGTGGAGAAGGTGTGGTTGGCAATCATGATCTTCTAGACTTTGTTAAGTTTAGCAGAAGCAATTTCTCTTTATGTTAATACAACAAACAATTCTTATTTTCAGATCCTGTTGTCCAACTGGCTGTCGATAATAGCAGAAATATTTTGTACAGTCGAACTCAAAAAGGAACTATTCAGGTTTGTTTTGTGTGTTGAACTTCAACAATTATTGCACGTTGAACAAAGCTTATTGCAATAAAGATAGCCATGAAGAATGTTTGCTATCTTTGATAATTGATAGTTCGTAATTGTTTGTTACAATTAAGTCCACCGCAAAAAATATACTCGACAGTAAATAAGTAAATGTTGCGTTCAAAATCTGTAAACGTCGTACGTAAATGTAACTTTAATAGTCATCAGATTACAGCAAATTTTGCCGATTCAGAGACTGGATGTACTTTTTCCCTTTGTGTTTGTTGTATATTTGATTCATTTCACTCTGGTTGCACTTTGTATCTGTTTCCTATTTTATTGTTATCATATGATTCATTAAAGCTTCCCGCCCTTTTTAGGTACGTAATTTTAGGCTCATTGAACCAAACTCTCGCAGGACTTAAAACGGTTTTATTCCATTAAGGTTTTTGATTTGGGCAAAGACGGTTCGAAAACCTCTTATGTTACATGTTGTTATCAAGACAGTATCGTCAACAAAGCCGCCAGCATGCTAAGGTTGTATGTAGAGGTTTTTTATATTACGTATACATTTCGTCACGTCACGACATGCCTACGTCATTTCAGGTAGTTTTGAGAAAACGAAATAAGAACTATTGTAAATTTAAAAACAGCCATGTTTTTGTTGAACATCATATGTTGAACATTTATTGAATCATTTTGATTGGGCAGTTGACTTCAGCAACAAATACAAAACATTAGAGGGCAAAATAGTAGTTTTAGGCAAAATAGTAGTTTTAGGCAAAATCCCTAGATCGAAAAAATATGACTTCGGCAAAAAAGTTAGTAACGTGACAATTTGCAGCTTCTTTTCAAACATGCATGTTTGTATGTAAAATATTTTAGATCGTGCCAACTGTTATGTTGTATTCATTTTTGTTAGAAGTGTCGATAGAACTCGCCTGAAACCCATCGTTCATATTGCTCCAATTTCTACCAACGAATCGCAAATTGTTCATCTTGTTGCCATTACGCAATCAGGTAAAAGGCCAATTCGAACTTTACTGAAAATGAAATCTCTCGCTCTCTCTCTTGTTGGATAAGTCATAGTTGTACTTTTCTTAGCTAGTCATTTAGTTTTTACGGTTTCCTCTGTTGTCGCTGTTTAGTTTAGTGCGTTTCTTTTTCGAGATTTCAATTCCGCGCTGAAAACGTAAACAAATTCAAAACCAAACAACATTTAAATATTCTTAATTTATGCATGCAAAGTCTTGCTTCGAGGCGAAGTGTCTTTCTCGTGTCATTGTATTTAATAAATTGCAGTTTAGCATATGCAACTGTATTTTCTATACGTAGGTGTTCGTCTTTATTTTATGACGACTTCTCCCGAGCGGTACGAAGATCGCCCCTCAAAGCTCTCGCTATTTCACGTTCGCATGCCCCCTGGATGTGCTCCATCAGCTAGACCTGAGAGACCGTTCATGGTTCATGCGGCTTATTACAGACAAGGTAAAACGTAAATTCTTCCTTTGATAAATTACATATACGGAATTCTCTAAAATCTGCCAGTGTTTTGATCTGTTTCGCATTTTTCATAACGCCAGGCACCGCTTTGTTTTGTTCATCTACGAATGACGAAAAGGACATATTATGGAGTATCAGTCCTGATATTTTTCCTTTCCAAAGAAATTTACAAGAATCTTACGTCAGCATTCCATTGGAAGGCAGGGCATGGGCGATACACGAGGTTCCTGAACAAACGTATCCTGTATTACCCTCATCCGTCCCTCTCAACTGGCCGGATCCTCCAGTCATAGTTACGCAACACGTTGCAGCATCGAGGAAGTTTGTTGTCCTCAGTGCTCAGGTAAATTTTTATGTGTACAAAATCCTAGATGTGTGTACGTAGGACTTCTGGTATTTTTTGCTTTGTATGGAAACATGTGAAAAACCGTTTTATGAATATTTTTTAGTAATTATCATGATTCAATAATCTATGAAATTTGCTATTAAATATATGATCGTAAATAATTATTAATAATACTCAAAACTAAAGTAAACTTGAAAAATATGTGCATGTTAGCGAAGGCATTCCATAGTCCATTTTTTCCCATTTCTTGGTGAGTATTGAGAGTGCTTAATGCTTTACAAATCTTCACGTATATGTGATTATTTTTTTCATAGGGCTCTTACTTGTTTTCTTCCCTTCGTCCATTTGAGCAACTACAACATTTGTTACAAACACACCATGGTCCCGATGCTGAAGCTGTTCATGGTTTTTCAGGCTACTTCAGGTAATTTTTTCTCATTTTATCATCTTTTATAGTCATTGTTTAGTGCCTTGGTTCGTCTCGAAGTCTTTGTTTTAGCTACATTGTTCATTACATTTTGAGTCATCTTTTCTTGATAAAAATAATCCACCCCCTGTGTAAAACACGTAACAATCTATTGTCATTTGACTAAACTCTTGATACATCAGGAAGTCTGAAAAAGATAGTCTGAAAGTCTGAAAGTCTAGCATCTGACATTTTCAAACATTGAAACCAACGTGAAAATTATAGATTGTTGTCTCTTTGCTCATTATTATTCAGGTTGATCACGCATGCGCTACAGCTTTGGTCCTTGCTTGTTCAACAAACAACAACGAAGTAAGTTTATATTTAGAATTGTATTCTAAATATATACTTCAAGAGGGACCGCGGAAGATAAATAATTTTGAGGTGGCGCTAATATTCATGTATGCATGATATACCGTATTAAGCTTCTTTGAAATCCATTGTTTTCTAAGGGTGATAACATTCATATGTAAATATGAGCCTCCCCCCCTCCCCCTCAAATTATCGATCTTCCGTGGCCCCTGTTGCAACACTTAGAATTTGTAGTTTTGCAATTGTTCATTTTTTTTGATGTGAAATATATATCATAGTATAACAATATACATTTCAAGAAAACAGAATGTAAAACTCGTTGGCAAAACTTAAATGTTTACTTACAGTATATCTTCTTGAAGTCTTTGATTTTCTTTTTCTTCTTCTCTACAAAAAGATCGCCGACTGGGCTACCCAAGCGTTCTTCAGATATGGCAGTGCTACAGTTTTACATCCAATCACATCCCTTGCCAATGCAAGTGGTCAGCCTATTCAAGCGCCAAGTACTAGACTTACCCCTGATACGAGTTTTGCATCCCAACCACCTGCGCCAGGAAGTGGTCATAGTGGTAGTTACCTAGCAACGCCTGGAATCAGGCAAGCTGGAAGAAGGTGAGGTCATAAAAATCCTATATCTTTGTACGTTGTTTTGCTGGATGAAAATGTTTGACGTCGTCTAATATATTTCAAGCACTGATGCAAACGGTGTTGAATGATTGCTGGTTAGTTTCAACTGCCTTTGAAATTTATTTGCTATGGCACGTCGAGGCTTCGGTAAAATCAGGCTTTCCTTAATGAATGTACTGGAATTTATAAACGCCGCATTTTGACTAATCTTGGGTCATAAAGATCAACTCTTGACGAATGTTGCTTTTACTAATACTTCAAGTTAAATTCAATGACGTGTTCATCACGTAGAATCGGGAGTTTGTTGTCTAGTAAATGTAGAATACAGTAGGAGAGTCGTTTTGCAGTATCTAGTAATTCTAACATTCAGAACTTGTATTGATGTTTCTTAGCTCTTTACCAAATCCCCAGCTACAGTCAACCCCATATCAACCTGCATCGGGAGCTGGTGTCCTTCAACAATCCGAGACCTTGAAATCAGGAAGAATCGCCGGCTTGAATCTTTATCTTGCGAGATTATTGTCGTAAGTTGTGTGCTACACATCATAGACGGAATTATTGTAATGAACTATACATGTAAATTGAACCTTACTGGGGAAACAATATTGTCATCTTATTAGACCATTGTGGGATGAAAGGCTTGTGTCTCAAGAATACAACGTATTGCCTGAATATGACTACACCTTACGGCCACCAAATAAATGGGTGAATAATCAATTTATATGTTATCATATTTATTTGATGTTAAAATATGCACTTTAGTTTACATTTGATGATTTCATATTCGTTTTTCTTTACACACTCTATTTATTATGATGAAATGTTATTGGTACTTATTTCTTGAATGTTTCAAACATTTGCTGTAGTTGTGCTAGGAAAAAGACTAACGTAGCTAAGAGCCAATATTGTGCTCGTTATAGGTTGAGTTGATAAGTATGTCTTATAATTTTTCACTTTCAGATTTATAGTCGTTTAACCAGTGAACAGATTGGTTGGTTTGTTGATCAACTTCAAAATCTAGAAAAATGGTTAAATACCAACATCATGCAGTTTTCAGGTGCTCGTTCACCTCTTGGTACTCATGTTCAACGAGGTACTGGTACCCCGATTCAACCAGGTGAGATAGTTACGCAAGATGCAATGTTTTCACGATTCAGCGTATGTGTCAATACGCGGAAGAACGACTGCAAATAATAAACACCTCTCACCAAAAAAGTTCCTTCCGAAATGTGTCGTTATGAACCGTCTAAATAGATGAATCTCAGATAAACACAGCACTATTTAGACTTAAGGTAATTTGCTAAGTGCCATATGAAGAATGAGGTCACTCGTGCTCTAAAAAGGATGTATTGTCTCGTGAAATCAAAAATATCCAATTTCAAATTTAGCATTAGATTTCATCATCACTACCAACCCAGCAATGTTATTCGTTAATAAGGAACTAAGCGTCATCGTGTAAAGCTGTTTAACGAATGCCCAGATTATTTTATCAAAACATGGCAATCACGATTGTGCTTTTAGAGACTGGCTGGGACTCATTCATGTGACACTTATAATAGTTTACATGGAAAAGGGACTTTCTTTATGTGTGGTGTTTATCTAAAAATACTTTACAAGTCGAACCATTGGGTTGTACTGTAAAAGTTATTTGTTTTTATACGTAACAAGCGTTTCATCCTGTAAAATTGTGCGCTCTGATTGGCTTAGAAGCAACTTCACTTTCCTGTAAAAGACTGGCTGTTCATACACTTAGAAAACACGATTATCCCACATGCAGACACATCTCGTTAATCAAAAGATCCCATATGGACTGCAAGAACATTTTTTTTCGTTGATTAATACTTGGGTTACTTTAGGTTCGAGCAGATCGGAAGCAGAAGCGGCAGACGCTCTCCGTCATTTGATAAAAAGATGTCGTGAAGTATTGTCTCTTTGGCAGATCCTTGATGATAATGAATTTTATTTAGTCGTTGAACGTTTATCACAGGTTTGTGCTTTGTCTTTCAAGATCGAGTAGATATTTCTGCGAAATAGTTTTATCCACTTTCCTTAATGTGATGTTTTCTTATGAAATATAGGAGTCACGTGACCGTTTATGTTTCCTCAAATTTCGTGACTTTGTAATCAACGGAAATGTGGTAGGTGCACTGTCTTTGCAAAAACGCTTATCGATCATCAAAATTTCTTGCAGTAAATGCCCTATGTATAAATTATAAATAGTATGTAGTTTGCCCGCACGTTTTAGCACACAGTATTTAGCTTGCCTGCAAGTTTTAGCCCACAGTATGTAGCCTGCCCTCAAGTTATAGTCCACGGTATGTAGCCTGCCCTCAAGTTATAGTCCACGGTATGTAGCCCGCCCTCAAGTTATAGTCCACAGTATGTAGCTTGCCCGCAAGTTTTAGTCCACAGTATGTAGCTTGCCTCCAAGTTTTAGTCCACAGTATGTAGCTTGCCGCCGGTTTTAGTCCACAGTATGTAGCTTGCCGGAAGTTTTAGTCCACAGTATCTAGCTTGCCTCCAAATTTTAGTCGAAGATTGTACCTTGCCCCCAAGTTTTAGTACACAGTATGTAGCTTGCCGCAGGTTTTAGTCCACAGTATGTAGCTTACCCCCAAGTTTTAGTCCACATTATGTAGCTTGCCCCCAAGTTTTAGTCCACAGTAAGTAGCTTACCCCCACGTTTTAGTCCACAGTATGTAGCTTGCCCCCAAGTTTTAGTCCACAGTATGTAGCTTGCCCCCAAGTTTTAGTCCGGCTATGTAAATCAAAGACATTATCATTATTTGTTATTGTTTGTGCAGTAAGTGAATGCAAAAAATTGCACAGCAGGACCAAGGGCTTGCCATGCCACTGATTATAAAATCTCTCATCGCAAGTACTGGCATACTTGTTTTCTCAGTTACATGACGTTCATTGAACTTTATGTCAATGTCATGTACTACTTTTACATTCACGTTTTCCACCTAGTTTGATGTATATTTTCCATGCATTGCGGTACATTTAATATGGAAACTGGAAAGTGGCGTTCAAATCAAAGATATTCTTACTTCGCGTATACTTCATATGATAACAGTATGATAAGTTGCAATAATAACTTCATGTTTTAGATTGGCAATGAGCTCATTGCTTCATTGATGTCGTGTTTTCTGGATGATAATGCTACAACAGATACTATAAGTGACCAGTTGCGAGATCTTTGTCCGACAATTTATACGACGAACGATGCAATTTGCACCAAGGTGACGTAAATGTTTGTCGATTTCTTTATATATATATATTTATATATTTCATTTTACTGTCATAGAGTGGACTTTGGTTTGGTCGGAATACTTTTTGCTATAGCTTAGATAGGAAAAGTTGCGTCATATATCAAAATGAAACATTAGTCGATGCAGCAAAAAGTAATCATTATCTTCAAAATCCTAGGAAAGGAGTTCAGCTTATATTATGATTATAATTTTTTTGAAAAAATGCTTTAAAATAACGTCTGCCATATAACCTTCCGGAATTTCTTTTTTGAAGCGTATAAGCGATAACCAAATGAGAAATAACATGGCCATTTTTTAGTTATACGTATTCGTTTTAATTGTTGCTAGTTTTAAAACAAATTTCAGGCAAACGAATTGCTGGATTTAGCGAAGAAAGCTACCGATAAGTATGAAAAGGAAAAAACACTACAGGAGGCCACAAGGGTAAGTGAAATCAAGAAAAATCTTTGATCGAAATGTCTGAATACCTGTATATCATATTGCGAATCGTGTTTTGCCTCTCATTGCACTGGCTTATGAAAACCTCAGAGACGTTTATGAGAACTCTCGAGCAAGTGCAACGCTCGACAACGCTTGCAAGTCTTGGGCTTGCACTAATCAAGTCTTGAGTTCTCTTCTGTTTCTATAAGCTTGTGAAAACACAGTTCACATCTCTTATTTCTTAAATGTCAGCGCCTGGCCATTGTTCGTCTCATTTAGAGAACATATCTGTGACTCGAACTTAGCCAATATTACATCACATTTGACATCAAGTGTTTACACTTACCTGATCACCTTCTTGATATCACGTATTTCTGTTTGATTTAAATGGTGTAGCTGTGTAAATTCTTTTTCACAAGTGCATGTTTGCTATCTTTTAAGCTTTATCGCCAAGTGGCTGTTCAAATTGATCTTGCTTTTATATGTGGAAGTATGAGGAGTGTAAGTTATTACTATAAATATTTGTTGTTTAAAACATTTGTTTAAATTACTTGGTGCAGGGAATGTCATTTTGGTTATGTGCAAACATGCTTCTGGGATTTTGTGAAAATAAGTGAAATGACATTTTTTTAACTGAGAAAGTTGTTCGTTCAAAATTGTCAGAATGAAGGATTGTCCTTTCCTGTTTTGCATTTATCGTGAAGAGCAAATTTCTCTAAAATATCTTGTAACATGTTTTATTTTAGTAAGGTTTTTTGACGGCATCGTTGAGTTAGCTGTGCACACGGCATCAGTGAGAGATCCACAGAATCTTGCTCTTTATTATTTTGAAAATGGTTCGCACGAACAACCTGGTCCTGGTTATGATGCTTTCTTAATACGGTATGAGAATGGTTGGAGTTTTCAAGGCACAATGTGTTTATTGTATGAAAAATTGCATGTGCCTGGTTATTTATTTCACAGTTAAAGATGTGTCATTAGTTTTGTTAATTGCAACTGCTTAAGAGGAATTACAGGAGTATTAACCATTGATATAGCTCTTACCTGGTGACAAATCTACATTCCTATTTCATCATAATTTTAACTGCTTTACACTTTATTGATAAATTCTTTAGTACTCTTATGAATGAGAAAGTCCTATCTTCTCCTTGCCATTGAGGAACCATTAAGCATTAAGCGGTGAACGCATTACATAATTCCACAGATGTCATTTAACACAAGGACATCAACCGTCTCAGACTACGAGTGTTTTATCAAACAATGAATCAAACTACATAGTACATCATGAGCTCTAACTAGATCAACTGTTAATGTCAATTCATTATGTAGTAGTTGTATGGAGTTGGGAAGAATTTTTGATTTTAAAGCCTGGACTTTACTTGTGACATAAGCATAAACACACGATTATCAAAACTCTCCGTTGTTCTGTATCCCTGTGCTTGTTTTTTTTTGTGAGCGAGAGCACACTGCTTATGATTAGTTTATGTTGCAAGTGAGGATTAGGCTTGAGTCAACATTGAATCTATAACCATGTCTACTTATTATGTGTTGGTTTTATTATTAAGAATATTGAAGTCACATTTAAATTATTAAAGTAGTGTTACTGTGGATTTTTTGCTATGTTTATGACATTCGTGTACATATGTGGGATTTATTTGCTATCAATTTCAAGATTAATGAAACATTAACATTTCTATTTGTGAATATTTACAGGCAAAATTGTTATAACTGTGTTATTGGAACGTTAATGCGCCTTCTTACCTCACGTCAGCTGTCACGTGTCAATAGTGCTAATGTGCCGAGTAGGCCTGGTCCTCCCTTACCACTAGATGAAAATTTGCTCACAGCAGAAGAAGCTGAACGTTATGTAAGTATTTTTTATTCAGCATTATTAGTTCTGGTTTGTGATTGATGTCATTATGTTTGAATTCTGATAAACAAAATAAAGAGAAAGCGTGTGTGTGGCAATGTTGTTGAAATTATTTTTGTCAAAGGATTTCGAAAAATGAATGTTGATTTTATTATTTGCGTTTCTGATTCAAAGATATGTTTGCGAGAATCTATTTATTATTTATTTCACTGTTTTTTTTTCACATTCTAGATTCACAAGGTATGATTACTATGTTTGAAATTCTTACTTCATTTTTTTTGTTTAGCTTGAGGCGACACTCGTTACCGCATTGCGATCTAGGGATGAGCTTTTCTTGTCGTCTATATTTGATTGGCTAATTGAGAAAAATCTTCCTGAAAGATTGCTAGAGGTAAATTGTACTAAATCACGAAATCCAATTTCAATATTAGATATATACTTTTAACAGAAACCTTGCTTGCACGATTCTCCTTATAAGGCTTATATATTGCTGACATGGTGATAGACGTATTACTGTCCCACTCCAATTATGATCACGTGAACAAAAGTTCTGCTTTGATTTAGGTGCGGTCTCCATTCTTAGAGGCATATTTGAAACGACTAGCTGCAACGCAGGTATTGAAAGATTGCTTCACGCATCGCACTAAAGACAAATAATACTACCTTCACTGTATTGAAGATAAAATACAGGTTGCATCGCATAATTGGACATCTTTTTTTGTTGCTGTAGCATCCCAACAATATCCCGGCTTTGGATTTACTATGGAAATACTACGAGAAAGCTGAGAACTATTCTGCTGCGGCCCGAATACTGAGCAAGCTTGCTGAACGTGAAGGGTTAGTTGTCTTGCTGGTAGATTGTACCAAGGCTTTCTGCAAGCATTTAGGAATATGAAGCTACGTATTCACGTTGTACAGACTGATGTTTTAAATAATTTGTTGTATGATTGAGTGCCTTAATTATTTTTTTCGGACTCTGCAACGAAAAATTGCCTTGCTTAGTCAGTAAAAATTAACACGTTGCACGTAGTAAAATTGTCTTGCTCAGTCATTAAAAATCAACACGATGCACGTAGTAAAAAATATGAAATGAGCATAGTTCAGGATGATGGTATATTTGAGATAATTGTTTTTCTAATTGTTTTCTATAGCAATGATATTGACTTGGAAGGTCGACTCGAGTACCTGTCACGTGCCATTATGACTGCGAAAAGCTGCAATGTTCGACAGCCGAGTATATCAGATGGAGAATTCTTACATGAATTGGAAGAGAAACTTGAGGCATGTAAATCTGTCGGAGTTTTTTATTCGAGAACATTTTAAGTTATCAAGTCTATCTGTATCTAGAGTTATCTTTTTGAAACGAGGCTAAGCACCACTTAAATTAAATGGCAATCTTTTTGTAGGTGGCTCGTCTACAATTGCAAGTATATGAACAACTGATTGCACTGAAAGATTTGGGGAGGTATCCAAATATTGACGAAGCCTTGGAAGAACTCAACTTGAAACTAATGGATGTTACCAAGGTTTGCAATCGTTGTGTGTGTGTGTGTGGGTATATTTATGCACTCAATATTTGTTTGCAATAAAATATATTTTCATGCATAGCGTATAGTGGTGTTGGAAATTTTATTCAACCAACGCGCTCTTTTATTTCTTTCCTTTTTTCCAATAGCTTTATGGTGACTTTGCTGATCGTTTCCGATTAGCTGAATGCAAGCTTGCAATTATACATTGTGCAGGTCATCATGATCCTGTATTGGTAGAAGAATTGTGGAATGATATCATCGATACAGGTAAAGTTCATTTCTTTGTCTTTCTTCATAAATGATACGGTAACTTTGCATTTGTTCACATCATTATCAATGGGATTTTTGCAATAATCTCCTACCTTTGGTGTTGAGAAATTTTACTGACGATATCAAACAAACTTGTCGTACAGTATTGTATTATTTTTCAAACAGAATGGCATTCGGTCCACTAACTATAGCAGTGGCCATGTTGTTCCCGTTGGCTACTTTTTAAATTACCATGATTTTTTCTTATAATCTTTTCTACAATTAAAAACATTTCAGCAGTTGGTTAAGTTTTTCGATCATTTGACTTAACTTGAAATCGACTACTTCATCTTGCTGACATTGTAGTTGCTAGGCTTGGGTGCATAGCAGTCCTTGTTAAGATGATCAAACATCTTTCTTTTTCAATTTTTGTTAAATATAGAGCTGAATAAAAGCAGGCATAGCTCATCAAGTGATAAAATGACGTCGCTACATAATAAACTGGTTATTCTTGGGAAAACGTATCTTCATTCTGAAAGATATTTCCCCCTGAGTACGTTTATTAATTACATTTTCTAAATTTTAATTTGTGAAGTTGTGTGCTTTAATCCATATCTACCTTAATGACTTTTTCTCTGTCAGCTTTTCTTGTGCATCTTTTGGAAGAGCACTCTTGTCGTTTGGATTGGGAAACCGCGTGGGTGTTTGAAACGCTGTTAGAAATTGGAATCCTACTTCCATTGCTCCATAAAATATATGACAGATTATTTAAATCAAAGGTAGGAATAGTTTTTATAAGAATTTGTGGTCATACCTAGGCTGTCTTTGCTACTTTCGTCTTTGAAACAGTTCATTGTGCTCATTGAAAACCCATTGCTTACATTCTGCTGAAAATAAGGGAAATTCACGAGGTCAAATAAAGCTACCTTTGTGGACATGAATATCTAATGTTGTATTCGACTTTAATTTATAGGATCAAGTGTGGCAGTCGTTGAACCAACCATTTCATGTGTTGGAGGTTCTGTATCTTCTAATTGTCAAGTTTGTTGATATTCCCACTCTTGTCCCCCCTCAAGAGAAACCGACTTTTACGGCGACTGTCTACGACGCATGCGCGACTTATCTTGTGGAACTGCAATCAATCAGCTCTCGTCATCCTACTTGTCAGGAACTTATCCAACTTTATAAAGGCTTACAATCACGCTTAAAACGAGCACTTTAGTAGAAAGCTAACTAAGAAATCTACTTATCAAAACCATCGTTTACACACCACTCATCGGATGGATAGAAAAGTAAAAATGTAGATAACGAACATATAACACATTCTAAAAACTTTTTTATTACAATTGTAATTTTTAATTTTGGTATTTTGACAATATGGAATGCTTGCTTTACAACTTTTTTGTTTGAATTAATACCTGAATTATTTTAATGTCAATGTCTTCTTTATTCACATCCTTTTGAGTTTGAGATGAAGGGGCAGTCGATCTCTGGCGGGGGCGGTGTATGCCAATAACCCGGAGGGGACTAAAAATCTCATTTATCTCCAAATTATATGATTACGTATATGAAGTAAGGATGAAATGGATGTAATGCTGGCTCATTTTTAGCATGTGTGATATTGTTTCCAATTTCAATCATACTATATACTGTCGAAAACTGGGCAGTTGTATGCCACTTATTGAATAATGTAATCGTCCGTTTTTTGAATAGAATGCAATCGTTGTCAAGGCAAACTGGAAGCTTGAACTGTGTCCGATTTTCTCTTTATACTGATGAGGAAATCAGGAAACTAAGCGTAAAATGTATCAGAAACCCTCAAACATTCGATCACTTCGGCAACCCTACTTATGGAGGTCTTTATGATCCAGCACTAGGTCCTGCAGATCGCGATGATGTGTGTACTACCTGTGGTCAGGGCAGCATGTACTGTCCAGGACATTTTGGTCACATCGAGTTGAAACTACCGGTTTACCATCCGTTATTTATGAAATTATTGGTCACAATATTGAGATCAACGTGTTTTCAATGTCACAAAGTGGATGTGGAGAAAGCAGCTATATGTTTGCTTCAATGGTATGAGCTCAATATGATTAAGTTACGTGAATCATTTTAGGAAATTGACAGTGACACAATGTATTCTTGATATATAGTATCACTGTCAATTTCATATTTAATTAACGTTAAGATTTTTGTTAAACGAGAATTCACCACAATCAACTAGTATTCAGGGGCCACGAAGTGGTTAGAAAAGTGGAGGGGATGGGCAAAAGAAGGATTGTTGTACTCAGTACTAGCAAAGTTGTTTTTAACAGTTTTATCAGTATTCATTCAATTTACAAAATTTGTTTATTTCATTTGTAAAGTTTATTATAGTGTGTTCAGAAACTGAGTGCCCTGGCACGGTGCTCAGGCATGGGCACCAATGTAAACACAACATTTTGATGGTGCTCATGTATAAGTGCACCACAAAAATAGGTAGTACCCTATCATAAATAGACAAAGCTAGTGAGTACTACGTTGTGTGAAAGGCCTGCAGATTTTTACCCAAACCAGGGTATCGTACTCCGGCAATCAGTCTAAATGTGCTATAATTGATCAATCTAACGTCAACTAAAAAAAGAAAGTGAAACATAAGTGAGACATGAGATACTGTTAAACATCCATACTTATCAAATGTAAGTATTTGCAAAAGCGTATTTTTATACTTTTACACTTTACAAAGCAAGAGATATTGAAAAAGTGTGTGGGGGGGGGGGAATTCCCTTCTCTGCAGCCCCTGGTATTAAGTGTAATACATATGGCACATATAAATTGTAATCTATGGTTGTGTGTCATTTTACCACAATGTTTACACATTGTAAGTGTGATTCATGGCTTGTTTATATGGAGCAAAGTTACTTGGTTTGTCCAGTAATTTGCTCAGCTGGATATCTCGGACATTATTAAAAGTGAATGCTTTTCTGGTTAACGGTTTTTATGATACAGTAACTTGCCTTGCCAATAAGTCGGTTTGTGTAACTAAGTTTATGAATATTTTCCATAGAAACACATTAGGTGTGTTTTTTAGCCTGGTGAGAAGTCTTATTTATAGGCATGCATACTAAGGATTGCTTGTCTTCTAACTGGTGCCATATAAACATATTGTTGTTTTACCCAGCTGAGTGAATTTCTTGCATAGACAGGTAACTTGGTTCCATATAAACAGGCCCATAAAATTGTAGTTTACCTTCATCCTGGATTAATTATTTTTTCTTGGATGACTTGAATATTTTGCTGACAGCTACTATCACAAAATACATAAGTACTGTATGAGATTTTACTAGCAGAAGAGTTTTTTACAAGTACCTGGCGGTTTGTGTTCTACTATGATGAAAGCTTTTAGTCCGACATTGTGTGCCCTTGAATTTTAATGAAATTAACTAGGAGCCAAAATAAAGTTGAGTGGACTAATAGTACAATGATTTCAACAAGTTGCCACCATAGTATCTTGTCAAAGTCCCTTTGATGTCGATTATAATTGTTGAAATAATTGATACAGCAGTTTCATTTTGCTTTTTATTCATTAGTCAAATGAAAGCCCTAGATTATGGATTGCTGGCAGTTGCGTCAGATCTCGAAACCATTGCACATTCAGCAAAATTTGATGCGCATGGTAGCAACATCAAACGTGAAGATGTTGTCATGGCTGCCGTTCAAGATTATTTGAAGGAAAGCATGAAGAATGTGGAGAACAAGAAACAGTCAAGGAAAACAAATAACGCCAAGAATGTAACTGAACTTCGTAACAGGATTATCAAAAATTTCATGAAGAAACACTTATTATTCAGGGCAAAGAAATGCCAACACTGTGATGCACCGCGGAGGAGTGTCAGAATTGAATACAATTCCAAAATATACTTGAAAGGTTTAAGCTCTAAACAGGCCATTAGCTGGGAAAACGTGTCAAGGCTTTCAAAATCAAATGCAAATAAGTCGTCTGCGGCAGCAACGGCCAACTCGTCATTTTTATGTGATGATGACTTTGGTGATGAAGATTTTGACAACAAAGAAAATATTCTGGAAGGTACATGTATGTGTATTTATTATAATATTATTGCATGAAAAACGACCCATTATCTTAAAACGCCAAATTTAGTCCAAATACGTATCACATCTCTTCTCATATTACGAAAAAACATATCATCGGTAGATTTCCAAATGATGACTTCATCTTCAGATAAATATGAGTAAAAATAGAAGTTGATATTTTCTGTTCGATGTTTACGTTTAACATCTACGGGTCCATCATTATAACATCTTGTTCCATGTGATTTTCTGCAATTTTCAGAAAAACCATCCGTTTTTGCCAATCCACCGACGATTTCCGAGTCTGTCAACGAAGACACGGATGATACTGTAATCAGTGCCCAGCAAGTTCACATCACTCCACTTGAAGTGCAGAAACATTTACATCAAGTTTGGCAAAACGACGAGGCTTTATTAAATGTATTACTTGGTTCATATTCAACTCCAACTGCTACAAAACGAAAATCATCTCCCCAAATGTTCTTACTCAACGTAATTCCCGTGCCTCCTGCAAGATTTAGACCGGTAAGATCACATTGGAATCGTTCAATGTTATTGTTGATAACGGATAGTACAAAACACTATGAGTCGTTGTGATCCATAACTGGATCGTATCTAGGACTCTGTTACGTAAGTATTAAAATTTAAGTACCATCTTTCATCATCATGGTAGGATCTTACATGATAACACTCACAAATATCACGTAGAAAAGTGAAAAAAGGAGTCATCCAAATATGTTGTTCAGCAGGAATGACAACTCATCGCTCGTCCTTATATATAGATGAAATAGTGCATTTTTCTCTTCGCTCCATTCTACTTCTTGAAATTACTGTGTTTCCCCTCCCCTGACAGTTATCAGTTATGGGAGACAAGAAATTTGACAATCCTCAGACGGTGAATCTGAACAAAATTCTGGACGACTGTCAAGTTTTACAGATGTGTTTTGATCAAATGAAAGAAGTGCCAAACAGCGAAACGGTAATAAACGGTGCTCCAATTCCAGCAAATTCGACCAATGCATTGGTAAGCTAATGAGAAGAAGTTTTTATAAAAGACACTTAGACACTTCAGTTGAAATAACCTACCTTATTAGGCAAAATATGATCGAATCCCAGGTGCAAGTCCCAAAGAAAAATTACAAAATACGTGGGTCCGACTTCAGAATGATGTGAACAGCTTCATGGATAGTGATTTAGATAAGTTGAACACGACCAAAACCTCAGGAATAAAGCAGGTATATTTGTTTTTCTATGACTGGTTGATAGTCATGGAACCTACGCACAGAGGATATCTTATTTGCATGTTTTATTTTTAGTTACTCGAGAAAAAGGAAGGTCTGTTTCGTAAACACATGATGGGAAAACGAGTAAATTATGCTGCTCGTTCGGTTATATCTCCTGATCCGTACATAAATACTGATCAAATTGGTATTCCAGAGGTAAGGTTTAAATTCGTTATCTTTTATGGCAGTGGCGCTGACAGCCTGCAAGTTTCTTTGTAAATTTTTTGGCGTTCACTCATTGTGAAAACAGTTAATTTCTAAAGAAATAAGTAATGGTAAATTCAGTTTCAACTTAATAAAGATTCATCTGAAAAAGCTGAAATGTACGGAATCTATTAAATAGAGCATATAGTACTTAAGAAGGTAGTATTATTTGGGTATATTGTTATTACAAATTATATTGCATGAAATTATATGTATTTGGAAAAATTAGAAAAATGAAAAATTTGCACAGCATGACCAAATTTGCGCCTTGCTATGCCACAGTTGGCTGGTCTTATGAAATGTGGGGAACTCTAACCAAATTATGAGGCAAACACCCTACTTAATGATCTGGACGCTTTGATGTTTTTGACAACCGCTGAGAGATCTGAGACCCTGCCTGCTTTAGGAACTTGCTCTAGCTGCTTTAGGTTTCATTGCATGGAAGGTTTAGCAGTGGTTTCAGACATTAACCAGAAGTTTTGTGATAGTACATCTTGTCGCAATAACTTCCCAGTAATTTTATCCTCGAAATTCTTTTCAACACGAAAACAATTTGTTACTGTACGAGCGTGGAAATATTTCCTCACGAGTCATATTTGTTTGATTACTTCACTCACACTATTTATACTTCAAAGGTATTCGCTAAGAAACTCACCTATCCTCAGCCAGTAACTCCGTGGAATGTCAAAGAACTACGACAGGCAGTCATAAATGGACCAAATATTCATCCTGGGTGAGCAATAGAAGTGGTTATTTTTCTACTTATCGTCAAGTTACTGACTTTTTTCGCCTAAGTGACATTTTTCAATTTTTGGATTTCTGTTTAAAACTACTTGCTACTTCACACACCGGTGAGTGTTTTCCATCTACTGCTAAAGTCACATGATCAATTGAAATCGACTCAATGAATTCCATAAATGATGTCCAATAAAAATTTTGACTGTTTTCGAAGTTATTGCGTATTCTTTTCTCGTTTTCTCAAAACTATTAAAAAAATGACTTAGGTATGAAAGTTGGTATCTTGACGACACATGATTCGCATTCATTTTTTCCCAGCCTAGAACATCTTCACCTGTGCAATGTGCATGAAGGTGAAATCTATCAATCATGTAATATACTAGAGTAATAAGTATTCAGTCTACAACACTACTACTCCTCACATCATATCCAACTCAATCTGCTGCGATTTTCTAAAAGCTTGTTTTTGATTGTTGTATGTAGCCGTGATCATCTCAGAACGCGGTATTTTTTTCTTGAATTTGTTTCAGCGCTAACGTAATTGAAAACGAAGATGGTAAAAAGACTCTATTAAGCGGTGCGGATCCCAATCAAAGAAAAGCTCTTGCAAAAAGATTGTTAACGCCTTCAAATTCATCGTTGCCTTTATGTCAGAGTAAAAAGGTTAATCATAGAAAGCACTTGATGCGTGTTCTGTTATTCCTGGTTTGCAACCAAAGTTGCCGAGACATGTAACATCTCAAGGCAATAATATGTTTTTTATTTTCAGGTCTACCGACATCTGAAGGACGGAGATATTTTGCTGCTGAATCGACAACCGACTCTTCACAAACCCAGTATTATGGCGCATAAAGTGAGCTTTATATGTTATAATGATGTTGGAATTCATAATGCCTAGAGTATTTGATTGCACCTTTATGAGTCTCGTCTATTGCAATGTATTTATTTCCAAGGCGCGTGTTCTTCCTGGTGAGAAAACAATTCGTCTTCATTACGCTAATTGCAAGGCGTACAATGCTGATTTTGATGGAGACGAAATGAATGCTCATTTTCCACAAAATGAATTGGCAAGATCAGAAGCGTATGGTATTGGTGAGTTGTACCATACATTTCTTGTCGCTATGGATGTGACAGCTTGTGCATATTATGTGTATATCATGTGAGCATTTTTGTGTATATTTTGTGCACATTTGTGTACATTTATGTGTACATCATGTGAACATTTGTGTACATTTATGTGTCTAATTTGTGCATATTTGTGGACTATTTACTTCCATTTAACGATTGAGTTTATTTCGTAAAATTTCAGCGAGTACGAACTTTCAGTATCTTATTCCAAAAGATGGAAAACCAGTTAGTGGTTTGATTCAGGATCATATGGTATCTGGAGTCTCTCTCACCATGCGTGGTCGTTTTTTTGATAAGTATGATCATACAACTTTGTTGAAAAACTTTTTAATTAAATATCTTAAGACATTTACGCCTGTATTGGGCTAAAAAGCTCACTCACACTCACAGGTTGAGGCTTCAAAATGACCTCGTGATTATTCAAAGACAGTATTATCAATCCTCTATCTGCTTGATTTAAAATATTTTAGCTATTGATGGAGAGTTCATTTTGCCATTGATTAGTGAGAGCGTAATTTTTGTCTTCTGCTCACAGTAAGTGTGTGTGAGTCAGCTCTTAGAATACAGGAATAAGAATATTTGAGGTAGAAGTGTACTTAGAACATATTGAATCGCTGAGGTTTTTTTTATTTTAGATTGGATTATCAGCAATTAGTATATTGCTCGTTAGCATCAATTACCAATCGACGTTTTGAGCTTTTAAAACCAACAATTATAAAACCTGTGGAATTATGGACGGGAAAGCAAGTAAGACAGTTGTCAATGTGTACAGCTTTTGGATTATGCTATTTTAATATTTCGTTGACGTCGTGTTGTTCTGGTTTAAGATAATTTAATTTTGCTAATTGTGCTTGTTATGCGATATGGTCATTCATCCAAAACGTCATGTTTTCTCATTTTGTACAGTTTTCACAGAATTTTACGTTCCAGGAAATCTCCGATTAATATGAATTGTATGTTTAATTCGAGTCATGCGAATATTTAGTTACACCTGGTAAAATTTTACACATACCACGGTAAAAACCATGGAGGACAAACCGTTATAAACATGGCGAAGTTGTGTGGTAATGTGAGGAATTGTGACGTTTGAGTGCAATGATGTCAATATGCAAATATAACTGTAAACTCAGATTTAAAAAGGGGGTTTCCCTTGTAATGAGTTAAAACCACACCTATTTTGGAAGATAAACAACTCTTCATTGCCTTCTCACAATAAACAACTCTCAGTATTAAATTGTTCGAAACAAACGATTAATTGGTGGCATTTCTCCGTCGAAGGTGAGTGCTTTGTTACTGCTGTATTCACTACAATCACCACAAAATATGTATCTTGCGAGTTGCTATATAATCCCCACTTTGTCATAAATACAGCGGCTTATAATTGCGTATATTGTTGTTATTGTATAGGCAATCATGCCGCTTGTATTGTCACAATTCGTAACTCTTATTCATAAATTGTATAAACTTTTATTAGCTATTACTTAACCAGAAAGTTCGAATATGATTAAATAGAAAACGTTTCGTCAGTTTGCCAAACTATAATACAGATGTTACAGTAAATTTTACAATTAAATGTTACAATACGTCGTTTTCATACAAATGACGATAAATTATTTTTGAATGACGCGTGCTATGTATGTATCGCTGTTGTAGTGTTCGTGCAGCAGGCATCTTGCCATTTTAATTATTATTTGTACAGAGTTGTGGAATTATGCGAGCAGTTGCATGTATGGCTTGATCTTTTGACTTGGGGAGGAGATTTATCATTGAACTAAATAGCGTTTTATTGATAAAATATATATCTATAAAATTTAGAAGGCTGCCGACCATGTAGCTTCATATATACCTATCAAAGTTTAGTGTTGACAAAAACTTAGTGTAAGAATCACGTCATATTTACTGACGACACTTCGTCCACTAAGCAACACCACATTTTCTACTCCTAAGTATTACACAAAGGGTTCCAAAAAAAGTGTAACTATCGGTGTGTAAAGACGTGCGTTAAAAATTGGTTTATGAAGAATGAGATCTTTTCTATGGCATCACGTTTTATGGACATCTTTCTGATATAATGTTTTGACGGTTGGATGTTGTTTGTAAAGATTTTTTTGTGCGCGCTATATAATAAATATACATTTGAAACGACTTGACGACTTAAGTTTGTCCTCCATGTCCCACCCTGCATACACCCCACAAACTCCATACACTTCACACTCTCCTCACACATATCATACACTCTGCACACACACCACACACTCATCACACATCACACACTCCGCAGACTCCATTTACCCCATTAGGCTCCATTTACCACACAGACTTCACACACCTCAGACGCTCCATACTCTCCACACGCTCCACATACCCCACTTACTCAATACACCCCACACACTCCATCCACCATAGACGCTCCATATACTTTACAAACTCCATCCACTTTAGACGATCTATACACTCCACACACCCACTCGTTCCATTCACCACAGATGCCTCATATGCACCACAAACTTCATACACCTCAGACGCTCCATACTCTCCATACACCGCACACACTCCATACACCCCACATACTCCATGCACTTCTTACACCCCACGCACTTCCTACACCCCACACACTCCACCACAGACGGTCCATATACCTTACCAACTCTATCCACTTTAGACGGTCCGTACACTCCACACACACTCCACACACCCCACCCTTCACACACTTCATTCACCCCAGATGCTCCATATGCACCACAAACTTCATGCACTCCAGACGCTTCATAACTCCAAACACCTCACAAATTCCACACATCCCAAACGCTTCATATATTTCACGCTCCTCACCCCCTACACACTCCATACACTCTATTAGCTACATAGCACGAGCTTCATGGTCGACAGCAATTATGTTGAAGGAGCCCGAAATTGTTAAAATTCGTTTACGAAATAACCATTTCCACTGATTTTTATCCATCGTCTTTAACACACGATAAAAATGCAAAACAAGAAATAGTACTTTTCACTGTTAATGAGAACAATTTATGATAGCTATTATTAGAAATAGTGATATCGTGGGGTTTTTTCACAATAATTATTCATGCTTGATCGCTCGTTCAACATTGATTTTTTACTACTTACATACTTATGTGTAGTCACATACCCAAACATTATTTGTTGTAATGATGTATAATTTTGTATTAGGACCAATTAAAAAGAGATGCAAAGCTCTTTTCAAGTAAATGGTGAGATTTCTTTACCTGGTTGCTGGTCGAAGCCGGACGAAGAGTTGAAAAAGGTAGTGGTGCCAAGTGTCTGTGCTTTATTAAACACTAATGGAGGAAAGCTTGTGCTACCTTTCGAGAACAACGATGTGAGTGATAAAGAAATTGATAGTAAGGTAAAGAAGATTGAGCAATGGATTTCAGCACCATTTGGAAAAGGGTTCATGTCCCGCAAAATCCGATTTGAAGTTAATCTTCGTGAAATTTGTATCCACATTGCAAATTGCCATGACTTGGTTACTGTCAATTACCAAATGTTCATTCCCTCGCATTCGCAAATCCTCAAAATATCAGATCCGTTGGCATCTGTTCAAGATGCTGTATTGACTGAACCTTCCGATGTTGACACAGAACATAATTTGCCTGTTGTCCGAGAATCGTTCGTATATGGACAGAAAATCAATAAGTTTGAATCATATAATGTTCAGTTCAAGCAATTGAAGTTTGAGTCAACCAAAGGCACGACCCTGGCAGATCGACTCGTTGGGACTGGTAACAAGCTCCTTCAAAGTATTTCAGCTTTTGCTAACTGCCGTGGTGGAGTAATTTACGTCGGAGTTGATGATGAGTTTCGCAGAATTAATGGGGAACAAGTTACGATAAAAGAAAAGGAAAAAGTAGTTGAAAAAGTCACAGAAAAATCAACAAAATGGTTTGGTTTTCTCTTCATAAAAAGCCTTCTCGTGGCGTCCATTGGGACATTCATTTTTGTGCCGTTTTTGACGAACGTGGTCAAGTGATGGAGTCGACGTATATGATCGTTATTACTGTAGCTCGTTGTCCCGGTGGTGTTTCTGTCTCAGAGCCAGAAAGCTACCATCTTGTAAATGGTGTTGTGACAAGAATGGATTTGAAAACGTGGACAGCAAGATTTCGTCGAAGGGCATCATGTTGTCAGAGGCCAAACGAAGATGAACTGAATCAATTAAGCAATCTTCAGATTCGTCACATTGAACGATCTAGTTGGAGCTCCCATGGTAACCGTAATTTATTTCATCGTGTGAATGGAGTGTTGATACGATTGATAAATGCGGGCTTTTGGGATGAATTTTGGGCAAAAAAGGAACTGCTAGAGAAAGAAAATTCCAGCTTCAATATGATCAAATTGGTCGTTATGCTGAACGAAATAACTGCTCTTTATAAACTCGGGCATTTTTACTGCGTGGAGCCTCGGATTAAAGACTATGAATCGCTGTTGAGTAAATCCACAGTCGATGCAAATATAAATGAAGCTCGTTTACACCTGTTAAAGTCTTGTGTTCAGAAATATCGTGGTAACATTAAGAAGAGTTACGAAGAAGCTGACAAAGGTTTAGCAATTGTTGATCAACTACCGACTGGCATTGTTGTTGGTGAATATTATTGCCATCTTGCTGCCGTCATCACCATTCTTTTACAGAACGAAACCGACCGAGATCAGTGCCAAAATTTGACGTCAAAGGCTGTTCTCTTTTCTCAAAAAGCAATCATGCATCTTAAGGATGCAAAATATTGCGATTTATCGAAGTTCGATCAACTACAGAAGGCACACATTAATCTTGCTTTTCTGTATCTGCAATCTTCTTTCATGAACTGCGCGAAGCCTGAAATTTTACTAGACAACAAGGAACTGGAGAAAGCTAAGATAAGTTTAAATGCTGTTAACGAGTTCATCAACGAGGGTTATCCGCTCACAGATTATCGCAAATGTCAGTATTATTTAGCGCGATCGATGCTTTTTTACCGACTTTCTCAAAATGTCAGTATTATAAATGATAGAAATCGGCAACGCGAACAGGCCAAAAAGTTTTCCAAAAAAGCTGAATCTAGAGCAACTAATTGCGAATTTAAAAGCATAATGGAATGCTCGCAAAAATATTTAGCAATGCTTGACATGTACTCTTGAAGTTTTTAAGTAGAAATTAGGATTTAAATATACATATGTAGAAAGTGGTAGACATGTTTATTTATAGAAAATATATTTTTAATTCCATGTTTAATTTTTCTAAATAATTGCCAGTTACTTGTTTGTGATTACCGTATTTCTTCTATTTAGACCCCAGGCCCCAGCCTCGTTTTAACCCCAGTCCCCCTTCTAATAATCACCCTTTCGAAAGGTACCAGAAAGAACAAACCTTACCTTCTATTTATCTTCCACTTTCATTCAGTAAAAAAATCACTGGAAAGTCATTCTCACGATGAAATCCACACAAAATGCGAATGCTAATTGATTTATTCATGAAAAAATCGAAATAGTCACTTGCTATGTGGCAAAATATCAAACAAATCATAGTCGAGATTTTTTGTTTTTCACAATCTATTTACTCGATTGGGTATTTTAATGCTTTAAAGCATGTGTTGCATAAATTAGTAAGCGCTAGCAATTTTATGTGAAAATTTATTCAGGCCCTAGCCTCTTATCCTCCCCCCCCTCTAATAATCCCGCACTTGAAAGGTAGCAAAAAGAAATAAACCTCTACGGGCTTGAATAGAGTAAATGTGTTACTCGCTGATTGTTAGAATTTTAGCAAGTGCTTGGCAGTTGTAGGAAAATGTTATGGCCTATTATTTACCTGTTAAAATGTAATTATTGGTCGATTATTTATGCATTAATGTACTCATCCCTCACCGAAAGGTTCATTTTCACTTGACTTTTAAAGCGATGCTGTAACTGTATGCGTTAATTTTTCTGCAAATTCTTCGTCTAAGTTTGCCGCAGTTGCTGGTAAATTTCTAATTCCTTGTGGACCAAAGCAAAAGAATCTGATTGGCTAAATCAGTATGCGTTAGCGAACGTAATGTAGTATTACAGCGAGTTGATCTTCGTGTACGATATCGTGTGATGTGGAAGAGCAAATTTGGAAAGTGTCAAAGGACATTAAAAATGAGAATGTTGGTGCGTGTTTTTGTAATGGAAAACGAAGAAAACGCTTCAAAATTGAGTTTCAAAGCTAGTAATATGCGAAAAATCTTTTGACAATTCATTTCATTACTGGAAATAGTATAAACCACTTGGTGAAGCGAGTTACTTTTAACGAAAGTATTACTTCATCAAAAAAATAATTCAGCGTTTTTTGCGCATGCGTTCCTCAAGCTACCCCGAAATATTTTGCTTTTCATTGTCGTTGGAATTAGACTTTTCATCTGTAAGAATGTCACAAAATTGTATTCTTTTTCAGGTGATATCAACAATACTCCTCAATATTGTTCCAAACAAGTCAAGCAGACTCAATCTTACTGGAGAGTCTAAAATTAGCTCAAAGGTATTACTTCATGTTAGTCCAATATCGTACATCTTATCACCTGCTCTGTGATGCGCATGACATTGATCTGGTCATTGTTACTTAAACATTGTGTCTCGCTTTCATACAGGCTAGGAACATAGACGATAAATTATTTTCGTTTGCTTGCATTCTCTTGTGTTTTGAATTTTGATTTATTGACAACCAAACGCCGATTAGCTGAGATAAAATCTGCCTTACTCCTTCTTTCACACAGAAACAGTGATGGATAAGCACTTTTTGTGTCTTCATATTTTCGCATGAAAATTATGTCAAACGAAAGAAAATTGGAAGTGTATTGTAAATGCTCATTTACTGTAAACAAATGTTTAACTCAACTAGAATCAATGTACACATTTTTCATCTCGCACATTTAGAATGCACGTGTATCAGTACGTCAGAAGTCAGATTACAGAAATCAGTATTCCATTTTGTAAACAATACCAAGAATTTACACTCAACCACCAACTCTTCAATAGTTGTTAATGAAAAAATATTTTTTTACTGCACGATTTATTCGTCCGATATAGCTTTGTTTTATTGTTGTAGAGCTTTGTCAATGGAACTCCGAGTTTGAAATCAAAAGGTCTCCATTTAAATTCAATGTGTGAATCCCAGGTATTTGTGGTCGTTCATGTGATAATTTTTAATGTCATGAAATGATTTGATTCGTTGTGTATTTTAGGTGGTTATCCGTAATGGAGAATTGTTGTGTGGTGTTCTTGACAAAGCTCATTACGGTTCAACTCCCTTCAGTTTGGTTCATTGCTGTTATGAGGTATGAAAGAATATTCGATTTTCTTTTGAATAATAAGCAGTTTTGAAATAGTCAACAATTGACACACCTCCAAGTTTTGAAAAGCCGGCCATTGCACAGTTCATGGAAGAATTTTTTGATATTGTGTCAATTTGTGAAAGCAAACTCTGTGTAGTCACATGGCCTACTATATGCCATTTTACGTGTACCTTTTCCAGAAACGATTTGTTATGATTTAAGTTTTTGCTTGTTATAATTATATGTGATTATAAGTAGGTCACAAAAAGTTTTTTTGTTTCAAAATTCATGCATATTTTTGATAGTTGAATCAACGTATAGCATCGTATATTTTGGACATTTAAACTTTTCTAGCTCTATGGTGGAGTGGTATCCAGTCTTCTCTTGTCTGCGCTTGCTCGAGTGTTTACAGCCTTTCTTCAAATGAGAGGTTTTACATTAGGCGTTGAAGATATTCTTGTCAGGCCGATAGCTGATTGTGAACGTATGAGGATAATAAAGGATAAACGTGGATGTGGACATGAGGTGGCTACCGAGGCTCTTGGTCTTCCTACAGACACAGAAACGTAAGAAAAGTTGTCAGAAAGTTGTTGACATACAAAGTATTTTGTGATTGACACATAAAATCACCCGAAATATTAGGCTCGAGTTGTAGTTTTAAAATAGTGCATTCCCGTCTAGCATTGCTCTTTTTCCCCAGAAAAAATGCTCAAATTATGCTCAAATTTTAAAACTATGCTCTTTTTCATTAAGAATATCCTTGGGCTTTTTCAGAAGAAACAGAAATAATTCATAATTAACCTGGCTTTAAATATAGAGCGAAAGAATATAAGTATTCAGCAACATTATACCATCTAGCAAATAGTCCACAATGGGACACTTTGTTGTTGCTCAATAAAAGGGTTGCTAAAATGTCTTAGCTGCAGTGGTTAACAGTTGCATTACCGGGACTTTTTGCTGCTGCGGCCCGACGAGGAAGTTGTTTTTTTTGATCCTACCACTATTCAAAATTCTTTTCATGGAATCGCAGCAACTTCAGTCGAAGACATATAGATGGAAAGTTCAGTTTCGACAATACTCATTATAACATTGTTTTCAAGAGAGTGAAAAGCTTACAAGGACTCCAATATTTTTTCTGAGTTGATTTCAGCAACCACATGCTGACGAGACATATTGAACTTGCATCCTTAAACGCTGCAAAATTTAGAATTGATGTTTTAAGTTTCTATATTGAATGATTACTTTATTTTTCAGGGAAATGTTGGTAAAGAGATTCCAAACTGCACATCACAGTCGTGATGATAGCGATATGAAAGTTCTCGATTTGAAAATGAAAAGAAAAACGGACGAAGTTCAAGATAAGATAAACAAACAATGTATTCCTTTCGGCCTTTTGAAGAGGTTTCCCGACAACAATCTACAGTTGATGGTACAGTCCGGTGCTAAAGGTTCAGTTGTCAACTGCATGCAAATATCCTGCTTACTTGGACAAATTGAATTGGAAGGTCGGCGACCGCCATTAATGATCAGCGGACGCTCATTGCCGTCATTTCGTCCTTACGATCCTAGTCCAAGAGCTGGTGGTTTCGTGGATGGTCGTTTCTTAACTGGGATCAGACCGCAAGAGTATTTTTTTCATTGTATGGCTGGAAGAGAGGTAAGGAGGATAAGAAAGCAATATTAGCAATGTTTTTTTAATCTTGGTAGAAAAATATGAAGAAAAGCATCGGGTTCAGCTGGGAGACGTGACAAGCGTCTAAATTTGATGGAAAGTATTTTTGTTTGCAAATCATTTTTTTTCGAAACTGTGTTTTCAACCAAAGTGCCGGCTATTTTCCTAGCATTTTGTATAATGAAGGAAAAATTTTATGGAATTGTGAAAGTTTTCTTTTATTAGTTACGACTTCTGTTTTAAAGCAGTTAAAAAGATAATCTGTCAAGCCTGTTTTCCACTAGCCATGCATCTTACCGTATCTTAGCAAAACGTGACATGGCGCATGCGTGCTTGTGAATTTGATGGTTAATAGGCACAAGCACGCATGCGGCATGTTACGTTTTGTTACGATACGTTACGATGCATGGCTAGTGGAAAACAGGCTTAAGTCTTACAGATGATATGTTCGAATTCGTTACCTTGGACTAGCTTTCGTTCAAGATTTTGAATTCAAATTGATGCATTCATTAAGGGTTTGGTGGATACGGCAGTAAAAACAAGCCGAAGTGGCTACCTTCAGCGATGTCTCATCAAGCATCTGGAAGGACTTCAAGTTGGCTACGACTTGACTGTTAGGGATAGCGATGGATCTATCGTTCAGTTTTGCTATGGCGAAGATGGATTGGATGTTTTGAAAACTGCTTTTCTCTCTAAAAAACAGTTTCCTTTTATGGTCAGCAACTATAAGGTATTTGGGCAGCCATAAACTCGTTTGTAACATTGAGGTCTTTTCTTGCGTTAGTTCATGATCGAAGACAATTGGTCATTTCACTATTGCTCTTTGCCGTTTATGTTTTCACGTCTAATCACCAGAATGATTTGTTTTTTGTTTATAATCAACTTATTTTTAAATTTTCGTCGATTTAATGCAATGCTGGGCTTTTGAGAAATTCTGTGGTGGAGCATGAATTTCAAAGGGTCTTTTATTTACGCCAAGTAGCGTGGCCAGCCCGACTTTACTCCCAAAAAGGTAAATATTTTTGTGTTCACTGACCATGAGAACATTAGATTTCTGAAGAAAATAATTATGGTAATCTTTCAGAATTTATCTAGCGGGAGTAATTCTGCAGGCTGGCGGCGTTACTGTTTATGCCAATGTCCTGCCTTGCGTTGAAAATTCTTTAATCAAAGTTAACTTGATTGAAGCTTGCTATGCTTTCGGATATACTATGTTTTGTTGCAATTAAGTTTTTGTTGTTTCTATTGATGCAGACAGCAGCGGTGCATAGGATTTAAAAAGAAAAGTTATTCTTAGAATTTTTATCCTCGTGCATCCATGCAAGCCCTTACTATATGCTTCACAAGTTTTCAAAAAGTATTTAAAAAAAACTTAAGTAAAAGATTTTTGATGATGTTACGACATTCTATAAGTTTCTGTATTTTATTGTGTTTCTTTATTGTCATAGGCTTTAATTACACAATTGAAACCGAGGTCTGCAAATGATCTCTTGGATTCGGTTTCCGCGGAGAAGGCTCAGCGGAAGGTACGTATCTGTTTCAAAATCTCGAGTCACTTCATTATTTTTCCAATGTTCGTAGAGAACATATTTTTTGCTGAAAGATGTAGTCTGTGGAACGTTGTATTATGTGGAATGTTTTGTCTTGTGTCTCCCAACATTGAATGTTATGGAATGTTGTATGTTCAACATTGTATGTTGTATAAAGTTGTATGTTATAGAACATTGTTTGTATGTTGTGGAATATCGTATAATTGTGAAAGTGTATGTTTTGGAACAATATGTTTTATTTTTTCGAATCATGTATGTCGTAAAATGTTGTATGTTTGTTGCGAAAATTTGTAGCTATGTTGTGGAATAGCATGTTTTATGGTGTGGAATCGTGTATATTTTGAAACGTTGTGTGTATGTTGCAAAAAGAAACAATGTGTTTTATGTTGTAAAGTGTTATATGGTATGGAATTTATCATCTTGAAAAAGTTTGATACGCGTCAGTAAACTTTAACTCTTTCTACTATTTGATTATCCATTTTAAAGGTTTATCGTTGGATGAAGAAGCATAAACGATCTCCAAGTGATAAATCGCCACGAATTTCACCTCTTAATTGTTTCCTAGAAGAATTTGATGTGGGTTTTACATCAAGCATGATCAAGAAAGAAGATTTGTGGATGGTAAGAAGCGACGACAGACATAAAAATCAAGGCTGTATGCATCCTTAACCCTTTAGCAATCATTGTAGCGCATGAATAACAATTACGAAGCTGAATGAAACTCAAAAGAAAAGGTCCGGCCAATAGAAGATTAAAGTTGTTGAAGCACGAAAACCTATAATTCACGTTTTTACCTAACTTTATTTTGGACTGTCTAATATGACATGTTAAACTTGCTACTGCATACAACCAGTCCGTTACTCACTGTATTTATTAATACTGAAGTTTTTTACTCATCTTCAATTCATTATAGGTAAATAAAGACATTATTTCCGCCTGGCGCTCTGTTTCGCCTCAACACAGAAGAAAGTTAGTGCAGTTGAATTTTATTTTATAGTAAAAAAATCTTTATGTACTTTAACATTTAGTTGTGTACTTTTTGTCAGTCGTAGAGAACAAATATGTTTACGTTAAAGAATTGTAAAGCAGTTGGTTTTCTACAATTGTTTTTAGATACAAGCCATGTTTATCAATGCCACCCGACCCAGTCCTCTCGAAAATGTCTCCATCTTGCCACGTTGGAGCCGTGTCGGAGAAATTTCATTCAAGCGTTAGGAATTACATCATGTCCAATCCTGATGGTTGTCTCACTGATCAACCAGAGCTATATCCGTACGTATACTTGCCTTTTCCATTCTTTTTGTAATCCTTTTGTATTGATGTTTATAAAAAGAGCGATAGAGTACCCAATCCCTTCAAGCTTTTGAGAAAGAACGCATTTGCTTCTTAAAGTTAAAGTGATTCACGCTTTCCCATGTTCTTAATATCCACCTTATTTTGTTATTGTATCGCTTGTTTTGCCTAATCTCTCTTCTCGTCGAAATTCGTGTTTTGGGGGGGAAATCCACAACTAGAACCTCTTGTTTGAGCTTTGTCGGTTTCATGTCGGTAATAGTTTCAATGCACCGTATAGAAAAAAGTTGTCCGCTGAGAAATTTCAACTTCTGATGAATTTGAAAGCTCTTCGCTCATTGGTGGAGCCCGGAGAAGGTGTTGGTTTATTGGCTGCACAAGTAAGATATTTAAAACACTCCTTTCTCCCTTAAACACATTTGATGTCTGTGCTTGCGTCTTCTATAAATTCAGCTGTAAAGCAGGTCTGTGTTTAGCGCTTATGACGTTTCTTCTTCACATCGAATTTTTTAGTCAATTGGTGAGCCATCGACGCAGATGACATTGAATACATTTCACTTTGCTGGCCGTGGTGAAATGAATGTAACACTGGGTATACCTCGTTTGAGGTTTGTATTTTTCTCACAGTACTGTTATCCCGTTCACCCTGCTATTATTTAGTAGAGCAATATCATTTTGCATTATATGGGGAGTACTTCAATTGTAGATAGGGCTGCTATGATTGGTTACTTCATGTATCCTTGATTTATTTTAATTATCCTATGTCATCCTATGTATGAACTGTCTTTATTGTAGAGAACTGTTATGTTTCACTGTTTGACGAGAATCACATTTAATAGGGAAATATTAATGACAGCGAGTGCAAACATCAAGACACCGACGATGGAGGTTCCTTTAAGATCCGGAGAAGATGCTCTCCAACTCGCAAAGAACTTAAAAATGAAATTTACAAAGGTCACGCTTTCACAGGTAGCGATGTTTTCATGATTTTTTAATGGCATGAAAAACTATTTCGATTTTTTTTATGCTCAAAGACCATTAAAACAAATTTCACTGTCATTAAAACCTGCAGGTTTTAGAAAGCGTTGAAGTTTGGGAAACGCTATCATCAAGGGAAACTGGAACTAGGTACGGCAAACTTTGTCTTTGTTTTTTACCGCCTTTTTGATTTTCCTTTAGTGTATTCATATGACAGTTAATTTCTGTATTATGTAGAGGTCGTGTTTACCGCGTACGGTTCCAGTTCCTACCTCAAGAAGCTTATGAGGTTTGGTTTAATAATTGTATTGTGTGATGTGTGTGTATTGACAGTCAATCATCGAGTAATTTTATCATAACATGCTTTACTCTTCTTTTGACGAAGCTGAGCAGTTTATTTAAAATACGATCTTGGGATCTTGAAATTTAATTTCTTATTGTTAAATTGTTAAGAATGTTGCTTGAAATTCTGACTGTTGTGGTTGACAATTGAACGTTATTTTTGCTGTTAAATGTTATTTGATCTTTTTAATGTAAAACTGCTACCAAATTCGTTCTCAAATGTAGAATCAATTTTAATCTAATGTAAGAAAATTTTGGCTGACTTATTTGTTTTACATCTTAATATTGCCATACCTGTTGCATTTCTACACCAGTTTTTAAATAAGTGGATGTCACTTTTGAGTGTACAATGGGACCATCTATTTTTTATCTTTGTTTTTATTATTGTTGTCTTTAATAATATAACCTTCGATGTCAACCTTTTGACTTATATAAACATGTATTGAATTTACAGGGGGATTTTTTTGTTACACCGGAGTCTATTCTGGCGTACATGGAAACAAAATTCTTCAAAAGTTTAGCTTCAACTATAACACGCGTCATCAATGCGGCAGAGAAAGAAAGGTAAATACATTTGAAATGCAAAGAATAACGTGTTCGGAGATTTCTAAGAATTTCGTCATACTTAATTTAGTTGTATACATTTTATCTTAGTTTATTGAGAACCGCCCGCGATAAGGCAGACGGCGACGACGAGAATGAAGCCACAGAAAACAGTACAGATAACAACGGTAATTTCTCCAGCTTTTCCTTTTGGATTAATTATTTGACTCTTTAAAAGTGTAACAATTCAGTCTGAGTAATAGTAACGCTAGGTTTACCACTGTGTGTCGTCATAAGTAATAGTTAAAGTACGAACGATAGATCTATGTACTTATTTAGCATTGTAAATCTCAGCAAAATATCACACAATTATCTTAATTTACTTGATCAGTATTGCATCAAATTTATCAGACGACTTCATGTCGAGCTTTCTGGTTGATAACATATGAAAACATGTGATCAAAATTCCGTGCTGTGTATTTAACATGGGCATGATTTTCATTAATAATCTTTTCATTTATAAGATGCGCCTAAAGCTGAGAGAAAATATGACGATGATGATGACAATGCTGATTTGTCGGAAGAAGAAGCTGATATGGATGGTGGTGCAGCTGGGGAGAAATACCAGCAAAGAAGGGAACAGGTATCTGGCTTTGATTGTCAATCTTTGAACAAATTGTGTAATTTTGCTATATTGCTCTGTTTGCCTGGACGTGACAGCATATTCTATTCAGTAATCAAGAACTTGTCCTGTAGATATAGATTGTTAATCAATATACAACCAAAATTATTACGGAACAGTGGGTTTCCATCTGAATAGTTCCTGGGAAGGGGCCTGCATAAGTCCATAGTCAATATAAAACTCACAGTCTATTGTCCTTAGCCTCAGCTTTCTAAGTTATACTACTCTATAATAAATTGTGTTTTTATCCTCATCAAAGCAAGCAAGTTATGAAGCCCCGGATGAGGAAGAAGCACTGCTAAATTCATACTTAAAAGAGAACGATGAAAGTTAGTGAAAATTTTGCAATCTAAATGATGACATATTTGTCCTTTGCTTGATGCTCAAATTTTAGAAAATTGTAACCGGATGTATGCGTAAGCTCAAACATTCATTTAGGTGAGGACGAAGACAACGCAAGTCAAGTTCCAGGATGGCTAAGTACAGTTTCTCTTTCTGTATCAATCAATGCATTATTGCCATATCATTTTGTATGTCACACTAACTTTTCATGAAGTTCATTTGTGCGTTACGTATAAATTTATACAAACTTTGCTTTTCAAGCAAAGTTTACAGTTTTTCATAATGTATCTTTACAGAACTTGTATTTTCAGTAACTACATGTTTCTTTCACTTCAATCTTTCGTTCTGTCGACACATAAACTTTGTTGTTTTAGCAACTTCCGTGAAAGTATAATGTGTGTGACGATGATTTTGTGAAAGGAAACATGTGTTACAGAATGATTTGATCTTTTTACGTTAACATGTGCTTACACAAGACTTGAACGTTTACAGAGCAAGAAGGTGATGTACCAATGGATGAAGTGGAATCATTTCCTCCAGCAAAAGCTCATCCTAAATACAAGAAAAGGATTGCAGTAAGTACTTACGTTTGATGAAACATTATAAAATTGTCTTCCTGCTTATTTTACGGCGTTCTGGTTCTCTTGCATAATACAAGACGGAGCTGTAAAATTGAAAAAATGATTTTTCTAAATGAATTCAAAATTATTCTGTTTGAAAGAAAACGTCCATTCAACGACTAAAATATTTGGTTAAAGTTTCAACTTATTTGATTGTCGTTATTAAGGTCATTTTAGTGTCTTTCAAGCGTACAAGTGATCATATCAGCTGATATTTAGTCATGCAAGCTCAACGAAATGAGACTTTCCTATTGAAATTAAAGTCTGTGAAAGAACCTCAAAAATGGAAGATTTACTAAAACTGTTTCAAGATTTCTCTTCACGTTCATTTTAATGTCGGAAAGAGCATTTTTACGAGTTGCTTGCTAAAGTAGTTATAGCACAACTTTCTCTAACATCTATTCTCTTTAATATTTCAAACAATTATGGTGAGGATAGTTTACTTTAATGAAATCCATTCAAGTTTTAGAGTATCTTTCTTTTCAACCGATAAAAAATTTGTTTACTAGGAACTTCATTTTCGAAGGAAGAGTCTCATTTCTTCAAGATTTCTTTATCCACAAACATTAGCGGTTCTCAGAAAATTCGTTTTTCTTGTAACGGTAGCTTCCCCCGTCCCCCTATTCGAATTATTGTTTTAAATACAATGCTTTGAACAAAGTCTTTTAATGTATTTATAATATTGGAATATATTGAATTTTCAATATTTGGTAATCATTTAATGAATAATTACTAATTGATATATTTAAAATAATAATTTCAGAAGGTTATGATGAACATTCCAAACGTTGTGTCGTATTGTTTTGACAGACAAAGTCAAGAGTGGTGTGAAGTTAGCTTTCGGGTCAATATGAAATTTCAGCTTTCTTCTGCTGCTTCTAATTCATATATTGACATAAAAAATTTGTTTTTGTGTAGTTTCCTGTATTAGGCAGTAAAGTCATGTTGACAACACTTGTGGAGAAGTTGGCGGCACAGGTTAGTCCATACAGTTTTTATTATGAGATCAAAGCGATGCTCAAAATAGAACCGTAAAGCCAAATATGGACTTTCAAGTTGCCAGTTGCTGAATGATTGGAAGATGGCTGTGCCCTGTACACCAGTGTTATTATTTTGCTCCTATTCTGCCACTTTTGAAAAGTCACAAGACAAATATCATTTACATAGTTTACATCATTTTTGGCAAAATTTAGTCATCTCTTTCAGGATACTCTTGGAAATAATCTCAATTTCCTTCAGTAACATCTCACTACCTCGGGCATGTGACTATATATAATCGGCAAAATATAAACCCTTTATCTTATTTCGAATGCAAACTGTCTGTATTTCAAAAGTTATCATTATTATATAAATATGGATCATTCCACTGGGAATAATATTACGTTGTGATTTTACGTAGAGTGTAATTTATGAAATTCCTGGAATCAGCAGATCGTTTTTGGCCGAAAGCAAAGATAAAGTAAACGTTGATAAACCTTCCATGTTCAAAACCGAAGGAGTTAATCTAAAGGTTATATTCATTATGTTGCTAATTTAATGATATTTTTGCAAAAAGAGTGTGAAATTCAGAAGGTCATACAGTCGTTTTCATTTACCAAAGTTACAAAAATTTGGCATCTCATCGTTGCACAATGCGGATAAAAAATTGATTTTTGATTTGTATTTTTATACAATTTTATGTGTGGCTAATATTTAGCGATGGATTGGCAAAGACCCTGACGAATGCCAATACACTAGTATTTTTATGTTACGGCTCATCTTGCAGTATTTCGTTTTATGGATTATCGCTAGAGTTTGATTTGAAAACAGTCAGAAAATAACTTTGCTTCTAATTTCTTCATATATTTTCTTAGGTTCTTTGGAGCCATCCCAATGTTCTTCAAGTGAACAAGATCTACACAAATGACACTCATCAAGTGGCCAATACATATGGAATCGAAGCAGCTGGCCGGGTCATTGCTACGGTGTGTTAATGTTGCATGGCTGGCAAACGTAGATTGTAAATGATTTCGTGAGCTTTGTTTTTTTAGGAAGTTAAGAACGTCTTTGGAGCATATGGGATACAGGTGGATGCACGTCATGTCACTTTGGTAGCTGACTACATGACGTACGAAGGCTCGATTAAGGCCTTCAACCGTATTGGCCTTGAATCGAACGCTTCGCCTTTTCAGAAGATGAGTTTTGAAACAACAATGCACTTTCTAAGAGGGGCTACTATTTCTGGAGCGAACGACCAACTCTCTTCGCCATCATCGCGACTAGTTGTTGGACGAGTTGTCAACGGAGGAACTGGTTGTTTTGATTTGAAGTTACCGTTATGCTAACATTACTGATGAGATTTGATTAATAAATTACCCCTATCCTGACGCTTGCTGTCCACATTTGTTAATGAAATTACCCTTGTGCAACGTTTACTGATGAAATTTGCTCGTGAAATCTTCCCAGTTCTAACGTTTACTAACGATATTTGCTCCTGAAATCACCCTTCAGCTAACGTTTAAATCATCTCTGTCACATTGCGTCCATTTTCTAGTAGGTATCACATTACCTACAGCGAGTTGCGGTACGTTTTCCTCCTGCTACGTAAATTTCAAAGCATTAGCATCACGCAGTCAATCAACAGGGAAATATTTCCAAACATATCAGGACTAACTAAACAGGCTCTTTGCGTTGCTGCTTGCAACCATGCAATTGTAAGGTAACGTAGCCAAGTGTTCTAAGCATTCTAAGGCGCTAGTTTTAGGCACCAATCTTAACGAGCATCCTCTGCACTCCCCACCCCACCCTCCTCCTCATACATTAATTAACCCTTTCATTCCCAATGATGCCATATGGCAACATTGTCTTTTATGCTACATAGCTTACATGAAGTAAGCTTAAAAAGAAAAATCAGGCAAGCGTTTTTAGGTTTTGATGTGGGTGATGTGATATGTGAGGCAAATCTTCGTAAATTTGTTTTATATTAGTTTAATTGACTATTTCATGGTGTCCTACGGAAGTAAGTGACAGCAAATTTTCGCATTTTCAAAGGTAAGTTTGATTATAATATGTTTAGTTTTGTGATATATAAAATATTAATTGATTAAATTATTGGTCCTCGTCATATTTAAGAAATTATTTTATTAAAAGCGCGATCGGCCCACATAGATTTTCTAATGTATAATGTTGTTGCCATATGGCAACAATGGGCAGATCAATCTCTGGAAGATGTCACTGTAGAAATAGTGTTAATTGGATATAAACTAAGCATTTTCTTTCTATAACTGATGTTTTATTCTTTTAAGAGAGTTATGGATTTGACTGAAGCAGTAGAGCTCATTTTTGTCCTAATGGTGAAATATCAGATGTAAGCGACATTGATGATGGTGATGATGAGCTGGAAGATATTTTCCATGCTGAGGATCAGATTTTGTTGCCCTTCCAGACAACATTGAAATTCATGCAGTTCATGAAGATAGTGAAGTGAGTGATATTGAAGATGATGATGAACCTGTTCTAAACCAGCAAAGCGATGCAAGACAAAAAGTGTAAATGGCAAAACCTTTTCCTGAAAACCATTTCAATGATACATTCCCAGATCCACCTGAACAACTGCATTCCTCTTTGGAATATTTCAACATGTTCATTGATTTTGAAATGATAAAACAATGCACTGAACAAAGTAATATTTATGCAATGCAGAAGAAGGATGGTAAGGAATGTGCTATCCACAATGATGAAATAGAGAAGTTTTTTGCCATCCTCTTATACATGGGTCTGTTTCCTGCACCATCATACAGAATGTACTGGGAAAATTCTTCTCGGTTCAATCCTATTGCTGAAACAATGGCAAGAAATTGCTTTGAAATTATCCAGCTACTTGATTTCAATGATAATTCCAAACTGCGGGAAGAAATCATTCTGATTATGATCCTTTATTCAAGATACAACCGTTATTGAGCAGTTTGAGAAAAACATGCTCAAAGTTGACCCAGAGAAGGTAACAGCATTGATGAGCAAATAATTCCCTTCAAAGGTCGTTTCCTGAAACAATACAATAAGAACAAACCCCATATGGGGTTTCAAAGTCTTTACAAGGGCTGGTGCATCCGAATGATGTATGACTTTGAAATATACTCTGGAAAGCAAATGAAACTGGAAGGATATCTTGGTATCTCTGGCAATATTGTACTCAGACTTACCAAAATTTGGCAGATCACAAAGATTACAAGATATATTTGACAACTGGTTTGCATCAGTGCAGTTGGTAGAAATGTTAAAAGAAAGAGCATTTGGGCAGTAAAATTGTTATAGTTGTAAATATTTCTTACTTGTAGTATTGCTATTTTGTACATATTTTTACTTGGAGTAAATGGGAGCTCACTGATCAATTGTATTTTAGTTAATTTTATGGATTTTAATACAGGCAAAATCATTATAACACTTCAATGTTCAATCAATAAACATGAGTATTAAGTATAGAGCTATGTCACTATACTCCCAATGTTGCCATTTGGCAACAAAATTTTAATTCCATGAAAATATAAATTTTTAGACTAGCAATGAAATTCATGACATATTTAACATTGTTTCTATGCATATATAGCGCAGAAAAATTTTTTTGGCCACGGCTAATAATTTGGGAATGAAAGGGTTAATGGTCTACCATGAAGTTGCAGAGGCAACTTAGAAATACTGCATAGTGGAAGAAGTTTATTTAAAACGAATCCTCAAAGCTTGGAATCACCAACAAAATCACACCTCTACGATGCCAATTCAAACACAATCGATGTGTTAAGCCCACGGTCGCATAAATTTTCTTTCTTCGGAATTTGGCATGACTTAATTCTAACATCGAAACGTGCGCAGTGATACACCAGCAAGGGTTGTCAAAAATTAATTGAGTTTCAATTAATTGCAATTATTTGTAACCAATTAATTGATTGGACAAAGCATCAATTAAAATTAATTGATTGGGCAAAACTCCCAATTTCAATTAATTGATTGCGCATTGACTGTTTTTTTCTTTTTTTTTACATTGTAACTACTTTTGTCTTGTCACAGCAGCTCCATCAAAGGTCAATCTGCAAAAACTGTTTCCTATGAATTTAGAGATGCAACTCTTTCTGAAACTAAACAAAAGCTGGTGGCCCGATGCACAGTCGGTTGTGGAGGCTTCTGTTAGCATGTGATGAACACTTGGTTGCAACCCTTTTTGCCTTTTTGACAATCACATAATTTATGTGATTGTATTTGTATTCTTGTTAGATTTCTAAATTTGTTTTTTTGTAGGCCTACACTTTCGAAAAACTCGAATTATGCCATGTTGACATTACATTTTTTTTTTCTTCTTCGCTTTTTCATTCTTAATGGGAATCCGAAAACTTATTGAACCTAAATGTGTGGCCTATGACATAGAGAAAAAAGTTAAATATATTTACTGTTGCTATACCTATTGCTATTGCCTGTACAATAGACCTACCTATTTCTATACGATATTAGCGTTAGTGTGCGTTCTAGTACTAAAAAGATATGTAGACAAAGTATACAAGGGTTGTCGAAAATTAATCGAGTTTCAATTAATTGCAATTATTTGTAACCAATTAATTGATTGGACAAAGCATCAATTAAAATTAATTGATTGGACAAAGCATCAATTTCAATTAATTGATTGGGCAGACCAATTTAATTGCAATCAATTATTGACAACCCCTGTACACCAGTGAGATTAGCTTAGGGTTCGGCCATTGAAATTTCATAATGGCTTAATTTGCAAAGGGCTTAAAAACCTATGTATTACAAGGTAGGCCGCAGGAATGTGGTATTCATGAACTTTCGATGACGTTTCTCGACTATTTAATCTCATGAGTTATACTAAACAATGTCGTTCCCTCGAGTGAAGTCAAACCTGTTGCCCAAAATATCATTCATAAAGCATGCTTTTGTTTGTAAACGTCAACATGGTTTCGTTGCAGCATAAATTACTATATATCCAAGATACCTCTTGCGCTTCACATGTCGCATTTCTCACAATTTTTAACATGAAAACCGCTACGGTTCAACAGAAATCGATAAAATCACTACTTAGTAAACCTATACTGTAGAGAAAATTGTCGTCTCCAATTAATAGATTTTCATAGGCTTGCTACTTTTACGTGTTGACTTTCAAAGAACTTTCTTTTGAACAGAATTTACATTTCCTATAAGCTAGATTGCTGACGCATCTTACAATTGTTTGGCGAGCTTGTACCATTGAAATAGTCTTTATACAAAGCTAACTTAAAAATCAAAGCATTGGCTAATATATACAATAAAAATAAAATTTTTTTTGGGTACAATGACAATTGACGGCACACCTAGGAATTGACCAATCAGAATACACCACGTTTATGCAACTTTTGTCATAAAACGAGCCAGTAGGGCCACTCCATTTAATTTTTTCGTGCCACGCATATCTTATTACTTACTGATTACCATATTGGCAGCCAGTAAATTGCATTGTGTGACCAATAGGATTGACGATATGGCAAACAGTAGCCAGTAAACTAATTAAATATGCAGCAGCCAGTTGCACAGCGAAGTGGCCCTACTATATATTCCTATACTGTGCCGAGAACGTGAACATTGAATCTGTACATCAATACATATGCACAAATAATATTTGGCAAAAGACGAAACTGCTGGTGCTATACAACTCAATATTGCTAGATTATATCTTCGAGTTCTTCTAAACCAAGTCCAGGTAAATGAGTCTTTTGAAGTTTCTTTTAACAGAGAACTTTATCGTTGATCGAAGTCTGAAATAAGAACGGCAAATTGATCTTCGAAGTTTTCTTTTCAATACTAATGTTTGTTCTATGCTTGATTTTAGACTTGAACGTTCTGACTGCAAATTGTCACCAAATAAGAAATGAGAAACAAATAAGAGAAAAAATGACTAAGTACTAGTGGTTTATATTCACTCAGCATGATGGTGAACTCGCATATTTAAAGAAAGTGATTATTCATGATGGTGAGCTCGGTGGTTATGGATATGTTTTTGTTAACCATTCCCTTGAGACTTATCTAAACATAGCAATGAAGAATTTGTGTTATGCAGTTTTGATTGAAATTCTAATTCCTTTGTGATGCTTCAACAGTGTATAAAATGTTCAAAGTAAGTATTTTATGATAGTTTATCATTCTTGTCAGTGATTTTAAAAGAAGTATATTGGGAATTGTCATTAAATTCGATTTTCCTTTTCTTAGAGATCTGAACAATGAATGAACAATATATACTGAATGGGCAATATATACTTGAGAATGAACAGTATATACTCAGGAATGAACAATATATACTCATGAGTGGACAATATTTACTCAATAATGAAGTTTGTAAACGCTTCTG